CCCCCCCCCAAAAAAAAAGACGCCTCTATGAACGAAGAAAAAAGTGCGTGGCATCAATTTCAAGAATCAGCCCTTACATCTACGCCTAATGTATATCTACATCTGCTCCCTCGAGGATTGCATACAGTGGTCGACAACTACCAGGTTGACGTCTATTTATTTGCACTGAAGCCAGTGAATGCACTAGGCGCACAAGAGCTTCCCTTCCCATGTAGATAGAGATTCTCCGCCAATTTCCTTAGACGTATCTTTTATCTCCCACCTTTACCACCCAAAAGGCTGCCATGGACGCACGTTACCGGGAAAGCGCCCTCCGTCCGAAACTCTGACTCCATCATCTAATGTATACACTAGGATGACATGAAGCACCTCGCCCACTCATGTCTGACCAATAAAAGAAAGAGGATCCCTAATGTTGTTTCTTGGGCTGCGCTGCATCAGGCCCCATGAGCCGGGCGGCAAGCGAGACCGGCCAGGCGAGCTGGGGCGTGGGGTCGGTGTGCACCTCACCCGAGGTGATCATATCGACCACTGCGACCGCGACATAGGCACCGATAGCCGTGAAGAAGTGCCACCTACCCGGTTTGACCGTTAGCTTTTACTCCTGGATATTGCATTTGATGATAGGAGGACTAAGCGTTCGCAAATCTCTCGCCTCCATGACTGACAAAGGGCGAAAGACTTACCATCCATGCAGCTCAAAGAAAAATGCGACCGGCGCACCAACCAGCTCCCTGATGCGGGTCAAGTGGTTGCACGCCCACACATCGACTAGCCAGGCGAAATAGCCGAAGAGGAAACAGACTGTGCTTCTGTCAGTAGCCGCCCGGCTGGGGATGGAAAGCGTCGATGTGGCAAGGGAGGGGACAACTTACAAATCCCGAACCGCCCGATGTTGCGGGTCTTCTGCTTGATGGCGGGGTTGGGGATCTGTTGCGAGATGATCTGCATGGTTCGTCGCGCGATGAGCAACGCCCCCGCCCCGAAGGTCACGGCGTGGAGCAGGAACTCGTCCATGACCATGTGGACGACCATGACGGTGGTGAACTCAAGCGCGAGCGCGATGCCGATGAGACGCCGCCACTGCGGGCTCACCTGGAACGTGAGGACCCGATATACGAGGGGCGTGGTCAACAGATGCATCGAGAGCTCGTCCGCTGGATTCAGCATGGTCAGTCTGAGGTAGAGGCATGCCTTCAATCAAGTCAGGTGACATACACATCTGCGTGTGGTATTTCAGGGTCATATGGTACCCGGCCGAGCAGATCCCCACGCCCATCAGACCGAACCAGGGGATCGCCCGGGCGAAGGATGCCGTGGGCTTGGATCGCAGCTGGCTCAGGCCGTAGATTCCATAGAGGACTGCGGATGTGTGGCAGTGCTTGATGTTAGCTGGTGCGCATCAGACCTCGGGGCATGTTGCCCCTTGATTGGGGCCTGGACGCACTGTAGATGAGGCTGCTGCAGGTGTTGATGAATTCAGCCACATAGCGAGTGACGACATAGTCCTACAGTCTGGGGCTTGAGTTCCTGCCCTTTCAAAGGGTTGATCGCCCATGGGGTCATGGACTGTACCTCTTCACAAAAGCTATAGCGTGTGAGTTTCGGCGGTGATCGGGTGATTGTTGAGAAGCTTACTTTAAGTAGGATGTTTGCGGGCCCCAAAAAGGGTCCTTTAGCGATACATCCATCTGGGGAGATTGACCCTGGGAACGTCGGGAGTGAGGAAGTAAGTGAGTGAGGTTGTTGTGGTGGGTGTAAAGGTACAATGGAAGAGAACTTCGGCGGATCCCGAGGCTGGCTTGTCGCTGCCTTGTGAGGAGAAGCGCGACGTGTCGAGGACTCGAGCACTGCAGGGCAACTGAGGATCCACTCAGCTTCTTATGCACGGGCTTGGCATCACAAGCTTTGTGCCCGTCCCGGCAGCCAACCATACCTACCATATTGGTCACTCATCCCAGGACTGTCTTCTTGTTGGCACAGGTTGGGTCCAACAATATACTGGCAGTACACAGTACATTTTAGGTCCACGGTAGCTTACATCGCTCCTGGATTGTATTGTAAGTTTCATACCTCGGTGTTTGTGACAAGAACGCGCAGAGAACAAGTTGAATCACTGCGCAAAGACATGGTCATTCGTCATTTGACACGAATCAGGTGGTTAGCGAAGACACATGGCTGAATAGAATTTAACAGTCATGGTGATGTCGTACCGCAACAGCAGGTATAGATAAATAAGGTAGTACAGGCACAGAGATCATTCAGGCCAATAAGTCACCCGCCCGGTCGGCACAATTGCGGTCCGCTGCCCAAGCCACAGCGTGTGGTGTGGCTGACGCTCAGGTCACATGGGATTGTGGCTGCGACGGGCGGTGACTACGGCTCGACCCGCTCTCAGCCAACTTGGATCTGGAATCTTGGACCCTGGCTCGCATGGCATCCATGTTGCGGCGTTGATTGCCTTCCCGCGAATCCCTATCTTGTGTTCAGGATCTGGTACCCGGCAGGTTGATACTGTCGTACAGCCTCCTGCACCCCAGAAAAGACGACTTGTACGACCCACAGTCCGATTCTGCACCATCATGCTCATCTGTCGGCCGAAAGCGGGCTGTCTGACCCTGCCCGCAGATAAGTGCCATCCACCTCGCTTGGCTCGCTCACGCGCTCTTGATCACGCCAATAATAAAATACTCGAACCTGCAGGGCTCATATGCTTACTACGGCATGAGTTTTGTTGCAGCCATAGACCCGTCGAATAACCAGGTCTGCCATATTTCAGCATTGGTTGTGCATGATGGGTTCTCACGCTCTCGTCGCACTCAGAGTGACGAGTGAGTTCCGCCGACTATCCACCTACCACCGGCATTTTTATTGCGGAAGCGCAAATGGAGTTATCATCCATGAAGAATTGTCTCTTGATGCTTAGACACTTTATCAGCAGCTGGACTCGGCATGAGAACCAAATCCGTGTTAGTGGACCACGACTATTAGCCACGATCACTTCGTCAACTGAGACTTGACAGGCAACTGACCCACCACAGATTACATGGAAAGCGAAAGCGTTCTGGCTTGACATCCGACGGCGAGGGTAACTTGTGACGATGGCGTCTGATCTAGGGAGGTGGCCGATGTGTGGACCCTGGTCGCATCATAGAGTCCGTGGAATGTGGAATGCCAGCCTTGATTGTTGCGCTACGCGGGGGAAGCTTCTAGTGCTCTATAGTGACAGATAGGGGCACTGATCAAGAGTCACAGCATGCAGTTCAAAGACCTGTCAGTGACACTTCGGAGTCTCACTTCATGCAGCGTAAGACACATGAGAATGAATGCGATAAGCATCCCTCTGAGCAGGGCAACCAATATTGATCAAGAGCAGTCGAGAGTTCCAATAAGGATTACGCTAGTACTGCATCGATCGGCATATATATGTACCCAGCAGCAAGCACTTGGGCCGCGGTATGCGAGGGGAAGAGTCTGTGGCGGTGGGCGGGCCCTAAGTCTGACGATCTCCACCATCAGCGTGGACCCGATTGACCGGGCCCCGCTACCGACTATCAGTGCGCATATGCTCGTTGGTCGCCGACCTGCGCTGGGCCAAACTTATTTCCTCTAGTGCTGTGAGGGGTAGCTGACAGGCTGCAAGACCTAGACCCAATCGCCCCTGACAGAAATACACAGTACTTCCCCCCCCCCTGCACCCCGTCCGATCGATTTCTTCACATTTGCCGAAGCCGTCTGTTGCTGAATCACAATGGCGTCAACCGGCGACTCGACTCCTGCTACTAACGTGGATGTGGACCAATTTACTCAGTCAATCAAAAGTATTGACCGCACGTCCTTTGCGTACGATGGCGACCGTGTCAAAGCGTTGAGAGAGGCGTACTCTCTGATCAGTCGCCTAGAAACTTCGTGGGATACCGTGGCGCGTCTTTGCCTTACACAGGTAGAATCGCTGGCCAGTGATAATGAAATTGCGATGCTAACACTTCATCCAGCCTGCCCTGACCGCGGCCCTCAAAGTGAGCCAGGACCTTCAGCTCTTCGAGAAATGGCTCCAAGTAGGAGAACAGGCGGAGCAGTCGACCGCCCAGCTTGCTGAACTGACCGGATCAGACCCCATCCTTCTCGGTGAGACAAAGTGACACATTATCTGCATCTGCCCACGACTCTAAGCCCTGAGTAGGTCGCATTCTCCGCAATCTGGCATCCACCAACATTATCATCGAGGTCTCCGCCGACCACTACAAGCAATCCGCATTCAGCAGATCCCTCCTCGAGCCCGTCTTCGGAGCCTGGATCCCATTTCTGTCCGTACCCGCTGAGTCCCCTAACACCCCCAGGACAGAGAAACTAACCCCCAAACCAAACGCCCAGCCACGACACAGTGAACCCCTGCTTCGCCAAAATGCCCGAATACCTCGCCAAGACCAAGTACCAGAACCCCACCGACCCGAACGACGGCATCTTCCAGTACACGAAGAACTTCCAGGGCTCGCTCTTTGACTACTACGCCCAGCACCCGGCCGAGGGCGCCGTCTTCAACAACGTGATGGGCAGCGTCATGGCCAAGCAGGCGGGCATGCTGGACATCATCCCCTACGACCGGCTGGCGGACGACCAGCCCGACGAGTCTGGGACCCCGCTCCTGGTCGACGTGGGCGGCAACGTCGGCCACGACATGAACAAGTTCCTAGGCAAGAAGCCCGGCCTCGCGGGGCGGTTGGTGCTGCAGGATCGCCCGGAGGTCGTGCGCCAGGCGATCTGTCCCGCCGAGGTGCGCGCCATGGCGCATGATTTCTTCACGCCGCAGCCGGTGAAGGGTATGCCCCCCCGCCCCTTTCTTCTTGGTTGTGTTCACACTGAGGAGGGTCTGGGTTGAATGGCAAAGTGTACGGGGACGAAGAATATGGCTAACACATGATTCAACTTATGCACAGGCGCGCGCGCTTACTACCTACACGGGGTCCTGCACGACTGGTCGGATGCGCTGGCCCGGCAGATCCTGGAGCACCTGCGCGATGCGATGACCCCCGGGTACAGCACCCTGTTGATCCACGACCATGTGATTCCGGCGGTCGGGGCGCATCCGCAGGCCACGGGCTACGATCACACCATGATGGTGCTCGTGTCGGCGTTCGAGCGCACCGAGGGCATGTGGCAGGACCTGTTGGCGTCGGTGGGGCTGCGCGTGGTGAAGATCTGGAGTTCGCCGCTGGCGACGCAGAGTGTTATTGAGGCGAAGTTGAGTACGGACAGTTAGGGGTGTGTGTATCGACGGGTTGACAGCGTGAAGCAACAGTATGTTAGGTAATTGCAATGATGACAAACAGTCAAGTTAGGTGATAGTCGATGCGCGGGGCTTGCACAGTCTATGAGCACAGTCTATGATATGTTGTAAGAGCCTAGATGTTCGTTTGCTTGATTCAACACCATGGTCCAGGACGGGAATCAAGTTCCAGAAATGTTAGACCTTCTAGGTGGAAAATACACTGCTTACGCCTAGACTATGACAGACACCTGTTATATCACCAATCCTTCCAACAATATTTATACACATAAGATCTTTCAAAATTGATTTGCCTGATGGCCATTAAAGCACTATCCAAGTACCAAATCAAAACAAAATCCTGAAGTTCCGCCCACCAAACCGACTCCATACAATTCAAAAGCTAGGGTATGAGGCTGCAAATACAAATACACCACCAAAACCAGACCACCATGCTTCAACTCTCGCCACCACCCTCCCCCTCCTCCTTGCCCTCATCCCCACCACCACTACCACCAGCAGCCTCCGCCGCCTCCCGCAACGCAACGACCGACCTCTTCTCCTTCTCGACGCCGGCCCGCCGCTGCGCGGTATCACAGAGCCGCAAATCCCCACACTCACACTCCCCGCCCTCCCTCAGCCACCTATACGTGATACTCCACCGCTCCCCCCGCACCCTGACGCTCGTCCCCCCACCTTCCGCGGGTACAACATCAGTCTTCCGCTTCTTGATCCCATGCGTCCACAACAGCCGCGCATCCCCACTCATACACATCAGACTGCGCGGCTCGCAGTCCACCTCCACGCGGTCCTCGCCGCGCCGGAACTCCATCAGCACGGGGTTCCCCAGCGACAGCGCGTAGAGCTGGTCGTACGGGCCGTGGGCGTCCACGTGCGGCGGGATCCCCGCCCCCGGCGGGTAGTACTGCAGGCAGACCTGATCCGGGGCGCGGGGCTCGCGGGCCGGGAGTAACGGGATCAGCCAGGCCGGGAACGGGCGGTAGGGGATGGCCGGGTCGATGTCGAAGGTCTTGTAGTCGAAGGTGTAGCCGTAGTGCAGCGAGATGCGGCCGGGGCGCGCGGGCCACTCCAGGTCGTGCCGGAAGAGGTGCAGTAGTTCGGCTTCGTGGGCGGCCGTGATGAAGTTGGTTTGCCAGAGGAGGCCCCGCGGTTGGATGGGGAGTTCGTGCATTGTGTTTGTGTTTGCTGGTGGGGGGTGAGCTGGGGTTGGGTTTTGGGTTTGGGGGGTGGCTGGTGGCGCGGATGAGGTGGGCTGGGTGTCTAGGTCCATGTTTATAAGGTGGTTTATTATTTTCTAATTATGCTTGTTGTTTGGGGGGGCTAGGAGGCGAGGTAGCGATAGATTATTTATTGATAGCATGTTATCGGGGAGGAGGGCCACGTGATGGTCGACAAACTCTGATCGCCTTTGGCATTGCCGATAGACAGTTGATTGGTGGCTGCCGCTCCACTGGTGCCTGAAACACGTGATTCTCTTCTCATGAGTGGATGACTCAGCTGGCTATACAACAGAAGGCTCATCGCACAGAATCGGGGTAAATTTCATATCAGCTGAGTAGAAGCACATACAAAGACAAATGAAGCGACTCAATTCGATAAGGCTCGTTATCATCTCAGAACCCCACTCCCGAGCCCATTCTACCATCGATGGGACCCAGATTCAGATATAATCCCCAAGCCTCGCGCCGGTGGTCAAGCATGTCTGGTATCGCACTGGGTGCATTGGAGTTTGCACGTCAAATTGTCGTTGCCCTCGACCTTGACATGGCCGAAGAATGGCTTCTTACAGTGGCGGCATCGATTCACTTCGCCGAGTTTGTCCAAGCTGTTTTTCAGTTGCCGGACCTGGGTCTCCGTCGCGACTCGCTTTGCATTCACGTCACATGTCTGTTCTGCAGAGGCAAGTGCACGCTTCTTGTATTCGTTCACGTGGTGCCTCAGCATCGAGACAACATTGCGCGAGAATGGATCTGGGAAGAGGACCTCATTGCTTGGGAAATCACCCAGGTGTTGAACGACCATGGCGCGCAGATGACCTTGAGTCGCCCCGTGAGGGATTAGTGGATAGACCTCTGCAACCAACTTGTCAAATCCATGCGGCGACCAGGGCTGTTTCAAAGACGTCGCTTTTATCTTTTCGAGTGCTAGGGTTTCCAGCGCCGGGATGATGTAGTAGCCCGCGATCATACTCATTTCGAGGTGAGGACGCAGGGCCTCCGCGATTGTGGGTGGTGCGGGATTGGTAACCTTCTGAGATCGGTCCGTAGTCTCTTCTGCCGACTCTGTAGAGGTGGTGTCGGGAGATGTGCTGGATGCGGCAGCGGTCAACGAATCTGAAGTCGCCTCTGTGGTAGTCTGCGCCAGCTCTTGAAACCAATTAGAATGTGCCAAGGCCCGAATGCAGGAGAGTCACAGGCTGGAGGAGTACATACCTGAATCCCACTTGAGCTCTTTGTCCAAGCTATAGTCTCCGAGGTACATGTACTCCACCATCCGCTTCACAGTAACCAAGGAGAAGCCCGGGATCTGGACGACATTCGTGTGACCTTCCTTCTTGGGGTCAGATACGACAGTTCACTGGAAGCAGTAGGATAGCTGGCTTTACCATGAAATTACTCCTGCAGGCAGTCTTGATCACCTCGGATTGATTCCAGACCACGAGCTTGTGGACGGTAAGCCTCACCCCATCACACTCCAGCACCAGGTCGCAGAGCTCCCCTGCTTTGGCATCCTCGAACATTCCAGGATTGTTGGACATTTTGAGAGATGAGAAGTGACTTGGAACTGAAAGTGAGATGGTCAGACAGTGTTGTTAAAGGACTGGGCCGGCAAGGTGGAGACTCGGAGCTTGGACGCGTCGTTAGAGAGTGGGGAATGAGACTTTGGTGTGGATGTTATTGTTTCTAGTCAGCCTCGGTAATCCAAGTCAAACTATGAGAGGTGTGTAGAATAACGGGTTCGCCTTCTGTTGACACGAAGATGGATGAGAAGTGACGCGAGTTCGAGGTGGATGGAAGGCAAAAGAGAGGGTGAAGAGAAGATGAGGATGTAGATGAGGGAGTAGATGAGCGAAGTAAGTGAGAGAAGAGGAGAAGCCGAGGAAAAAGAGAGTGAAGAAGTGGTGAGTTGACGGCCTCAGGCATGGTAAAGGGCTGCTGCAGCAGATTCTCTGTAAATGTAACGCGCCCAGAGATCTCCGGCCATTGCCGATACTAAAACAACCCTACTTACTTGTTATCACAGTAAGCGAACAAACTTGAAGATGAACATTTGCAACTCATTGATCTTGTCAGTACATTCTTGGACTTCTTTTAGGTCCCTCCATTGCTGCTGGTACCTGGTCAGCGGTGTATAACATGAGCCACAACCCCTATGACCGCCTCAGACATCCTCCAAAACACATGGTTCCCCAATATCACCACCGCGTGAAGAAGCAAGCCATCCTAAGCCAACCCCTCCAACTCCAACCGCCACACATCTCCCAACCGCTCATTCGACTCCGCCAACCCTCCATGCACGACAACACTTGACGTGCAGCCCTCAAGAACATCCGCAGCAAACCACCCCCTCGGCTCCGGCTGGTCCCCCTCGACCTCAACCAGCACCCACCGACCCGCCTCGAGATCAAGAACCCAGACATCCCCCAGCATCTTCCCGGCCCCCTGATGCCCCAAACTACTGGGATCATGCTCACCGAACATCGTCACCAAAGCCGACCGCCCCTGCAACCGCACCGCAAGCAAACACCCCACGCTTCTCGCACTGGGGCCTGACACCCCATCCGCGACATACGCAAGCGTACTCCACGCATCCGCGACGGGATCATACACATCCACCGCCCCGCCCTGCTCGCTCGTCCCGTCGAACCCATTCATCCGGTACACCTTCCCCTCCGCGAAGGCGATCGAGGCGCCCCCGCGGGCCGGGCCGGGGGCCGGGGCGCACTCGCGCCAGCGGCGGGCGACCACATCAAACGCCCAGAGGTCGCGGAGGCGGCCGGTGGCCGGGCAGCCGGCGTGGAGGTAGATGGTGTCCGTGCCGTTGGTCGTCAGGGCGTGGTAGCTTCGGCCTACCGGGAAGGGCGCGTCCGGATCGGATGGGGTGAGCTGCGTCCAGTCGCTATCGATCGAGTCGAAGACCCAGAAGGAGCCGTTCTCTTCGATCGGGGCCATGGCGGTGCCGCCGCGGCCGGAGAAGATGTAGAGTTTGTTGGCGAGGGCGGTCGCGGCGGAGCCGACCCTGGGTTGCGGGGCAGGGGTGGAGGTGGAGGTCTGGCTTATGGCTGTGGGGGTGGTGTGTGCTGCTGGTTGGGGTGAGTCTTGGGTTCTGGACTATACATTTTGAAATTCGAGATGGGAAGTGAGAGCATGCTTACTGGAGTTCAAAGGGAGAGAGTACACGGTGCAATCGACGGGTTCGCGGGGCCGCAGCTCGCCGCCGTAGATGTAGGCGCTGTCGCCTACGATGGTGAGGGTCTGCGATGACCTCTTGATCGAGGTATCGGACAGAAGCTGGGTCCAGACAGCGCGAACCATGGTGACTGGATTTGTTGTCGCAGGGTTATGGAATGATGAGAAGTGGAAAGAGTATCTGCTTTGAGGGCTGAACAGTGGCCTGTGAAGTCGATTATATAGCCGATGATACTTCCTGGGTCGAACTCGTATGCTCGCTGGGGGTGGGTCTGACGGCTCTGTATCACTGTAAAGCTGATACGGGCGTATAAATTGCCCCGATGGGGTTTAGAGCCAATGGTCTTATGGTCTTGGCATTGATCAAATTGATCGACCGTCGGTTTTGATGGACACCCTCAATTCTCCCAGATCATCGAAGCGGGATTTTCTCCATCCATGCCGTGCCATCCGCATCACGTCCGCACACCACCACATCGATTGGCTGATTGATGTCCAGCAGCTTCAATTTCGAGATGTCTTCGGGCACTGCTGGCATAACCAACGTCACCGCCCGTGCTTGGGACCAGTATCCCGAGATTTGCGAGATGATGCGTTTAGCGAGATGGGTGGGATAGTGCGAATGCTCGAAGCCTCTGGTCTTTCTTTCAAGTTCCGGCCATACAATGGTGAGGATGTAGTCGAACAGGGTATCGGATCGCCATAGAAAGACAAGCTGAAGAAGACACTCTGCCAGACTGAACGTGTAAACATCCGCCGTGCTCGATGTCGTAAAGTCCAACGTGCCTATAATTTGACATGCGCCGTGCGCCAAGTCGTCAAGCTTAGTTGTAGGAGAAGCTGAGTTTCGGTCGGTGGGAGACCCATCAGACAGGCACGCCCCGTGGGCTTCCTCGAACATCATCTCGCAAAGGATACAGTAGATCGCGTTCATCGCATCACGATGGCTAGGGTATGCCCAGTGGCAGGGAATCGAGGTATCACCACACGATACTTCCTCCGTCGCTGCACCGACAACGCTTTTGCCGAGCGACCTGCTCTCTTTCACACGCGACCTCCACACCTCCAGCCGTTCCTTCTGAACCGTCAACAAGCCCAGCAAGTGGGAACCTCGCACAAAACCCTCTTGTGCTTCGTCATACTCGTCCGGTGTAGAGCATCTGCCCAGCATAGTATTCAACACTTTATGCGCGACGCGACCGATGTCTCTCGACGACTCCTGGATCCGGTACGTGCTGGCTACCGAACGGAACACAATCAGCCGGGAGCGTATCTCCATAGTCTTGACCAAGATATCGTGAATGAGATCATCTGTACTCATCCCCAACACACAGCTGAGATACAGATGGTCGGTGGGATCTGGAAAGCAGTTCGGGCCGAACGAGCTGACCCCCTCACCCTCGAGGAGCAGCGAGGGTGGCTTCGACAGGCGATGGGAGACACACAGGCGGTGCCACATCTGCAAGGCCCCGATCCCGTCCGGGGAGCGCATGATCTGCTCCCGGCATTGTGACACAAATCGGAGAGTGTCCCAGACTGCTAGCCGGAAATTGAGATGGTTTGTCGAGGCGTGGTGGTAGTAAGCGAGGAGAACGAGGGTTCGCAGGATCGAGGCTGCATTGTGTGCAACATCGCTTGCACTCGCGGTGCGGCAGAGTTGAAGTGCGCGGTCATGGTAATTGCGTGCTTGGCGATGATGGCGGGAATCGACCAGAGGGCTAAACACAGGAGTTTGATGGTCATCCACACGGTGACGACTCTGGATCTGTGCGTTGAGCATGGAAAGGCTGGAGGCCGAGATGCAGGCAGCGGCGGCACGAAGGTAGGGGGCGTCGACGATCTCCCCCACAGACGTCATCGACAACGCGGGCAGCAGATGGCGTACATGATCCTGGAAGTGGTTCAGGTAGCGGACCTCAAGGCTATCTCCAAGATCTGGAGAAGGGCAAATTCCAGCTGCGGTGAGGTCACTGAAGAGACGGGGTTTGGCCGGCGGGCCGTTTTCACTACGAGCCCTTCTCGAGACAGCGGCGGGATTTGCCGCCGCAGGTGACGCGACAATCACCTGCGTATGTCGCTGAAAAGTAGCTTGGCCAATGTGTCGGAAAGTCAAATTCACCCCGTAACTGCACTCCAGCGATAACCGGACACAGGCGCGGCAGTGAGGTTTGGTTTCATCGCACTGGCAATACATCAGACTGACGATCCATGGAGCACAATTATGGCAGACGCACCTTTTTACCTCTCCGCCGGCATGACGTGCAGCCTGAGTGCTTCCGAGTTATCCTGCGTGACTTTGTAATAGTCGTAGTCATACCATTGGGAGGCATGTTAGGTGCGGAGTCGATAGTAAGGCTGCTGTTTCTCTGGCATCTTGCAACCCGGCAGTGGAGTGTGGGCTGTCAAGATTCGGAGCCAGGAACTCGGGAGGTTGCCCTGACCCTCGGTTACAGTACCGGTACCACGAGTTGCACTGCCATCTTCCCTTTTGTGGCGATAAATTACGCCTACTCACCCGCTCTTGACGTAACGCGTCAATACGATAGGCACATGTAGGTACTGTACAATACGCATTTTAGTCCGCACCTTGGGATCATTCATCTTGTAAACCGGGGAGGATGATGACTCGGAAGAATATTTCTACGACTCGTTGAATTATGCATGAATCACAATTCCTGATCTGGCTGCCGATCGATACGATCTACCAATGCGGTGTCTAGACCATCGGCGGACGTCGCGGGAGGTCGGAGATAATCGGGGCTAACCCCCCTGATCTCAGAGATACGTATCTGTGCCACACAATCTAAGGGTTGGGTCACTGCCACATCTCGCCATGATGCATCATCAAGACAGTCATGAACTCAATAAGGCCTTTTACTGAGATGAAGCCTGGTTCAGTTGCCATTTATCCTCTCCGCATCTTGCTAGTAGCCAATGATCGGCCACAAACCTTAACTATCCCTTACTCATCGTAGTTACAGCATGGTGAAGCCATGATGACGCCCTCAACCAGCAACAACAGCCACAATACATCTATAAAACCCGTCAAACTGGAAGTACAATCATATTTTTAACAACAGTCAATTGAATTGAACATATCATTATTATACCGAGTCTATCTACAACACTTCAACAAAGTCCTGAACATAATTCCCATTGAACCATCACATACCCTTCATCATGCAGAACGAATACGGACAGGGCATCTCCCACGCCACCGGTGGCTCCAGAGTCCCCGACAAGGTCCAGCAGAAAGCTCCCCAAGGTCTCGAAGAATCCTTGCCCAACAAGGTATGGCCAACGATATCCTTTCCGCCGCCGTTGTGCCTGTCCATTTCCGAGGAATAGTGATTGACAATGTTTCATCAGCTCCACGACACCGGCTCCGGAACTGGTCGCCAGACCCACGCCCTCAATGACGGTGAAGACTCCATCGTGCCCAAGAGCATCCAGAAGGCCGTCCCCGAGAAGCTCGAGCGCGCACTACCCAACAAGATCCACAACACTGGTGATGAATAGATGATTTTGCATGGCGGAACGTCTTATGAATATGGTATTTGTGACGGTACACAAGTACTTTTTGTAGCGAGGGAGGAATGATTGATGTCATGTTGCCCCATGTATTATGAAATGTAAAACAATGAAACTCTAATCTGCTTGTCTGTCTCTCGAACACAATTCGAAATCATGTAGACGCATTTGTAGGAGATTATGTGGTTGTCATGCATCCTTGACGCAAGGTTGGTTAATTCTTGACACGCACCGGGTGAATCAAATGTTTCCTTGACTCCTTGACAAGCCGTTCCCTATCTCCAGCCCAAAATTGAGGTATTCAAGGATGGATTGCGCCGATCGGGAGATTGATGTAGAAGCACCATCGTCATGACTGGGTGGAATTAGCATAAGCATTCCTGAAGCTAGCTGATAAGCTTTGCCGGTGTTGCTGGCAGCTTCCAAGGAAAGTGGGTTAAGATCCATGATTTCGTGTGCACATTCTACATTTTCTACTGATATCATTCAAGCTCCGAATAGATATATCATGATCCCCTGATCCCTCTGATCGAGTAAATCGACCACTAAACTAACAACGCGACAGAAAGTCAGTATAATCCAGTTTTATATCAAAGAACCAATCCATCGCTTGCCGTTTCATGCCGTCCAAAGTACTGTACAAGATTCGTAAAGGCTGTGGCGCCCAGGTGAGACGATCCTCCTACAAGCATCAGCCACAGCATTGTGGCTCGGGGCCTTATCAGTTCAGATCATGGTTGCCTATCATGAGACGGAGTAAAATTAGCGAATAAGCAAAGCACCCTCAAGCCACTCGGAGTAGATTAATCTTCGACGCGGCTTTCACTGGCCACAGGCGCCATCGGAGTCCGATGCTTACCCTTCCATCCTGCGTCCAAGCACAACTCCTTCGCCATGGTGCGCGATATGATGACAGGTGAGTCAAGTATATAAGTATTCCTGGCTTGTGCCATGGAAGCTTAATAGTTCTGGTCAGACGTGGCAACTGTCAGCAAGCGCTGCTGTTGGACAACCACTGATAGAATATGGCGTCTCTGTCGACACAATGCACGAGTGCCGGCGATGCTGTGTTTGGCCCTCGGGTCAGCCTCGCCTGTCGCTCGTTTGACTTTACACTTTATTTCGAAGATTTGATGTTCGCGTGCCTGCCCGCGGCTCTCTTCCTGCTGCTTCTTCCAATCTCGGTTTGGCAGCTTTGGCACGAGCCTCGTCGCATCAAGAGGTCTGCCCTGTTGGCTTCCAAGCTAGTATGTTGATTCCGCACTGTTCCTACAATACAGTTAGCATTGATACTAACATGCTCAGGTGACACTTGGGGCACTATTTGTCGTCCAAATTGCTTTCTTAGCTCTTCGTCAGTCGCAACCTCTAACCCCCGGGCACGATGCCTCACTCGCCGCGGATGTGTTGGAAATGGTGGCGGTCGCCAGTGCGATCTGGCTGTCCTACTTAAGCCACTGCCGTTGCATCCAGCCCTCCACGCTGCTGATTGTCTATCTCTCCGCTCGCACCCTGCTGGGAATCGCCCGGGTGCGGACGCTGTGGCTCATGCGCGTCGCCACGGCGGACGCCGCTATCTTCACCGTCGGGATCAGCTTCACATTCCTATCGTTGATCCTGGAATCGATCGAAAAAGCATCAATTCTGACAGCAAAGACCGCAAAGCCCGCCACCCCAGAGCCATTTAGCGGGTTCTGGAAGCTTGCAAGCTTCGCCTGGTTGGCGGGGACCTTCCGTCAGGGCTACTCCAAGGTTCTTTCAGTCCATGATCTGCCCGATCTGGATCCTCAGCTGAGCAGCGAGGTTGTTGGCCGCCAGCTTCAAGCTGCTTGGTCGCAGACTGGTAATGTTACGTCGTTTCCTGGGGCTTCGTGTCTGGTTCTAACTTGGGGATGTTCTCGGGCTTGTAGAGAACAAAACCGCAAAGTATGCCTTGCTCCGCACCTCGACGCGAGCCTACCTGAGCGCACTACTCGCAGCGGTCATTCCCCGCCTGCTGCTGACGGGCTTCACCTTCTGCCAGCCATTTCTGGTGGATGCGACCGTGACATGGGTCGGTAATAGAGACGCGGCCCTGGACTCGGGAAAAGGGCTGATCGCGGCATTTGCGATCGTGTACACAGGCATGGCGGTAGGCTGCGTCCCTGCCTGGATTGAAAGTACATGTGTGTCTGCATCATGCTTTTGCTGATACTGTTCCATGACTAGGTATTCACCGCACTCTCTGGCTACCACACCTTCCGCTTTACCGTCCGTCTCCGCGCCGGACTGATCTCCCTCGTCCACCACCAAACCGTGCGAACCAGGGCGGTCGACCTTGGGGAGATCACCGGAGTGACCCTGATGGGTACGGATGTCGAGCGGATCACGTCGGGCTTCTTCTCTATCCACGATTTGTGGGCCTGCTTGATCGACATCGCCGTCGCCATCTTCTTGCTTGCCAGGCAACTGGGAGTTGCGAGTGTAGTTCCGGTGGTGATGGTCGTTGGTAAGTAGACCCCAAGTGCCCTATCTCAAAGACAAGGCATCGATAGTAATCAAATTCAGTCTTCTTTGGCTGCACGTTCAAGCTCTCGGCGTCCAGCAACACCGCCCAACGCGTCTGGATCGAAAAGGTGGAAGACCGGATCCGATTCACTTCGTATGCGCTGGAGAACATCAAGTCGGTCAAGATGCTCGGACTCTCCCCGAGGATGTCTGCGATCATCGCGGGGTTGCGGTATGCTGAAGTGGCTGCTTCCACGGTGTTTCGGAAACTGGTGATCGGGAGTGTGGTGCTGTGTATGTCGCCGACTCTCAATGTTGGAAAACCCACCAGAAATGAATGCTGACAAGACTCTCTAATCCAAACAGCAAACTCACCTTCTAACCTGGCTCCCATGGCGACATTCACACTCTACGTGATCATCGCCCTCGCCAAGCACAATAACTCCATCCTCGCTGCCAAAGCCTTTACCTCTCTATCGCTGATCTCACTGCTGACAACCCCAGTCTTGACCTTCATCCAGTCGGTCCCATCTGTGGTGGAATGTCTGGGCTGTTTTGACCGGATCCAGGAGTACTGCAGCAAATCGCCTGACGCCGATGAGTCGGAAGCAGAGCAAGACCACGACGGTATCCCTTTAAGCTCTCTGAAGAAGCAAGCACCACAGCAGAACGGAAGTGCAGTCGAGTTCACTGGCCAGAGTTTCGCCTGGGGTCAGACAACTGCCCCGGTGCTACAGGACATCCATTTGAGGATTCCAGGTCGCGCCATAACCATGATAATCGGACCGATCGGTAGCGGAAAGACAACATTGATCGAGAGTATACTGGGCGAGACGGTATCGGCCGGAGAGGAAGTCACCAGAAACAATTCTCCCATCGCCTACTGCGCTCAGACCCCATGGCTGCAAAGCCAGACCGTCCGTGAAAACATTCTTGGATCGAGTCTGATGGACTCCGCCTGGTACGAGACGGTGATTAGGGCTTGCGGGCTGGAGAAGGACATGGCGCGTCTGCCGCGCCGGGATCAGACGCCAGTTGTCAGCAATGGACTGACCCTGAGTGGGGGGCAGAAACAGCGCATTGTAGGTGATTTACGGCCGGTATCTGCTGATAGAATCGTCACTGATATTGTTTGGTTAGGCGTTGGCGCGAGCACTGTACGCCCGACCTCGAGTTGTGCTGCTCGATGACATTTTCAGTGGCATCGACGCTACCGCCACAGAGAACATTGCGCGCAGCTTGTTCGGAGAAAGCGGGCTGTTCCGTGCCTTCGAGACGACTGTCGTGCTTGCAACGCATTCGGGTATAGTACCTGGAAGCCCGAGAAAGAAAGGACATGTGCCTGTACTGACCGTTCTCTGATATAGGTTTCCTTCTTCAGTTCGCAGACACGGTCGTTGTGCTACGTGAAGGCCGGGTTATCGAAACCGGCCCACTTGACACCCTTAAGCAAAGTAATGACTTCGTGCGCAATCTCAAGGTAACCGTCTCGGAAGTCTTTAGCAGCGAGAGCGACTCCAGCAGCGACTTCGACAAGCTTGAACACGTAGACAAGCACGACACCAACTCAGAAGCTCTCGACTCGGCCGATGAAGACGCCACAGACGATCAAAGCCGCCAGACTGGAGACTTTGCGGTCTACGCTTACTACGCCAGTGCTGCCGGGCGCCTGAATATCGTTTTGTCGCTGGTGTTCGCTTTTATGTGGGCCTTCTGCAATGAATTCTCCAGTAAGTTGATACAGGATGGGCTCTGCATTGTCTCCGGAGGATTCGCTGACATGGATTCGTAGCCGTATGGGTGAATTGGTGGACGGCGGCAAACGAGAAGAGTCCGAACTCGAAAGTGGGCATGTATCTGGGAGTCTATATCTTCTTTGGACTGTCGGGGGCTATCTTGCTGGTTGCCACGTGCTGGTATGCGATATCCCCCATCGACCTGAACCAACTGTCTAATGCGAACAGGATCACCATTGTGACCATAATCTCCCGCTCGGCAATCAAGCTGCACGACAACGTGTTAACCAGCACGTTCCGTGCCTCCTTCCAATTCTTCCACAATGCAGACATCGGCAGCATCACCAACAGGTCAGAACCAGCGCCAGCATGCCTTTGCATTCGGAGCTAACCACCCTCGCACGTAACAGATTCAGCCAAGACATGGACCTGATCGACATGCGCCTCCCTGTCGAAGCACTCAACGTGATCGCAAGTATGTCACTGACCCCTCCAGCCCTATATTGCCTCACTCCTCGCAGTCTAACCCCGAGAACCAGTGCTCTCCACCTGCCTCGTCAAACTCGTGATCCTGGCCATCTTCGCCAAATACCTCGCCGCAGCCATCCCCTTCGCGGCCGCGATCGTCTACATGACCCAGAAATTCTACCTACGGACCTCGCGGCAGCTGCGGTTCCTCGACATCGAAGCCAAGGCCCCATTGTACACGCACTTCCTGGAGCTGGTCAGCGGGGCGGCGACGATCCGCGCGTTCACGTGGCAGCAGCGGTTCGACGCGGCGTGCACGGCGCTGCTGAACACCTCGCAGCGGCCGGTCTACCTGCTGTACTGCGTGCAGCAGTGCCTGGGCTTCGTGCTGGACATCCTAGTGACGATCCTCGCGGTGATCCTCGTCGCGACCGTGGTCTTTTTACGGGAAAGGTTCGACCCCGGCGAAGTCGGCGTCGCCCTGGTCATCGTCATGACCTTCAACCAGACGCTGATGCTGCTGGTCAAATACTGGACGCAGATGGAGACCTCGATCGGGGCGGTGTCGCGCGTCAAGGCCTACGCCGCCACCACCGAGCCCGAGGAGCGTCACCCGGAGCTCCTGCCGGCATTGCCGGTGCAGTGGCCGCACGCCGGGGCGATCCAGCTGCGGGATGTGGTGGCTAGCCATTCGTGCGTCACCCAGTCCTCAGCGAACATCAGGAGTATGATTGCTAACGCGACCTACAGACGGGACTCCACCCCGGTGCTCAGGGGCATCACGATGTCCGTGCGCGCCGGCGAGAAGGTGGCCATCTGCGGCCCCTCGGGCAGCGGGAAGACGAGCCTCATCCTGGCGCTGCTGCGCATGGTCGAGATCCAGGAGGGCTCCGTCAGCATCGACGGCCACGACCTCGTCGCGTACCCGCGGGAGGAGATCCGCGCGAACCTGACCGTGATCACGCAGGAGCCGTTCCTGATGACGGGCACCGTGCGTTTCAACATCGACCCGTTCGGCGGCGCCGCGGACGAGGCGATCATCAAGGCCCTGCAGCGGCTGCGGCTGTGGGAGCGCATCGAAAAGGAGGGCGGGCTGGAGATGGCGATGAAGCCGACCTCGTGGTCGTTGGGCCAGCGGCAGCTGCTGTGTCTGGCGCGCGCGATGGTGCGGAAGAGTAAGGTGTTGATCCTCGATGAGGCGACGAGCAGGTATGTTTCTCCCCTCAGGGTTTGTTTTATGGGTGCTTGGGGCTGAACCGTGTCTGCAGTGTGGATCACGAGACGGAGGATATTATGCAGGAGGTCATCGAGACAGAGTTTGCGTCCCACACGGTGCTGGCGGTGATGCATCGCCTGCGGCTGATCCATCGGTATGATCGCGTCGCGGTCTTGAATGCCGGTGCGTTGGTGGAGCTGGATAGCCCTGCTGCTCTGTTGGGTCGTGATTCTCTGTTTCGCCAGCTCTACCAGTCCGGAAACGGGGGTTCAAGTCATTGATGCGGAGGGGTGATGATAGATAAAACTATACATGAAGTCATGATACTATACAGAGAAGATTAATACTACACACATTCGGGCCATACAACCCCACTCCTCGTCCCAAGCACAGATCGCATCAGATACCTCCTTACTCCTCTCCCTGCAGGGTATACTGCTTCAACTCCTCCGAATAATCATACCGATATTTGGAAAGCTTCATCCCCGGCGGACACGAAACCAGCTTCTCCAGAGCCTCGACCACCTGCCGCGCCCAATTGATCTCCGTCCCCAGCTCCCTTGCCAGCATATTACACCGCACCATAATCTGCCAGCAGCGGTGCAGATACCGTCGCAGCTGCGTGCGGTTCCGCTCGTGGAGCGGATCATGCGGCACGGGCAGTCGCGATCGGGGCTCATTGCCCTCGCGCAATGTAGTCATCTCCGCCACCCAGTCGTCGGGCACGCCGCGCTCGCGGAGATAGGCCTCAACACGCGCCGTATCCTCTTCACTCGGACGGAAACCCGCCGTGTCGGACGCAAGGAACAGCGTGAAGGGCAGCTCGCCGTACGTGAAGCAATCTCCCTCCTTGGCCTCGCCCACAATTGCCAGCAACGCGTCCACGGAGACACCCTCGTCCTGCTCCCAGAGCCGCTTCAGTCGGGCCCGCCGCCCCTCTTCATCCTTCGCGCGACACTCGTCATAGAACGGATCCTCGAAGAGCGGAACTTCCGGGTCCTCGATGCGCACCCGGCTGGCGTAGTCGAACCGCGGCGCCAGTCCCAGGAACTGGCGGTGCGGGTACCGCGACATCTCGGTCGCCTTCGAGGCATCCGTCCACTCGTGGGCCGGGCGCTGGTACATCCTCGTGGCGCGGTAGTCGGGCACATAGCCCCTGCTCCCGTCCGCATACCTTGACGCTGAAGACGAGGAGTGTAACTCCGGGAAGCAGGAGAAGGTATTCAGAACGAGATACATCTCCAGCGCGGCGTCGAAGACCGGGCCCCACCCGTGATCGAACGCAGCCTGGCCGCAGGTCAGAACCCACAGATATCAATTGACAAAAGAGAAAGGGATACTCACCAGCGGAACACATATACAGTCCTGCACGCGCATCCACTCCTTCAGCCCGATCTCGGGATGCGCGCACAGCCGGAAGATGATCTCCATCTCCCCGAGCACGAGCAGCGTGCTGACGACCTGTAGGTTGAAGAACCCGTCGCCGTTGACCTCTGCGAATTGGAAACAGCCGTTCCATTGGTACGGGCGCAGAAACGCGGCGGCGCGGCGTTCGGTGTAGGGAAGCGGACAGCCGCAGGCGAAGTCGGTGGTGCTGTCGACATGTTGGCATAGCTGTTGCGTCTTTTGGATGTGCTCTCGCGACTCGGCCGACCTGGAGTGGTGCCAGGGAAAGGCGAGGGGGTGGATGCGCGCGGCTAGGCGGTCGTCGAGGAGGAGCTCGTCGCGCGCCGGGGGGAGGTATTTTGGGGCGTATCGGCGACGCGCGGCGGTTGTGTCTTCGTTGAGTGCCCGGGCGAAGGAGGTGGCGAAGTGGCCCAGGTCTTGGGCTTGGGTTGGCAGGAAGCGGAAGTAGAGGTTGGCGATGGTGGTATCGGGGCTGGTGTGGGTTGGGGCGCGGTGGGTGAGGTGCGAGGTCAGGCTGCGCCAGGGGATGCGGTGGGCGCGGTGGGCGCGGTGGGCCATTGGGGACAGGTCGATCGAAAATTGGAAGACTTGATCGATAGACCTAGCTGTCTGATCTTACCTTATAGTTCAAGGACAAGACCCGGAGCAGATGGCACAGACTACCGAGTCATAGCAAGACCTACGTTTAATCCACTAGCAAACTCATCCTTGTGGTAATGAATTCGCCTTGCCTCTTTCGATCATTTGGCTTGACTTGGTACTGCTACGTCCCTAATGATCAGCCTAGAATAGTCCTAGATCCAATATAAAACCAGGGTAACTGACCGTCGGACTCCGGATGGGGCCAGGGTCTCTCGGAGCTTCCCGGAGCACTGTCCTGCCCGATTCAGCCCGAGCCCCTATTCTAGGGCTTATTGGGGCTGTAGGGAATCATACGGAATCTGACTCATGATCATGGATATCAAATCGAGATGTTCCTAGGTTTGCATAGTTCTGCATTTTGAAAATCAAGAAGGTAGGAGACAAATAACGAAACTGGAAAATTCTTAGGCTCTCTTCACTCCGTAATTTATGACATGTACCGCTTTTTGCCGTTCCCTGACTCCTGCGTACTACCCTCATGTTATGAGATAGTCCCTTAGCCATCCTGCATTACACTAAGAGCGCAGTCCCCTACAACCCGCTAAGCAGCCCTGTCCGGGGAGAATATGAATCCGATGCGGACCGGTCCGTGCGGCTATTGCGGGACAGCCGGAATCAGCTACGGAGGCCATTGAATAGTCGACGGAGGGCCCTTGAACGCGCAGAAAGATTTCAGGTTTGGGAAATGATATAGATATAGAAGCAGCGCTCAAATTCCCTTTTCTTTGAGCTGTCGGCCACTTAGCCCGCAAAAAATCATGAGTCCCCTATACCAACGCTCCCCACCTCAAGCAAACAACTTGAGCCCGCCTGGCACCAACTTCTGAAAGACCCCCTCGGGATCAAACTCGCGACTAACCGCCTGCAGCTGACTCTTGTTCTCGCTGCCATACGACGTAACAGGGTCCTGGGAGCTCCACGCATAGTTCAGGAACTCAAAGGGCACATGTTGGCCGCGGGCGGTCGCCTCGGCCTTGATCTTCGCCAGCGCCGTCTGCATGACGCCCAGCACGGCGGCATCATCACTCGAGTTCTTCCAGTAGCTCAGCAAGAGCAGCGGGACGAGGGGCCCCTCCGTTGCCGTTAAACCCAGCGAGTTCCCGCCCTGCTGCTCCGACTTCTCCAGCAAGGAGGTCGGGTAGGGCTGCAGCGTCAGCGAGCAGATCAGGCCCTCCACCCCGTGGATGGGCCCCAGGGCCGCCATGTAGAGGTCGGCGGCAGCTTTCAGGGTGTTGGCGTCCGCTTCCACGGTCGTGTTGAAGTAGGCGCATCTGCCATTTCATCCGAATTAGCTCTTGCTTGGGCTTGTGGCTAATATCAACATGAACGGAACATAACGCTGCTGATCCATCGCCGCCGAAGCTTGTCCCTGTGCCGCCTGCGACAAAGTCTGCACCCCCACGGAACTAATCAGGGGAGCCTGGGGCTCAATCGCGGTGGAGAACCTCTGCAACACCGCCGGCGGTTGCTGTTGCGTATCCAAAGCCCCCGTATAGCACACCTGATTCATACACATTGCCCCGCCCATCATGGCCGCGTACCCCGTACTAATCATGAAGTGAGTGTCCAGAGCCTCCGCCCCAAGATTCTAGAGTTCCTGCCCGAGCGCCTCGATCTGGGCCGGAAACGAGGCGGGGGAGTAGTAGGTCACACCGGCCCAAAAGGGGTCCTGTGGGAAGGTTGGTAGGTTGAAGCGGGTGACAATCCCGAAGTTGGTGCCCCCACCGCGGAGTGCCTTCCACAGACTCGGGTTGTCCGTGGCATTAGCCTGGACGATGGCGCCTGATGCGAGGACAATCTCGTAGTTGAAGACGTTGTCGCTGATTAGGCCTTCGCGGGAGGAGAAGAAGGACAGGCCGCCTTTGCATTCGATTAGTCTTTGATTTTTTCCTACCGCAATATGTCTTTTTACTTCGCGAAGACTGATGGACCAGGAACAAGACTGATATGAAAAGAGTGGTGGTCACCTGACAACGCCAGCCCTCCAATTCCCCCCTTGGATGAGCGAGCCCCGCAGACCCCAAGGTTCTGACTCGAGAGAGCGTCGTAGACGGTGCATCAGCAAAAAGATATCCATGGGGACATCATGGTGCAACAAACCGTGGCATTGGTCGCAGAATCTTGGCGCATGCGATGATCCCCTCGATACATCTTGAGAGCTGACACCATGTAAACTTCGTTCTTTACTAGTTCCTATTAGCAGGCCGTACACCGTGTCTGGGTGAAGTATCACACTGTACAAACAGACTGCCTCTAGTATTCTCAGGAATCGCGATGGTCTCGTTCTTGGTCTGTATCTCTCGGACAGAAATCGGCTGACAAGCAGCGATGTATCAACCCTCAGAACAAGGTGCCTTCATATATTAGGTATCATTCTAGCTTTTCTCTCTCATCATCCTCGTAGATATGCACGTACTACCGTATCTGCTTGTCCTAGCAGAACGAACAGCGTGGTCCAGGAGGGGATGCGCGCCAGGAGCGCAGAACTGCGCTGACATAAGCAGAATCAGAGCCGATGCCGCCGTGACGTCATTTACTCTCTCCATCACCATATACAGGATTCCATGGGCTTTCCTGGAACTAGTTCAGAGAGGTTATGTGATGCTTCTTGTGGAGGTGGTAAGGTTCTCATGCCTGTCGGTCCATGGACCGCATAGGTATATCCCAGCAAGTGCTGCCGGGAAAGCATGAGGAGAAATCGAGTATCGGGAACTGTAACTAATGGTTTTAGCGAGCGTACAAACTGAACTCTCTGAGACAGCGGAGACTGACAGGAACATCAGATAGTGGAGTATATGAGTAGTATTAATTTGACTTGATACGTTAGTATCAATTGAATAGAAAGGAGCAGAGAACATAACAAAGCCGAATGTGGACGAGGAGGCCGGGCGGTATCCTAAGCTACGGGTCCTGACAGACGTTATAGGCATAGGAGAATCAATGCAAGTAATTGAAATGAAGAGGTTCGTCAAACTGCTAACGATCCATGCGTGCTATCATAATACAAATTCATCATGCGTAAACACAGCCTGTCCCCTACTTCAACTTGGGAACCGCGTGAGCAAACAAGTTCTTAGGATCATGCTTCTCCTTCAGCGCGACCACCTCGTCGGCAAAATGCCCAAACAACTTCTTGATCCGGTCCTCGGCACAGAGCGTCTGAGGCCCCTCACAGTGTAGCGAGACATAGGCGCCGGGAAGCAGGTTCTGCGCCTCGGTGCCGTGCACGCTGGCCAGCATCTCGGAGGCCCACTTCTCGGCATCCTCCTGCATGGCCTCTGCCGTCACACATCCAAGTATCTCCAGCATGAGGTGCGGCTCGCGCGCGGCAAAGACGGAGTCGCTGGTGGCGGCGGCGGACGGGCCGCGCAGCTGGTGCACGGAGAGCATGGTCGCCGGGTCGGCGGGCATCCTTTCAAGGCTGGCGCCAATGGTCTCGGCCAGCTCGGGGGTGATCTGGCGCACGTTGGCGGTGCGGCTGGAGCCGTACACGCTGGTGGGGACCATGGCGCCGTTGCCCCGGAACCAGTCGGGGATGGCGGTGGGGGCGACGGTGTTCATGATGGCGATGCCCAGCGCGGCGATGCGGTCAGCCCAGCGCTTGCCCTCGTCGAGGTCGTCGCCGGTCCAGACGAAGATGGTCCCGAACAGGCGGCCCGGGGGCGCGTTGATGGCGATCTGCTGGACGGCCAGAGCGTCGGGAATGCCTTCGTTCTGGAGGGCCTGGAACGCAGCGTTGAATTCGACAAAGGTCCTTTTGATATCCGAGGATTCGAACATGATGACGCCGGAGAGAAGCTGTCCATCGTTTCTTGTGAGCCTATTTCTCCCACCTACCCATCATCCACGACAACCATGTAGAACTGGGACTGGGGAAAACTCACCTGCTTAGCCTCATAAACCTTGACGCGCACCTCAACAACGACCCCAAACACGCCACCCGCCCCCTTGATCCCCTTCAACAGCTCCGGATCCTCATCGGTGTCCACGACCGTTCCATCCGCCTTGACCACCTTAGCCCCAAGGATCTGATCCACTCCCAGCCCCCAGCGCGGCGCAAACAGCCCGTAGCCGCCGTAGGTACTCCAGCCCACGTACCCGACATCCGGGATCGAGCCCGTGGGGGTGATCAGCCCTTCTTTCCAGAGTGTCTCCCCGAGCTTCCCCTGCAGGATGCCGCCGCCGACGGTGGCAGACTTGCGGTCGGGGGCGATATGCACGGAGTTGAGGGCGCGGAGATCGATGAGGAGGGCGTCGTGCTGAATGGCTTTGCCTTCGATGTTGTGGCCGCCGGTGCGGACGCTGAAGGGGAGGCCCTGGTCGTGGAGGAACCGGACGAGGGCGGCGACATCGTGGGCGGATTGGGGTTGGAGGACGGCGAGCGGGGTGCAACTCTTGCTGCGGCCCACGTTCCACACGCGGGTGGTGTCCGAGAACGAGGCGGAGTCGCGCCCGATGTATCCTATGCTGGTATGTTTGAGGAGAAGGGGATCGAGGGTGTTTTTGAGGTCTGTCATTTTGACTGTGATCGAGATGGATGGGATGGAATGTCTTGTGGGAGGAAGGGAGGAGGGAAAAGTGAGAAGGGGAAGAGAAGAAAGCTATTATAAAGGCGTTGTTCGGTGGTGGTGGTGGGAACGAAAGGCTTACTTACCCCTCGGCGGGGTAAAGCTGTTGTGTTACACAATTCAATAGTGGAACTGGAATGCGGGCAGTGTTTCTTTGTTTGTCTGGATCGACGGTGAATGGAAGATGGGTCGATGGGTCGATGGGTCTGACAGGCCGGAACTGAGTGGATATGTGGATATGTGGATCACTTACGATAGTCCAGGCCCCTGTCAACTGGCAACTGGTTAACCAGGTGAATTCTAGCGGGGTAGCTGCTGAATGACAATCCCACCCAATCTTACAACCAGACAGACAGTGTCAGATAATTTCAACCTGAGTTGATCAGGCCCATTCTCCATCTGAAGTCAAAAGCTAAGATAGAATTATCGCATGCAGGCCAATGCTTGATGGAATGGCTTGTCTGAACTCTGAACAGCATGACTCGTCACCCCGCCACATTCCCAGCGCATTCTTAGAATTCCAACCCGCTTGTCTTGTGTCTGAGTGCAACTAACCTGAAACTTTTGTTTTATCTAATAATTTCAGAACAACTCACATACTAGCGTGGAGAATGCATTTGGCCCCCAGCCGGAAGCCCCGGGTAGAGCCTGAGCAATGCAATCTCACCCTCTCACCCTCTCATCTCACGCTCCGATTCCGACCCTGCATAGACTAGTTAGGGTTCAGCCTGCCCTTCACTAAACTCCTAACCCCGGAGCACAGTGCAAGCTATGCTGACATGCGTCGCCTCGCTGCATGAATCTCACCATCTAGTCGCGCAGTTGAATGGGACATCACTCGGAACACCGCGTGCATTCACTCGAATCATGTACAGAGCACGCATACAGTACAATACATCCCAAACCTACGACCGTTCCCACCCCTGTAAAGCATGAATAACCCACCTCCCCAATCCTTAAACTAACGGAAAGAACTGATTAAACCGATTCTTGGGATCATAGACCCGCTTCAACGACCGCAACCTCTCGACATTATCCCCATAGATATCCTCGAGGCTCTCGTCCCCGAACGCGAAATTGATATACCTATCCCGCAGGAAAGGCCCAGTCAGCACACCTTGCATCAAGCACGCTACTCACACACGCACCCTCCCCAACCAGCCATCGCAGATCCAGAAACAGAGAACAAAACTCACGTAGCATTCCCACTCAGCCCACTCGTCGCGCGCCACGCCGCACGCACATCCCCCGCCCACTGCCTCGCCGCCGCATCCAGCGCGGGGTCCTGATACCACGCGATGGCGACGGTATTGAACCGACTGGATGCGCGCCACGCGTACGCCGAGCTGTCCGCGGCGACCGCACGCGCGCGGTCCAGACTGTACGCCTCCATCAGGACGGTCGAGTTCCCCACCTGCTCGCCGCCGTGCATCTCCACCCACCGCGTGAACGAGGTCCAGATCGCGCGCCACGCGGCCGGGTCGAGGGTCTGCTGCGCGGACCCCAGACTGACCTTGCGGCCGCCGGCGGCGCAGAACGAGGCGCTGCCCGCGTTGACCTGGTCGTAGGGCGTCCAGGCGGTCGTGTCGGAGAGCGGGCCCAGCGCGAGGATCGTGGCGAACGCGGCCCGGGCTTCCGCGGTGGTGGTGTTGGCCCCCGCGCGGGCGAGGTAAAACGGGAACGCGATGACGGCCGGCGTGTAGTCCGGAGCCCCCGTGGTGGCGAAGTAGAGGAAGACGGCCATCTGCGAGGTCAGCGGGAGGGCGTTGATGGCCCCGACCAACGCTTCGAGCTTGTCCGCGCTGAAGACCAGGCTGCCCAGCCACGCGTGGTTCTCCGCGCGCGCCGTGGGATACGACCGGAAGATCGCCGAGGTGACCACCCCGAAGTTGGCGCCCGCGCCGCGCAGCGCCCACCACAGGTCCGGGTGCGAGCTCGCCGTCACGGTGGTCCGCGCCCCTGTTGCTAGCACCACGTTTAGGGACACCACGTTGTCGATCATGTACCCCCGTTCCCCCATCATGCGGCTGTACCCGCCCCCGAGCAGCGCGCCCATCACCCCGACGCAGTCGCAGTTCGCGGTCACGACCTGCGCGTCGTGCGCGTAGGCGGCGGTCAGGAGCTCGGAAATCAGCGCGCCGCCTTGCACGGTGACGGTCGTGCGGTTCGGGGAGAAGGTGATGGCGTTGAGGGCGCGGAGGTTGATGAGGATGGAAGGAGTGGTGCTGGCTGTCGTGTTAGTCAGGGTCCAGGTCGTGCTCCAGGCGTTGCCGCCGCCTTGGGCGAGGAAGGGGATGTCGTGGGCGTTGGCGCAGAAGACCTGTGTTTGTGGTACGGGGTCAGTCAGATGCTATAAGACTGGGAAACAGGGACGGGTGATGGTACAGTGGCTTGCACGTCCGCTTCTGTCGCCACGTTGACGACGCGGTCCGTCACGGGCTCGTCATACTCCGTCCATCGCGGGGCGACGACCGTCGACGCGGCATTAAGGATCGTGGCCTTGGACGAGAGAAGGGGTCGCAAGCACGTCTCAAACGCGGTGTACTTTGTGGAAGCCTCGACCACAGCCGGACCTGCCAGGGCAGCAACCCCCAAAGTTGATAGAACCCTCATCTCAGTGTTTCACCCCGCGAGACCACACAGGTTAATGATAAAAACGCGAAGGGACATGAACCATAGAGGAGGTAATTTCTAGTAAACACCACCCAGCAACATGCCATCCCGCATTTAATATACTTCTGGGACCGAGCGACGGGTTCATCCCGTTCCGTCAAGCGGGGCGGGAGGGGGGAAGCAGCATGTGGGTAGATTGGGCACCGCACCATCGGACTCAGCTGTATACTGCTGTCGGAGACTTCCCTTGGTCTGCGCGGAAACTGACCAAGACTTCCAATTTTATGCTTTCAACCACGCGACGACAAGGCGCAGGTGGATGCTTCGCGTCCGATCTTTTCATCCCACTCCGACTCCGACTGCTGTGGGGGGTTGTCAATCTGTATCGTCAACCCTCGGTTTGGAGTTCCGGGGCGGTGGTTCGCGGAAATGAATCAGTCATGGTGCACTGGATTGGCTGCCATACTGGAGACGCTACCGGCTTAGTTCGTTGTCGACATGATTACGAGGAAGAGATCCCGTTTGCGGAATCTGAAGCGGTTGCAATGCGCTAGATGACGGAGGACTGCAGCTCCCGGATAACCCGGACGGGACACATGGCCGCCTCGTGCGCGGCAGGGCCTGTCGAACGCCGGCGCGTCGTGAAGAAACGAGCGCCCATGCGGTGGCGTCCCAAGCCACTGCAGACATCCTTCTAGTTTCCTATGGCACTGAGGGCCGACTTCAAATTGATTGAGGGGGGGAGCGGGGGTCCAATGCTTGGTAATCATTTGTCGCCGATGCGAGTTGACTAGTAGTTGACTATCAAGAATGCTAGCTGGGATTGTGATCATACGAACCAGGAACGAGGCGTGTTGCAGGATTCTCGACTAGTTCCAGAAGCTACAGGAACACGTGGAAACCCTTGGTGGTCTGAGCCACTAGCTTGTATGGGGACTCGTGTTCAGTAATCCAGGTGCATTCTTTTCGGCCCCAGGTTTATTTCTTTTGTCTTTTGTCTTTTTGCTCATTCCCGGTGGTGGGTCTGGGGCTCTGTGCGGCATGCGCGCATGGGGCACAAGTTTAAGCTATTGGTGAGTAGGGTGGAGGTATGATTCGAGTTGGAAAGCTCAATGGGATCACTTGCAGTTCCTGGAGGACACGCTAGTGGATTGAGCAGGCTAAAAGCCATGTGGTGGGTCTCAAGGGCTCATAGGGAGATCTCTTGCACTCGAACTTACTACCAGAGCAAATCGGGAAATGACTATCTTTATGCTCCTCACACATGCAGCAAATACTGTAAATCAAGCAATAGCGGAAGAACCTACCAACCCGAGTCGCGCATAGACGCCAGACAGCTGGCGCTTCATACACATATCATCTAGGGCAATGTACAGATTCACTATGGATTAAGAAACTAGGGCAGAAACTAAGGGGGAAAAAACATTATCCAGCTACTCATACCAGCATACAATTCATGGGAGAAACCACAAGAGCTTTACTTGGCAATTGCAATATCTGTTTTGAAAGCCTCGACGTCGGTCCAGGTCGTACTGTGCTCGACGACGATGACCCCATCGGTCGGGTGCGGACGTTCGTGGGAGGAGGTGCGCTGGATCTGAATCTGCACACTGGCCGGGGGCCCACTCCGGTCACTCAGCACAGGGACCTCCAGCTCATCGACGGTGTCCGTGGGGCGACCGTACCGCGCCTGGCGGGAGGGGATGTGATCGTGATACTCGTGGGTTAGCTTGAAGGTGTGGCCGGTGGGAACGCCGCCGCGACTGCGGTAGAAGAAGAGCGGGCGCAGGGTGGGCAGACAGGCGCTGATGATGGCGAGGGCCAGCTCGACGACGGTCCAGATGAAGACGCCGGAGGTGTAGTAGGTCTCGTTGTTGTAGTGGGTGAGGAGGACGCGCTCGCACTCGATGAAGGCGGCCAGGCGAGCGATGCTGGAGGCGACGGCCAGCGCGCCCAGCAGGAACATCCCCAGCACCGCTGCCTTCTGTCGCGCCTCCAGCTTGACGCGCAGCACCATCGGGATTGGCAGCAGCAGCACGCACACGTCCAGCACCATGTCCGACCCGCTCAGCCCGTTGTAGAACACCATTGTGTTGATGCACTTGTTGCCGTAGAAACCCTCCACCAGCGCCGTCACCGGGTAGCACTGGAACAGGCACACGAAGAACATCACCGCCGTCCACGCAATGACCAGGCCCAGGAACCCCTGGCACACCCGCCGGAACGTCCGTGTGTGGAAGATGCGCATATACAGCAGGATCACCGACGCTTTACTGAGCCCCACGCCCATCACGGATAGCATATGCAGCGCGAATTTGGCCTGTCCGTGCGGTTAGAGTGGCTTCCAGCTTCTCCCGCAACGTGGAGGCATATACACACCCGTTCGTAGGTTAGAAACCGTGGGTCGTCCAGGATGGGCTCCCCATTGGGATAGGTTGCCTGGGTTTGGCCCAGTTGTCCATCGATGGCTCCGATCAGTTGACAGATACAGACTGCGGTGCAGAATAACTACAGTGCGGTCAGTTACCCAGGCTTTTGCGACCGATGGAACAACTCGCAGGGTGTGTCCGGATCCTACCAAGGCGGCGAAGATAGTGTAGTCGTCCGAGCCCATTCGAGCGCCACAGAGGCGCCGAGCCCAGACGCGTAACCCCACGAAGATGGCGGGTAGGAACATCAAGATGAAGCCTAAGGCTATCATCTCCCCCTTGTTGTAGCCCATGCGGGCGGCAGTTCAACCAGCGTTGCCAGAGTACGGACCGACAACGCGAGAAACAAGCTTTGAGGGAGAGGGAAGAGGAGAATTGAGGGGGAATGTCGAGCAGATACATGATGATACTCGCTGCTAATCCCTCCTTTGCGTGTTAAGTCAGGAAGAGGCTAGGACGAGCGCTATCCCTCCCCGTCCCCGTCCCCCTCCCCCTTCCCCTTCCCCTCTCTGGTCCAATGTCAGCATGCTCGGTATGCGCTTGCATGTTTGTTTAGCTGGGGATGCCAATCGCAGGCGGGCAGGGTTTATCGGTCGGATAAGCGTGGGACAGTAAGCCAGTGAGCGAGTCAGCATGGAGGTCCGATCGAATGGTTGTTGGTCCTCGGACAAATCAATAATGGCTGTGGCCGGGTTTAGTCCCTTGCTTGGGTGCTTGCCTGCCTGCGAGCCTGCATCTCACACACGGGATGGAACAAGGCTATGGGCTGGTGACCCTGTTGTGAATCATGACCATAATACCCAGATTATGATAGGAGTGAGAGAAGGCCAGCAGTTACTCAGTAAAAGGGTTGTAGTTATTTGGGGGCCAGCGCTCTGACTGTTTGGGCCCTCCTCCTCCTCCCCTCCCGGCCCGCAGCCCTTCCCGCTTTCCCTTCCCTACACGGTGGTCCAAGTTAGGGCTGGTTGATCACAGCCTCTCGATTAGTCTACTCGACATATATCCTATAAATCCAGGCGGAACTGACTTTAAGGTTGATTCCTGAGATGTTCTTTCTACGCTGACCGTCAATTTGGGACCGTCTGGAAGTTGGAGCAGCACCCCTCGACTGGCGGCTTAGGAAACAAACCAGACAGAACGTGTCCGGCCTGACGCCAAGGCTCAGCAACAGGCTGGGAGCACAACACAACACACCACACTCCCATCATGGATGCATGAGGCCATGCAGTCATCTTTTAGCCTAGGAAATCCTGCCACTCGATTGGTTGGGCCGGCTGACCCAGCGCACGAGGGATGATGTTCACCCTCTCCCCTTTCGGGGTTCCCCTTCGGGGTTCCCCTTCGGTAAAGTCACTGCAGAAGAGTGGAGTCCGTAGCGTCGGACATTCATGGGCAATTGAATTGCACAGCCTCGTTGCTCTATTGCTTGATTATTGATTTGTTACATGAGAAGGGAGTAGAGTACATAGGATTGATTATGATGAGTATGATGAGTTTGATGAGTACTACCAAGTATGTTGTATGTTAGTAGGATTGTCCTTGCGTGCCTGTTCCCACCCCAGAGTCTGAGTTATCTCTTTTGTTTTTCTCACCACGAACAACCATGGCATTTCAGCCTTGGCCCAGCCCGCCGCCCGCCAACGATTTACCCGCTTGGCCTAACCGCAGTGAGACAATCATGCAGATGGGGAAATCATCTGATCCCCGGCTATCACCGACCCAACTGCCGTAGCCCGCCCATCCATTCCTTCTTTCCTTCTTACTCGTACTTACTCAGTCATGGCATCCCCAACAACACCAACACAGCCAAGTCCGTCTTCTTCTTCACTTCCGCTGACATAACCCTATACCGAGATTCTCACACGGCCTGCCTCAAAATAAAAAGAAGGAAAAAAAAAAAAGTAAGCCAAGCCAAAGAAACCGTTACGATGAGGAATTTCCGGCCCCCACTGCAACGATGTGAAGAGAAGTGGGAACCTCACCCACCCACCCAGCCCACTGCACACGCGACTAATCACTCACCGAAACGTGAGTAATCTTCACACAAGATCCACGCTACGGACTACTCGGCAGTTGCGGACGACGAATGATGCCACCACGACGCCTGGATGACGGAGAGATTCGAGCCCGCCGGTTTGGTGACGCCTCCCCACCGGAAGCGGGGGTCGGCCTGCGCGAACAGCGCCTGCCAGTCGGCTGCGTCGCGTTCGCGGGAATTGAACAGGCTGAGCATGTTCATGTCCATTGTTCTGGAAGGAGACTGTCAGCTACATCGCCCATGGTCACGGTTGAGAGCAGGGGCTTAGTGAGAAAACATACCGAATCTGCTTCTCCTCCAACAACCCCACCGACCCGGGTTCAGGCAAGCAGAACTCGTTCAGCACCACCCGCCCCCCGTCCCGCAGCGCGGGCACCAGTCCGCGCAGGATGCGCACGCAGTCCGCGTCCCCGAAATCATGCAACACCATGCGCAGGAGGTACACGTCCGCCCCGTGGACGGGCTGGTCGGTGAAGAAGTCGTGCGCCATGAATTGCACCCGACTGTGTTCCCCTGGTGGAGTCGCGACGGGCGCCTGGGCGATGGTGGGCGCTGTGTCCTGAACCACGAACCGTAGGCCCGGAAATGCCTGCGCGAGGGCCAGCGAGACGTACCCTGTCGAGCCCCCGACATCGACAACAACGCCTTCGCTGCTGCTGCTGCTGCTGCCGCCGCCATCGCATATCGACGACCAGTCGTAGCCGTCGCGGAGGTGGCTCACGTCATTCTCGGGGCCGGTGCTGTAGGTCGACATGGCTGAGGCGAAGACCCGCGCGCGGTCGGGCTGGCTGGTCAGATATTGGAAGAAGGTGGGATGGGCCGGGGGCTGCGAGAGGGAGAAGCCCGTTTGGGCGGGATCGGTGGCGTTGGGCCATCTGCGCAAGGCGGTTGGGGTCTGTTTCACGTCGAGAATCGCGATGTCAGATGTCCGAGATGATTACTGAACAGATCTGCAGGGGCCGTGCAGGGGCGACAGGGGGCAGGGGGCAGGGGGCAGGGGGTGCAAGGGGAGTGCTATGCAGACCTCTTTCATCGCGGGAAGCATCTCTGTATAGTGAACGTCGATGTAATCGCGCATCACCTGGTCCTCCGCCAGCATCCGCGACGCGGCCGTGTGCCTCACGACCCCCTGCGGCTCCTCGCGGAAGATCCCCTCGGTCGCAGCATGGCGGATGATTCGACGAACTTTCTGCTCCGGGAGTCCACAGGTGGTCGCGATCTCGGCGAACGTGGCCGTCTCGCCAACAGGGAAGGAACGAGCGAGGTCGAATTCAGAGACCGCGCGGATGGTGCCTAGATTGTTCCTCTTTGATGGCAGGGAGGAGGGTTGAGGTTAGTCACATGACAAGGGACCTCCCGCGGATATAGAATCCGTCGCCGAAGTAGTGGAAGGGAGCAAGACTCACTGCCCACAGAAACAGACTCTCCTTGGGGCCTAGTAACAGCTGCTGCAATTGGAGGGTGGCGTCTAGCACTTGCTGTCGGAGCTGCTGCACCTCGACCGGAAAGTCGAGGGGCGAGTCGATCTCGTAGGACGGTAGCGGTCGCTGGAGGTCGGTATAGATCTGGGTGATGCGGTCGAGGTTGGACGCAATTGACCGGCCGAGGTCGGCAAAATTTGCATCCGAGGTCGGACGGGACGGCATGGTTGCTGTAGAGTCGTCTGACGATAATGTCACACCGTATGCAAGAGGATGAACGGGGTCAATCAATCGAGTCGATGTCGCTGTCCGTGGAGTGGAGACCGAGTCACCGACGGCGTTGTCGTGGTCCACGAGGTGACAGGGATCATATACTATGTAAAGTACTATGTAAGTTTATGGCGTTTGTGATGCCATTGAGTGATGCCCAATTACCTCCGCGCTTCCGTGGAGTCGCACCGCCAATTCTGCCCAGTGAAGCTGTGGAGATTACGCACCGCTGGAAGTCATCTCGTGGCCGGCCATGTGCTGGTCGGGTTGACCACATTCGACCCACGCTAGAGCCGGGATACGAGACTCAGTCCCTTGCAGCAGCACGAGTGGGATCTTGGCGGGCTGTCCCAGGCCTCGCTACGAGGTACTCGCTCCTAGGACTCCATGGCAGTAACTACTAATGCGACACGAGCGAGAAGAATGGATGGGTGAAGCTGTGTATTCTTGTGCTGTGGGCAACTTGTTCAGACGCCGAAATGAAGTGCTCCTGTCCAGAATACCCCACTTACCACCCCGGCCAGGTGGCACTGAGAATCCCTGCTGAAGAATGTGGAGATTGGTGCGCAGTCAGACTAGCAGGGCGATTGAACTGTTCAGCTCCCTCTGAGTGCACTATAATATAATAAAGTTAATTAAATGTGGCTGCTGGTCCCCACCCAACGCCTGTCCCACCCACAATATCCTCCGAGAGGAAAAGAAAACCCCTCTCTTCCAAGAAGATAATTACCTGCTGCCTAAGGCTGGGGATGTCGTTTCCACAGCTTTACCGCATCAATACGCGACCGATACCCTTGCATGTGAGAAAGGTGGCGTGGCGTGGTGTGGTGTGGTGTTTTTGTCTCTTCACCAGAGCCCCGGCTATGTCATCCACACCGAGGGGGGACGGCCATGAGGGCTCAGTGAATAGAGGCGCTTCCTCTTTCTCCCACACATGGCAATGAGCATGCACCATGAGGAAGGGCGACCAACGGTATCAACTCGCTCCAACGGAGGAGGACAAAGACCTCAATGACCATGAGGCCCTGTCCGAGACCGCGGGGGAACGCGCGACCACCAGCCCGCCCCAGCGCACCCGGCTGCGGATACACTACAGCATCATCACGGTCGCATACACGCTGCTCATCCCCCTCTACCTCCTCCTTCTGACCCACAACCCGCTCGCCCTCGACAGACTCATCACCACCATCAAGACCACTGCCCCCAACAACGCCATCTTCCCTTCCCTCCGCGCCGCCAACGCCGTAGGCTACGAAACCCGCCCGTGGCCCGTCCGCCTCCACAACAACCCGTTCGCCGGCAAACCGCGCCCGGAGCTCGAGGCCGCCTGGCACACGCTATTCGAGAAGAACAACATCCGCGTCACCGAGGAGGACCTCGCCTTCTACAACGCCACCTCCCTCCCGATCGTCGGGGCCGCAGGCGAAGGCGCAGGTGCGGGGGAGTTCGTCGGCCAGCTGGGGGTGTTCCACGAACTACACTGCCTCAAGCGCGTCCGCCACTGGATCTACCGCGACCATTATCTGGCGGACGTCCCCGAGGCGGTGCTGGTGGAGGAGGAGGCGCACGTCGACCACTGCATCGAGTTGCTCCGGGAGGCGAGTCTGTGTCGGGCAGACGTGACGCTGAGTGGGTTCCGGTGGATTAAGGCCGATCCCGAGGGCAAGAGGAGGGAGCTGACGGTCGAGGCGAAGGGAAATCATGTCTGCGTTGACTGGGAGCGATTGCGCGCGTGGAACGATGCCCGGGCGGTGGATGCGTGGGAGCCCGGGGTTCTGGGCGGTGCTTAGATCAATGATTTTTACTCGATGTAGATGGCAGATGGTTTAGATTTATGAAGATCATGACTCGCTGAGTAGCTATACACGCTGCAGCAATGCTAGGAAGGATCATTCGACCAGTTTGCCTCCGCCCACGCCTTCACGCTTTCGTAGTCCCGGCACGTCCGACTATACCCCCACCCCGTCACCCCCTGGAGCTCCTTGTCCACGGGCTCGAGGTTCGTGTCAGCCGCGCACATCAGACTCTGGCGCAGGTAGTCGAAGCAGTGCCGGACGTGGTGTGGGTCCTTCATGTGGTCGTGCTCGTCCGCCGCATGGGACAGCTGCCCGTCCATGGCGGCGTAGTAGACCTCGCGCAGGGCATTGAGACAGTGCAGCGCGTGGAAGACGACCAACCCGGACAGCTCGGGTGCCAGGGTTGGGTGTTTGACGAAACCGACTCCCTTGGGGAAGAGGGAGGCCCACGCCGCGTCGGTCTCAGGCGAAGGGTGCTGCGAGAAGGTGCTGTTGTATTCCATGCGGATCTGGATCTCGCCGTCGGGGACTATTTTCATTGAGGGAAAAGAGGGTGTTAGGGTTAAGTCTGTTGCGATGAAAAGGCGGGGAAATCGTACTCAACAATCCCTCGCGCTTCCTGGTCGGAATGCCCTTTCCAATGGATACTCCGAGGCCGAAAAGTATCACGGCAACCAGCAATCCCAGAAGCATCCAGCCGCACAGGATGAGCGTTGATCGCGGGCTTGCCTTGCGGTGTCGGGGCGGTGCGGGCTCATGGTGGTAGTTCTCTTCCTCTGCCCCGCCCATCAAGGGCTCATGGGGCTTGGAGGGGAGTTCGAAGGACATGCTGGTCAACCCGCGCAATGGAAGAGGGAGAGAAATCAAATTGAAGGTTAGAGAAGAACCTTTTTTTTTTTTTTTCATTTTCTTCTTCCTTCTCTTATCCTACCTATCATACGATAAGAGCGAATCCGGCGTGCCGGTAGATGCAGGGCCAGAGGTGCATAAACAATCCTAGACCGAGATCCTTGTTCTGCGGTACAGTAACATTTCCATTCCCCTCTCTCCTCAATTGGAACGGTGGCTGAGTTGACAAGACGGGATAGCCGGATTACTCTACAAAGTACTATACCTGTACTGTACCTGTACTCTACCTCGGTCAGAGCGTGAAAAAGGGACAAAATCATTAGAAAAAAAAAATAAAAGGGAAAACACACTCCATACATACTGTACATATATACATAATACAAACATACATACATACATACATCCATCCATCCATCCATACATACCAACTGTCCTCGACTCCTCGTAGCCCGCCCCACCAACCCTCCTCATGCCGCGCTCTGCCCAGACAGACGGACAGACAGACACAACAACACAAAGAATAGAGATCACTGCAAGGCAGCAAGAGGCGATTGGGGGCGGAGGAACCCCGTTCCACTCCCGGTCGGAATTCAGAGGACAAAAAGAACCAATTGGATTACATACCTTGCCAAGAGAAACACCATGACGCCATGTACGTATTTCGCTTTCCCTCGTGTTTCTCTTAACTGGGCAATGGCTGTCAGTGTGTCTGTCTGGCCTTGCTTGCTCGCGCGCGTGGCAGCAGGAAAACCTCTTTGTCGCCCGCCCAGGCTGATGGGTAAACTGGTTCATTCCCTTGGTCCCCATTTTCGTCTGTTTTAATCTACTTAATTTTCTTGGACTGAATGGTTGGCTGTTACGTTCTCGGCCATTCACCTTAACTAAGGCATTGTTTCCCATCCATGATTTCCATTGATTCTGCCCTCCCCACCCCTCTTTTTGATAAATGTGCAACTCCTGGCTGTGATCCGCCGGATTCCGCTGTTTCGACATCGTTGTGCCCTGTCCTTTTCTCTTCTGTCACCTGTCAGTCCTTTTAGCGACCGTTGCGGAAAGTCAAATATCAGCGTGAAAATTCGTCTGGGGTTGTTTTGCTTTGCAACTCTTTCATTGACCATTGTCCTGCTCGATTACTGTATTTTGGTTCTCCTTTTCACACGGCACCCACCCAATCGACTTCCAACTCCTCCATTGGCAATTATACCACTCATCATGCATTTCACCACCGTGCTTTACTACGGCCTGGCCGCGTTGGCCCTCACCCATGCTGCTCCAATCCTCGGAGGTTAGTTGCTCTGTTGCTTGGTCATTGACCGGTAGACTAACATACAGATGCCCGTGTAGACTCCTCCAGACGCGAAGTAGCCGATGGGGATGACCAGGTCGCCTATACTTGGGCCGTACCGGAGAGTCGCAAACGAGAAGACGGGGACGATAAGGTAGCCTATACCTGGGCCGTACCGGAGACTCGGAAGAGGGAAGATGGTGACGACAAAGTCGCATATACCTGGGCCGTGCCGGAGACTCGGAAGCGTGCAGATGGTGATGACAAGGTAGCCTATACCTGGGCCGTGCCGGAGAGTCGCAAGCGAGAGGATGGTGACGACAAAGTGGCCTACACCTGGGCCGTACCGGAGAGTCGCAAGCGGGAAGACGGCGACGATAAGGTAGCCTATACCTGGGCTGTGCCTGAATAAAAGAAAGCGAAGCCCTCCAAAACTGAAATGAATTCTTCGACCCTGCCGAGGCGGACCGCAGCAGCTTTCGGCATATGTTCCACGATGTGATGAATCCTCCTGTCTCTAAACTGAACCCGAGTTTAGTATGTTGATAATGATGTTCTATATACTTTGTTTATTGTCGCGCCTTCGATTCTTGTGCAACTTAGATCGTTGTATCGTTATGAGATCATAGAACTAAATTTGCCTTTTGCGAAAAGAGTGCGGTGTTGGGGTCTGGTGGAGTGCAGTACCATGTATGAAGTGAATAAGACCCACAGCTTCACTATGTATCAGAAATGGCTCTGTGCGTGGCTATAGTATAGCATTGCGGTCTTGCTTGGCTATCCGGCCCTCTCCGTTCTGTAGGTATACATGAGCATGGATTAGTAGATTGGTCCCGATGCAAAACCAGCATCTTCAATGTAAGAATCCCATGCAGCCTAAGACCGATTAGCAGATGGCTTCACCGCTAGTGACGGAGAAACATACCCAATCAATCTCCACGGTGGCTAATTCCTTCTCGAACGTGAAATTATCGACGACCGGCATCTGGGACGGAGGGCCCCACAACCCCAGGCCAGATGCATGATCGGCCGACGCCGCCTCAACACCACCACCACCACCACCAACGCTATCACCAACACTATCACCAACACTAACACCGCCTTGCGCACCGGGGCAATTGCGAACACCCTCCAGCATCCCAGCAAGGACCTGCCACTGCCTCCCAGCCTCGTCGCAGGAATTCTGATTCACCTCCCACAGCGCCACCGACGTTTCCAGGTCCTGTAGTAGATCCGGCTGCTCGACCGCCTCCTCCGCCCCGGGGAAATTGCGGATCAGCTCCAGCTCGAGGAAGACCACCATCGCCGCAAAGGTGAGCGTCTGCCGCGTGTGCGCGAACCGGTACCACTGCTCGGACAGATCGCGCTGGGCGGCCAACAGCGCGCGGGCGGAGGCGAGGCACCGATCCCGCGACAATCGGTAGTGCGGGTTCGTCTTGGCCGGGACCAGGAACCGACGGTGCAGGGTGCACATCGCCCGGTGGTAGATGGCCCCCAGTCCGATCTGTGCGTAGGAAAGGCGGAGCTGCTCCTGAAGCTGCGGCGGAGCTGCTGCTGCTGCTCTTGCTGGCGGTGGCTGCATGTGCGGAGGGAAGCTGTCGTAGGCTTCGGATAGAATGCGGTCGGTCGCGAGGACATCCGCGTAGTTGCTTGGGGTAGGGTTGCACGTGAGGTCTGCGACGCGGCCGAGGGCGTGGCATAGACGGCCCTTGACGATGAGGTAGGTCACCGGGGTGGGTTCGGTTAATGGTCGGGTGGGAGGAAGATCCATGGCAGCATTGGCGGGGAGCTCCCAGTCGTGCAGATTGCGTGGCTCCCTTGTGTCGGAGCATATGGCGGACAGCATGCGAGGGAGGCCCGCGCCGAACGAGGTCATGTTGTCCATGCTGATCACGGCGAGCCAGATGCGGCGACGATACTCTGCTTGCAAGGGGGAAATCGGGGGTGACGAGTGGGCGGGGTCGCGGTGGTAGCCCATGTTGATGGCCGTGCGAACTAGTACGCCGGTCATGATCCAAAGGCCGCGGCGGTTGTCGTCCTTGCGGTTGAGCTCGGCGGTGGCGTTGAAGCGTAGGGTCTCCACGGTATAGGGGAGGCATTTGGCGATGTCGCCACTCAGGAGACACTGCGCCGTGCGGATGCGGTACAGTTGGAAGAGAGATTCCGAGAGGCCACCATACTCCGGTGGCTCGCCGTGTTGGTGATAGGCTAGCATGACGATACCAAGAATAGAGAATAAGAGTCCCAGCCAGATGAAGTTGGCCTGGGATGGGTTCTTGCAATGCTCGTGATACTAGGTCAAGGTTACCTTAAGATACGACTAGCACGGGTCGTGTGCTCTTACCTCCCGCATGAAAGTCGGCTCGTGAATGATGGCTAAGACATGTGTCAGACTAGCTTGCCATTTTCTGAGCGGCTGGAACATACATACGAGGAACGGCGATTGGAAAGTTTGGGCGGTCGAAGAAGATGGCCACGAGATGGTTTATTTCACGCTGGGGTGGGAGAGTGGCTAGAATCTCGATTCGATCTATGGGCTTCACTTGGCCGAACAGCAGGCTCGATCCGTCAGCTAGTTGCGACTGTGGGGGAGGAATTCGATGGTTCAGTCGGTCATCTTGGGCCTGGTCCCATGTGTTTCGGAGTTCATTGATCTGACAGCCATCAGTTGGGCTTCAATTGCAGCAAGTTGAAGTGACATTGGAATCAGGAACAGGACGAAATACCTCCTCTAACACATCATACCAATCATTGCCACCTTGATAGACTGAATGTGCGCCATCCAGCACTATCTTTCCTGCGGAGGCTACATCTTGCGTACCGGATGCGACCAGGTTGCCAAGCTTAGGGCTTTCGGGTATCAAAGAAGCGGCCTCCTGTGGTATCTGTGGCTGGTGGGCAATGAGTCTCTTCACCATGTTTTCCAACTGGTCGATCCGTTGGCGCATGGGATCGGCCTGAGTCTCACGCCGGGCATTCGAAAGAGAGCCGATCTTGGCCCCCTTAAAGTGACATGCTGACTGCTCATCACGAGCTATACAATTCTGGCAAGGGTATTCCCGATTGCATTTGAGTCTATCTGGGTCAGCAATGGAGCCAATGCCTCGGATCCTACGATGTAGTGATCTGGTCTACACACTTTCGCGTGCGGCAGGGGTCACACGATAGAGGAATGCGTGCGCGTCGTCTTTGTGACACGGGTTTGGCGGGAGACTGCATCTAGAGTACAGCACACTGAAGAAGAGGCTAAGAATGATGATGATGATCGAAAGTAAGCAGCGGAAGTACAGCCTTAAATCCGCGGACTTAACTGATCGCGGGCCTCACGTGCAATAGATGCCTGAGGTCTGAGGCTGCTACATGCTCATCTCCACGGACTTGTTATATCCGGCTTGTCTGGACTTAACCCCGATAATGTATGCCACAGTGAAAAATAGCAACAGAAGAAGATAAATAAGTGAACGGCGATCACATACAGTATGAAGAACCTCATTCTATCAATACAGAGTCATAGCAGACCACGCGTTTCTTCGACAGTCATACTCTCATAGTCGCATAGACCCAAAATCACACGATGCCGACACTCAGCGACTTCTTCTATACCCAATTCCTGCTCCGAATCCCCAAACCTTCCGCCTCCTTCACTAACAAGACCGTCATCATAACCGGCGCCAATGGAGGCCTAGGCCAAGAGGCTGTGAAGCACCTCATCCGTCTCGGGGCCGAGAAGATTATCTTCGCGTGCCGCAGTCGGTCCCGAGGCGAGCAGGCCAAACGTGAGATCGAGGACCAGCTGAACTGTAAGACCAACCTCATCGACATCCAAGAACTCGATCTCGAGTCCCCGGCCTCGATCAAGCAATTTGCAGACTGGGCCGCTCGCTCACTCTCACGCGTCGACGTCCTGATCAACAACGCCGGGATCCACGCCAACAGGTTCAAAGTCGTCTACGACACCGAGCGCACCCTGGCCGTCAACAATATCGGCACCTTCCTGCTGACGGTACAGATGATCCCGAAAATGAAGACGACAGCTCGGACCTATGGCATCATGCCGGTGATCACCTTCGTCGCCTCCGCGCTCTACGACATCGCTGAGTACCCTGAGCAGCACGGGGAGGATATCTTCACCTGGTTTCGGGAGGAATCCCACGTGGATTTCATGAACCAGTCGGTATGCCCGCCCTACGTACCGCGGAATTCATTGCTAATGAAATATGCTGCACTAGGTACAATCTTTCCAAGCTGCTACAGCTTCACGCGATGATCAAGCTAGCCGCCCTCGTTGACTCACCGAACACAAACCACGAGTCGTCCTCGATTGTGGTCAACGCCCTCGATCCGTGTTTCTGCAAGACCGGCATCATCAGCGAGTCCACCGGGCTGGCCCGGGTGCTCTTCAAGATCTTCGAGGCGATCACCGCCCGCAGCGCCGAGGAGGGTTCCCGGCTAGTAATCCAGACGGCCGCCGCGGGGCGCGAAACTCACGGGCGGTACATGCGTGCCGGCGCTGTGCAGGCCTATGCCCCCATCGCGGCCGACGAGCAGCGGGCCACATACGTGTGGGATACGCTCTGCAGGAGGCTAGAGGCGATCCAGCCTGGTATCATGCAGAATCTGCGTTGAGGAGTCGGGTTGAGGGTAGACAATTGGGCCCATCGGAGTGTGTGATGGCATGGGATAGATCTTTGTTCTTGTGAGCTCAGGATTAAATAGAATACTCTATAAATGATGTTGAAGACATTTGCTGCTAGTATTTGCGCACCATCATGTCCTTCACTTTCTTCACCGTTGATGAATATGGTTATCATCTACATTGTTCGCTGTCCGAAGTCAGGTCGCAACCCTACCAACCTCCACGTAGAGAAGCATAGGTACAGGCGCAGCACAACGCAGAAGAACAAAACAATGCCATACACTAACGCCAGCTGAATAACAAGAATAAATACGGGAGCATGACTTGGCTCGCTGGACTTGGGGAAGGTACTCCTCCTCTTCCCTCTGATATTGAACGGTGGGAAATGCGAGAACAGATGCCCGAATGTTCTATTGCCGCTCCTGAGGAAAGGTGAGATTGTGATTAGATGAGAATAAGAAAAACAGTCAACCATACATGAAAGACGTACCACACTCAAGCACATAGGTGCTGTGAGCTGAGTTGGTGCGCCCGTAAACCTGGTTGCATCCAGCACGTCTAGCGCATCGGGCACGGCCGCGCTCCAAGCACCTGCCACCCTCTTCGTGATTGATCGGATATCTCGGGGCCCGTCTCAGCTTCCTCAGTGTCCGGTCGGCAGGGCCAATAATTTTGCACGGGTTTGCCGGTGGCAGAGTGCGAGCGAAATGATGAAATCAGGGGCATTGATGAGATCCCTTGCTCTTGGCCGGCTATAGGTGGTTCACAAAGCACAGAGCTAGCTGCAAAAAAGTAACCAAATCGAGAGACTTGCCCAGAAACTGGAACTTTGAGTCAGGGGAGCGTCTACACCGGGAGGGCACATTCATGTCGGACGGTGTCTGCTGGGACTGGATAGGTGGAACCCGGCTGTGGTAATTGTCTCCCGTGGTTGTCGAGCTATATTAAGCAGAAGATAGTCTGGCCCCGAGTAATTCAATGACTGCCTCCAACCCCGAGGGAAACTCTTCGGGTTACTCCCTGCGACGGAGAATGACAACTCTTCTACCGGGTGTTCCCCGCCACATTAGAATCCGCATGCCGAGCGTTGAGTTGTCACAGAAGATAATCGACAAGGACGGTAGTCCAAAAGCTAGTTCCGGGTGACGAGTAGTCTCATAGGATGGGGAGAACGTCAACCCTATGCCTAGAGGCGTAACTCACTATGGTGGAGCTACTAAGTCACCGGGCAATGGCTGTCGTGTAGGAAAAACATGTAGCAAATAAGTTATTGATCTACTCGGGTGGTAGTGAGTTGTTAGAATACAGTCTAGCTAATAGACAAAGACAGGTTTGCGTTGTCCTGAAGCATGACAGAGAGACGATGTAGTGGGATTGAACGTCAGCAGGTCGACGGCCAGAAATGACTTAGCAATCACGACAAGTGTGAAGACAGGCCTATAACACAACCCGATTGCACTAGACGCAGCAATATTTCTCACCGATCGTGACTAGACTACAGACCCAAACGAGATTATTGGTAATTTGTCAAGTGATACTATCATGCCAAGCCTGTCGCTCAGCACATTGGCCAGTGAATACGGACGGCACTGAGACATCTATTGATACAGCGCAGTCTTGCTTCAAGGGGGTAGGTAAGCGTGCTAGTGAGCATTGTAGCATAGGGAGCAACACTTATGCTGTGAGCGTCGGCGATCTTGTATATTTCTAATGATCCAGTAGTGCAGTGCAGTCAATGGTGGCCTGGAACGGTGCCCTGCGCTGATCTTTGGGTAATATAACACATTTTCGAGCCAAACTCGCACCCAAGACAGTATGGCCGAGTGGTCTAAGGCGATAGACTAGAAATCTATTCTCTTCGGAGGCGTCGGTTCAAATCCGACTGCTGTCGTTTTTTACTTTTTCTGGCTTGTGCTGCTGGGGCTGGTCCCCACACAGGCAATTACCGGAGCCAATGAGTCGTAATCTCGCAGGGCACGGACTCATGAACTCTGCGTGACTGTGGACGCCACTATACAGCCTCACGGCTGGTTGCTGATGATTGAAGTTTGAAAAGACGATAGTTCCCGCGCCATTGAATTTTAGACCGCTTGACAAAATCACTGTTCGCACGCCGGTGTACAAATCAGACCCAAGGCCAATATAATGGCTCCACGGGGTCTCAACACAGGTGGCTTCTGTCGGTGAGAACTGAAGATGTATCACGCTTTCCTGTTTCTTCGAGTGGATACTCCTTCGGTAATCGACTCCAGCATGCTAGCTTGTTGTCGAATATCTGTTGAGAGGTCATTAGAGACTTGTTCTTTCATCTCGAGCGAGAAAGGTCAGCGACATCCCTGAGAGTGCCAACTACACGCCATTCCCATCCGAGACATCGATGGACGAACTATCACCCATGAGTTTGCGGACTAGCGAGAGTTCATGAATTCTGTTAGACTCAGACGGGAGAAGGGGGATATGTTTCACTAGCCGCGAGGCCGCGGTGACTCCCTCTTCCAGCCTGCCGTTTGCTAACACGGTGGAAGCTTCTGGCAGTTGAAAGTCAGGTCGATATGTCAAGCTTGTCTCAAGTTCTCCGTGATGGCTCTGGCCCCAACCGTATCTCCCTATCGACCAGGTTGAGTCGCATTTGACCCAACGGTGGCAGGGAAAAGTGATACATATCGCGAGAGTTGTCCCCTGCAGCGATTTTCTCGAATGCCAGACTACCTCGACCTCCATTGACCATGAAACGCACCAGACGCAGCTGGACAAGCAAGGAGGATGAGCTCCTCCGCAAGCTGGTTCAGATAGGTGGGTGCCTCGAGACAGCTCCCACAGGCTCATCCCGCACTCTGACATCTTTCTTGCCTCCAGCACTCGACACCTCCCACACGGTCCTCTGGAGCGAGCTCGCCCAGAAAGTCCCCGGCCGCTCGAACAAGGACTGCCGCAAGCGATGGTGGAACACGCTGGCCGGCGGCAACATCAAGGGCGCCTGGTCGCCGGAGGAGGACCAGCGACTCAGCGAGGCGGTGCGGGAGCATGGCAACAACTGGACTCAGATCGCCGCCCTCGTGGGGTCCCGCTGCGCTGATCAGTGCTCCAGTCACTGGCGGCAGGTGTTGCGGCCCAATGTCAGTTATTGTAACTGGACTGAACAAGAGGTGATCATTCGTTCTGTATACTTTGTTCCTAGCTCGACGGCTAACGCAAAGTCTGAGGGTGAGCAGGACGAAGAACTTCTGAAGGCGGTTCAGACGCATGGCACCAATTGGTCGACGATTGCAGCGTTTCACCATCCGCCGCGGACGGGGCTGGGCCTAAAAAATCGATATGCCAGAATCCGGGCGAAAGAAAAGGACGCAGGTCGATGTGTGCTGCACAGGGGCCCTTCTGCGCCTGGTGGCAAGCGCAGCAAAGTGGCGAAGCCCCGAAGGAAGCGCAGCTCCCCGCAAATTGGCATCGCTCCGGACTGCGACGAGCAAATGAGAGAAGGCAGTACCCCAGATATTTGCCCCGGGACCCTGGAACCGCAGGGCAGATTCCCGCATCTCGACGAGCGCAAGGAACCAGCTTGCTGGTGGACTCGATTCCCCAACAACACCCCCATCGGTTATTGGGAGACATCCACATCGTGGGTGGGCCATGGGACCATCGACCCACGCCTGATCCTGCCCAGCCCACCCGGCTGCGAGGACTGTTGGATGGATAGCACACCGGACCTGACGGTGTCTGCAATGGGCAACTCCCGGCTGCCGTCCTTTGACCGGGTCCTGGACGCCACGCAGGCTGACAACGATCGAGACCGACAGATGCTCTTGTTTCCTCCTGGTAGGTGGAACAGCCATTCTCGCAGATTCCGCCTGGCTTGCTTACCCTGCTTACCCTGCAGAAGACGAGTACCCGACCGACATGAGTTTCCGAACCGTGCACGAGGCCCTCTACCTGGCGCCTGACCCGTGCAGCCTGGGGAATTCCCGACACTCCTCCACGGAACCGCTGCATCCGTTCCTCACTATGGCCGAGCTGGACTTGATGCCCCGGGAGGCCTCTCCACGTGCCTCAGTCCCCTCCGGAATCCACTCAAGTCAGCATGAGAGGTCAGCAGAGACGAACATGCACCGGGTCTCGCTCAGTCTCTCGTGCACGACGAGCCAGTTGAGCAGTATCATGTCGCGAGTGGCCGACACCGGTGCGGCGGTGAATATGCCGGTGGACACAGAGTAGAGAGTGGGAGACTTCATAGGTTTATTGCATCTGCGGTGCTTTTTGTGGTGAGAAGCATGTCCTGATCATCATTAGATATTTGAAATCCTCGAAACTAGAAATGAATATCGCGTCTTCTAAGGATCTATATGGAACCAGAGTACCCTCCACAGAATGATTACGCAAGGCTCTTCGACCGTAACCCAGAACTTCTAACCTCTAACCCACATAACGCCCACAACCCACTGCAAGAACCCCATCCGAACAACGCAAAAACGCCAACGCCAACACCGACACCGACACCGGATAGAACCTCCTACTTCGGCTCCGCCCGCGGCAACGCGGGTCGCGGCTTGACCGGCGCAACCCAGAAGACGGGGTACCGGCGCTGGAGGTTATTGACCAGCAGGGCGACGGCGAGCAGCATGGTGGACGAGAGCAGCACGACAGGCAGGTAGTACCAGGAGAGCTGCCAGACGGCGTCGTTGGTGGCGGGGAGCAAGGCCGTGGCGCCGGCGGGCGGGTGGGTGGTCTCGGTGACCTGCATCACCACGACGGCCACCGCCGACGAGAGCGCCGCGGCCAGCCAGCGCAGGGACTCGAACCGCGCCTCGTCGGGCATCAGGCTGAAGAGCTTGGTCACGCACAGCCCGACGAGGGCGCTCAGGAAGTGGCCGAAGACGAGGGCGCGCGGCTGCGCCAGCGGGCTTTCGATGGCGCCGTAGACGAGGACGGCGGAGGCGCCCTTGGATGGTTGTTAGTATGGGTAAGGGTCTGGGTTGGTGGTTTGGTTGGGGGGAGGAGGGGGGCAACAAGGGGGCGAACGAACATAGGAGGCGATAATGCCCGGGACATGTCGGTCCAGGAAGTAGTGGGAGTAGTTGAAGATGGCCTGGACGACGCAGAGGCCGCAGAAGGCGGAAATGAACGACCACAGCCAGATTTGATACTTGGGGAGGGGCTGAGGAGGGCTGGCGCGGTAGCCGAGCCAGTGGCTGAGCCACGGCGGGAGGCGCGCCAGAAACTCTTGCTCGTTCATGCGTGGTACAGTACTCAGACTCTGGTGTGCCAGAGACTCGAGTGGGTTGCAGTGGAGAGAATGTTGTCGGCGACAATTGAGGTGTCTTTGACAAGCATACAGGTGTCGTCGCCTCCGTCCGGGTGAAGGGGGTCCTTCGACGTTTATGACGGGGAGTGGTTGTCACGAGGTGTCACGAGGGTAGTCGAGGATCAGCACCCCAGAGATTCTATTACCTAAAGCAGTGCCGCAGCGCTTGGTTGACTGGTGAACGGGTTCAATGCAGCTCCAAATTACCCCAGCCTGCCCTGGATTTAAGAACTCGGTTAATGCGCAGGGCGCAGGCAGGATTTGCCGGTGGGTCCGGCTTCGGCAAGACTCGGCCATTGCTCGGCTTCTCCACACTCGATTTCCAGGGTCCGATCAACTTATGCTGCCAACATTTATCTCATAAACAGATCATATTGCATGAACGTGACCTTCCTCTATCAATTCTAAGCATCGAGCCAATCTTTGTATCAGTCTCTGCGCCCCTCCCAGACTCGCCGACTCGAAGCCCACACCCCGCGAACCCCCTTGGCGATCTCGAACCGCCCATCGTACAAGGGATACACCACCACCGCCAAGAACGCGCAGAACTGCCAGATGATCGCCACCGTCGTCCACCCCGCGAAGAACGACTTGGTGAAGATGTAATCCCGGTACAGCGGCATCGGCCACAGCACAAAAGTGATCAGCACGAGCGCCACGAAGGTGGCCCACGCGATGCGCGACCAGCGGTACAACTCCCGCAAGGTCTCCTGGGAGAATGGGTGGATGACGTCGTCGAGGCTGAGCCGGGACTGCGAGGGGGATGGTGAGTTTGAGGTTGGGGAGGTGGAGGATACGAAGATGCTCTTGGTTTCGGGCTCGGGCCCTTCTTTCTTGTCTTCGCGGGATTCGTGGTTGGCAGTCGGTTGCGACTCGGAGACGGAATTCTGATCGTCGGCGACGAGCTCGATGCGGAGGAACTCGCGCCAGTCGAATTTGTAGGGGCGGTAGAGGGAGATCAGCACCGAATAGAGGGCCGGGGAGAAGAAGGAGCCGATGGCGCCGTACAGCGCTGGCAGCCCCTCGCCTGTTGTGGTCATGTCCACGCGGCCATACAAAGATTTGGCGGTCGCCAGCCAGATGGCGAGGCCCGTGAAGAAGCCCAGCACGGGAGCAAGGATCGCGGCCAGGCGGGTCTGGCCAGACCAGAATAGGGTCAGCCCCAGCGGGATGATGCCGGGGCACGAGAGGATGGGCCGGAAGTAGCCGATCCAGGTCATGTTGGCGCCGCCGTAGTTGAGGGCGATGGAGATGCCCGTAATGAAGATCGCGTGGAAGACGACGGCGATGTGGCTGACGTGTAGCAGCCGGCGATCCCCCGCGTTCGGGTTGATGTAGGTCTTGTACATGTCGAAGGAGAGGATGCTGCTGACCGCGATCATCGAGGAGGAGACCGTGCTGGTGAGGGCCATGAAGAGCAGCACAAAGAAGGCCACCATGCCCGCGTTGCCCAGCAGGGCTTTCACGAGGTAGGGCATCACCATCCCCGTGCTCACTTCCGTGGCCGTGAGGGGACCGGGGTAGGTTGGGAAGATGGGTGTGTTGTGCAGCGCACGCGCAGACAGCCCGATCACCGTGCCTAGTCCCCAGGGAATTCCAAACACGGCGACGGCGGCCAGGTTGTAGGCCGGTACGGTGGAGTTGACTTCACTGGCAAACGACTTCTGCCAGAACGCAGTGTCCTGCGGGTTGCGGTTAGATACATGTTTCGCTGAGAGAAGTGGACTGCCGGCACTTACCATGACAACCAGGGCCAGATTGCCGAACTTCAAGATGAGGCCCCAGATGATGGCATCCTTCGACTTCATGGTAAGCAGAGAGCCCTCGTAGTTACCCGAAATGTAATTCTCGCTCGCAGTTGCGACCACTTTATCATAGAGACCCGACAACCCTCCCACAGCATCGTGGGTCAGGACTGAGAGTGTAAAGTAGATGATGAGAATCAAAGCGACAGTCGTGTGAAGAAAGTCCGTGAGGAAGGTTGCCTTCAGGCCGCCGACGGCAGTATAAAGCACCACTGTATCAGGCAATATTAGCACCTCCTCACTCTCCGCTGAATATCTTGTCTCACCTCCGAGGGGAATGAGAATGGTAGCAGCCACAAAGTTCATTCCCGAAACGCCGTGGATCAGCTGCGACCCCGTCAAGATCATCGAGGCGCAGCCGAACACATTGTTGGTCAGATTGAGAATCATGTAGATGATGTGGCCCACCCATCCGTATCGCATGCGGATGATTTCCAGGGATGTGTGAGCATAGGGCACGCGGATCTTCGCCATGACACCAAGCGCTGCCATCAATGCGATCTGGAAGCAGAGACCGGAACCCCACCACTGTAGAAGTTAGATGTAAGCGCACGGTCGTCCAAGGTTAATGCTAGAATGCTTACCAGGGGAACCGCTAGTCCATAGCGATAGCACATCGCGGCCGACAAAACCGTCTCATTGATCCACATCCATGATGAGAAGACAGCTGAAGCCGTCAGGCCTGTGCCAACCGAGCGATTGGCGACCATGAACATCTCAGATGTTCCTGAATCCTCGGCTAGATACGCTCTCTGGATCTTGATGGCCACTAAGATCACCCCGCAGAAGAGGACGCCCAGACCGATAAGGAGACCATAGGCCGTGCCCTGGGGCACCAGATCTATTACCGTCATGATGAATATGTGGCATATGTGGGTGGTTGTTCAATGGCCGTTGTGGACGGTTGGTTTCTTGGTGTTGATACCCGAGCATCGACTTAAGTATATGCTGTTGAGGCGATAGAGTTTGGCCATTGCTCTATTGTAAGTGGTTTGTCACGCTGTTCTTGGCCTCAATTGCGTTATGCATGTACCGGCCGAGAAGGAAGTAGGGCAGGCAGATCTTAAGCTGTGGGTGATTGATAAAGCTTGTTAGTGGGTGCTGCTCGTGATGGCGTGCGCCAAGCTAACTATGGCAACAACCACCACCTACAGGCGATTCCCATTTTCTGGTCATGGTTTCATCATCCCAATTTGTGAGAAATGCAAACCTGGTATGTAGTCCCCGATGGGCACTAATAAAAAATGTCACTCGCTTTAAAAGTCTGTGGCTACCAAGAGAATCTGATTGGTGGCGACAGTGAGTGCATATACTGCTACAGTACATTTCCTGTGAATATTCCCATGTTGTCTAAATTACCCTTAATCTGAACCCGCGCGTCTATCGTTCGGAACATTCAAAATTCAATATTTGATATTATATCAGATGTGCTTTCAAGGGCGTCTAGACCTTCTCAATAGTATTCTCCCGTCCTACCCTGGCTCATACGGTGGCTTCAAGTTTGCCGACTCAAGCCCTAAGTGCTCTTCACCTAGCATGACCACGTGAATATTCCAATGATACTGGACTTTTTTACGGGCAAAGCTCACCCCAACCATTCTGAAAGCCGTGATTTGTACTCACGAACAGTGGCTGCAATTGAGTCGTGGCCACTCAACCAGGAAGATCAATAGCAGCTCTTATCTTAGAGACCCCTAGGTGTCGGGTCAACTGACTGCTACCCTTGGCAAAGTAAAACCAGCCTGTGATCGTCAGAGCGATGTATCTGATCAAACATATTCTTATCTAACGATAGAATGCACTTTTTCTGTCACCTCTACTCTAGCCATGGAGTCTGAACTGAATGCATCTCTATCTCCCCTTCAGCCATTCGACTCTAAGCTAACCATACAGCATCACTCCTCCTCGATCGGTACCCCAACCAGTTCAGCCTCCTCCACCCCACGTCCGAACTTGATATACCCCAGCTGAACCTCCAACGCCGTCCGTTGTCCAACTTCCCAGACCACCTGCCCCAAACACTCTCGTTCCAAGTCCTCATTAATCTCCGTGATCAAATCCACCCACCGCTCCGTCGCCCTCCTCTCCTGCTCTTCCAACTTCCCCGGGTCATCCCCAATCCCCGCCTCGCCCCCTTGGAAGAACGCCGTCCCCACAAACCGGCCGAGCGTGACATGCGCAATCGGCGCCGTATAGCACGTGTCGATGCTCACCCCAGACTGCAGCGCCATCGTGTGCAGCTGGTTCCGGAGATGATGGTAGGTGTACGGGCCCGCGTTGTCGTCGGCGGCGGGGACGAAACTCATCGCCACGCCGAGCTTGTCGAAGAGGAGCTTCGGCTTGACGAGGCGGGCGATGTGCCGCTGTTCTTGGTGGTACTCGTTCCGGGGGGTGTCGAGGAGCGCCTTGAGTTGCGACTCGCCGATGTGGGCGTAGACCTCGCGGAGGTGGGCGATCGGGTGGCGGTGGGAGAGCTCGATGATGGAGAGATGGAGGGATGAATGTGGCGTGAGATGGAGGTCTGGTTCGGTTAGTCAATGGTCGATCGACATTCAATCACAAGTCGGTGGGTGAGATGAGATTGAAGTCCCGTTATCTATCGACCGGTGGGTAGGAACTCACCAGACCCTACAAGCTGCGCCAAGCGTTGCTGGATATCGAGGAGCAAGCGCGTCGTCGATGGGTCGGGGCGCGTCCAGATGACCAGGCAATTCACATCTCGTTTGCTCAGCTTCTCGATCTCCTGGGCTCCGTCGGTCTCGTCAGTCTGCCACTTGAGGTAGCGGATGAGCGCTTCGTCGGGCGTGATGCGCTGCGACGTTGGTGGGCCAGCATGGCTACTATTACGGCTGTCGGTGCTGCCATCTCGTCCACTCGGGTGAAGCAGGCCAATCGATCGCTCTAGGCTTGCGATTCGGAAGGATTCGTAGGCTTCTTGTATCTTGGTCTGTGCGGTAGGAGAGCTTTAGTCCGGTCGGTGATGCGGGGAGGGGGAGAGGGGGAGAGGGGGAAGGCTATAGTATAGCACAGGGGTGATATAGGGCACCACCACGTACGGGATTGTTGGCACATTCGGGATGGTCCAGAAGTTCTTGATACCAATTGCGAGTCGAAGGTTCCCCGGGCTGTTGGGGAGGGAAGGTGAATGGCTCCTGCAGGCTGGCAGCGTCACCCATTCTTTTTAGTTTCTGGATGGTGTGAAGGGGTGAAAATGCAGGGGACGGCTGCATGCGGGGATTTGCGGTGGTGATAAGGCTTGAAGCAGGCGGATTGCAGGCTCTCGTATTCATGAGGCGGTGCCGACTTGGCGCATATCCCAGCCTCATGCAGCTCAATCCATGTTTGGCAAGGCCATGTGTAAAAGGTGAAAGATGAAGGGCGAAGCGCCCGCCTCACAGCCTTCCTGCAAAGGCCTTACTGCAATGGTGATAAGTCTCATAAGAACCTCTTGCTAGACCCGCTTTTCTCTTTCTCCTTTCGAGTCGCGATGCTTGGATTGTCTTCTGCTGCATACGCACCCCCCGCAATAGAGATTATGGGATGTCGATACACTCGCAGTACCCCTTTTCGCTGCCATCTTACTGCTCAGGTCTAGACGATGGAAGCTTCTGTCAGCGAGAGCTGAAGGAGGAGTCCCGCTCGTGGCGATCCGAGAAATATGCGCCCGTCTCGAATGTCATGGTCCTGGAGCATGATCATGGCGTGGGGTCGGCCCGCTTTTATGATGATGGAGAGATGGATCAACTATTAGCTGTAACCCTCTCCATCCAACTCTTGCGCGGTCGCAAAGAGTCCATCCATTATATACGGTATGCTAACCCTAAACGCAGGCAGAACACCAGCCCCAGCTCCGAATTATTCTGCTGCAACCAACCCCACAGGAGAAACTACTCCACACCATCGACGACCCCGCGGTCCTAAAGGCACTGCTCACCAACGAACTCATCAGCGACCGTGTTACTGAGCCAGCGAACGAGAAAGTCCCCGATCAGCGTGAGGATGACGTGCCGTCGCAGCTCGACATCACACGCAGCTGCCTTCTGAAGATTCTGACGCGATACGACATCGCGCCCGCCGCAGCCTCCCACATCCGTGGCCAGGAACAGATTTTCGGCTCGCGACAGCAGCGCGATGAGGAAGGAAAGATGCGTTCCTTCGGTGAGTGAGGTGCTTGCCGATGGTAGCATGGACCAACCGTCTCATGACTTTTTATCTTGTGCTCGTGTTTAGAATTCTGGTACGCAATCCGAGCCCGCGCCTACGTGCGACGACTAGGCAAGGAAGCCGATCTCAAGATGACGATCGTCACGCGATACGACGCGCGGTCGCAGTCGACGCTTGTCCTGCTCAAGTATCGATCCTTCAATGACCTGCCGCAGCGGCTGCACGAGGAGTTGGTCGAGAACCTGCAGGCGTTCGTCCGGGAGCCCACGACGGCCGCGCTCGTGAAGAACCCCTTCATCACCTCGGTGATGCACTTCAACCCGACCATCCAGTACTTCCGGCGGGCTGCACGGGAGCCGCGCGACACGATCCGCGACGAGGAGGCGAGGGTGCATGGAGGCATGGACGAGTTCGCCCGCATCGACCTGCACAAGCTCCATCTCACCCTGACCAGTCTCGACCAGGATAAGATCCAGATGAGCTTTATTCTGGGAGTGATTGCCCGGCTGCGCATCCAGCACGAGACCTTCCAGACCCTCGTCGAGGGCAAGGCCAGCGTCCCCGAGCGCGAGTGGCTGTATTTTCGCATGGAGGAGGAGTTCGATCGCTTCGAGAATCAGATCGCTTACTTCAAGTCATCGGTGGAGGATGTTGCAAGGCGGGTGGAGCGGCTGCTGGAATTAGTGAGAAACCCCTCTTCATGCGACGGAGGACTCACGATGGAGGACTTACGATGAACAGCTATTCAACATGAGCTCGCGGATCAACACCCAATCCAGCACGAAGATGACCAAGTATGCTATGCACGAGAGCGCCTCGATGAGCACCATCTCGGTGGTGACCATGCTTTTTCTCCCTGGTACCTTCATTGCCGTACGTGCGCTATCTACCGCCTCGAAGGTGGAACTAGGGCTAATAAGTGCACACCTTTAGACCATACTGGGAACCAACATTATCGCCGGGCCATCTCGCTCAGAGGGAGACACCCCGGGCCACTCGGAGCTTTACATCTCGTCGCAGTGGTGGATCCTGCTGGTCCTGACCGTCTCGTTGACTGTCGTCACGATGGGTGGGTGGTATATGCTGCGGAGAAAGACCGCCCGGTCGATCGAACATATGATCTCTGCCCAGAATGCAGTCTGACCATGTCTGCTTGGCAACGAATGATGTCGTGTTTTCAGTTCTTTTTTTGTCTGCCATTCAGCGGGCGTTGTGGGTTTAGAGATCTGCGGTGTTGCTATGCACGTGGTGCATTGGATGGATCTAATATCTTGTTCTTCTTTGCTTCGTATGTACAATACAGACACTGTCGGATAACACCTAAACCTACTGCAGATCCCGTACCAAGACTCCACGATATCTCATCCTCCCTTCCCTCAAAGTCTTCATCGCGTCTTCAATGCCTGCCGGCGTCATGGGGAAGGTCATGGTTGTGGGGGTGATGTTCTTCCTCGCTGCGAATTCGAACAGGGACCGGATATTGTGGCGCGAGGCCACCAAGGACCCTTGGATCTTGATGCCACGAAGGAAGAGGCGGACCAAAGGCACTGGAGCGGGCTTCATGGTGAGCGTGAGGGGGTAGATGCTACCCCGAGTAGCCATCAGTGGCATCAGGCTAACACTACGTCAGCAACACGGACAGCGAGCTGGAAGGACAACAGGCAGAAACAGGGCCGACACCGACTCACCTAGAATAATCAACTTCGGCACTCCCACACAGCAAAAGATGCTTGACCTGGCGGAATCCCTCGGGCACCGGGCCCCCCGACTGGAAAACATGGAACTCCGACGCCCCATAGTCCATCGCCTCCTGCCTCTTCGCCTCGGAGCTGGACAGCACCACGACCTGACACCCCATGGCGCTGGCGAGCTTGATCGCCACGTGGCCGAGGCCGCCGACGCCCATGATCCCCACCCGGTCCGTCGCCCGCACCCCGTACTGCATGAAGATCTCCCACACACTGGCGCCCGCACACATCAGCGGGGCGGCGTGGATCGAATCGTACCCGTCGGGAATGGGGTAGACGCAGTTCTCGTCCCAGACCGCACCGTAACTGAACGAGCCGTTGTCGTGGTCGTGGAACCCGTACATCTTGACGTTCGGGCAGTACTGGTCATGGCCTTGCAATCCGGGTTCAGTTGCTTCTCACACACACCACTCATCGTTGCAAGGGAAAGGCCATTGGAAAGACATACCGGTCGCGCATTCCTCGCAAGAGGCGCAGATACTATGCGTGTAGCCAAACCCCACGCGATCCCCGATCTGCACGGTCTTGACCCCGGCCCCCAGGGCGCGGATGATGCCCACCCCTTCGTGGCCCAGTACATTACCCGCCTTGAGGTAGTGCACGTCAGTACCGCAAACCCCGGAGTGGGTGGTCTCGATGAACACCTCGTGGAAGTCGAGGGTGCGCGTCACCGTGTCCGCGACGATGCGCCCCTCGGACGACCCTCGGAATACGTCGAATGGGATGCTCATGGTGCTGCGTGTGTGTTAAATCTGACTGCTGAGATATTTGAAGAGGGTCGCTTATCTCTTTAAGTACCCTTCATCTTGAGCCCGCCCTTTGTTTTCCTCCCGCACCAAATATGATAGTTCCCGCGCTGCGGCTCCAGAACGGGGGATTCCAAACGCCCCAGCGAATCGAGCGATGAGATCTCGGTTGCACGATGGGTATAGTTCCAACGCTTGGATGGAGTGGTGCAATGGGATTGTGCCACTGATTGGTCGAGCCGTCTGGATTTTTTTCTCCTGGGCTCCACTCATTGAAGCTCATGCCGAGGCTTGCGCTGCCGCTGCCCGCTCCGCGAGATCCGGGCTGGACCTCCGATAAGGAGATGGAAAAAGGGGGGCGGCAGGATCGTACTGTACCCATGTGTCAGTCGAGGATTGAGATCATGACACCTGAAACATCTCCGATGCAACCGAAGCTTGGGCTGGACTATTTATGGCACGTCAATTGCTCACTGTGATTGTGTTCCGTGCTTTACTGGGCACGCATTCCGGAATCGTGAGGTGGTCGGAAAAAAAAAAAACTGAAAAAAAAAAGGCTCCTCAATTCCGATAAAAGCTTTATCGGGACCAACGACGACGCCAGATGATTCCTGGGTCTGCGACGCATGGGGCTTCTATCATCCCCACAGGACTATGCCGGTTGGGACAGGGAAGCCGTTATGCTGCGTGGTTCCCTGGCATTCTAAGCGCCCTCTCCTACCGCTTGTTGGACTAAGGCTAGACTATCAGTTCTTTGTTTTCGCGGTTGGGAAGGTCGTTTGTGGTGGAATGGGTTTCCTGCACAATCAACAAGGGGGGACAATCAAGGTTGGCATAAATTGTTGGTGGTAGTATTAGTCTTTCAGCGCTCTGTAGCGATTCTGGTGTGCAATTGTGCCAGTGCATGCATTTCTTCCTCTGAGGCAGTTCTCCTTATATAATAATCAAATCCATTTATCAATATATGCCAGCTCAGGGCCCATGTACGGTGCAGTTTGACATGGTAGTGGATGTTTCTTTGTTGAATGTAGAGGGCTTGCGGTTGTGCTTGTATCTGGGCTCCTTGTGCGTCAAGAGATGTGATTGGGCTGTACAACGTGCCTCACAGCATGCTTAGATGTCTCGCCAGCTCTAGATGGGTCGTAGTGTTGAGCGTATCACTACAGTCTCTCAAAAGACTTCTGGTGCTTACTGCTTGTCGGCTTGTGTAAATGCGATGGCGGGTGAGAGGATGTCGGGATTTGGTCTCATCACGGAGGTCTTGTTTTCTTTGGGGGTGGGCTCTCAAGATATTGCGCTCTTTGGTATAAGTCCTTGCTAATGGTCCCTCTAGGCACGGTAGATGCCATCACAATATTAATTGGTTGGTGGTTGGGTTATGGTGTGTTGGCCGTCACTTGGAGTCTCACACACGCTAATATATATCTAAACCGGGCACTTTGACTGAAAAGGTTGTAAGAGTTCGCTGATAAATAATGGATGTCCACATAGGGTTAGATATACTACAGACATAAGATGAGCATCATTAGGATGATTGATCACCAAATAAATAGATTTTGAGTTGGGTATCTTCCATCAGACCTGAATAACGTGCATTGTCTATTGATGAGATGAGTCAAAGATCATGGTACATAATTTGAGCTAGAAACTCAATTATAACAACAAGGGCTTGTGGTTTAGGGGTATAACGCTCCATTCGCATTGGAGAGGTCCCGGGTTCGATTCCCGGCGAGTCCAACTTTTTGCCTTCTTCCATTCCTTTAGGGCTCCCGAATTCTGGCTCTTGATGGATCCAATCTTGAATAACACCCATATCTCTTCCTCGATGGTCTAACGGTCATGATTTCCGCTTGTCAATCCCCCCGGGAACAAGCGCGGGAGACCTGGGTTCGACTCCCAGTCGGGGAGATTTTCTTTTGCTTTTGCTTTTTGCCTGTCTCATAAACATGATTTCTTCCGCATACGTGCGCTCATTTTGCCTGAGTGCAGCGATGTACACTGCTCCATTCGCCATCACCAATTCCATCCATGTCTTGCTTGTGTCACGCCTAATTCAGCCAGCTGGGAACACCTATACCCCGCCGGTAGTTCTACCAACCCGACAGACTCGAACATCACCCCCCCCCATATCCCTAGCACCGACCTTCTGGCTACACCCACACATCCTAAGAATTTATGGCTCGTTCTCACACGCGAGGCGAGGAGCGAGGACGCCCGACCCCGCTCAGTGATTCTGTGGCATACCATGCACCCACTTGACACGACATGCCAGTCGATAGTGTGAAACTTATCGTACCCTAAAGAGGGATGTGAACCCTGCAGAATCAAATCGAGAATCTACTCAGTACGACAACAGCGGCCAGACCCACACAAGCCCGTTCGCCGACAAGAGCTGCCCACCAGCAAAAAGACAAAAAGATGGAGCTGCGGGGAATCGAACCCCGGACCTCTCCCATGCTAAGGGAATATTATACCACTAAACCACAGCCCCAATTGATGAAATAAAGCTGAAAAGTTAGCCTCATGGTGCTTTCACAAAGGAACTGGTCACTTTCAGAAGGATTTCGAGATTACCAGCCTGCGTAAGCACTACTCCCTGTTCCATTGCATCACCTTCATTCCTGGTGCTACAGAGTGAGTTCAACCATTTGAGGACCAGCGAATGAAAACGACAACTGGTTATATTCCTGGATACCTTGGAGAAATAGCATGGCAGTCTCATTCGCTACATACGGAGGACGCACCAGATAAGTCAAGCACATCGAACTGAATCGCCAAATGCCGGCAACGCCAGGCTCACCCCCAATACCTCTCCTCTCATGCACAATCAACAAAGCCCTAATTGTTCGGCTCCACGTCCACGATCTTGAGCATTCTCCCAGACTTAGGCGCCCGGCTCTTTGCCTCCCCCCAGCCAAGCTGCGTCCCCGGGAACCGGTAGAAGGCGCGCGCGCTGTCCTCATCGGAGGTCTGCAGCTGCGGCGGGAACTCATACCCCATAACAGACAGCGGGTTGCGGGGGCCCAGCTGCACGGTGTAGTCGTCCTTGGTGTCCTCGAGCTCCGGGGCGAACTCGTGCCGGAAGCCGAGGACGTGGCCGAGCTCGTGCAGGAAGATGTTCTTCAGGTAGGCGACGGTGCCCGGGGCGAAGGCCGACTCGTACACGTTCAGGTAGTTCAGGTCGATCGGGCTCGGGAAGAAGGCCTCGGCCAGCACCCCGCCCTGGCGGCCGCCGTACGAGAGCACGAACGCCGCGTCCTCCAGCCGCGCCACCCACTGGATGCTCACCCCGAGCCCCAGCCGGTTCCACTCATCGGCCGCCGCCTTCAGCGCGTTGGCCGCCAGCGTCGCCCACTCGGGCTTCGGGTAGCCGTTGGCGAAGGCGGCGAAGTTGACGCGCTGGTCGGGGCCGGGCTTCCACCGCGGGATCACTTTGCCGAACCCGACTTGGAGGGCGGCGATGTTGGCCGCCGGGTCGCTGCTGCTGGTGCCGGTGGCATCGGTGAAGGTCACGGGGGCGGGCTTCTGGGTCGAGCAGGTATACCTCGCCGGGCCTTCGGAGGTGGAGGACGGCTCGTCGGGCTGTCCGTCGGAGAGGTCGGTTGCGGGGTCGAGGGTCTTGAGGGCTTCTTGCCCCACGGCGCCCTTCAGGTCATCGAAGAAGCTGGCGCGGCCTGGGTCGAGGGTGGCCTGTTGATCGGGCATGATGACGGGTTTGGGTCGGTTGCGGATCGAGGTTCCACACCAGTCTTTGGCGACAGAGTCCAGCTTGGTTGGATTCGGTGGTTGAGTGAGGTTGGGATGTGATTGAGGTTTGTGGGAGAAAAGGCGAACCCTTGACCGGGAGGATAAGACGGTATTTATGCCTTTCAGGGTGCACCCCGTCATGAGGGACCAGTTGGAAGATCAGAACTCCACGTCAGAGCGTGTTACCGTGTTGGCGGTCGTTCAATGGTCTGAACTCGAATACCAAAGTCTATCTCTTCAGCAGTAGTTGCGCAACACCTGTCAACTGACTCGGAGCCATCGAGCTTGGCTGTGGCGCCGGAGAGCTGAAGACAAAGGACCCGTGCATAGTAGGCGTCTGAAGCAAGTTCGTGTTTTAGGCTAAGCTGCCACTTGGGGGATGTTGCAAGGATTGCCCGGTTTCAAACACGAGCAGCCGCAAACGTTGATAGTGAAGTCCGCATCTGTATGGCTAGTATCCGGGGTTTACATGACCCCCTTGAGCTGTCCATGCCTGTTTTACCCAACCGTAGTGCTGGGCCCCGAGCACCAGTCCACAGTTCTACGACACTCGGGGCCGAAGGGCCCGTCAGGTTGCGATCTCACATGCCAACTGACATGTCAGAGACCGACCTTGGGCGATTGATCGCCATAAGTGCAGACATCAATTGGTGGCTACACGACGAGGATGATTCTAACAAGTTGCAGCAAACCTGCCTTGCGCAATACGAGGATGCGATTGCGCCAGCCGCGCCCGTCTATGAGCGTAGGCTATGTTCCAGACTCAGATCCATGAAGAACAGCTCTTGTTGAAGAAGAAGGCAAGATCAAACGAGTAATCTCTGTCACTGTAAGCTGAAGCACGGACCAAGGATCTGGTCAGTGCAGCGGCGGGGGCTATGCACTGAATCTCGCGATGGCCGCATGCAGCCTTGCGACGATAAATGGTTCGTGGTTCGTATTAGGCTCACCAACCCAAACCTTAATTGCGATGTCAAATACTCCATCTCGAGCTTCGTCCTGGTTTCTGCTCGGACCTCCCTTCGTCAGGATTGAGCTATAACGTATCCGTGTAGCTCCCAGCAGCTCGCGGGGATTTGGGAAACGTGCCAGCTCTCCTGCACGTACCACAACGTACAGTAGCATAGTATAATCTAGCCGAGGCGTTACTACATGTTCACTGGATACGGGCTTAACCTTATTTAGCTATGATGTACACATACAGTGGCAGCTCCAGCCTAGTTCCATGCTTGTCGCGAGGTTAAAATCCTCGTTGAACCACGCGAAGAGCCCGAAAGAGAGGATCTGTAGTTGTAACTAAATCGGATTGGTTGTATCTCGTTCCCGTCTGTGGTTAACTGGTTGCGGTGACGCTGATCCATGGCTCTCGTATCCGTGTCCGTCTTTGACTTCATACTTCCGTATTCACCTTCGAGTTTGGTCGCAGGTTGTGGCTAAGGTCTGAATCACTTCCCGTGAAACTTTCACCGTATGAAGATACAGGTACATAGGATTTTTCGTATCTTTTTCCTTTTCTCTTTTTTTTTTTTTTTCCACCTGGGAGCCGGGGAAAGGTGAAGAGGCTGTTCGTCACATCCCGCGAAGAACAAACATCCTCTGCACCATCACAACAGCGCCAATAAGATGTTTAGTTTTCTGAGCTCGAACCGGGACTTCTATTTCGTTTGTGATGCAGCAAATTATAGAGCCGACCGGATATTGTTGACTCTTTCCGACTTGACTCACCTTGCCGATGCGACTTCCAGCAGCACCTCGGAGGTAGGCCTTGGCTTGCAAGATCAGACCCAACACAATCGAAACTGTTATTCTTGGTATATCTGACGAACCAGGAGCCTCATGAGATCCAGTGGGGAGGCAGAAGTAGAGGAGTCAGAACTCAAAGTGTCACATGAGGATAACCATCCGCTATACATCTCAACCAGATCGTCGGTGATACCAAGCGATGGAAAGCTCGCGGAGGCCTCTGGTCTCGTAGCAGTAGAGATCATGCAGCTTAAGCTAAGCTAGTTCACCCATGAACTTGAATTGGGTCAGATGCTCCCACGCATGGGATCATGACCATCAGCCACCGACAGTACTGTCTGCTGCTTATGCCTGGTATCAACTCCACATGTTCGAGCTGTGCAAGGTGCTGGATGTGATCGAGGAGACCCAGGCCCGCTTGCGGTACAGCGACCCCGAGCGCTTCACGGCCGGGGCTTCAGTCGCTTCGAGCGAGTTTGTTGGGGACGGCGCGGCAGGGTGATGAGGAGAGGGCGGGGGGTGGTCTTTGAAGTGACTAGTTGTTGGTAGTCCTGATTGTGCATTGATAGTTTGAAGATTCTCCTATGGACATGAAGATTTTTTGTGCATTTAAATCACGATCCCACCCGTATCCATACTACATACAGTCCACCCACGAGGGAAGAATCTCGCTAAAAGTGACCCATTCATCAAAATCCACATCTACATGCATTGAACTTCCACCCAGAGCATGGCGTTAACTCCTAGAAGTCAACAACAAACCATCACCGCTGCTTCACAAACTTAGTATGCAGCCCCGTCGCCACCACCACCCGCTTCTCCCCGCCGCTCGTCTCGTCCGGCACGACCTTACAGATCTCCACCGAGACGTAGGCCATCGTCCCGCCGACCTTCATCGCCCGCCCGGTCACCTCCAACACCTCCCCTTCCTTGGCTGAGGCGACGTACGAGACATGCAGATCCGTGCTCACCCCGGTGTAGCTGCCGCCGTAGGTGGCGATGACCATCCCCGCGGCCCAGTCGACGAGGCAGGCAGACATGGTCCCGTGCAGCCCGCCCTTGGAGTTGATGTGGGGCTTGGCGATGCGGATGGTCGCGAGGAGGTGGCCCTCGGTGGCGGCGGTGATGGTCAGGTCCGCCAGGAGGTGGGCGTAGATGGCGCTGTTGGCGCGCTGGGTGGCGCTGACGGTTTGGACGTGCGCGAGTGTTTCGTCCGCGGTCATCTTGGGGGCGGTGCTTGTCATCGTGTATTATGTGAGAGGATGGAGTGATTGTTGGGGTTAGTTTTGTACAGGTTCAATTGGGGGTTGTTTTGTGGTGGTGTTGGGGTAGAATTGTGAGTGCCACTTTTTTTATGGTGAGGGGAAATCTGAGGAGACGGAGCGCTTCCGAGAGCGAGAGACTCGGTCGCGCGCGGCTTGTTCCGTCGGAAGTAGCCGGGCGGCTTTTCCTGGGAGTGGGTTCCGTTACGGCTTTTTCCATCCAACCAAACCGACATCTTACACTTATTTTGGTTGGTATAACGAACGAAAGCCCTCAGCTCTCATGCTGAGAGCTACTGAATATCTCTCGAATCAACCCATCTAGATCCGAGACCCCGCTCCAGCCCTGGAAATCGCACCGCAGCAGGTCGTCGAACAGGTTCAAAAACTCCGACGGCGGAGACGGAGCAACTGTAGGAGGCTGTCCCGGCAGGAGGCCCGCCTGCCACGAGAGCGTGGGGTCGTCCTCGTAAGAAGTTGAGCTCTGCCCCTGGACGACCCTACTCCTCGGGTCAACATGCTGCAGCTGGGCCGCCAGGACGCCAGGGTCCCGCAGGCGATGGCGCACCGGCGACGACGCGGTCTCGCCGGGGCCGGCCTGGCTCTTGAGCAGCCGCTGCACTGTCACGTTGGACAGCTGGGCGATGCAGTCCCGCGCGCTGGCGGCCTCCGCCCAGTGCTCGCCGATACTGCTCAAGATGCTCTGCGCGGTGTTGAGCCGGCGAATCAGTTCGTCCATGCGGAACCGCGTCGCCGTCTCCGGCACCTTCCAGATCCCGTGCAGGAGGACGAGCGTCCCCAGGAAGACGGCGTGCACGGCCAGCCGGCTGTACAGCAGTCGGCCGGCGTCGTACAGATCGCCGAAGCACTGCAGCAGCATGAAGGCGTGCTGGACGCACAGATCCAGCATCTCCGGGGCGGGCGCGGGGATCGCCGGGCTGGGCCGCAGGAGGAGCACCATCGTCTCGTGGTACTTGGCGTGGCAGTACGCGGTCATCCCGGTGTCTTGGTCCCGTGGGGGCTGCGGCACGGCGGACTGCCACTCCTGCAGGGATCGTATCATGTCCCGCTGCCAGGCGAAGATGTCCTTCACGGGCGGGTATGCGTAGGCGGGCGCGTCGCGGCAGATGCTGTGCATGACGTATTTGATCTCGGAATTGAGCTGCGCCAGTTTGAAAAGGTGGATTGAGTAGGACATGTGGGAGGGCGCTTCCAGCGATATGGGCTGGTTGGCGGTGCGATTCATGAGGTTGCTGTCGGGTATGTCCAGGGGGAACTGTCGTTGATCAGTAAAGCATCGTCACAAATAGGAGACTCTGATGAAGGCTCATGCATACCCGTATTTCACACGCTTCGTCCCTGAGTCCGATTGGACGACCCATCATGGTGCAGACTGTGCGGTCAAATGTGTACGCCACCCAGAACACCCGTGTCCGCATCTCTTGGGTGAACAGCGAAATCTGGTAAGACGGAGACGCGCGAACATCGCGTTGTAACCCCAAGTCTATCACGCTCGCCAGGCACTGGTAGTTCAGATTCCAGATGTTGACGTTGCAAGAGGGGTTATACAAAGCGTAGACCATGAGCAGCAACAAGCACTGTAGCGCGGCCATTGACCCATCGTGGCAAACGTAGTCCACGTACTTCATGGCCGACGCGTAGTAGCCTTCCACCGGGAGCTGGAGCTTGCATTGGCGGGAAAGGTTCAGTGACGCGATCGCTAGAACCATATACACCTGAAACGTGCTGGTTGGGTTTTCCTCCGGAGCGCTGTACACGTCATTCAGCAGCTCCAGGTGGCGCTGCTCGTGTAGGAATGGGTACAGGAGATGGACGGTTCGGAAGTAGGTGGTTGAGAGCTCGACAGCGACCTCCTTCTCTGGTGGCAGCGGGGCTGGTGGGTTCAGCAACTCGACGGGCAGGTGGGATAGATTGCCGCTGGCAGTGGATTCCTGCCTACCGCGCCACCCTGTGTTCGAGAAGATGCGCTTGGCGAAGAAGTACCCACTCGAAGGGCCGATGTAACGGGGATCACTCCCCCGGGAGAGGGACACCAGTCCGATCTCGTGGGCTTGGTGTGGCTCGTCCTGCATTGGGGCATGATGCGAGATCGACTGGTCGGGGGTGGGTAGGGCGGCTGCGCTTGTCTCCGCCACGACAGCAGTAGCTTGAGACATTGACTGATCGGGCGTCGGCAGGGTGGCTTGGCTCGATTCATTGGGAGCCTGCTGTAAATCTTGCGGAGATGCATGGTTCTGCTGCATGCTCTCTTCCATGATTGACTCGTCTAGGGTCTCGGAGTGCCGCTCTGGGCCATTGCTCAGGTCGACATTCGAGCACTTTTCACGGACGATCGACTCCAGCCACTTAATCCTGTTTTCCATATTCGCAATGTACCTACAACCATAGGATTAGTACGGGTAGTCAGACCCTCAAATTACGGCAGCGACTAACGAGCGATGCACTTCCTGCTTCCCATCGTTGACGCAAGCGACGCCCGATTTCTGGCATGCGCCACAGGTAGGGGTGATGCCATCGCAGCGGATCTTGCGACGCTGGCAGCGTCTACAGGCGGCACGATTGCGCGCGCGCCTGGGTGAGTCCATCGAGCGCAGTATAAGGAGAGGTAGTCTGGCCTAATGAGACCGTGCAATGCATGGAGCAAACGGAGACTCGCCGCGAAGGGATGAGAAGATTGGCACGGCCGGGGAAAATCCGTTCGCCCGCTCCAATCTGGTGGTACTTGTGGCGGATGCCGACCGGAGAGCATCCGAGGGGAGCGGATACGATCCGCCGACGATAAGCCCTGATAAGAGCCGGTGGGCAGAAGTAGAGAGCAGCAACAGCAACAGCAGCGCACAGAAGGGCAATCCATTCATTCATTCAGCGGCAGCTTGGCTTTTCTTCTTGCACAGTATATCAAAAGTACTCTTCTCACCTCCACACATCACATCATGCTCCGCTTAGACGGCAAAGTTGTCCTGATCACCGGCCTGGGCCAAACCACCGAGGAAGGCTGGGGCATCGGGGCGGCCATCGCCGCCAAACTGGCCCAGCAGGGTGCCCTCATCTACGGCGGAAACCGCTCGCTCGCGTCCGCCCAACGCACCAAGTCCCGCATCGAGGAGGCCGGCGGCGTCTGCGACGTCCAGGAGACCAACGTCACCGATTCCGCCTCCGTACAAGCGCTGGTCGACGCGTGCATGCGCAAGCACGGTCGCATCGACATCCTCGTCAACAACGTCGGCAAATCCGAGCCGGGGTGTCCGGCCACCATGGCGGAAGACGTCTGGGACGCGCAGGTGGACCTGAACCTCAAGAGCATCTATCTGACCTGTCACCATGTGCTGCCGATCATGGAGAAGCAAGCGACCGGAGGATCGATTGTTAATGTGTCGAGCATTGCGGGGCTGCGGTACATCGGCAAGCCGCAGGTCGCGTACTCGGCCACCAAGGCGGCGATCATGCAGTTCACGAAGGCGACGGCGGTCATCTATGCGGACAAGAACGTGCGGTTGAACACGGTGGTGCCGGGACTGATCTATACCCCGTACACGCAGCAACTGGCGAAGAGGTATGCGCCCGGCGGGGACGAGGAGGAGTACATGCGCAAGCGGGACGCACAGGTGCCCATGGGTCGCATGGGCGATGCCTGGGATGTGGCCAATGCGGCGGTCTTTCTTGCCTCGGATGAGGCCAGGTATATCACGGGGCAGGAATTGGTGGTAGATGGCGGTATCACATCGTCAACGGGGAGGGTTTGATGTACCGTACAATAAATGAATGTTCGTGGTTGTGAGGGATAGTCATTGCCGGCTTGAAGTTCTCTGCAGTCAACCGGCTGCCAAATGCATGCTGTGCTTAAGTGACGACATATAATCTAGCCGGCGAATATCTCCTACGGACTCCGGAGGAGGATTACATATAAGCATTGAGCAATCATCAACAAATACCCCAAAGGAGTTTGATTGATAGCAAGGTGATGCAATCCGATCCGCATTGTGCTGATAAGAGGGGTAATGCAACCCTCTGATTTGCGCGCAAAGAGCCGAGGTTACACCGCTAATTTGGGCAATTTGTTGACTCCACCTTTCGTCTTGAAGTTCCCCGATAACCTGCAGATAACGCGAGCTGATGCTACCATAAAAGCCAAGCCAAGCCCCTGCCATAACTTCAATACAGAGCATTTCGAACTGTACCTTTTCTTTTAGAAGCATCATGACAATGCGATCGCTCTGGTCGGTCGCCCTGCTGGGTGCCTGGCCACTCACCCACGCCCAATTTGTTGCCCCTCCGACAGACCTGATCTCCACCAAAGGGTATCTCGATGTCCCCGTGCGGTACAAGCAGGTCCCCAACGGGATTTGCGAAACAGATCCCAGGGTGAAGAGTTTCTCCGGCTACCTCGATGTCGCCGAGAACGAACATATCTTCTTCTGGTTTTTCGAAGCGCGGAACCAAGATCCCCACGACGCCCCGCTGACAGTGTGGATCAATGGAGGTAGACCAACCCCGGTGAACTATCGCTTCCCATACAATTCTGATGCCAGAACTGCCAGGTCCCGGCTCGTCGTCCATGATCGGCCTTTTCCAGGAGAACGGCCCCTGTGGAGTGGACGCGAACGGCTCCGTGTACAACAACCCGTACTCGTGGTCGAATGCGAGCAACATGCTGTACATTGACCAGCCGGTGCAGACCGGCTTCTCGTACAGCATCCCCGTTCCCGGCTACGTCGACTCTGAGACCAGCAACGTGATCAGCCTGCCCTCGACCAGCTGCCCGGACTATGCGGCCGGCCTCTCGTGTGGGACCTACTCGTACCCCAACATCAGCCTGACGGCCAACTCGACCGACAACGCGGCCCCGAACTTCTACCGGGCGCTGCAGGGCTTCATGGGCGCGTTCCCGCAGTACTCGCGGGAGTCCTTCCACTTCACCACCGAGAGCTACGGGGGCCACTACGGACCCGTCTTCAACGAGTACATCGAGCAGCAGAACGCCCATCTCCCGCACGGAGCCAAGAAGGTCCAGCTGGAGAGTGTGATGATCGGGAACGGGTGGTACGACCCGATCATCCAGTACCAGGCCTACTACAACTTCACCGTGAGCCTCTCCCTGCCCTAAGCCTAAGACTCACTAACCCTGACCCCACCAGGTCTACCCCGGCAACACCTACGATTACCAGCCCTACAACGCCTCCATCAGCGCCCTCCTGTACAACAACGTGTACGGGCCCGGCAACTGCCTAAGCCAGCTGCGCGACTGCGCCGCGCGCGGCACGGACGCGATCTGCAGCACGGCGGACTCCTTCTGCGCGAACGAGGTAGAGAGCGTATACGACATCTACCTGGGGCGGGACGAGTACGACATCCGGGAGCTGACGCCGGACCCGTTCCCCTACGAGTTCTACGTCGACTACCTGAACACGGCGCGGGTGCAGGCGGCGATCGGGGCGTACGTCAACTTCACGGAGAGCAACAACGCGGTGTACGAGGCGTTTTCGGCCACGGGCGACGACGGCCGCCGCATGCGCACCACCGCCGACGTCGCCGCCCTGCTCCGCCAGGGCGTCTCCGTCGTCATGTACGCCGGCGACGCTGACTACAACTGCAACTGGCTGGGCGGCCAGGCCGTCGCGGCCGAGGTGGGCGCCCCCGGCTTCGCGGCCGCGGGCTACACGAACATCACAACGTCGGACGGCGTGGTGCACGGCCAGGTGCGCCAGGCCGGCCGCTTCGCCTTCGTGCGCGTCTACGAGAGCGGCCACGAGGTCCCCTTCTACCAGCCGTTGCTGGCGCTGGAGATGTTCGAGCGGGTCATCTCGGGCAAGGACGTGGCGACGGGGACGGTGGACTCCGGGGCTGAGGGGTACAAGACCGTCGGGTCGGTCAAGAGCACCTACCGCGAGGGCAATGGGACCGTGCAGTGGCAGGTGCTGGATCCGTTGGCGACATATAACACTACGACGAACAAACCGAACCCGGTCGGTGGGAAGCGGGCGCGGAGGCAGGGGTGGCGGAAGAGTGCGCTGCGGTTGCAGATGTAGTCTGCTGCTCGTCTTCTGATGCGTTTGCGTTGGAGCACAACGTATGATTGATGCGAATCTATCTTCGCTATTATTGACAAATCTATTCAATACAAAGTGTCTCCCACAACGATCCCCCATAATCTAGTTTATAACGCAAACTGACACATATACTCATCCTCCGGATCCACCTCGAAGTCGAACCGCACGAGATCCTCCTTGTACGGGAACATGTACGTCGACGTCACCCTGCCACCGGGAATTTAGCCTTAATACACAGAGTCGGGGTGGGAATGGATGACCGACCAGTGATGCTCCTGACTCGCCTGATACTCCGCCAACGCCGCCAGATTCTCATGGTAGCTGACCAGCGCGATCTGGAACCCCTTGCTGCGGTCGATCGGGTCCGTCACGCTGGGTCCGCCGACGATGAGCCGGCCATCCTTGACGCACGGAAGACTCTTGAGCTTCTTAAGCTCGGTGACGAAGGTCTTTCTGTGCTCGTCGCTCACGTCGGAGCGGAATTTGAAGAGGACTGGAGAGGAGACGTCTGGATTAGGATGGGTGCGGTTTGAGGGAAAAGTGGTTGCGGGGGGAACAGACCGATATGTACAAGGGTCATGATTGATGCTTGGGTGAATCTGTGGATAAACAGAATGTTTGGATTGATGTCAAAGTTATTGCTGCGTTGGAACGTCTTGTTATTTAAGTATATTTAAGACGACGTTGCTGCTCGGAAGCGGGCCGAGGAGGACTCGTGTATCGGGTAGTCGACGCGGATACGTCCCGCATCCCTCTTGGCGGTGCGTTTGCGGTGCGTTTGCGGTGTATTTTTGGTACTTTTGGTGTAACCGGGTTCTGGGCCACCGACTGGCGATACTTGGTATTATGATGGGAGGATGTTTGGTCATTTTTTGGGTCTCTTACTATTGCATTGCTACTACGCTGATTCCAACTGTTACTAACAGCCTCGGAAACTGCTTTCTTTCACCAAATCGACAGCATAGGAACCTCGTGCACTTACAATCCCCTTTCCTGTTTTTCCTGGTAACTCTCTAACACCAACCACACCGACATGACCATAGAGCAGCAACTTGGCCCTGAACAAAGACAGAAACTTCATTCCGACAACTCCCGATTACCACGGCCTTCGGCATTGCTGTCGATGCCAGATCTGATAGTGAGCGTGCTGGTTACAAGTGCCATATCGGTAGAACAGGGCGGGTTCGCGACCATTCTTGATGGCTCGCCAAACTGCGTGGAACGCCCGGTCAATGTTGACGTTGTCGTCCAGCTGCAGCTCCAGCCAATCGCCAACGCCATCCATCTCCAGTTTGACGCGGCCCAAAAGATCCTGGTCGCGGTCGAGGTGGTTCACATCGAAGGCGAAGACCATGTATGCGGTGAAGAGCCGGATCCAATAATGGTTCACCCACTGGCCCTTGTGCCGCATGATGAGCCGCACGAGGTTCTCCACGGCTTTGGCGGGTGTCAGCATGTTGACTGGGTAATGCTTGGGATTCTGCCGTCCCCGGAAATTGAGCAGGCCGATGCCCGCGGCGGGCAGATGGCTAGATGCGGTGGTTCGGTAGACCGACGCCCCGGGTGCGCTTCGCGGGGTATGCCGCGATAGCGGCCATAGTAAGGCCGGTTCGTCCCCGTGCTCGGCAGGACCGCAGGGCGGGTCTGGGAGGGCCGGATGGATCACGGCCTTCATGGGATACAGAAAGACCCCACGCGACTGGTCCGGGTCCCAGGCGGACTTGGGGTAGCGGTGGTCGGTGTGGAAGTGATACGCCGGCCGGGGGTAGGCGCGGTGTGACGGCTTGTCGCGCCGCAGGACGGCGCACCGGGCCTTCTTCTGGTGGATGCCTCGTCGCTTTCCTTCCGAGTCTTGGTCGCCCGTCTCCTCCTCATCCTCCACGCTGTCGCTGTGTCCCAGCGTCGCACTCCACTCCGCCATGCGCGGGCAGGCTGGGCAGACCGGGAACCCGTCCGCCCGCAGGATCTCCGCGGCCTGGTCGAGGCTCTGCTCGGGGATCGCCCATTCGGAATTCTGGACGTAGATTGGCACCCCAGCGTAGGAGGCGGCCATCTCGCCGGACACGGTGGCCTTGATACCGTTCGTGCCAAACAGATAGGACATCCGGCGGTGCAGCTCGGGACTGTCCGGGGCATCCACCGGGAACTTCACCGGCGGCGGAGGCACGGGCTTCCTGTCTTTCGCCTTGAGCCCCGGGGTCTGGTCCAACCAGTAGGGAATCTTGGCCAGCGACACCTCGTCGGGTCCCACCACGTTGACGCTCGAGACGGTTTCATTATCGGACTCAGCCGAGGTATCTGAGTCCCAGTCGGGGAGTCCGTAGTCCAGATTCGTGGCCTTGCATTGGGAGGCAAATTCTGTTTGTGCAGACTCCATCTGCTGAGTGGTCATTTTGGTGTAGTTATAAGCTTCGTACAGAGATAAAGTATACTATGATGGAGTAGAAGGGGTGACACCACAACTGTTTTGGGGGCTTATATACTGTACATCCTGTGATTTGTTGCTTGTTTGTGGAGTGAAAGTTTGTGCCATGCCTTGTCATGTTCCTCACTTTGTTTTCCTTTTATAAGCTAAAAAGCTTCATCTTGTATACACAAAAGACGTACAGTATGAGATGGATGTTGGAGATATATAAGAAGGTCGGGGTCTCTACCCGTTTCTTTGACCCTGATGTGCTATAGTACGTGTCCATTGTTAGGGTTCCATTGTTGCTTTGTGTGTACGTCTTTGTGCGAACACGAACAAAACATTGTGTCCACCGTAGTAGACTGCGTTGAACAATTACGAATCCAGCCAATCCAGGTAAGCCAGATAAGCGCAAGTCCAATTGCGCCATGCGGACGGAAATGAGGATGAGAAGCGTGGAAGGGAGGAAGCGGGGAGCTCGGATCTCTCCCGCTTTGCGTCTCGGAGAAGTTTCCGCCTCGGTTTATCCCCAGCCGACCCCGCATTGCCTCATAAAGCTGGATGTTTGGCAACATCATGAATCAATTGCCAGATTACATATCTACTCGACGCGAGAATGGAGCAGACGGAACCACCAAACCAAGACTATGATCTCCAGCAACCCATCGCCTCCACCACCGGGCTGCGGCAAGGGCTCACCTCGTACGGAGACGCCCACTTCTCCCTCTTTCTGCGCAAAGTCTTCATCAAAGCCCTAGGTTACTCGGAGGATGCGCTCTCCCGTCCCATCATCGGGATCATCAACACTGGCTCGGGCTTCAACCCCTGCCATGGGAACGTGCCGCAGCTGATGGAGGCGGCCAAGCGAGGCGTTCACCTTGCAGGAGGAATCGCCATCGACTTCCCCACCATCAGCCTGCACGAGGGCTTCTCCCATCCGACCAGCATGTTCCTGCGTAATCTCATGAGCATGGACACCGAGGAGATGATCCGTGCTCAGCCTGTGGATGCTTGCATCATGATCGGAGGTATGTACAGGACAGGGCAAAACAGTTCCCCTTACGATCGTGAACATGTGTGATCAGGCTGACACCCGATCTTCAGGCTGTGACAAGACGGTCCCTGCTCAGATCATGGGCGGCATATCCGCCAACAAGCCCATCTTGCCCCTGCTCACCGGCCCCATGATGCCCGGCAGTCATCGCGGCAAGCGAATCGGCGCCTGCACCGACTGCCGGAACAACTGGGCTTCGTACCGGGCGGGCACGATCGACATGGAGGAGATTGGAGCGATCAACGAGGAACTGGCGCCAACAGTGCGTATCCCAGCGCTTCCCCCTCTCACCCCCACTCCACAGCCCTAACTTCTCCCCAACTAGGTCGGCACCTGCGGAGTAATGGGCACCGCCAGCACGATGGCCTGCATCACCGCAGCCCTAGGCCTCATCCCGCTGCAGGGGGCCTCCGCGCCCGCCGTCTCAGCCGCCCGCCTGCGCATCGCCGAGCAGACGGGCGCCAACGCAGTGGCCGCAGCGCAACACCGCGACCAGCGCACCCCCCAAGCCCTCCTCACAGCCGACTCCTTCCACAACGCAGCCGTCGTCCTCCAGGCCATCGGCGGCTCAACAAACGCAATGGTGCACCTGATGGCGATCATCAACCGGCACCCCGACGTCAGCGGGACCCTGACCCTCGACACATTAGACACCATCGGCCGCACGACCCCGCTGCTGGTGGACCTCAAGCCCAGCGGCGACAACTACATGACCGACTTCCACAACGCAGGGGGATTGCTCTGCTTGCTGCACCGACTGCGACCACTCCTCAAGACCTCCGCGCGCACCATCACCGGCGAGACCCTCGGCGAGATCTTAGACCGCACCCCGTTCCGCGACCACGACTTCTCGCGCAGTATCATCCGCACCCTGGAGAATCCGCTCCACCCCAACGCCTCCCTGGTCGTCCTGCACGGCAACATCGCGCCCGACGGGGCCGTCTGCAAGGCTTCCGCCTCCAAGGACAAGCGGCTCCTGCAGCACACGGGCCCCGCCGTCGTCTTCGAGAACCCGCGCGACCTCGCCGCCCGCCTCGATTCCCCAGACCTAGACGTGACCCCGGACTCCGTCCTCGTGCTGAAGGGTATCGGCCCCATCGGGAACCCCGGCATGCCCGAGGCCGGCATGATCCCCATCCCGCGCAAGCTGGCCGCCCAGGGCGTCACGGATATGCTGCGGCTCTCGGATGGCCGCATGTCCGGGACAGCGGGGGGCACCATCGTGCTGCACGTGGCCCCGGAGGCGGCGGTGCCGACTTCGCCGTTCGGGGCGGTGCGCACCGGGGATCGGATTACCCTGGATGTGGAGAAGCGGGTGCTGCGGTTGGAGGTGAATGAGGAGGAGTTGCGGCGGAGGGTGGAGGAGCGGCGGGTGCAGGTCGTGGAGGGAGCGTCAGCGGAGGAGGAAACATGGACTGCGCGGCGGGCCAGGCGCGGGTATCGCGGGCTGTATGAGCGGGAGGTCAATCAGGCGCATGAGGGGGCGGACTTCCGCTTTCTGACGGCCCGCGGGCCTGGGGAGGTGTAGTTTGTGTTAGGTATATGTATAGTATACTGATGATTGTGTTAGATGGTTGTGAATGGAGACGGTATGTGCATGTATTTCTTGGCCTGTAATGTACAGCTTTTGGACTGAGGATCTAAGTAAGGCAGCTTATTACAGTCAAAGAAGGCTGGAGCCATGATGTGAGGGGAGACTTTCGACCCCATGTCTAGAAGATCGACCGATACCAACCCAGATTCACGCTAGGGAGCAAGGGAACTCTTTCCCCTCAACCGCGGCCCCCATCTCCGAAATGCAAAGGGAATAGGAATCATCGCGGCTGCCAGACACCCCAGTAACGTCGCCGCCCACTGGATCCCCAGGTTCTCGAACATCTGCTTCGTGAACAGCGGAAACCCAGCCGCCACGCTGGAGCGGAGGATGATGTTGGCCGCCACGGTCGATGCCGCCCTAAGTCATGTCAGTCAACTGCCCAACAACACACAAGAATGTCCCAACCAACTTACAACGGGAGATACGAATCAACCAAATAGTTGAAACACGGGAGGAAGATGCACAGCACGCCGAATCCCACAAAGACACCGGCGGCAGTGGGTGCCATCCAATGGATGCGCGGGGTGAATCCTGTCCAGCCGAACCTTTTTTCCCCCACACGTCAGCATGGTGCTCGTGCGAGTCGCGAAGATGATGTTGAGTACACGTACCAGAAGATCCCGATCGTGAACATCGGAGCACCGATCATCGCGGGCCCTAACCGCCATTCCGGAATGGGGCGATTGTCGTTCGCGATGAGTTTCTTGACATATCCGGAATGCTGGGAGAGAATGAAGGCACAGGCGAGGATCTGGCCGATGATAAGGCCGATGAAGGGCAGGCCGCTGACGCCGAGGTTCATGTGGTAGACCGTCTGGAACACGTACGGGTAGGCCTCGAGCAGGGCGTAGACCAGCCCGTAGATGAATGACATGTACATCGAGATCAGCAAGATGATGGGCTCGGTGAGGAGCATCCGCAGCGGGCGCGTGAAATTCTTCTGCAGCAGCGCGGTCAGGTCGATCTCGACTTCGTCCTGCTTGGCGTGGATGCCCCAGTTGCGGGTTGCCCGGCGGATGGCGGCTGCTTTTTCGACCAGGAGAATGGGGGCATATGTCTCTTTCAGGAAGGCGAAGGAGATAATGCCCAATGCGAAACCCATCAAGGCGGGGAGGTAGAGCGTCCAGCGCCAGCCGAGGGAACTGGAGGTGATGAACCCGCCGATGAATGGGGCGCAGAAGGGGCCAACAAACACGGTAAGCGCGTAGATGGTCATGGCGAACCCCCGGTGGGCATTGTTGTAGATATCCGTCAGCACGCCGGGGACGACGGACAACGGGCAGGCCCCGAACGCCCCCGCGAAGAAGCGGCAGATGATGACCGTCTGAAGGTCCTTGCCCACAGCCGAGCCGATGTCGAAGATGGCTCCGCCGACGAGCCCTAGGATCAGGGGCCACCGTCGGCCGATCAACTCCGAGGCGGGTCCCCAGATCAGAGGGCCCGATGCGAAGCCCAGGACGTAGAGGGTGGTCCCCAAGGTGGCTACCTCGGTGCTGACGCCGAAGGCTTCGCCCACTTGCTCGGTTCCTGGGGCGAACACGCCGCTGGCGAAGGATGCGACGAAGGTGCCGGCACAGGCTATGACGGAGATGTACAGCCTAGAATGGAGTGTTAGCTATTGTTTTCAATCTTCTCATTGTCCTCGGCGTCTTACTTGACGGCGAAGTCCCAGTTGAAAGGATGCTTGGGGTCGTCAGGTCCGTCGAACTCAACAACGTATTCAGCTGGATCAGGAAGGGGTCTTGGGAAACGCTTCCCTGCTCCCATAGAATAGCCTAAAGGCTTTTCGTTCTTGAGAGGTTCATCTATGTCACTGCCCACAGTCAGGTCGTACTGCAGGCTCTCGCTCCTGCTTTTGTGTAATTCGCCTGTTTCGAGGTCTTCAGTGCTCATGGCGTCTGTCTTGAGCAATAGATTATGTTTAGTTGAGGGTCATGTGTTCCAGTTGATTTAGACGAATTTTTCAACCTGAAATGATCCTGCACTACAGGGCATTTTGTATGTGACGTTCATGCTGTCGGGTATTGCGGGCCGCCCACAGGCTTTCCGCCGACGGCCTGACATGCTTTGAGGGTCTCCAGCACTCTAACTTAGCCACTATGACCGAACTCTTGTATATGAGTTGCGCTTCAAACAGACAAAAGCCCAGGTGGGAATTTCGCAGTCCATGAGCCCTTCACCTTGAAATGAACCCGATACCTCATTATGCCAAGACCCAACAAAGCGACCGTCGCAACTATTTCAAGTCTTCAAGGGTGGGCCGCATTACCGCAAAGACATTGGCTTCTAGGTTCCGCAATAGCCGCACTAGCCACAACCAGTTATTCGTTGAAGGTAAGATATCTCTTCCTCAATGGCTGCCAAGACGTCGTGAGGCCATGTGGACCCGGTAGGGATAGGATGCGGGTTAGTCCGCCGCCGCAAAGATTGAATGGAGCATTAATCCTGGTGCCCAGTCCTCAGTCCTCAGGTGTTTGGGGGGTTCGCTGCGGAGTGCGCATTACCCCGCTCCAGGTGGTTTCCTGCACATGAAGACTCTCGTCACGTCCCATAATCATTATTTATATCTGCTTGAAGAGGATGAAGGCTCGACTCAAAGAAAGATAAGCATTGTGCACCATCGACATTCGTTATTTCACCACGTTTCAATCCCAGCGGACGTATGGAGCCTTCATCGACTGAACAATTCTAATCATCTCGAACGAGGCGGCATCTAGCGCCGACTGAATCAAGAGCCCTAACCTCTTCGAGACCAAACAGCACCAATCATCAGGCGATTTTCAAGCCCAACTGCGGGATAGAATGTTGTCACTGTTCAGCTGAATCTCTGCATCGAATCGCCATCTTCTTCAAGATTAATCGCTTCGTATATCTCGGTTGCCTATTTTCGTTTGTTTGCCCGAGCTCCTCCGCCAAGCACAGCCATGCGCGTAACAGCCATGCGTGTATATAAGGCCACTGGGTGGAATCTGCACCTGCATCTTCCACCAGCTAGAGGAACCCCAGGTGAACGCTCAACTGCGTCACAATAGAAATCGCGTGAGGCTGTCGACTATGGCTAAGCTCATATACCACCTCGCGGCCTTCACGGCCGCGGTGACGCAGGTCGTACTCGCGCACACCAGTCTCGACTCCCAATACCGGATCGACGTGCACTCCCACCCGGTCCCACAGATCTGGCTGGATGCGCTGGTCGAAGAAGGCTACCCCACCGTGAATGGCAGTCTGATCGTGGAGGGCTTCCCGGTGCCGGACTGGACGCTGGCGGGCCACCTCCAGAACATGGACAGCTACGGGGTCAACTACTCGACGCTGAGCGTGACCACCCCCGGCGTGTACTTCCTGGCGTCCAAGCCCCAGAAGGCCAAACGGCTGGCCCGTGAGCTCAACAACCTGCTGCACAACTACACCCAATCCTATCCGACACGCTTGGGAGCGCTATGCCTCCTGCCTCTGCCCAACGTTGCGGACGCATTGGAGGAGATCAAGGTACCGCCCTTGCCCCTAGTTACCCAACCATTAGCTCGCCCCTGTGCAACAACCCTAACAGTCCGACCATAGTACTGCCTCGACACCCTCCACTTCGACGGCATCGGCCTCTACACCAACTACAACGGCCTGTACCTAGGGGACGCGACCCTCGACCCCGTCTTCGCGGCCCTGAACCAGCGCCGCGCCACCGTCTTCGTGCACCCCGCGACGCCCGGCTGCGCCGACGCGACCCTCGGCTACGGCGGCCCCCTGACGGAGTACCCCTTCGACAGCGTGCGCGCGATGGAGAACATGCTGCTGACCGGCCAGCGCGCGCGTTACCCCAACGTCACGATGATCTACCCGCACGGCGGCGGCGCCATGCCCTACCTGGCCGGTCGCATCGCGGGCGTCGCCAGTCTCCCCGCGTTGGGGGCGCTGAACCCGGCGACCGTGGTCGCTCAGCTGAAGGGGTATTATTTTGACACGGCGTCGGCGTATTCGGCAATCCAGCTACAGGCGTTGAAGGCGTTTATTGGGGTGGGACGGATTGTGACGGGGACGGATTGTAAGTCATCTTTATCTTCTTTTTCTTTTTTCCTCTTCCACTCTTTTGTTCTTGAGGATGTATTGTACCGTGGTGACCGAATGCTGATGGCTGATGGCTGATGGTGGTGTTAGTTCCGTACGTGCCGGTCAGTCAGGCGAAACCGGGGCTCGCGTCGATCCAGGCGAATGGCAATTTCACCGAGGCGGAAATGGCGCGGATCAATCATCAGAATGCATTGGCCATATTCCCTCGCATTGCGGCCAAGCTTGGGTTGTGAAAATCAGGATGAGGATTGGCGAGATGAGAGTACTGTACAGTGAAAAGGGTGGCACGTGATTTGGGAGGGTGAGAACCAATGGAATGCAATGAGAAAAGAATTGAAATGTTGAACACAGAAATAAGATGTTGAGTGCTCCGCACCTTCGGATGGCCGAGGCCCTGCGGGTCCTTCCGGCATTTGGTCTGTCTGATTACCGATTAGTGAACATTCCTGAGCACTTTTTGAACATTCTTTGGGAGGGCATCAGCCCATGTGACTAAGCAGCCCTGGCCCCAACAGATCCGATCCCTCCTTGTCAACATAAGAGCACAACATCGGTCCCAGTACGCCTGGTCAACCATGTTGGAGTTGTGTCGATCTTGATACAAGAAATCCTTTGGTTTGAGAGATCGAGTCAGTGATATGGCTGACTTGAGCCGTTGGGAACGCTGCAGCGAATGAGATGGTACCTTTTCATCTGATTCGACATCGAACCACATCCGCATCATGTCACTGGCCCAACAGTCCCGGAGGCGAGTCGGTCGCCTTTGTGTCAATATCGTCCACTATAGAAGAGATAAGACCACTGGCTGCTCTGATGCTCGTTGTTGAGAACAGACTACATCAGAATTTCATGCCTACTGTTGAATATCATTGATCCATCTCTTTTCCATCTTGAGGCCAACCTGGCATCCCTCCTGATCCGGTAGTACACACATACCCCCAATCAGGCCACCATGCCTCCCAAACCCTCCAACACATCCTCTGTACGGACAGGGGATGGGCCGAAGAAAGTGCACATAGCCGACACCCCCATCACCCTGCGCAACTGGCACCAACACATCGACTGGCTCAATGTCATCATGATCATCGGCATTCCGCTCTACGGCTGCATCCAAGCCTTCTGGGTTCCCTTGCAACTCAAGACCGCCATCTGGGCCATTGCCTACTATTTCTTCACCGGCCTAGGCATCACCGCCGGTACGTGCTCTCAGCCTCAGCCCACAACCATCAACCCCAGAACTCTACCCTAACCTCACCCGATTCTTCACAGGCTACCACCGCCTCTGGTCCCACAGCTCCTACTCCGCAACCCTCCCGCTTCGCATCTGGCTCGCCGCCGCCGGAGGCGGAGCGGTCGAGGGTTCCGCGCGGTGGTGGTCACGGCTGCACCGGGCACACCACCGGTACACCGACACCGACCAAGACCCGTACTCAGTGAACAAGGGCCTGTTCTACTCGCACTTTGGGTGGATGATCTTGAAACAGAACCCCAAGCGGATTGGACGGACGGACATTTCCGATCTGAACGAGGACCCCGTGGTGGTGTGGCAGCACCGACACTACCTCCTCGTGGTGGCGGTGATGGGCATGGGGGTGCCGATGCTGGGCGCGGGCCTCTGGGGCGACTGGTGGGGCGGGTTCATCTACGCGGGGATCCTGCGCATCTTCTTCGTGCAGCAGGCGACCTTCTGTATCAACTCGCTGGCCCACTGGCTGGGCGAGCAGCCCTTTGACGACCGCAACTCCCCGCGTGACCATGCCATCACTGCCCTCGCGACTCTGGGTGAGGGCTACCATAACTTCCATCACGAGTTTCCCTCGGATTATCGCAATGCGATCCAGTGGTATCAGTATGACCCGACTAAGTGGATGATCTGGCTGTGGAAGCAGATGGGGCTGGCGTATGACTTGAAGGTGTTCCGTGCGAATGAGATTGAGAAGGGGAGGGTGCAGCAGATGCAGAAGAAGGTCGATCAGCGGCGCGCGAGGTTGGATTGGGGTACGCCTATCGCCGACTTGCCGGTGTTGGAGTGGGAGGAGTATGTGGAGTTGGCGAAGAGTCGGGCCCTGGTGGCGGTGGCTGGAGTGGTGCATGATGTGAGTCAGTTTGTGGAGGAGCATCCCGGTGGACGGGCGATGATTACGGCTGGGATTGGGAAGGATGTGACGGCTATGTTCAATGGAGGCGTGTATTATCATTCGAATGCGGCGCATAATCTTCTGTCGATGATGCGCGTCGGGGTGATTCGAGGTGAGAGTGAGGTGGAGATATTGAAGCAGTCGCGGAAGGGGGAGTAGAGGTTGGTTAGATAGATGAAGTGATTTGTTCTCTCTTGTTCAGAATGGTTATCTGCCAGTCGGGATGAAAATGATTATGATGGGCGTGATGTGCTGTAGAGCTGTAGGTCGAGTCGCCTCAGGTTCTTCAGTTTGAGGACTCTGTATGCAGATAATAATTGATAGGGGCCTAGTGTGAAGGTTTCTTGAAGACTCTTTGTCTGTAAATTACATTCTGATTTCTCATCTTAGTATGAGTAGGCTTCACTTCACCAATAAAAGCGCACAATCTATCATACAGTTTTCATCTCCTGGTCATCACTTAGTGACAGGGGTCCAATCTTTCACTTATGAGATGAAAGTGAGATGAAACTCAGGTTTGCATCACACTCGAACAGATTTTATGCAGGTTAACACAGGAAGTATTGTTTGAGACCTAGGACTCTCTCATGGATTGACCTGCTTACTACAATAACTTGCAGTGATTCATATTGTGTCAATCACAAACTCCATAATTATATCTATGCTACTACAACTTCCTGTTGAGAGCATCGTATCCCAGCAGTCAAATAGTACCCTGAGGACTCTTTCTACTTCACGCAGCACGTCTATACTACTCTGAGAGACCTCAATCCAAGAACTCAAATCTCTTCCCTCTTTATCATCAGCCTGGACCCTGGGGCTGCTTCAATACTCGTTCACCATCGACCTTATATCTACATTCCCCGGAATTACATATCTCTCTCAATCACCATCGATCAAACCACACAACTATGAAGACTGCTAAGCACAAGCATCCAACCTTCAGACGCTTTCCCTGGCTCCCTATTGAGCTACGCCTTGAGATTTGGAAGTATGCGCTGCCGATTGTGACAGAAAAGGCTACGCTCTATCCATGGGTTGAGAAAACTGAATGGAAACGGGGAAGGAAGAGCCGGTACTGTTGGATCGAGCCGACCCTCTACTATCCCGTTGCTCCCAAAGCCCACCAGATTGCGATGCCCCTGCTCTACGTCAACCACGAGTCCCATTCTGTCGCTCTTGACTGGCTTAACAAGCATCGTCCCTTGCGCAAGCGCTTTCTTCACAGGGGGACTTTCCTCTTAACTCGCCCCTTCTTTGCGGAAGATGACACACTCTATCTTGGCCTTGATCCTGCTGCGCCGGACTACGAAGACCATCTCCGTTCCTATCCAAATTTCCAACACCTTGCCGTGTCCGAAAGCTTGTTTCTGGCCGACCCCACTAGGTTATGCTATCTTGTTGATCGCTTCTTCTTCCAGTGCCGGTCATTCTCTATTATCATCGCCAGCGGCCCCACTCCGTACAGCAGTGATCTTCCGAAGACGGAAAAGATGGTAGAACGGTGGGAGATCGATAGCCCACGAGAGACGATCCTGAAATGGGAAAACAGGCGTGGAGAAGTTCTGGTATGGAATCCCAATGGCATCGTCAGTGCGGCTCTCTATAAGCATGTGGTTTCTATTTACCCTCGTCTGTGCAACACTGTGGCACGTCAATGGCTCTGCAGGAACTTAACAATCGTTGAGGCTGTCCGTGCTGTCAAGAGATAAGCGACCCATCTTCTCTCTTTAAATCTCCGAAGCAAGCTTCTCCATGCGGCTTTTGTTTGTGATTCGGCTTCGTGCTTTGCGGGGTTTCCATCGCCAGGATGGAGTGGTGGATAGCGATGTGAAAATGGGAACGGCAACAGCATTTATTTGCCTATGGTCATCTGATCGTCGGGGGATCATTCTAGTCGGGAGATAGCTAAATCAAAAAAATACGATGGCTTTTTTCTTCGCACGTCAAGTTCTCAGAAGATCGCCAGGATCAGATCTCGTACCAAACCAGCCTCCGTTTAGTATGGCAATGTTCGAGACGGCGCTGATCCAAGCAGGAGGAATGCACCTTTTTGCCTAAGGCATCGACGATCGACGAGTCTCCAGCCCTGCATCATGAGCTTGGCAACGTTCCATGCAGCCCACCTTGACACATTCCATTCCCACATGCGATTAACTCCTGGTGCCAGACTGCATGGTTATGCTTCTAGCCATGCCCTGAAATCAATGGAACTAATGGAACTGCCCAACCATGGCAAACACCGAGATAAGAATTGGTAATGCTTCGATGTTGAGTCTTCCATGAAAGATACCGGAGTAGCCATTACCACACCCACACCTAGACAGAGATAAACGATATCAGAACTTTATTATTCCATCGCGTCACTACTAAATCATTCGCCAGGCGCACGGCGAGCAGAAGTAATGGTAGGCTGGACTGACCTCATCGCGAACTGATATCATCGCTGGGGCTCCGTCGCCTGCCGAAATTACCGCATGCGGCAATTTTCGGTGGATCCCGGTGACATCATGTTTATCCTCAACTTTTATATAGGCCAGACAGAAGAGAAAGTGTTTTGGGGGGATTCTTGCAAGGTCCCTACACTACTTCTCCTCATTCTCCTGATCACCAACCTATACATCAATCGCAACCATGGGATACGATTTCACCGTCTACAAAGGATCCAAGGACGGATCCATCAAGCAAGCCACCACCCACCGCGATGACCTGAAGAAAGACCAAGTGCTGGTGCGGGTCACCCACTCCGGAGTGTGCGGGACGGATCTGCACTACCAGACGACGGACATGGCGCTGGGCCACGAGGGCGCCGGCGTGGTCGAGGAGGTGGGCCCCGAGGTGCAGGACCTGAAGAAGGGGGACCGGGTGGGCTGGGGGTACGAGCACGACTGCTGCGGCCGGTGCTCCAACTGCCTGACGGGCTGGGAGACCATGTGCCCGGAGCGGGCGATGTACGCGGGGGCGGACCTGGACCAGGGCTCGTTCGCCACCCACGCCGTCTGGCGCGAGGCCTTCCTGTTCAAGGTCCCCGACGGGCTCAGCAACGAGGACTCGGCCCCGCTCATGTGCGGCGGGTCGACCGTCTTCAACGCCCTGGTCGTTGCGGGCGTGAAGTCGACCTCCCGCGTGGGCATCGTCGGCATCGGCGGGCTCGGCCACCTGGCCATCCAGTTCGCCGCCAAGATGGGCTGCGACGTCGTCGTCTTTTCCGGCAGTGACAGCAAGAAGGAGGAGGCGCTCAAGCTGGGCGCGAAGGAGTTCCACGCGACCAAGGGCGCCAAGGAGCTCAAGATCGGCAAGCCTCTCAACCACCTGATTGTCTCCACCAGCAGCCAGCCCGACTGGAACCTCTACACCTCCGTCCTGGCCCCCGGCGCCGTCATCTCGCCGCTCTCCGTCGACAGCTCCGAGTTCAAGTTCCCCTACATGAGCCTCCTCACCAGTGGCCTGCGCGTCCAGGGCGGCATCGTCTCCGCGAGACAGGTCCATCGCGACATGCTGGCCTTCGCTGCCCTACACGGCATCAAGCCCATCAAGATGACCTTTCCGTTGACGCAGGAGGGTGTGCAGGAGGCACTGAAGACGTTGGATGAGGGCAAGATGAGATACAGGGGTGTTCTTGTTGCGCAATAGACCACTTGATGGGGTGTTGAGCGTTGGGGATTAGAATGACAATAAATAGTGACTGTATGTATAGTATAATCTGCGAATAATGATGATGATGACTTTATCTCGATGGGATCGTAAATGCACCTTGACAGCGACTTACATTGCTTGTGCAATGGAAGGCACTTGTAGGTACCAACCCTAGAGCAGCCCGCCAGCATTGTGCAGAATCTGTCTCTGAGGAGATACTCGCAATGTTGCCTCTATTCTCTATTCTTCCGAGTACCTCTACACACATAGGCATGGTGATGCTCAAAAGCTTCTGGCTTGTTACTGCTCTCGTATAGTTCGCGGGAGGTCAAAGAACCACATGCACCCACCCACAAAGCTCTTCTGCAACTCCTTGCACAGGAACAAATGAATCACCGATGGCTAAAAGCCCATCCCATACCTGAGCCCGCGCCTAAAACCACCCATACCAATAGCCGCTATTACATTTACTTACCCCTAAAGCACAGCCCTAAAGCCCAACCAACCCCCCCTCAAAAAACTGCACCAACTTCTCCCCAACCCCCTCCTCCTCGACGCGATCATACAAATCCGCATGCGACCTCCCCTCCACCACAAACACCTCCTTCGGCTCCCTCGCGCGCTCAACCGCAGCCTCACTCACCCACCGACTCTCCGCCCTCCCCCCGACAACCATCAACACCGGCCGCGGACAGATCCTGTCCATGAACCGAAACGCCTCGAAATTCGCCATCAGATCCCAGCTCCGCGCGCGCGCCACCCCCACCGCCCGAGGATGGTAACCCCGGGTAGTGCAGTAGTACGCCGCGAAGTCGCGCATGGCCGGGGGTGCATCGGGGGACAGGTCCTCGTAGCGCTGCGGGAGCATCCGCACCAGCCCTTCATCTTTATCATCTTTCTGGTTGGGGGTAACTGCGGTAATGGTCGTGGTCGTGGTCGTGGTCGTGGTAGTGCGGTCCTTGGCTGCCAGCGCAAGTTGCATCTCCAAAATGTCTGGGTTAACAGCGTGCTGGGCTAAAGAGCCCCCGCGCCGGACGAGCTCCCCCACGCACGCCGCGGAGACGGTCGCCACGGCCCGGAGACGCACGTCCGTCTGCGCGGCGAAGGTGGCGTACCCGCCTGCGGCGCAGATGCCCAGCACCCCGATGCGGGTGGGGTCCACGAGGTCGGGAAGATTGGTGGCCAGGTGGGTGGCGGCGTCTTTGATCTCCTCGACGCGCTGGTAGGGGTCTTCCAGGTGGCGCGGGTGGCCGGGCGATTCGCCGTGGTGGGCGGCGTCGTAGGTTAGGCAGGTGAAGCCGGCGGCGGAGAGGTGGCGGGCGTAGTTGGCCGGGGATTGTTCTTTGATCGAGGTCCAAGGGTGGGCGATTATGATGGCGGCGCCGGCGCGGGAGGGGGCATTGGGGGAGGCTGGGTAGAGATGCGCGGAGAGGTGGAGGTTGTTGCGTGAGAGGAAAGTTGTGGGGATGGGGGTGGGGGAGGGGCGCATTTTGCGGAGGTGTAGTATGGTAGAAATATCCTGAGTTGATGGTTTTGGGTTGGAAATGGTCTTGCTTTATATACTGGTTGATGATGATAAACTGTCTGTCTATGTCCGATCCTATTGTCCAAGCCCGAAATCTATCGGGATTGCGATCTGCACTATACGGGTTTGAGTTAGTCGCTATGGAGGGGATCTTCGAGCGTCTGACTGAATTAACTGGTTGTTGTGAAAGGTCAGCTAATATGTTCGTCTGGCTTCCATGCAGGGCAGTCTTTGGCACACTGAAGCTGATACTAGCCTATAAGCACAACACTGATCCCAGGTATATACTGGACCATCTTCGAGACCACCCAAACCGAGCTCAATCCCGGTCAATCTCCACCACCGGCCCCGTATACTCCTTCCCACCCCAGAGCACATAATACCCCGTGCTGAGCAGACTCGTCCCCGCCGTCCCCACGACCGCCCAATTCATCGTACTTGCCGTGGGGTTGGCCACTGTCGGCCAGAAACTGAAGAACACGCCCACAGTCAGATACGCGATCGTGAAAGCATTCACCAGGATGCCCAGCACGCCGGGGATGTGGAACGGACCCCACGCGAGCGGGGCCCCCGCGGTGTTGACCAGCATGGAGTCCACGGCCGTGACGGCGGGGTCGCGGATGCCGCTCGTGCACCGCTTCCAGATCAGTAGCGTGGCGGAGATGAGGTAGGAGGTGTACAGGGCGCTGACGCAGAGAGACACGACGTCGTTGAGGACGGCGGCAGACCCCAGAATGATGAGGGCGAGCAGCACGGCGGCGACGGTGACGACGAGGATGGACCATTGCGGGACGGCTTGGGCGTTCACCTAGAACGTGAGGTTAGCACATGACGGACTTGCAAAGGGACAAGGGTGATGGATGAGAGCATACTCGACTAAGGATACGCCAGCCTGGAAGACCGCGATCCCGAGCGAAGGACCAGACCATGCGCGAGGACGAGGCCAGCGAGCCGACAGCGGTGGCTGTGACCAGAACCGGCACGATGGCGCTCATCACCGTACAGCCGCCAACGGAACTCGTGGCGGAGCAGAACACCTGCATATACGGGTATCCGGTGGGCGATTCCAGTGCGGTGGTAACGTCGGTCATGGTGAACAAGGTGCTAAGGACCATGCCGAAGCCCAGCAGGCCGTTGATCACAACGGAGGTGAGGATGGACTGCGGCACGACTCGCTCCGCATTGTGGATCTCTTCACTCATCTAAAGCAAAAGCCAAGTCAGATTTGGTTGGACCTGAGGGGGTGGCCGTAGGCTTACATGAACAGCAGCATCAGCCCCCGTGAAGGAGAACATAGCCCCCGTCATTCCCACCATGAACGCCAGTCCTTCGCTCTGAAAGCCCCCGTCGTTTCGAAACTGTCCGAACACCTCGGACGCATCGTTGTGACTGCCCAGATAGAGAAGTGGGATGATGATGGCGAAGAAGCCCACGATGTGCAGGATCAGCACGAACCCCTCAAACTTGGGAAGCCAGGTGCTGGCAACTGCGTTCACGAACACTGCAAACGCCAGAATGGCCCAGAAGAGCAGTACCGTCTGCCACGCTGTCGGGACATACGTGCTGTGGTTCAGGACCACCAGCCCCTGAATCTGGGAGGCGCTCAGGTAGCAAGTCGATGTGAATGCTCCCAGCCAGCCGATGACGATCAACCACCCTGCAGGGCAAGTCAGTCAACCGGTGATGACGAAGAACTCGAGAGGGACAGAAAACGCCGAGAGAACATACCTGTGAGAAAGCTAAGGTACTTCTGACATGACGGCGGAGCCATCATCGAAACCCAGTGGTACTGACCCCCGGAGGTTGGAGCCCTACGCGAGATGCATGTCAGATTCTGTTGGGCAGGAATGGACAAGAGTACCTACATGGAGACCAACTCCGACAGCGTGAGGAAGGTCGAGAAAGTGCCCAACCAGACAACCAAAAAGCTATACACGGTTCCGGCCGGGCCTCCACTGTCCGATCGACTTTCGTTAGGTGCCAATCAGGCAAGATATTGTCAAGATGCGCCACATACTCTTCAAACGAGATCACAAACGTCGACAAGATACCTTCCCACGAGGCCAAAATAGTACAGGAAAATCCTAGGATGGACAGAAACCCGAAGCGACGCTTGAGAATCTGCTTCTTGCCCACACGCCCGAGCCCCTGGTCATCCTGGACCTGGGTATGACTGGTACTCGCGGCTTTGGTGTCGCCGTGCCGATCGCGGAGAGGAATTGGGTCCTCCATGCTGACTATCGAGAAGCTTCAGCTGCCAAGATCCCACGCAGTAAGGAGACAGGCGTGGTAGAAGACAAAAGAGCGAAGAAACAATCAAAATAGAGGAGACAAAACGGGATTGTATAATTTTCCCTCCCTATCTTCTCGCCCGCGCTTTTGTCTCATGGCGCACAAGGACGCTTCGTCGTCGTCTATCATTCCCAAAAGAGGGGCGCCAGCCCTGACTAGTGGCATGAGTGGCCCCCCCTGCTGCCCTCCTAATGCCGCACAAGAGTTTAATTGATGAGAAACGGGTGGGTGAAACAGATCAAATGGCCGTCTGCCTTTATTCAGCGCCAGCACCCCACCAGCAGGGGATATAAATTGATGCGTGACTAAATCCCTCAGTTCCCGCGCGTTCGCTCCAGTCGATCGACGGCGATGGGCTGACAAGCACTGCGCTTTCAGACTAAGCATATTGATTAGCCTCGGAGCTATTTTCCACTAGCAGGGGAACTAAATAGATTAAGAGTGGAGATCCTCCTTGGGCCGACGCGCAGTCGTTTGCTACCCACCAAGCTAAATCCCCCGGCCCCAGCCATGCACAGTATGTCTCACTAATTTTCCTTATTCTGATAAGCTCAACCAAGCTACTGTCAAAGATTGAAACCATGGTGGCCCTTCCCCTCCCCGCCAATGTTATTCACACTACCGCACCGGTTGACTGCGATTTGACCCTCCATCGGTGGTGACGGACTCGGTGGCAGCAGTAGGATCGTAATGCTCTTCCACGGCCCAGGTCATCGTCTGGCGGATGATATGACTCTGGCTGGTCTGGCTATGCCCGTCATCCCATTCTCGCTCCCGCTGCACTGCCAGAATCGTCGTGTCGTGAGCCGACCCGTGCAGTTGGTTCAGCTCGTGCGCCGTGCCGCTCCGTTTCTTCTTCCCCGATCCATACCCATATTGTTCGTGCGTCGAACTTTGACCCGGTAGATGGTAGAGTCGTAGTCCGGTGGACTGGAGTCCATCCATGAATGGCTTGAGGTGGGGGATGCAAGAGACGATGATGGCCAGACATTGGACCAGCTCCATGCAGACGGTGACCTTCCAGATTTCGAGAAGGGGCTCATTTGAATCTTCTTGAATGCTGCCTCGAGACACCAGCTCCATCACGATGGCGATGACGACCCTGAGCCCGCCGTCAAGGTTTGAGTTAGCTGATAATCCTGTTCAACACCCCGAAACGAGGCCACTTACAAGATGCGAGTGGCAAAACACCCGATCACCACCGCTTTCTTCGTGTCGGCCATCTGGATCTTGGAGACGACCAGAATGGGGAAGACCATCAAAGCGCATTCTGTGAGGATGTTGGTGATCCCAAAGTAGTACCACCATGCTGCCTGCTCGCGTGGTTAGTCGGGTTCGGCATCGCACCGAAATGCGGTTCATCGGCATCCTACACGGTTGAAGCATGTCTGCGTGAGCCAGTTCCACGGCTGGGGCAGGCCACACTGGAACGCGACCGCAAACTCGCAAGTGACAGCCCATGTTGCGATGAAGGCAATCAGACCCCATTCCACTTTGCGGGTTCGTTGCATCAGGAATGTCATGAATGCCAGAGAGCTGAGCTTCGCGAAAGTAATGCAGGGTATATAGAGCAATTCCGCGGCGTAGATAGACTATATCCCCGGTCATGTCAGTGTATCAGTGGATCCGTTCAATAGACTTTCGGCATACCTTCAAAGCTACTGCTTGCTGATGTTGCGAAGAGGCTCTTTGCTCCTGACCATACCCATTGTCGGCTGCATTTGCGACACATGCTGCCTGCAGCACCGAGAAGACCTACACAGTGAATTCGCTCGGTCAGTACTTGTAGTCCGTAAATGGTCTGCCTGTCCGCACGACACCTACCAGAGCCGCAGTGATCAGGTAGTCGTCCATCGTCAGCCTTCGGACGATGACATATTTGATCAGAAGCCGAGTCCCCCCGGAGAGCACGGCGATGACCATGAAGAACCATGCGAGGATTCCGATGACGGGGGCGCGATTGGTGTCCGTAACCACTGTCATGGCTGCAGCAGACGGTGTGCGTGAGCGTCAGCGCCAGCGTCAGCATCACATAACGTTAACATACACAGCTTGGCCATCCAGGCTCTCCTTCATAAACCGGTCTCCCGATCATCACCTCCAGGAGGAAGTGAAAACGAGGCGGAAAAAGTAGATTACAATGCAATGAGTGTCTCACACGGTGGTGGATCAGGATCAGGACGTGGCCCGCGCAATCTATTAGGGTTCGGCCGGTTGGCGCAGATCCGTACCTTTGCGTGGCCCCATCCCCATGCAGCTTTAATTTAGTGTGTCACTCCACGCAGGTCAGCTTCCTACTGGATGGGAAAATTTCGGCGAAAATAATCCTTGTCGCTTCAAGACGGGCTGGCTGAGATAATTAAATTAGGCTTTGTGCAACGGTTCCCCTCGCTCTTAACCTTCGTTCGTTCCGGCCGTTGGATTTCGGCGCTATCCCCTCCCCTTTACTGACTGCAACCCTAATAGATTCTCACAAACAGGCCCTCGAATACTTCTGACATCATGGGAGCTAACGTTACCACGCATGAGGGGACAGCCCCGTTTCAGTATGAGCACCTCCCCAAACCCGCGCAGACCTGGTATCGAGTGTACGGCGATCTTACGGTCGGCACGCCCCTCGTGGTGCTGCACGGGGGCCCGGGGTTCTGCCACAACTACATGCTCCCCCTGGCCGATCTGGCCACCCCCCAGAGGGCGGTGATCCTGTACGATCAGATCGGAAACGGGCGGTCGACGCACTTCCCGGAGAAAGTCGGCGATCCGGCCTTCTGGACGGTCGAGCTGTTTGTCGCGGAGCTGGCCAATCTGCTGGCCCACTTGGGCTTGGGCCTCGCGACCGGCCGCCCCTTCGATCTCCTGGGCCACTCGTGGGGGGGCATGCTGGGCGCCGAGTTCGCCGTCCGGCGGCCGGCGACCGGCCTGCGGCGTCTCGTGCTCTCCAACGCCCCAGCCTCGGTGTCGCTGTGGCTGGAGTCCGTGAACCGGCTCCGCGCGACCCTGCCCCGTGGCGTCCAGGCGACGCTGCAGCGGTGTGAGGACGAGGGCCGGCTCGACTCGAAGGAGTACGAGGACGCCACCATGGTCTTCCTGTCGCAGTTCTCCTGTCGGGTGGACCCCTGGCCGCAGGAGTTTGTGGACAGTATCGTCTGGGCGACTGAGACGGATTCCACCGTCGCGTCTACCATGTGAGTCGTCGTGCTTCCCGTCTTTAATTTGGATTCATATGTTTAACCATCGGGATAGGCTGGGCCCGTCCGAGTTCTGGATCGAGGGCAGCTTGAAGGATTGGAGCGTGCTGGATCGTCTGCAGGCGATTCAGGTGCCCACGCTGCTGATCAACGGGAAATATGACGAGGCGCAGGATAGCACCGTGGCGCCGTTCTTCTGGGCCATCGACAAGGTGAAATGGGTGACACTGGCGGAGAGCGCCCACTGTCCGCAGTTTGATGAGCCGGAGAAATACCTGCAAGTCATCCGGGACTTTCTGGGAGCTCGGGAGAATTAGGGTTGCTTATCATGCTAGCCACAGATCGCTGAGACAAGCATATCACGCCACTAAGGCTCGAGAAATTCATCCGTATCCATTCGATCATCGGCCGTAAGTCTCCTTTCGTAGAACATTCCGTCTGAAAGCACAGCATCCACTAACTACTAGTGTTTGCTTCACTATAGTCTCGCCACACACACCAGATGCGTAGTTACCTCGAACCAATGATGATGGACATCGATGACGTCTTTGAGATCGAAAGAAATGAGAGGATGGCCATGGATGGGCACACAGGAAGGAAGTCATCAGTGGAGACATGATCCAACCATCTTCACTGTCTGGAGTTGATGGGTACGGAATTGATAGATAGCAGGCAGAGAACAAGCCCTGCACAATTGGAATCAATCACGTATTACATAATTATGCTAGTGCTGACGCATTCCCGTTGGCGATTAATGGGGCCAATAATAACATTCAACCCATCCCAGAGCATTCGTCTCGCGAACCATGAATTTCTTTGGGGGAACAAATAGCCCGAAATGCATGCTAAGACGAGGGTTATTCTGCCGGCACCTGCAGGGCCTGATCCCCGCGGCAAAGCGGCCCCGTCAAGCCCCACCACCATGCCATCCACCTGCCGCACCTGCGTCAGACGCAAGGTAAAATGCGACAGGCTGACGCCGCGTTGCTCCAGCTGCCGCAGGGGCAACCACGAGTGCTCATACCAAGCGCCGTTCCCTCAGACGCGGAAGCGCAAAGCGAGCGAGGACCTCGCAGACAGAGTGGCGCGATATGAGCGGATTCTGCGGCAGCACGGTTTGCTGGACGCTGACGCGCAGACGAGGGTGAGTGGCATCGCGCCAGACCCGATTTCGTTTCACTATAACGAGCCCGCAGCCTCGACGACTGGTAGGGTGCTTGGCGCAAAGGGCACGTCGAGATATGTCAGCGGGCATCCGTGGACCAATTTCGGCGAAGAGGAGGTGCGACGCGTCTTCGAAGAGGAAGAGCAGGAGCAGCGGGAGATGACCATTACATCCGAGCGCTTGGTGTCTGATCCGTTGACCGATGCGCTCGTGGGCTCTCGGCGGTCGCTTCTGCAGTACCACCCGACTCACACAGAGGCCCTGCTGCTGTGGCACATGCATGTCGAAAGCGTCGAACCGTTCTGCAAGATCCTCCACATCCCCTCCACCTCTGCGATGATCGAAAGGGTTTCGCATGATCCCGAGCTAGCATCAGATGCAGATGAATGCCTTGTGTTCGCTATCTATCAGTTCGCAGTCTACGCGATGACAGACGAGGACTGTGAACAAAAGCTGGGCCAGCCACGCAGTGCCTTAAGCCGACGATATCATTCCGCCGCGCAACAAGCGCTGGTCAATGTCGCATTCCTTAAAACGAGTGACACCCAGGTCCTACAGGCTTTGGTCCTATTTCTCCTCTCCAGTCGCCAATATTACGACTCGCAGACGTACTGGATCCTGACGGGTGTCGCCGTCCGGATCGGACAGCGGATCGGTCTCCACCAGGACGGAGAGAAGCTGGGGATGTGCCCGTTCGATGTTCAGATGCGACGACGGCTGTTCTACCAACTCATACCCCTCGACGGCAGAGCGAGTCAAATGGCGGGCACCGTTGTGTCCATCCCACCGGACTCGTGGGACACCCAGCTCCCGCTCAACATCAACGACGAGCAGATCTGGCCCGCCATGACGGAGGCCCCGCGGGAGCAGCAAGGCGCGACGCAGATGATGTTCTGCCTGTCGCGCGCCTGCATCGGGCGATTCTTCGCGAGCATGAGTCCGCACCTCAGCAGCAATGGGCCGTGGAAGTTCGACAGCCTGCCCGAGGCCGAGTCGGTCATCGGTGCCGCTGAACGCGAGGTTGAGGATAAGTATATCCGCTACTGCGATGTCGTGGACCCGCTGCATTTCCTGACGGTCGGGTTGGCGCGCGCGGGCATCACCGCCATGCGGCTGCGCGTCAGGCTCACGAGGGTCCGGAATCAGACTGCCACGGAGGCGGAGATGCGGGAGGTCTTTCATCTCGCCCAGAAGATCTTGGATACGGAAGCGGCGGTGTCGGCTCACTCGGGCTTGGAGCGATACCGGTGGCATGTCCGGCCGTTCTTTCTTTGGGGCACCTTCGATTCGTTCATCCTTGTCTTGACGACCCTGTGGACGCGGGCCAGCGTTCTCTCTCCGGTGGAGGTTGACGGGGCGTGGATGAAGGTTGAGCAGATTTACTGTAATCATGATGAGCTTCTGCAGACGAAACCGTTGTATGTGGCACTGCGGAGACTCACGCTCAAAGCTTGGGATGCCCATGCGCGAAGTGACAAGGCAGCAGAGCCGGGTTTCATTACGTCTGCGCGTTCATTGCAGGCGGCGAAACACAAGACTTGGGATGGGAATATAGAAAATTCACCGACTTCTCAACATGAGCAGAGCGATGCAATGTTTTCAAGGGCGTCGTCTGCGACTGACTTGGATGCGATGCTTGGTCCGGTAGCTGAGGGTATAGATGGAGAGATGGGCGATGGTATCAATTTCGATGCCGTGGACTGGGCTTTCTGGGATCAGTTGATCCAATATCACCAAGGACACGAGGATGGCTAGGATGATGGATCCATGAAGACCTTGCTACAATGAGAATGTCAACATGGGAAATGATATCAGACACGGAGTCGGAATCTCCGCCCATCCCGGTTCCGCCGCAAGGCTGGAAACGGACCTTCAAAACTGCCCCAATCCCGGTCCGATTCGATCGTTCATTGGTCAGATTCTCGGGTTGTCCTCGGCCGAGCATCTAGCCAATCAGGAAACCCCGCCATCAGCGGCCATAGTACCTAGTAGGTACCACCTTAGTATAAAAAGCCCCTTCATGGCCATCACTGTTCAATCACAGCAAACAACATCGACATTCAATCGAATCCAAGAATCATGCCCCAGCTCAGAGTCCTCATTGTTGGTGCATCGATCGCCGGCCCAACCGCCGCGTACTGGTTCGCCCGAGCCGGAGCCAAGGTCACCGTTATCGAGCGCTTCCCCCATCTCCGCACCAACGGCCAGAACATCGACATCCGGACCGTTGGCGTGACGGTAATGCGACGCATTCCCGGGATGGAGGAGGCAGTACGGGCCAAGACCATCCCTCTGGAGGGAATTGGTTTCGTCCGCTCGGACGGCCGCCCGTACGGAATTATCTCCACGACCGGAGATCCCGATCAGCAGTCTCTCGTCTCGGAGTACGAGATCTACCGTGGGGATCTCTCCCGGATCCTGTACGACCGGACCGTAACGAATCCAAACATCACTTATATCTTCGGCGAGCAGGTCGCCTCGATTCAGCAACACAACGAGAAGGATGGCGAGGACAGCCCCGTGACGGTCGAGTTCGCCAACGGCACCCCTGCCGCGGAGTTTGATCTCGTTGTGGCCTGCGACGGGGCGACGTCGCGGACCCGCGCGATAGGGCTCGGGGTCGGCGTGCGCGATCACCTCGTCCCGACCGGCAGCTGGGCGGCTTACTTCTCCATCAAGCACGATCTCCTGGAAGGGGGAGATAATATCGGGAAGGCGTACAATGCCGTCGGCGGCCGCTTCATTGCCGCTGCACCGGACCCCTGGGGCGTGAATCGAGTGGTCATGATCAAGCACCAGCCGCCAACTCACGGCAGCGATGCTACACGACCGTTCCGGGAGGCGATGCAACAGGGCGAGAAGACACTCAAGCAATTCGTGGCGCAGACTTACCGTGGCGCTGGCTGGAAGTGCGACGAGGTGATCCAGGATATGATGGAGGCGGAGGACTTCTACGCCAGCGAGATCGTGCATGTCAGGCTGCCCCACCTGTCGAGGGGCCGGTTTGTGCTGGTCGGGGATGCCGGGTACGCCGCTTCGACGGGCACCGGGACAAGCCTTGCCATGGCGGGGGCGTATGTGCTGGCCGGGGAGGTTTGCAAGCACAGGGGCGATCTCGCGGGTGCCCTCCGCGGGTACGAGGATGTCATGCGGCCTCTGATCGATGACATGCAGAAGGTCCCCCGATTTCTTCCCAGCATCTTCACACCGCAGACGGCCGGGGGCCTGTGGTTGAGGAATACGCTGTTTGCTTTCCTGTGTTGGACCGGGATTCTGGAGCTCACGCAGAAGTTCTTTGCTGGGTCATTTGCCAATACGGACAAATATCGGTTGCCAGAGTATCAATGGGAGGAGTAGGCGCAGGCGCAGTTGCGGGGTCTGGCTTGTGTTCTGGCTGTGTGTCATCTATAGACGACAATTCTCAACTCCTTTAAGGATTTCTCACTGATTGCAGCCCGCAATGTGGACAAAGGGTAGTCGACGGGTTTCTTATAAAGCTCATCGTGACGAACAGCTAAGCTCACATGATGTAAATCAAACATTAAAGACATGGCGGCGGGGGATGAGTGCCGTAGAGATAATATAGCTTTGCAAGGTATAGCTCTGCATCAACTCAACCCCAATCCCACCACCTCACACCCAACCAGCTTCCCAGGCTCAGTTCTCTCTACTACAAAACAGCCCCAACTCTATCCGGCCAACAATCCGCGACCTCCCCGCTCTCCAGCACCGAAACAACCACCGACCCTTCCCCGCGCAACGGATTGCCCTCCCAGACCACAAAGTCCCCGACATACGCCTCCTCCGCACTGCCCGCCCGACGCAGCCCCAGAATCTCCTCCAGATTCGTCGACACCAGCGCGACCGCCTCGCGGTCCGTCAACCCCGCCTGCTTCCCGGCCGCCCGCGCGTGCTGGGCCAGCGCGTGGACCCCCGAATCGCCGACGAGGGCCAGACCGAGCTGCACGCCGGCATCGAGGAGCGTCTTCGCGGCACTCTCGGTCAACGGGGGCCCCACGGGGATGTCCTTCTTCTCCCAGCGGTCCGGGGCGCCGCGGTTGCCGGTCAGGATGACGGGGATGGCGGCTTCGGCGAGGTGGTGAGCGACCTGTATCTTGGTTAGGGTGGGTTGTTTACGCGGGGATCATGGAAGTTGAGTGAAGGGTGAAGGAGGGGGAGAGGGACAGGGCCTTACTAGAGGGGCACCGTGGCCACCGTAGAGGACCAGCTTGACGCGTGGGAAGTCCGTCTTGATACGAACGAGTTGGGCGATGTCGTCCTTGTCCGGGTCAGCTTGACCATTTAATTCGTTCTAGGACTCATACATAGGCGAGAGACGTACCTGATGGAAAGCATGCACAACCACCGGAAGAGACCCGTTCGCCGCGCGGGCGTACACCCCGGAGCTTTCGGTGCCTCCCTGCTCCAACACTTGCCGCAGCCGTTCGATCCCCGACAGGACGGTGGGGGTATTGTCGTCTACCAGGATGCGCGTAAGCTACTCTATGATTTTTGACTAGGGGAGGGTGTTTCAAGGGAGGAACTCACTTCTCGCCGACTGTCCCACCGTGAAATGCAGCGCCACGTCGTCCTTCCAGATCCCTCCGTCCAGGATCGTCGCCCGCTCGTGGGTGCGGACCCCCACGCTGACCCCCTGCACGATGCCTGCGCTCAGCGGCGGGGTCACGGCCTTGGTCACGCCGCCGATCTGCGCCCGGCCGAAGGCGCGGCCGTGCAGGTGGACGCCGTACTTGGCGAAATGCACGCTCTTCTGCTCGTTCAGCGGGTCGGCTGCGCCCTTGACGTCCTTGCCGGCGCCGGTGGACGGCTCCGAGGCGATGTCCTCGATGCCCAGCTTGTTGCCGAAGGCCACGAGGCCCGGGGTGATGTATCCGTTCTTCAGGTCGATCTGCGTGAGGGCTCCGCGGGTGGTCTGCGCGAGACAGGTTGATCTTGAGTCGAGGCAGGCGATCTGGCCGTTTATGAGCAGGAGGACTATGTCTTGCGCTGCATCTGTGGGGTAATGGGTTGTGGTCGAGTTGAGGAGGACGTGCTGGATGCCGGTGAAGAGGATGTTCGCGTCGGACGTTTTGTCGCGCACGGGTGCGCATACGCGGTCCCGCTCCGCTGTGGCGACGGAGGGTCGGACGGCTGGTGCGGCTTGTCCCACGATATCTTCATCTTGGACTGATGGTAAGGCAGGCGATTCGAGCACGGCGCGACCGTCGATGAACACCTCGATTGGAGTGGCGCCCACCTGCAGCGGATGGTCATCCCAGACGACGAGATCGGCGTCGTAGCCGGGGCGCGCGTAGCCGATCCGGTGGTCTTGCTGGATGGAGCGCGCCGGGATTGAGGTTACTGATTGCAGGGCCTTTTCCTCGGATAGGCCGAAGGAGTGTGCGATCGCTGCCTGGTCGCTATGCAGATGTCAGCGAGAACTTGGGATTCGGGGGCAATGTCCGTGTACTACTTACAGGAGATACTTCGCATAATTCCCTTCTCCGGTGTGATCCTAGGCACCCACATTAACGAGGTATGGTCACTGAGAGATAGACATCAGGACTCACCGATTTCAGGGCCACGCGGAGACCGTGCTCGTCTAGAATCTTAGGTCCGCGCAGATTCGACTCGTACGCCTCGACCTTGTACAGGCCGTTATCGGCGAACGTGGCAATGGTGATGTTTCTGCGAGCCAACTGGAATCAGCACTTCGATCTGTAACAAAGGTTGACGGTCACGTAACGCACTCTTCGAGATGTTTGAGGAATTCAGGCACCTGCCACGCCGACAACGCATGGTGGAACGCCCGCGGATGCACCCCGAACTCATGCAGCACGGCGAGCATGCGCTCCAGATCATCGGGGGTATAGCAGTGCACATTCAGATTGAGCTCTCCGCGCAGCAGCGCAACGAGAGTGTCGAGCTTGAACTCTTCCGGTCGCTTGCCCTGCTTGTCGATAAAATTGGCGATCTGCTGAGATTGCCCGACCCTGGTCTCCTGGATCTGGATTGCCGCCTGGCACCATTCCGTCTGGCGGTCGTGCAGCTCTCGTGCTTTGTTGAGTTCTTCGCGCAGCAACCAGGCGAGACCGAGGCGGGTGTGGCTGTAGAACCGTCGGGGATTCTCTCCACACGCCATCTTGAGATACCGCTGGCGCTGCGCCTCGGGGACACCGTGATCGAGGAGTAACTCCTCGATGACCGGCTCGCCATCTGGGCCGGATCGGGGAAGGTTCTTGACCAGATAGGCTTCGCCGCCGATCACATTTGCCGATCCCGGGGGGATTAGCGACGAGGTCACGCCTCCGGAGGCAATGATCTTGATGGCTGGGTCGTCCGGGTTAAACCCATCCACGGCACGCACGAAGGAGGTCAGCGGTCCCAGGAGCGGGCTCTCGTTGACGTCCTTGGTGGCCGGGAGCTGCGGGAAGGAGAGCAGCAAGTGATGCGAGTGCATGTCCACCAGACCGGGGGTGACGAATGAACCATGCACGTCGATGACCTGAGCGTTGGCTGGCAAAGCAGTGTGCTGCGAAGTCGGGAGCACGGAGCGGATCACCCCCGCGTCGAAGATGATATCAACCCGGTCGTCGAGGGTGGATTCCCCGTCGAAGAGCGTCGCATTCTGGATGACGATAGCTTCTTTTTGGCCTGCGATGGGGTCCCAGCGGGGATTGACCCTGCTGGTTGATGCGACAGGCTCTCGCAGGCCTCGATCGTACACCTCGTGACATTTCTGCAGTCCTTCGTAGAATTCTCGTTTGGTCGCTGCAGAGGTGGCCGGAGTCAGTAGGTCTGCAGGGGACCTGATGGAGACTAGCAGCAGTGTTGCGACCAAAGCAACCCCTCCAATGGATCGTCGCCAGCGTCTCAGGAATTTGCGGCGTGGTGGACGAGCTGGCTCGTGGCTCACTGGGCCGGGATAGCCCAGGAGACCGCTCTTGGATGCCATGCTGCGGTGCCACAGGTGGTGAATTCGACCCCCTTGATTGCGGTGGGCGTGTGGGAGTGTAGGAGTGTAGGGCCCGCAATATAAGACTGCCCGCACCGCTGGCGTGACTGTGGGTCGAAAGTGCGTTATCAGTCGGTGAACTGCCTTTGGCCCTTCTTGCACATGTTCTATCCCTAGCTTGATCAACGCAAAGAAAAAGATTTCAAGAATATCTCCAGTTACATGTCACTTTCAGTCGATCCCCAGGCTGGCTGAGTCATTGTTTACAGTTGACATGCAGCCAGTCACGTGAATGGAGCTCCGACGGTGGCCGACAAGCCCTCCGATAAGCGTATCTTCGCTCAGTCACGGTCGGAGACTGAACTCCCCGTCTTGATGAGGAAAATCGGTGTGCCCCAGGCCACCAGGCTCCACAACTCATTCTCACTGACTCCCATTCTCCTGCTGCTCCTGCTGTGATACTGCATCCACACCAAGCACAGAAGCATCACTAGACCCTCCACGCAAGAAGGTACACTTGGAGCAACCTGTCAGTGGGTAGCCAGGTCAATCCTCTCGCATCTTCCCTCCACAACAACAAAGTCAGCGATCCCCACCAACACTTCCCAACCTTCAAAGCTCAAACCTAGATCCTCCCTCTACATCGCTGGCGACATGGAACTTCCCCCCTCCTCTACTAATAACACAATAACACCCAACTAGCACGAAAAAAGACCAAAATTGCGAATCTGGCACTCGTTCTCTCCCAGGGAGCAAAAAGATCCTTCCCTAACGAAAAGGGTAGTACTCCCAGCACTCAAGCTTTGCTCGCAATCAAGCTCCCGGCCGTCACATCTCACAGGCCTATCACCAACAGCACACACTATGAAGTGATTGTAATCGTGATTAAGGTCGACCGCCAGCTTCTGCACCTCACGACGAACCATTCCCTCTTCCGCAGCACCAACCAACCCATTCTGTGCGGATGGTCGAAGCCTATATGGATCCTTGGCTCGCGCAGGCCCAGTGCGAAGGATCGCCGCACGGACGCGACCCAGAGTTCTCCTCCGGATTTTACGAACTGTATCCGCGGGGGAGGGTACAATCGGGGAGAGGAGGGAAAGGGGGGGTAGGGGGTGCGAATGGTACTTACGAATCTACTGTGGTTGTCGCTCTGTCTGATGGAGGGTGGGTCGATTCTACTCCAAGTTGACCATGCCAGATTTCACATTATACCGGACCTTCCGTCGGAAATGTCCTTGCGTGATTTCGCCCAAGTTAGAAGGCGAGCGGTATCACGGACCACGAGTTTGCTGGGGGCCAGGGTGCTGTGTGACTCTATGCATAGTGCGTATTCTTAGGGCTTGGGGGAGTACGTAGACCAATTGCATTGTTTAAAACCGCGGGAGGGGGGAGCAGAAATAGGCAGAGAAGTGACAGAGAAGGGTCAACATCTCTCTTCTGGAGGGGGGATGTTGAGCATGAGATTTTGAGATTGTGCAAAGGTGGTGGGTGGCCCGCAGGTCTGCAGGAATCTTCAGTTGTGATGATCAAGGCTGAGATGGTGCACGTCTTAGGGCTGATTGGTACATTTGATTCGGATCCTTCTCTGACGCACGATCAGTTCTCAGGTTGACAGTCCGGGTCCCGGGGAAAGGCAACTGTCTTCCGCGGCTCAGACGCCCATGCTCCGGTAGTCGACGATCAAGTGGTTCTCGTGTGCGAAGGAGGACTGCACCAGTTCGACTCGGGGTGATCGGCCGCACGCTTCTCACTGCGCCGATGAGAGGTCCATGCAAAAACAAGGCATCTACGAGTTTTGAGTTCAGACGCACCGAGGCTGAAACCTGCCTGCAGATCTCAAACACATGTTCAACGTGACCACAATAGACGCGCCAAGTGCGCGATGGCCAGGAAATTGCTGGTTATCTCTCGGGACCTGACAGGAAGGTGGTAATCGAAGAGGTCACGCACATCAGGGCAGGCATCCTACCCCTTTTTGTCGGGTGTTTGGCCTGTAGGAACCGTTGCATTTGCGTGATTATTGGGGGGCATCCGAACCTTGTTGAGTTGGGGTCGCCAGTATAGCGCGGTGGAAATTGTTGGCAACAGGACAAGGGGAGTCATTTCTGATGTGTATACTCCGATGTGCCGTCTCCGGCCACAGCACCCGCAGAATGAGCAACCATGAGATTAATGACTGAAGGATTGTCGATCTAAAGTGAGATGTGAGATGTGTCGACCTCGGCGCCGTAGATCAGGCTTGTTCTGGCCAAAGGCGGCATTGGCGGCCTAGACCCATGAGTCGACTCATTGCGCCTCTCCAATAGACCATCGCATCCCTATCGACGAGTTTGACTGACTGCAATGCTCGTGACTCCAGTCAAATGGCATGACAATGGAGTTATATGAACCCCTTGTGGGAGCCAAAGTGCTCCATGACTACCGCCCACTTGGGTCGAGCTTGACCTCGAACCCGCAACCGCGGGAGGAGGAAGAGGAGGAGTCATGACATAACTTCAGCTCGGTCCCAGACCGCACAGCAACAGCTATCACTCCACCTTCACGAATCACGGCTCGTGGCGGTTGCGGTTCTTTGTCTGTCTCTCGCTTGGCGCAACCCACATCGGGAAAGCCCGAGCCAAAGTCGAACCAAAGTTAGGGCAGTTAGACTTTCGCTTTGGCCCACCCGAGCCGTGGGTTGGAGGTTGAGCTTGTAGGAAAAGACAGCTCCGAGTCAGAGGACGACGGGTTCGAGCAACTGGCTTTCGTCATTTGAAGGTCCATCAGAATCTTGTTCGTGGCTTGGACTCGGGTGCCGCTCGATGAACTTGTGTTCTTCCGCCGGCTGGGGTCTCGAGCGGCTATCCACCTCCGCAGCTGAGTGAGCGAAAGGAGGAAAAGCTCGAGCTTGTGAAGCTCATGATCTCAGCTTCTTTGTTTGGTAGGGAGGGAGGGAGCTATGGCCTGGACCTAAGTTTTCGAGCTCCGGCGAACCCGCTTGCCCCAATCTCCTGGAGTACTGACTGTACGGCTGTATCCATAATCCATAACATCGGGTTGAGCACTATCCCCACCGACAACGCGCAGACCATAAGTGCATATATAGTCAACTTTCTTTGGCCCGTGTGCCCCCGTCTTTGTATGCAGCTATGTCTAAGCAAATCTTCACCTGTAGCTAAACAGTTCTAGCCCTATGTGGCCTCCCTCTTTGATTGCACGGCAACACAACAATGGTTTTCACGATACCTACCGACGTCTCCGTCATTTTGCAGTGTCTCTTTGCCGCGATGGCGTGGGCAGTAATGGGCGCCCGGCTCTGGCTGCGCAAACATCGATGCCGGCGCTTCGACGCCGGCGACTACATGACAATGCTGTGCATGTTAACTCTCTTACTGTCCTTGATTATGATCTCGGTATACCAGAAGTTCAAGGTGAGGAGTTTACTTCAGAAGCCGGGTGGGCCAACCCCTCATGATCTTGCAATCGCAAAAAGACTCACGCGGGTTTATGTCGGGTATACATACGTCTATATCATCTAGTATGTCTTCTCAGCAACACCCTCATTCTACCCTCCAAAGTCTAATAGGTGTATGTGTGCCGGCGTACCTAGTCTCTGGGGCCAGAAATCAGTCGTGCTTCTCTTCATCCAGCGCATCTGGGGTGGTCTTCCGTGGCCTCACATCTGGATTCTTGTGGCATGGGGCTACCTCGCGCTAACCTTTAGCTTTGCAATCATCGGCTGGAGTGTGTCCTGCACAGGGCCGGTGCATAATATTGTCCTGACGGGACATCCACCAGGTGAGTGAGCCGATGCCATTTGCGCGCCGCGCCGCCCCACCCCCGTACTGTACACGGCCGATCTCCTAACAGCGGATCAAATCGCCAGTCAACTGTCTCAACTCTAAAGGATCTTTATACTCCTACGTCGCGCAAAATACCTCCAGCGACCTGTTACTCATCATACTTCCGATCCCCTGGTTGCTCCAGGTCCACCGACCCTGGTCTCAGTGCGTTTCCTCTGCCCCTGCCCCATTTCCCACCCACAGCCGGGCGAAGGTCTCTTCCCGTTCCATCTGACCTGACACTCCCGATGGCAGACGTCTCCTCCTGATCGGACTCTTCTCCCTCGGGCTTCTGGTGGCCGCGGCCAGTCTCGCCCGCGCGTTCCTGTCCTCCACCAACCAAGGCATCAACGTCATCATCACCCTCTTCGAGGTGCTCCTCTCGGCGCTGGCGGCCAACCTCCCGACCCTGTACAGTCTGCGGCGCCGGAAGCAGGCGCCGGCGCCCTCCACCCTGGACCCGGAGTGCAGCATGCCCCAGCCCCAGCCGCAGCACCTGCCTCATCCTCATCTCCGGGCCCGCGCCCTCACCGATACGGAGATCATCGCCGACTCTGGAGATACGGATACGGACGCCCAGTCCGACCACCGGAATACGCGCGTGTCGAGCCAGGCCAGCACGGAGCCATTGTTTCGACGGGAGTTGAATTCTAGTCTAGTAGTCCTTCTGCGTGGATCTTCACCTCGGGTCTCTTGATCTTGTCGAGCAGTCAGGGCTGGACCCTGGTCCGGGGGGGTTACAGAGCCCCGCGGGGGTGGCGGCTCTATGATGCATGCATGTACTGTATATTATTATTCTTCTCATCGGGTTGCAGTACTCCAAACACGGGTCCCACTCCCCCCTAGCTATGTACAGAAGGAGCTCATGCTCGGGCACTGCAAAATGATGCTCACTATTTACCGACCGGTGACTTACGTCTCGCCATCGAAGTCACGAGCCTAGACCCGCCCTATCTACCGGGTTCGCCTCCCATTCCACCCCACCCATTCCGAGAAGAACCTAACTCTCCGGCAACACCCCAATCTGCTCCATGGGCCACTGCAACCACGCCCGATACACCGGGCCAGGCACCTGCTCATAGATCTGCGAGAGGATATGGGTGCCCCAGCCGCGCATGCACCAGATCCACTCCAGCTGATGCATCAGCACGCAAAAATACCCGACGATCACCATTGCCGGCGGCTGGTACTCCTTCAGGGCCAGCAGGAAATCATGCGGCACGCGCAGCAGCCACATGAACACGTCCGCCGTCTCCAGCCGCCACCCTTTGGCGCGACACAGCGTGAAGCAGTGGCTCATGTGGTCGATGGCCTCGGAGTAGATGGTCTGGCGGGGCGGGTCGTCTGTGGCTTCGGCCAGGACGAACTGCCGCAGGTCCTCGAGGAAGGCGTGCTGCGTGGCGGCGGCGTCGTCGAAGTCGTGGGCCCGGGGGCGGCGGTGCACGCTGAAGAGCAGGCCCAGCGGTCCGTTCTTGAGGGATTCCTCGGCCACCGCGACGATGGTCCCCGTCCCCTTGATGAGGAGAAGCCAGTTGGCGATCTCGTGGCCTTCCCATAACAGGAAGTTGCCGAGTTTGAGGGGCTTGGCGCAGCAGATGAAGGAGGAGAGCGCGGAGAAGAGGAATAACGGCGTCGCGTTGGTGGCGGTCAGGTGTGCGATGGCGGGCGTGGCCAGCCGAAGGGCCGCGTCGTGGTGCGTGCTGGCCAGTTGGAGGTACTGGTCTTTGTGCCCCGGGCGGAGGCCCGCTAGGTGGAGGGCGGAGAGCGCCAGGATCGCCCGCAGGGTGTACGGGGCGGTGAACCCGATCTTGGGGACTTCGACGCGCCACAGCGTCTGCAGGGTCGGGTTGGCGGAGAAGGTGTACGCTGTGGAGGTGGTGTAGTGGTGGAGGAGCTCGAGGTCGGCGATGGCGAGGTCGGAGGTGCCGGTTGAGGAGGGTGGCTGGGGTAGGGTTGTGTTATCTGGGGATTTGAGGGGTGGACTCCGTCTACCGCTAGAATTGGGGGTCGAGTTGCGACTCGATGCGGAGGTGGCTTCGGTGAATGAGGAAGCTGTTTCGGCCAGTCGTGTTGAAACCGCAAAGGAACACCGCACGCCATGGCGCATGCAGTTGTCGCACGTCGGCTTTTCCTCGCCACACTGTCATTCGGGTCAGCATAGCATACGACTCCCGTGAGCTCGCCTTGAGTGCAGTAGTATCAGTATCCCACCTTGACTTTCCTGTGCTTGCATTGCTGGCACCCGTTACGTGATTTGCGATGAGACCGGCGTCCTCGGACTGTGGAACTGGCCGACATTTTCTTTTTGCTGGAATGGCCCCGCGCAAATCAGCGCGGGCGATAAGATAACTTTGATTGCTGCCGACCCTTATTCACCGGGTTGACAAGTCACTTCAATCGGGACTTGCTGGCCATCAGCACACTACAGAAGAGCCAAGTCACGTAGCAGGGCAAGATATCATGATTGTCATTGCAGCCCCGACGTTTCGCCCGATCATGCAAGTTTTAAAGTTGAGGCGATGCTCAAAGTTCGTGTTGCTTGTCCCTGGGTCGAGTGGACCCTTTTCTGGCTTTGCCCAGACTTGTCGCCCGAGTCGTCTGCTGCGCGGCTTCGATGCGATGGCTGCCTATTCGGGTTCCTTTTTGATATCATGAATACTACTACAATAGATGAAGAGATGTCCCAGGCACCCATATTCTTCTTACTCCGATACAAGCCTCTGAAGATGGGGTTGTTATGGTGGAAGCCTGGATGTCGAGTTATTCTTGGCGCACGCTAAACTCGACCTGCCGGATGCAAACTCGGCAAACACGGCAGATGCAGTTACCCTTAAATCCGATTGGTCACATCTCCTTTCCCCCCAACTTGGCTCCTCCTTGCCAAGAACTTTTCTTAGTGATTGGATATCAAAATATAGAAATATATACTTATCTAAATATAATAGCAGTTTTGGAGATCTTACACTTCTTGGTCAAAGTCGTCTCTTAGACAGTTCATAATGTCTTGACAAGATCTAGCTCATTTCACAGACTGGTCATGTAGCTGCTAAGCCTGTAGCTCAACATGGGCAAGATTAGCTTGTTTGGCTCAAGTGTATCTTGTAAGAAAGAGCGGGGATGACTGCTTTCATGTCCAACGGAACTCCTAAATGCTCAGCGGGAGGTCTTGCGTCTAGTAACTTTCTCTACGAAGAACAGAGACATCACATTGCATTTCTACTGGTATTGAACCTGTCCAAGACTTCGCCCAGAATCAGCATATCCACTGACCATGTCTACATGATCTAAAAAAAAGGCCAAATATCTTTGCGGGTCAAAAGAAGACCTGCAGGACCCAATAGTAAGGAGACATTCAAGATTAAGTAGTGGTTAAACAATCAATGATATCTCTGCCGATAAAATGAACAATACTCAAAATCGAGGATCCAGAACAGTCTATCTACCACAAAAGCCACTCGAAATAAATGAAAAGAGAACAAAGATTGAAACATGCACGCAAGTATCAAAACACCTCCACCACTCAGTAATCACGCCGACTCGCGCGACCCCCGCCCCTCCAGCTGCAGCCCGACCTCCTCCGACCCCACGCGATGATGGCGCACCTCGCGCTGCAGCACCACCGACGGATGAAACAGGTTCATCACCACCATCACCAGGAACATCATGGTCGCGTCCAGCACATACAGGAACGCCTCATGGCTGATGACATACCCGTTGTTGCCCTGCGCAAACTCGACCAGCCGGTACACCGACCGCACCAGGATGAGCCCGCTAACGAGGTAGCACGCAAAGAGCAGACCGCGCCAATCCCGCGGCCAGCAGCTGCGCCCGCGATCCGTGGCCTTGTCCGACTCGGCGGTTGGGTGTCTGGCGATGCGACGGTGGAAGGTGAGGGAGGCGACGAGGAAGGCGCCGAAGAAGATCAGCTGCACGCAGAGACCGCCGACGATCACCCATTGCCCAATCTTCATGCCGCTCGCGGAGCCGCCGGACATGATCCCGCCGCCTGTTTTGTCTCAGTGTTAGTCTCAATACGGTGGGATTGTTGGGTGGGCCGGCGACTTGCCTGCTGCTTGGAGGAGGAACGATAGGATATCGCCCGACACGAAGACCTTGGTCAGCCATTTCACTGGGATGACGCTCAGATCGGCTGCGTTCACGAAGGTGATGATCCGAGCCAGGACCATGTAGATCGAGGCGGCGTAGAGCGTTGGTGCGAGCAAAAGCAGGAGGGTCTGGATGGCATAGAGGGTAGTCGAGGTCTGGTGGAAGTGCGCTGCTGCGCGCGCGATATAGCCGATTATCTGGACTGGAGGTTGTTCAGTACACTGAGCGACTGCCTGAGGATTCGTTCTTCACTTACAGATTCCCCCAACAATGAACGGGTTGAAGTACTTCGCGTGGGTTTGCACTCGCTGGAAAAGATGGACTGCCGTGGTCAAGAAGAACAGCACGGCGAAGATGACTGCAGCCGGCAGGCTGGGGTCGTACTCGTAGAGCACGAATGTGGACTTGGATCTTGCGGCTACCATGGTGAATGGGTATCAAATTCAAGTCTGGGCTTTGTGTGCAACGAAGCGTTGATTATACAATGGCGATGTATATAATATCTGTGAATATAATCAGAAGCCGGTGCACTATTATATCCTTTCCATCGGAGTTCAAAGTGCAGTTATTTATAGATCGATACTCGTCGCCGACGAGCATTCGATAATTTTTTCATCCATCTGATCCAAACTTCACCAAAATCTAGGCAGTCGCATTTTGCCTCCGTTCATCGGGTTCGTATAGAGTCAGCATGCAAGTTCTTCACATACGTACTCAGATTCATAGTCCCTGAAGGGCGATCTGAGCCTGTGGGTCACATTTCGCGGAGAGGTGCAAAAACAGTTCTGAGCTTAGATCCGAACCCGAGTACGAACCCGAGCACGGCGGACGTTTCGACCCACTTGATCGCCATCTTCATACTTCTATCTCATCCTGTATGTCCCTTATCTAACGACTCAATTGGCTTTAGAGTTTTTTTGTCTTTTTGGCATTGGTTGGGGTCACGTCTCGCCCCACGACCAAGCCACGTTTTGGAACAGCCATGCTGGCACCTGCCGCAATCGATGCGCGGTGTGTTGAAAAAAAAAATCGATTAATGACACGTTATTTGGTGTTTTATATAGTTCTATTGTTAGAGTAAAAGGGCTGAAAGCCAAATGCATGGTAGCCTAACTTAGATTGCTTAAATGTAGATTGGATTGTTCTATCGATCCTTCCACTTTCAACAAGTCTTACACTTACATTTCTCCTTAGACACTGCAATATGGATTCCAAAGAATCCTTGAATCTTGAACAGAACCGCATCCTCGATGACTACTCAGATCCACCGCCTGCATATTCGCCTGCGCGTGCTTCAGTTGCGTCCTCGGAAGCGTCCCTCTGGACCATCGAGCCCGATTTCCCCCCTGAGTTTACAAACGACTCGCGGGAGCTGGACTACTGCTTTGCTCCGGAAAGTGAGTTGACTCGCAGAAAGCTGTCCTTGCTTGATTATTAATTGGGATTAGAAGATGGCAAGTTCGGTATCAATGCGGACATCACTTCACGCACGTCTGCCTTCATCCAGGCGTTCATGCGGCCGAGCACGCAGGCTCGGTTGGTGAGTGTAGGGTTGAATCGCAGCGAGTCTGGAGAGAGTAGCAGCAGCATTCCTTCGAGTGTTGAACCCCAATCAGAAAGCCCTAACCCGCCACCATTAGACATCGTGGTGATGGTTGTCGACGGTAATGACTCAGGTGTCCCGCTATTGGTCGTCTCAATGCTAAGTTTCAGAACAGAATCCATTGATCCATTCATAAGCATCGCAAAACAACTCCAACAAGACTCCCATCGCGTCCGGATCGCTGCAGATGGATCATGCGCATCTCGAGTACGAAATCACGGACTGGACTTCTTCGCCATCCCCCCGATCTCCTCCTCTCCACGAGTAGGTGTTCCCTCTCGGATCCTGGAATGCAAACTGACTCCGAGATCGGCACAGAGCCACAGGACAGCCAATGGTCAGACTGTCAACTCGGCCGATAACCGAGCGAACCACCTCCGCAACCTTCGCCATTCCCTCTTCGAAGCATACAAAAGATGCTGGCAGGCCTGCATTGCACCATACCAAGACGACGCCCGTCCCTTCATGGCGGATGCGATTATCGCTACCCCAGCCGCACATGCCCACATCCACTGCGCAGAACGTCTGTCGATCCCGCTTCATATCATGTCCGCGACGCCCCAGAGCCCTACCAAAGCCTTCCCGCATCCTAGAGCGCGTCTGGATGCCAACGAGGAGATTGATCGGCCAACTGCAAATATCCTGTCTTATGCGTTGATCGAGGAATCGACGTGGCGTTTGTGAGTTCAGCGATTCTTGTTTGACGGCTGGAAGTGACTAACATGAGGATATCAGAATCCTGGAGCCCCTCAATATCTTCCGACGACAAGTCCTTGGGCTGATGGGCATTTCACCCACCGTGGCGGGGAGGCTGATGATCGACCAAGAGATTCCGCATACGTACTTCTCTTCGAGGGTTCTGGTCGCGAAGCCGAGGGACTGGGCTCTCAATCATGGTGAGTGGCTCGTTCTATGGCCATCACAAGCGGAAATTAGTTTGGCTAACGGCCCCTACAGAGATGTCCGGTTATATTTTCCACGAGCCTGAAGAGTCCTACCACCCACCGAAGGATCTTGACAACTTCATCTCGTCGGGAGCAGTACCGATTTATCTCATAATGAGGGACACTAGCATTGTGGACTCGGATCTGCTGGCTACAGTCATTCAAGAAAGTATCCTATCACGTGGGCTTCGGATTGTTGTCTCCGAAGAGTGGCGGCATGTCTGTGCGAAGCTGGACAATCCCAATGTATACGTTGTCAACTCCAGTGCCAGCGGTAGGTTCATGTCTTCTACCTTGATCTGGTCTCAGCATCACTCACTTTACAAACAGACTGGCTACTCCCCAGAGTATCCCTCGTCATCTACAGCGGGAGCATAGACACCACGAAAACGGCTTTACGGCACGGTAGACCAAGTGTGGTCATCGGACATACCGACGAGTAACACTCCCCATACTCTTGTCAACAACCCTGAATACTAACCCATCCAGCCACCTTTCAACCGGCCAGACCCTCGCGAAAATCGGTGCCGCCGCCTCGCCACTACGCGCCAACGAGCTCACCTCCGAGGCCCTCTCCCAGGCAATTTCCTTCTGCCTCCGCGTGGATGTCCAACAGACCACCCGAGCGATTCAGCGACAGCTACTCGACGAGGCCGGGGCCGTCAGCGCCATCAAGCTCTTCTATCGCTGGCTGCCTGCGCAGGTACAACCCTGCAGCATGACCAAGCAGGACCTGGCGATGTACCAGATCTGGAACCGGCCGTCGCAGGCGATCTCAGCAGAGGCGGCGGCCGTTCTGCTGCAGGAGCAACGCATCAAGCTTACGGATCTCGTGCTGTAAGCCTCTACCACGTCCCGGACTTGAATGAGAACCTTCCTGACCCGTAGGCAGGATCACGCGGTGCCCATATAACATCCCATCCACGCAACCCGCCTCTGAACGTCCGACCAAGGACTACTGGAATGGATTCTCCCACGCCGCAAAGGACATCGTCAGCGCCTCGGATCTGGTGAGCAAGGTCCCTGGGCTGCGGAAGAAGGTATGCCGCGATGACGCAACCATCTCCTTCTCAACACCCGCTAACTTAGCTTGTGGGCATCGCAGGATTCACTGCCCGACGGCGGCGATAACCCCCGAGGCAGGGGCAGGCCCAACCTCGCGAAGGACGTCGGGGTCGGAACCGCCCGGTTCTTCGGAAATATTGCTCTGCTTCCGTTCACCAGTCAGTCCCATTTCCCGTCAATGCTCTTGTGCCTGTGTGTCTTGCTGATGGTTTCTTTGTCAGGTACGGCGTTGGTGGTCAATAGCGTTGCGTATGGGGTCAAAAGTGTGAAGGCACACAGGCAGAACAGCAGTCGCGAGGAAGAGATCCCCGCTGAAGCAATGGATGCGAGCCGGGAAAAGGAGCCAGGCTCGTCAGTCGAAGGGCAAGCGAGACGCGATTCTCCGCAGGGATCCTCCGCCGCGAGCCAGATCCAGCTCAGAAATGAGGAACACGTGGAGGCGATCTGCCGGCGGCATCTGGATCGTGGGTTTCGGAACGACAAGATCCATAACCTGGAGTTTAGGGGGAATGTGGTTGATGTTTTTGAAAGTGGCTGAAGGAGGGACGGAGGGGCTGGCGTTGATCGATATAGAGGATTCTCCTCGATGTGGATTGTATTGATTTCAGAATCGGTTATCGAGAATATAGAATGGGGAAAGAGTGCTTATTTCTACTTTGTGACCTTCTGTAAAATACTGTCAAAATACGGTAAACATGGATGCTCCAAATATATATTGGATCCTTCACGGAAAGCCTCGAGTTTGTCTTCTTGGATGACGCTGTTGCATCGAGAAGTACATATACAGAGCTTATAAGCCCTATCTATAATGGCATCTGAAGGCTCATACAAAAGAGAAAAGAAAAGAGCATGATGGAGACGACCAGGATGGTGCCAGACCTTGAGGTGGGCAGAAAGAAGGGGGGGGGAAAGGAAGGAAGAAAACAAAAAACGATCCCGGTGCGACTCGAACGCACAACCTTTAGTACCGGAAACTAACGCGCTACCATTGCGCCACGAGACCTCGGATGACGTAACTATGCCCCAATACTACTCACATACTATGTAAATGAAGGCTAGCTGCTGCCTTCTCTGCCAACCTCTCACATATTCTGCTAGAGGATGAAAATCTTCGATACCATACGGGAGAGCGGATCACTCCATTATCATTGTGGGCCAAATGATATCTCTAACGTGTGGGCAGAATTGTAGCTGAATTAGAGCCTGGAACAGTGGAGACTGGAGAGGCAGTCTCCACCCGAAGAAGAACCCAGACCCACGTCGTTTCTGAGCAGAATGGACAATTGAACAGAACAAATGGCTTAGGGCAATTGACTCCGCTCCGAGGGACGCATAAGACTGCGCATGTGACCGGTCACTTGGTGATTCAAGAAGCAATTATATGCATCCAGCAATTCAATAAGCGGGATGGAGTCCATTGAACACTGCAGAGGGAGTGTCAATGTTACCGCATTCGGAACTCAGATCCCGAGCTGCGGCTCGAGCCGAACAGGTGCAGGGATTTACCAGCGGTCAATTGTGGACGGCAACGGAATACAGAAGGCGGAATTCGAGTAATCTTAGCCATTATCAGATCACTTTTTTTCCATGTTGATCCTGTGGATTGTGAGTCAGTGCAGTCAACGAAGGCGTGGATGGACTTCGGAACGGAGTGAATAGAATACAGTAGTTGCGTAAAACACTAGAAGGCCAAGACCAACCCTAAGACCGATCGAGAATAAGCCCAAATTTGCAATCATCGCCGCTGCGGAAATTTCGCCGCGCCATCGCGTAATCATGCAGTTTCCTATCTGGCAAGTTCTGTCCTAAATGGCGGTGATACTGATACTTCCCTCTCCCCCCCGGCATTTATACCCCATGGCTCGAGGTTGAGATTAGGATCTATACACCCGCTCTTCCCTCTTTCTCAGCCCCACCCGCTACTCTCTAGTGATGCTCCGAGACAACATGGAGCGGCCGATTGAGGGTGGTCTACCGTCGGAGAAATCCGACGGGGTGACAACCGCCATAGCGGCGACCAGCCCCGTCGACGATGAAGCCCGCCCTGCAGTCTTCTCGTCCACTGTCCAGGAGATTATGTTTGTCGCCGTGGCGACCATGGCGATCGCCATGTCCTCGCTCGTGAGCGGAGCCGTCACCGTGATTACGGCCCAAGTTCAGAATGATCTGAACATGACCACGGCGGAATTGACCTGGTTGAGCGGTTCCTCCTCGTACGCACCCATTTTCCCAATTACTAACAGCCCTAGTATAGTACGCTCGCTAACCCTAAGTTACCCTCCAGATTGGCCGCCGGATCCTTCCTGTTATTCTTCGGCCGCCTGGCGGATCTCTTCGGTCGTAAGACCCTGTTTCTAGGAAGTATGGTCCTGTTCGCCGTCTTCTCTCTGGCGGCTGGGTTCAGCAAGACGCCGCTGCAGCTGGACATCCTCAACGGGGTGATGGGGTTGATGTCGGCGGCGTCGGTGCCGCCGGGCCAAGGGATGCTGGCCAACATCTACCAGCGGCCGTCCAAGCGGAAGAACCGCGTGTTCGCGTGCTTCAGCGCGGGCAACCCGATGGGCTTCGTGTTTGGGAGTGTTTTCTCGGGGATCGCGACGCAGCTCTTCAACTGGCGCGCCAGCTACTTCCTGCTGGCCATTATCTATGTGGTGGTGGTCGTCGTCGCCGTCTTCAGTGTGCCGGTCGACAACTCACCCAAGACGGAGATCTCCGGGCAGGCGCTCAAGAAATTCGACCTCGTGGGCACGCTCCTCACGATTGCGGGGATCGGGATGTTCTCCGGTGCATTGAGGTGAGTTTCCCCCTTGCCTTGAACCCTCATCGCCATCCAATACTAACCAGAGTCAAGTCTGGGCTCCGACGCCCCCCAAGGCTGGAAGACGCCCTACGTCCTCATCCTCCTCATCCTGGGCGCCTTGTTTATGGTCGCCTTCGTCTTCTGGGAGAACTGGTACGCCTACCCGCTGGTGCCGATGAGCATCTGGCGCGACCGCGACTTCTCGCTGGTGATCGCCATCCTGCTGCTGGGCTTCCTGGCGTTCCCCATCATGTCCTTCTGGGTGTCGCTGTTCATGCAGCGCATCAAGGGCTACTCGCCGCTCATGGTCGCCGTGCACATGCTGCCCATGGCCATCGGCGGGATTATTGTGAACATCATCGCCGGCCTCATCATGCACCGCGTCTCCAACAGCTTGCTGATGGCCGTCGGCGCCACCGCCTACGTCGGCTCGTTCTTGCTGATGGGCCTCCAGCACTCGGACAGCATCTACTGGGCCTTCATCTTCCCCGGGCTGGTGCTGGCGGTCGTCGGCGCGGATTTCGAGTTCTGCGTTGCGAATATGTACGTCATGAGCTCCTTGCCCCCCACGCAGCAGAGTATCGCGGGCGGGATCCTTCAGACTGTCACTAAATTGTGTGTGACGATCGGGATGGGGATCAGTACGGCGATCTATGATGCGGTTGTGGCCAGGGGTACGGCCAACGGGGGTTATTTCAGGGGGGATCCGATTGAGCCCTACAGTGCTACGTTTTTGTACTGTGCGGGGATCGCATCGTTGGGGATTCCGTTGTGTGCGTTCTTGAGGATCGGGAGCCAGGGGAATACTGGTGTGAAGGAGGGGTCGGAGGTTGATTCTGAGGCTTTGAGTGAGAGTAGGGGTAGTGTGTTGGAAGAGAAAGGTCGTGGGGAGGTTTGAGGGGAAGGGAAGAAAACTATCAGAGGGGTGTGAATATAGACTGTGACTAAGATAGATACCACAAGAGCGATGTATTTATTGTTTAATAACTGGAGATTAATTAGACTTCCGATAGACTGTTGATATGGGCTGGGTACATGGAATTAGATTACACAACTGCGAAGAGTAAGCCGCGTGTTGCATCTTCTTACACTGTATATTCATTAACACTCTTCTTAACCGCAGTACACAACTCATGAGCTGGAGTGAGGAGGGCAGGAATTATACTGTATCGCTGTTATACTTCACTAGCCATCCTATTTCCTGAATTGGTCTAAGATGACAGGAATCAGGCTACCGTCAATTGCGCGAATAAGCATGGCCATGGCCCACTGGTGTGATAAGCAGACTTAATTCCAGTAGTTCCCACATCCCCTTCCTCCTTTCCCTCAAGCTTCTCATGCTCTTACCCTCAACAAAACACTGTAGTCTGTCCCTTCGAACCCTCCCATCACCATTCTCAACTACCATGATCACCCCCTGGAATGAAGGCACGCACTCCGCCCTCGTCCCACTACCAGGACCCGAAACCGGACCCTCCCTCTTCCTCTCCGCCGTCGGCCCCGAACGCCAGCAATCCAACGGCACCCTCGCGCCCGCCGTGATCATCGAAGCCGGCCTCGGCAGCTCGCATGTGGAATGGGTCGCGGTGCAGGGCCTGCTCGCCGCGCGGGCGCGCGTCTACACCTACGACCGGGCCGGCTACGGGCGCAGCCCGCCCTCCCCGCTGGCGCCGACAGCGCACAACCGCGTCCACGAGCTGACGCAGCTGCTCGACGCGGCGCAGATCCCGCCGCCGTACGTCCTGGTTGGCCACTCCTACGGCGGGGTCCTGGTCCGCGAGTTCCTGCGCCAACGCGGCCGCGACGTCGTCGTCGGCATGGTGATCGTCGATTCGCCGCGGGCGCAAACCCCCTTACCTCCGGATTGGCCGAGTTTGATGGGGGAGTCGGATTACTATGCCATTGTGGGGCTGGACGAGAATGTTGCGGTGGCACCGGAGGAGTATCAGGCGATTAAGGAGGATGAAGTCAGGAACCGGGCGACGGCGGAGGCGGAGTTGGCGCTGATTGCGGCGGGGACCAAGGACTTGAATGAGGCGATCCCCGAGGGGATGCAAGCGCTTGGGGATGGAAGGTTGAGTGTGATTTTTGCGAATGAGTCCGTGGATTTTGGAAAGGTTTATGCTTATGGGGTGGAACATGGGCATGGCACGGAGGATGCGCGGCGGCACCTGGCGGAGCGGTTGGCGGTCATGGAGGAGATGGATGAGCGAGGGCAACGGGCGCATCTGTCGCTGTCGAGTCGGAGTCGGTTTGTGTATGCGAAAGGAAAGGCGAGGACGCATAATTTGCAGTTCGTTGCACCGGAGGTGATTCGGGATGAGGTGTTTTGGGTCCTGGGGTTGGTGGATTGAGGGTTCTTGGAGATTCTGGCTGGGCCTGGATGATATTTTAGGGCTGATCAGTCGCGCACTGTTGCATTGCGCCCTACACTGCTGGAATAGTCCTTATGCCTTGCAAAATTGTCGAGGTGGAGACAAACTATATGGTGAAAGATGCAACATAGCTATAGTTAAGAACGGAGCGAGGTTGCTCGAGAGCATTCTGACCTGCTTGCCTTGTGAAGAGCATTTCCGTTCATCCAGGTCGGAAAAAAAGCAGACATACTTTCAATCCCATAGTATCCCAGTTGATAAACCAAGCCCTTTTCTATAGCCGATGCGCGGATGAATTCGCATCAAGTACCAAGCGGCAATGAGAAGGACGAAGGGTGTCTGCCAGGTCTGATTGAGCCCTGCACATCAGTCACTGTTATCCTGCGTATCTTAAGGAATTTGATCCGACATGGAACCCACGCGGGGAAGCATTCCAGGTGACTGGAGCGCAGAATCGTGAGGTACGATCACATTTGATCTGCGTTGCTGACCATCAGCACTCACCTCGGTCTGGGCCAATCTGTTGAAAAGGCAGACAGTGGCGTCGCCATGGCTTGAGACTATCAAGCTTTGGGACAGGGATCCTGCAGATAAGCCCGGGGTCTGAATGCCGGGTTGATGATTTGTTGAGTGTAGGAACAAGAAAGGGATAAGAGATGTAGGGGAAAGTCGGGGTTTATGAGGGCCGACCTTCGCGCCACTCGGCCAGCCTCGCACTTTCTACCCCCCGACCACTGGGTTCTGCAAGCCCCGGACCGCTGGTCATGTTGACCACGAGATTGTTATATGTGAATGTTTTGGGCCGATTTGAGCCTCTTGCGACCGTTTAAAAAGTCTCACATCCCTCCACATTTGCTCCTCTCGCGAAACAGTCACCACTCGTGCGTTGTCATCCGATTGATTGCGCCCTGCCTCGCGGAGCACCGAACACGCCGAACACCACATTTACCATGGCTGCCCCCCACACTCCCACTTCTGAAAGTATCGAGTCAGCTGGCACTCATAATTCAGAATCGGTCAATAAGCACGATGCAGCAGTCAGCAGCGAAGGCTCAGCCAAAGCTGGGGGCCCTCCTGGTCCTCCGGGCCCACCCGAGAATCAGTCTAGACTTAGGGTTGTCTGTCTGATTGTCTCGGCCTTTGTCGCCATGTTTCTCGTCGCACTGGACAGAACGATTATCTCAACTGTACATACATCATCTCTTCTCCCATGTTCCGGCCTGAACACTAATTATGTACGCAACTCATAGGCCATCCCCCAAATCACCGATGAGTTCAACTCCTTCGACGACGTCGGCTGGTACGGAAGCGCCTACTTGTTGACATGTTGCGCATTCCAACTCTTGTTTGGCAAGTTGTATAAGCTTTTCTCTGTCAGGATAGTCTTTCTCGGCAGTATTCTGCTGTTTGAGGTTGCCTCTGCCATCTGCGGTGCTGCCCCCAATTCAGTGGCCTTCATCATTGGAAGAGCCATCTGTGGCGTCGGGGCTGCTGGCATTCTCGCTGGAACTGTGAGTCGGCAAGCCAGCTTTACGGGGATTATTGCTAAGAGTCGTGTGCTAGATCATGTGCATCATTCACTCCGTCCCTCTGCAGAAGCGCCCTCAAATTCAGGGACTGTTCGGTGCCCTGTTCGGCATCGCCTCCATCGTCGGACCCTTGATCGGCGGCGCCTTTACATCGAACGTGACATGGCGATGGTGCTTCTATGTCAACTTACCCATCGGTGGCGCAGCTATGGTCTTCATTGCCTTATGCCTCAAGGTTCCCAAGCAAGATTCCACCAGAGTCTCGTGGACTGAGAAGCTGGTGCAGCTGGACTTCCTCGGCACCACACTCCTGGTCTCTGGTGTAGTCTGTCTCATTCTGGCACTTCAGTGGGGTGGCCAGACGTATTCCGTATGTCGTCAAGATCGATACCTTAGCCCGCAACTGACACTCAGCAGTGGAGCAACGGTCGCGTCGTGGCTTGCCTAGTCCTCGCGGGTGTCCTGCTACTTTCGTTCATCGCCGTTCAGATCTTCCTTCCCAAGACCGCGACGCTCCCCGTGCGCATATTCGCGCAGCGCAGCATTGTCTCAGGCTTCTGGCAGACCCTCTGCGTGGGTTCCGGAAACTACATCTTCGGTAGCTTACCACCCCCACCCCACCGAGAACCGTGACATGTCCCTGACATGAATTGCAGTATACTTCCTCCCCATCTGGTTCCAATCCATCAAAGGTAACTCCGCCGTGGAATCCGGCATCCGCCTTCTACCCATGATGCTGGCGATGGTGGTGGGCTCGATCGGCGGGGGCATCGTCAACTCCAAGGTCGGCTACTACACCCCCTTAGCGATCATCGGATCCTGCATCATGGCCGTCGGTGCCGGCCTCCTCACCACCTTCCAGGTGGACACCGGCGAGGGCAAGTGGATCGGCTACCAGATCGTGTACGGGATTGGTCTGGGGTTGTGCTTCCAGGTCCCCAATCTCGCGGCGCAGACCGTTCTGCCCAAGCCTGACGTGCCGTCAGGATTGGCGTTGATGCTGTTCGGCCAGCTCATCGGGGCGGCGGTGTTCGTGTCGGTCGGGGAGAATATCCTGGCTAACCAGCTGGTGGAGAGGCTGGCCGGGCTGCCGGGGTTTGATCCCCGGCTGGTTACTTCGGGCGGCGTGACGGAGCTGTTAGACGCGATGCCAACGGATCTGCGTGGGACGGTGCTGTATTCGTACAATGAGGCGCTCAGGAGGGTGTTCTGGGCTGGGTTGATTATTTCGTGTTTGACGGTGCTGGGGGCGGCGACGCTGGAGTGGAGGAGTATCAAGCAGGGGCAGCCTCAGCCTGATGCTGAGAAGAAGGCGGAGAGTGCAGAGGAGAAGAGTGTGGATGCTGCAGGGGGGCAATAGACTACGGGGCTTTTGTTTTACTTGGTTGTTTTACCTCGAGAATGGGGAAGTAATACGGATTTACTAGCTAGCTTTGCGATTACACTTTATTATCAACAAACTACATATGCTTCTCTTATCCTGGGTTGATCTTATAGTTGGGAAATGGTTTCTATACGTCCCGCTCCCGACACTGTTCTCTCTTACCAGAGCTACGTAGAGAGACTTCACATTCTTTGTTGCTTGTCTGCCAAGTCCCTGGTACATTGGAACCATAATCCTCTCTTCCAGGGTACTGCAATTCTGGACTTGGACACGAGGGCTAAGTACACGACCAGCAAGATATAATCTACCATGGGGTCAAACACAGGTGTTCGGACAGTAGCTTCAGTCCAGGCATTTACTACCCCTATGACCGATCGCATCTTTGAATGGGGAATAGGAGAAGTAGAGTACAGGAAAGGGACGCACTTCATGTCCTAGTAGGAGTTAGAGGATCCGAGCAGTGAGAGCCCGGGCTTAGGATGTCCGCCGGGAGCTCATCAGCCGTTTCGTTTGGCTTAGGGTTGGCAGCGCCACATGAATGGCTGGAAACTATAAAGGTAGATACAGTACGTAGCATAGTTCTGCATTAGGGCAGACTTTTCATGTCACTGAAGTTGAAGAAAGTGATTATTGCTTTTACAGTGTCGAGAAAGTAGTCAGTTGGTAATTGGGGGTAAAAAGGTTGAGGTTGATTGATGGGCAAGCTTTGGGGTGGTTGAAGGACCTTGACATCGATGAGGCCAGAGGGGCCATACGCTTATTGATACTGTATGCACAAGAAAGGTATGAGAAATCTGCATCAAATCTGCGAGCCCGGGGTCTGAAAACCCTTATTTCTCCGCTATGCAATCAAGCGAGTAGATTGAGGCTGTAGTTATATACGTTTTGAGATGGTGAAATAATAAAATTGACGCACCCAGATGAATGTTGGCATGGCAAAGACGAGCTGTTAGGGCGGCTCTGAACAGATCTTATAGATCTCCTGGCCGTCAGAAGAATGTCGCGAATTTTCGGTCGCGACACCTCGAGAAAAAGGAGGATTTCGTTTAGACGGAAAGTTCCCGTTGTGTGAAGCTTATGAGCTCCTCAGTCAATCAGAGAACTCACCGGTAGGGCGAATTCAGAAAGTGCATTCATCGTCTGTTCTCACTGCTAATGGGTAATTATCTCTTAGATAAAGGTACAACGAGCAGCCAAGATAAGCAAAGTTCTTCACGGGGGGTTAGTGGTCTCAGATCTCTCTATCATTTCATTTGTCGAGTGGTGTTCTCCTTCATGCCATCATACTGGTGGCGAAAGATCTCATTCGCTTGCCCCAAAGGTCTGAATGTCCATGCAAGAGTAGAAGATATTACAGACTTTAAGTTGGTTGAATATGTACTGCAAGGCCGATGAGGCAAGGACTCATTATGGCAAGCGCTCCGTTATTTGTGCCTATGCCTCGTAATAGATGAGAAAATGATCATTCTGAATCGGGTCCGTAGGTACTGAATATTCTTCTGGAGAAAGAATAAATTCTGCGGTGATAAAATAGGATGTAGGTTTGATGCATGCCTTGAACATGGGGCTTGACTTGCCGGTCGCACAAAGAGCTGATTCCTTGTTCAAGTCAGTGAGGGACTACGACACCGGTGTCCAAAGTCACAGTGCGTGGCTCGAGCATGACTGCAACCTCATTCGCCTCTATGCAGGGAGGCTATGATGTAATGTGCTGCTGGCCAAACCGGATGAATTCAGGAATCTCGCGCTAGACTCGTAGGGGTGTTTGCTCAGTGACAGTTCGCCGAGGGAGAGACCCGGCAACGCCTCCAAATCCAGTAACCGAGAACACCTTCTACACAAAAGTCCATTGGAGGGAAAATCTGGTGAGCCAAAGAGAGGCGAAAAAAGGCCGACTCGGCTACTGCGAGTGTGCGGAAGAATCAAGGAAAAAAGGAAAGGAATTTCGGGCGGGACCGCTGAGGACCTTGCGGGAGTCCAGTGGAGCTCAGCCCTATAGGGCGTTCCATGTGCCCGTCGCCAGCATCTCACTCTTGGCACCATCAAACCTTGTTCTGTTGTTCACATCGATGTGAGTCGGCTGTTCTGACTCGGATGCATCAGTGGTAGTCGACTTATATCATACAGAGCATCGGACGACAAGCGGCTCTGTCTTGTCTGTGACATGGAAACCCCGTACTGAAGCACTCGTCGTGACATAGCCCTCAAAGTGGACCAGGCAGCACAAAAACAAATACTCCACTCAGCTTCCACTCAATGGTCATCAATCTGGACGCTGACTCGGCAATGGAACATTTTGCCCCCACTAGGCTGACAGCGTCCGGCCAGTTCCTGTCAACTAGACCCTCCTAGACACCTTGAAAGCCCCGAAAGCGCACGCATTTATCTAGCCTTCTACCCACCTCTACCCCAAGGTCCCCAGACAGACATCTATAAGACCTACAACATCGGACCAGCATCATCGACCATGAGCAGCAGCACAGCCCAGCCCTCTCCGCCTCCGCAATCATGGCCACCTTCAACGCCTCCGACGTGAACCTCCACAAGGCGAGCAAGGAGGACGTGCTCTGCTACTATGCCATCTCGGACAACGAGTACAACGGCCACCTGGGCGCGCGCATCTCGTCCATCTTCGTGATCCTCTTCGTCTCGACCGCCTTCACCTTCTTCCCCGTGGTCTCCAAGGGCCTCCCCAGCTGGAAGATCCCGCACAATGTCTACATCTTTGCGCGCTACTTCGGCACGGGCGTCATCCTGGCCACCGCGTTCATCCACCTGCTGGACCCGGCCTACAAGCGCATCGGCCCCAAGACCTGCGTCGGGGTCTCCGGCTACTGGGGCGAGTACTCGTGGTGCGCGGCCATCGTGCTGACAGCCGTCGTGCTGATCTTCCTCCTCGACCTGGCCGCCGAGGTCTACGTCGAGCACAAGTACGGCATCGAGCGCGACGAGTCGGCCACCAACGCCTTCATCGCCCAGGAGCCCTGCCCGTCCCTACACGGCACCCACGACGGTGACCCGGAAGGCCGCCACCGACTCCCCGACGGAGAAAAACCCCTCCCTGCCACCTCCACCAATTCCACCACCGTCTCCGCCGACGCGGACGCGGACGCGGACGCCACCGAGCGGTCCTTCCGGCAGCAGATTGCCGCCTTCCTGATCCTGGAGTTCGGGATCATCTTCCACTCGGTCATCATCGGGCTGAACCTGGGCGTGACGGGGTCCGAGTTCGCCACGCTCTACCCCGTGCTCGTCTTCCACCAGTCCTTCGAGGGTCTGGGCATCGGCGCCCGGCTGTCGGCGATCCCCTTCGCCCAGCACGCCAAGCTGCCCTACCTCCTCTGTCTGGCCTACGGGCTGACCACCCCCATCTCCATCGCCATCGGCCTGGGCCTGCGCACGACCTACAACCCCAACTCCAAGGAGTCGTTGATTATCCAGGGCGTGTTCAACGCCGTGTCCGCGGGCATCCTGATCTACAGTGCGCTGGTCGAGCTGCTGGCCCGCGACTTCCTGTTCGATCCCTGCCGCACGCGCCGACGGTCCAAGTTGCTGTACATGGTGGGTTGTACGTTGCTGGGGGCGGGGATCATGGCGCTGATTGGGAAGTGGGCGTGAGGGTGGCGGTTGTGTCCGTTGTGATTATGGAGGATGAGGCGGACTGTGGACCAGTGGAAAAGCTCGTGTATATAAAAGTTACTAGGTACATTAGGCGACGGAAAAGTCATCCGGGATAATTTGTTGCGTGGAATGGCATCTCTCGTGGAGAAACTCTCGTTTTTCTTTCGCCAGCCTCCGTCGAGCTGCTGTGACCGGCTCTGCCGGGTAAATGTTTACCAGTAATCAGGCAGGCGTCCAGCGCGGCTGCGACCGGGGCAAAACTGCAGCAGAATGCAAGGGTAACAGTCAGTGTCATGATTCGTCTACTCCTTTCTGACCATCACTATCCGGTGCAATGATGAAGGGGCCACGAGGTCATAGCGAAGTACAACTAACACTCGCCAGGGGATCACTAAGCGAACGCAAGAGTATCCTGAGTGAAAGTTGCAACAGAGCCAGGTACAGTCCACGGCGAGAGGGGAAAAGACTTCAAACTCAGTATCAATTTCAATCATAAAGCATAGACTGCATTAATATATATCATGATATATTAGAATATACACAACCACGGGCGCCCTTCTTCTCCGGTATAGTATAAACAAAACACGCGCGACTCCTGATGATCCGGTCATCAGTCGTCATACCCCTTTGTGATGAGATCGTGGGACATTAGGGGAATATTCTATCCGCATGTCGACGACGGTTTTATCGTGTCTAGCAGCAGCACTCGCAGCATTCGAAGCAGCAGAGACCGGCGCAGCTGAGTTTCGTTAGTTGGGTTCATTGTTTCGGGATGGATGGGACGGGAGACAGGAACGTACACTCCACAGCAGACGTCTTCGCCCTCACCACCACCACGGAGGCTCATTTGCATCTGTTCGGGCTGGTTCTGTTGGTTGACGAGGTGGTTAGCTTGAGCTCGGGGATTTGGCTGGCGAGTGAAGGACACGTACGGGCTGGCCGGTGACGACCCGCTCGGTGACAGGGGCCTCAGGGCCCGAGGGCTGCTGCATGGTCACGGTGTTGGCATCCCAGGTGGGCTGCTGGGTGGGAGCGGACTCCTTGTTGGACGACTTGAACCAGTTGAACATGGTGAAAATGTGATGAGTGAATGCGGGTGAATGTGAGTGTTGAAAAGGAGGGGCGTGACGGCAGTAAGGATTATAATATTGTTGTGGTGGTAGTCGGGTATCGGCAATTCTGGGAGGGAAAAAAAAATGAGAAACGAAACCCACCGAAGCGGTGGAATCCACCGGTTATTTATCTCTTGAAAGTCAATCCGGGGTCCAATGGCCAGGACCCAGTGCGCAGCATCAGCCCTACAGAGCAGGCGTCAGCGAAGAGCAAGCGATTCGCTATGACTTCATCGTCGTTGGGCGAGAGAGGACTGCTCAGGAGGATGATCTATCATCCATGCGGTCTAGTGCTGTGCTGGCCGGAAGACAACTGAGGGAGAATGATGTGAGTGTTTCTATTCTGGACAGGGACATCCAGGGCGCTTGACGTCAGAGGAGCCAGCCCTGTAAATTGCGAAGGTTGTTGCGGTGAGCGTGCGCGGGGCCAATGCGGGCGTGGCAATATGGATTGTACAGCCATCAGCCGTCGAAGCGCAGCATGCAAGACACGGGCTGTGGCCGAGGCAGTGTCGTGCACCACACAGAGCGAGTGTACAAAGTGTTAGGCAGCCTCGTTTCGGGCTCCACCCATTATTGCCAGTTTTTGCGCCAGTCATTTCCCCCTCAAGCTTTGGTCAAGCTTTGCTTGGAAGCTTGGCCAATCAACGACCGCTCTTGGACCCAGCGGCAATGGGCGGGCTGAAGAAGGATCATTCTGGCTGTTGGACTGCTGTGCTTGACGCTGCAGAGGGTCATGATAATACGAGTACGTGTTTCCACTGGGGCTATTGACGGATCATAGTTCAGCAGTCCGTCCTTTGGCTCGAGATTCAGTTTGTGCACACCTGGCTCATTTCTGTCAATCGCTTTCCCCCACTGTGGATGGATTGGCTCTCCACGAGTCTACGGTGACTGTCGGATCGGGTGTCAATTGGTGGGTTCCGCGGACCCCGAGACAGAAAGAAACATCCACATTATCGGCGCTAAGTGGTAGGTTGAGGTTATTGTGGCACCTGGCTGGCAGCAGTGCCGTGTTACTGAATTGGGATTGCAATTAGGGCCATAAATTCAGTGGCTTAGCCCCTGGCCCCCATTTACACTGCCTCGGAAATAGTCTGCACGGGAATGGTAGTGTGTGTGTGTTGGACGGTCGGAACTTCGGAAGTCCAAAGCTTCGCCTAGAAAATTCCCCCATTAGGGTGGGTCAAAGCCATGAACAAGGGACTGGATCATTCACATAGGAGAAAAATTGATTGTCAATTGTGAGGCTGACGCGAGTAGGGACGCAAACTGTTCAAAAGTCTGACCGTTCTGCGCAATGAATGACAAGCACATAGACCATACAATCCCTTCATGCTCTCTTCTCTACCCGCTCCACCCATCCCGTATTTTCACCTCACAGCTACCACGGGCTGCCCTTATACGCATCGTCTTACCTAAGAAAGAAGGAGCAATCGCAGTCTCTACACGCCGCAATTGGCCCCAATCTCCCGAGCCATAAGCTGCTGCTTCTCTGACACCGCTTCTCTCGAGCCCCTACAACATCCCGCGCCACGTGCACATCTCTTCGCCCGCTTGTCGGCGCACCGAGCCAGCGCACACGAGATGATCTTCCAGATAACCACCCCGGTAGTACAAACCACCAACCCCGCGACCATCCCCAACAACGCAGGCACCATCGCCGGAATGATGAGACGCCAGAAGTTGGGGTTGGACCGGTGGTGGTGCACGTAGGCATTCATCGACGGGCCAGCCACGGCAAACGGGGACTTGCCCACGTCGTTGTGGTGGTGGCGTCCCTCCCCATCAGTCGAGACGACCGAGTTGTAGGGACGGATGCAGGGTCTGTTGCCGCACGATACGTGGGCCTCCGGCTTCGCATTGGAGGTCTTATGCAGGGCCTTCTTCTGCTCCTTGCGCCAGGACTTGTACTTGCCCACCAGCATCTTCCAGTACTGGGCGTGCCACATCTTATTGCCGTGGCCATGGGAGGCATGGTAGTCGAGGAGTGGCTCGATGATGATCTGCGAGATGGAGAGGTCGTCTTCGTCGGCGTCGCGGGACAGGCGGACGTGGATCACGCTTGCGGTGGCGGGGTGACCGGTGGAATCGAAGAATTTGACCTCCACGAAATACATGTCGCCCACCTCGGAGTCGACCCTCGGAGGGAGATATTCGATGTCCACCCCGTAGGTCAGGAGGACGGTCTCCACGGTGTCGCTGTCAATGTTGCCGTCGGGGTGCATCTGGGCTGGAAGTTTCATAGGGTACCCGGCGGGGAAGACGCTGACGTTGTTGACCAGAAGGGCATTGTTTTCGGTTCGGAGGTTCATTGCCTAGGGACAATATTAGCGCCTCATTCGCGTTTCTCAAGATAAAGGGAATCTGGGGTCTATACCACAAAGGGTGTTGAGTTTCCGTTGTCAAATGGGCTGTTGTCGTCCTCTGGAGAACATCGTAGACACGGCAGATGGACATCATGTCCGGTCGCAGAGGGAAAAGAGGGACGAGAATTGAGTGCGTTGGACAGTTGCTTCTGCGAGGAGTCTCCAGTATCCGGGACCGGTGAGGCCAAAGAGCCCACCAGCCAGATACTGGGGACGAGGAAAAAGCGAAGGTGCATGGGGAAAGAAGACAAAGCAATATACAGTGTTGGAGGTCTGAAACAGTGAACGAGCGACGTGGGGTTAGTGCAAGACTTGTATGTACGAAGCAAAGTTGTTGGTGAATATCTCATCAAATCATGAAAACAAGACTCGAAGTAGCGAGATTAAAAGATATCAATCTCTTGGTCTGGGCTGTCATAACAGTTATCCAGGGTGCGGATACAGTAGGCGGGAACCGGTGGCTATGGCTGTAAGGGAATAGGCAGCCATGTAACAAGTCCAGCCCTATAGGGGAGGGCCTCCTGAGACGGTCCGTTTCCGCGGGCCCCGAAGGGCAACGGTAGGGCTGACCGCGTCACCGCGCCATTATCTGTCGTTTCTGACTGCTCCGCATGATAAATCTTGCACGCTGAAAAGAGATGCTCCCATAGATATCCCGTACCGACCCCACAGACCACTGCTAAATGCTTGAATTGACTGTTGCAGTGGTATCAATCTTGAAGATCGATCCCGTTGGCAGGCCCAGCATTTCGCCCGGAACACTTCCGACGCCTGACCCATAGTTGACCCCATCGTGAAAAAGTCGCATGACTATGTTTCTAGTCCTGACTGATGGCCCCGTAAAGGTAACAACGATCTGGTGAAGGAAGACGCGTGGTAGTCAACGTGTCTAGAAGCTGGAAACTCCGACCACGGTTCCAAACCTGTATTCACAGGCACTAACTAAAGTTATCGGACTTTATGAGCAAGCAACCTAGCACAAAGCTTACTATGCCTTAGTGTACTTACTGTAACACCTTGACCCAGACAGACCTGTGGATTGAGATATAATCCAATGTCGGTTGTGCGATCCTTTAGCGACAGTAAGTCGATGGGCCTTTGCTGAGCTCATACGAAGACATCTTAAACCAAACTTTAAGAATTGGATGCCCAGTCAGAGCAGTGAGACTTGGGATATGCAGAGTCTGGTCAGGGAATTCCGTTCGACACTTCATCATGTTCGAACTGTGAATTGATCTCTAAGCTTCCTGTGGCTGCGTACGCCTTGAAACAAGACAGCTCCCTGTGTCACATACGGAATCTCAGCGCATTATATGAAAAGGGACTAGCTTAGGCAGCAAGCTCATAAAGGTGATCCGTGCTTTCTGACTAGCTATTATTTTTGTCGGCTAACATAACCTCAGAATGGGGATATGTCTTAGCACGGGCAACTACTCAGACAGAATGTCTTAGACCGCACAATTTGAGGCTGGTTCACCGCTGACCACTCTTGTGTCTGTGGTGAAGTGTCTCTTTTCCAGTTAAACTGCTACACCCTCATCTCTCAGCTCTTTAGACCAGAGCCAAGTCAGTACGGCTAGCTGTCTTCACGAGAAGAGACAATGATGATACACTAAGTGATATTTGACGTAAGGAAGAGGATGGCACTCAATGAGACAGTAAGTAGTGCTAATCTCTATTTCCTCATCAGTCTGCGGGGTGATACTTAGCCAATTCTTGGAAATGATATTCCGGGCACTATATTACTCGTGCCATGCTCTCTGCCGCCTCGAAAGACCAACGTTGCTGATCATGGATCAGTAATCTTTGTTCCTAACTGAGAGACGAGAATGCCTGCATTGTCCAGGTCAAAGTAATCCTCAGTCACGGTAATTGGGACAGGATATGAATACATCGTACCGGTGAATGTACACCCTCAGCGTTGCAGCAACCTGCCGTCCCGCGCTGTTCCACGCCACAGCGCTCCATGCTAGGCTCCTATGAAACTGAGACATCGACGATGCAATGTAACCTCAACCTTGTGACAGGAAACTGCGCCGGTGCTCTTCAAATCGAGATGAACTCCCGTGGCTGGCTGGTACCATAGCCGGCCATGGACAGGGCTGGATGTGCTCGGAGTCTCGAGAAATCAATACAGTTGGTTGCCATCTGGTGGAGTAGTAGAGCATTGTTGGCGCCTGAAGTTAGGAGGCAGCAAATCCCCCGCTTGTCGTTCTTTTGGGTGTAACGGTCGTTCAATGCCTGTCACCGTCGGATGCCTAGGGAATCTCATGACTCCACAATGAGATTCTACTCTGGAGCAGGCTCCTTTAGTGTCTTCTCGTATTCATCAGCGTAGTCAGGGAGACACTAGCCAGAATAGTAGCTAAAACTGGCAAAGTCGGAGGTGCTGCTGCATCGCTAGGTGAGACAGCTCTTATGGTTTGCATTTGATAACAAAAGGCTCAAGGCATCGATTTCAAATGTATTTGTGCCCTAGACATGGAGTTAAGCAGCCGAAGGGAGTCAAACGCGCGCATCTTATCTGAGCGCCTTGATAGTTTTTCAGGTACTTCTGCTGCTGTGTGCCATTTGAGCATGGTCTTGACTGGCAAGCGAGGAGCACTATCCGTCAAGCAAAACACCACTGCAGGTAGTCTTCTATCTGATCTCATACCGCGACTCCTGTTTGAGTATTGTAGGCCAGTCGCCCCCGGAGCTGTATGCTACTGCAACAACATTCGGTTGCGCACTTGCTATAAGCCTGCTGAGTGTGACACGGTGCAACATACTCATGCTCAGAGGTGTATTATGGCTTATTGATAAGCCTTGTGAGGTGATGCTGTATATGCTTCTTATGTCTTGAATTTACCATAACCGAATCCATTGACATAACGCTAGTGAGCCCTGCGTTTAGAAAGTCTTTAGGAACCTGCACAATCGATATACCATTCTATCCTACGAGTATGAACATCGAACCTCGACGGCTCCTATATAACCGGCATTTGCCTTCCTCTCCAGTCCTGTGGTTCTACTTCGCCTGCCGCCCCTTCTCAGCATTTGCCAGAATCTCCGCCTTCCACCGCGGATCCTCCGACTCCTTCACCGGCGCCCAACCTAGTTGAATCTTCCAACCCAAACAATCAGCACTCTTGCACACCTCAATCCAATCACGACGGCAGTACAAAAACGCACCTGCATAACCTTCTGATCCCAATCCTTCGTGAAGCTCTTGACCTTCCCGTCGCTGATCTCAAAGATGGCCGCCGCGCTCCACTGCGCCCGCTTGGGGGGATCGGACCTCTCAATTCCCTTGTACGGCGCCCCCGCATGCGACCCCTCGGCGGTGTACCGCAGCAGGACGTGGCCGTCCTTGGCCCAGGCTTGGTCGTACCGCACAATGTGCAGGTCGTTGACCGACTTCATGACGGTGGCGTGCGAGTCGGCGTAGTCCATCGGGGTGGAACAGCCCGGGAAGGTGGAGGGGCTCCAGAACCAGCTGTCTGGGTGGCAGAGGTGGCGGACGGACTCGGCGCCGTGGTTCTCGGTCGGGGAGTAGGCGATGGTCATGTATTGTTTTGCGGTGGTGATGTTGCGCTGGAGTGTGGGTGGTGGGTGGATGTGGTTAGTCGGGTGCCTTGAGGTGTGCTGCTTGTGAGGATCGGGGTGCATGGGCGGGACTGTACAGTACCTCTTCTTCTGGGGTTTGCGAGGCGGAGATTATGGTTGGCGGTGCTTGGGCGCTTGGAGACATGATGGTTCAATGTCTTGAATGTACTTTGATTGTTGTGAGGTTCGGCAGGGACGAGTCAGGAGATGTCAGGGTTTATCCGCATTGATAGAAGGGGAAGTGTGTGTTTACATGGAGCGTTGTGGCTCTCAGCTGTCTCGGTAGGTGGGAGGTCCCGGAGTCATTATGACGTGCATGATGGTATCTCAACGACAGGTTTGTTGAATCACAATGCTCTTATTCGAGCCAATGATGGCGTATTGATATCACGCTCTGTGCTATCTTGGCCGTTTCGGTATCCGGTTCTTGTAGCTTGCCCACTTGACTGTGGAGTCGAGGAGTACCTGGCCCTCGTGCCGAGTTGAGCATGTTGATGTTAGTCCCAATAATGCTGCAGACTATGATCCAAAATACCTTTCTTATCGACCTCTATTATAGTAAAATTAAGAGTCATACCCCACTGACTCAGTCGTTAGCTGTCAAACGGCGTGGAGGATGGAAAATGTGGGGGCTTTGCCAGGCAGCCTCGCGGCATGAACCTACCCAACATCTTTATCATGCATCTTTGACGCAATTCCGCATGGAAATCTTGGAATCAGCATTAGAGTTTAGTTGATAATGGCTGCCTCCGGCTTCAGAATCTGCCTACTGTATCTTTCAGTTGTTCATGCTTCTATTGTGTTTTGTATGTGTATTGTCGAAACAGGCCTACGCACACTAAACCACTTTCAGTAGTGCGGGGTCAATAGTCCCTGAAAGCCCAAACAAACAACACAACTCCGAGCTGAGTTTCCAATCGACTACTAGGAATGTGTATATAGTCGTAGTCTCGCTAGTGCTGGGGTAACGTATTCCTGCTTGCTAGAAGATGCATGCGCAACTTTACTCCGAGATGAGCTTCGATGAGAGAGGAGCCGCACCACGCACCGCACCATAAATCACTTGCATGTATCCAGCAAGTTCTTCTCTGACTTTGGACTTCTCCTACGGATCATGTGGTTATTTCTATGCCGGCTCTGGGATTGCTTTCAGCGTATCAAAAGTCTCCATGCGCATACACTCAGCAAGCCAAGGGACAAATAAGATTCCAGCATTAGGGCACGGGTGATATGGCACAGAGACAAGCCTTGCGCCCGGCCAGGCTGCCAGCGAAGAAGGAATATCGAGGCTAGCAGGGACATGGCAAACGCTCCACGTCTTCATTAGCCCCTTTTTCGTAAGCAAACCTCTTTCTGATATACAGCTCATCTGGACTATGGTCAAGACAATGAGAAGCCACCGGATGCCCGAACAAATGGCCGCTACTTCCTCCCTGGCTTGGCAGAGGTAGCTATGCCCGGTTGATCATTTACGCCTGCGGCCTCTTGTGGCTGTTGCACCCAAAAGAAATATGGGAAATCGGAAATGAGATTCCCCGTAGGAGCAGAACGCATGATCGGAGATGATGCAGGGAGTCATACCATCTCCGATGACCCCTCCATGCATTACGTTAGTGCAGATCATCGGCGGTAATACTAATACCGGTGAGCGCAAGCATGCTCCTGCCCCGCAACTTCCTTCCTCCAGCAACAAACATCCCACCATCACCATCACCACAACAACAACAACAGATCCAGCAACTGTTACGCAAACCATGGCCCCTCGAAAAGCTCTCTTCGTCATTGACATCCAGAAAGAGCTGGCCGTCGATCCCACCACCCGAGTCCCGCATGCGGACCGAGTCATCGCCTCCGCCGAGGGAACCCTCAACGCCGTCCGCTCGGTCATCGATTCCTCCCGTGAGAAGAACCAACCATCCCCATGGGCGATCTACTTCATTCAGCACGAGGAGACCTCTGCGAGTGGGACACTGCTGAGAGGCAGTGAGCCCTGGGAATTGGTCTTGACCCCGCGGGTAGATGTCGAGGAGGAACTCGTGGTCGCGAAGAAGACTGGTCAGGATCTGATGACTCGCGGAGCTTGATGGCACTGATGCTGACATCCGGATACAAATTCCAGGCAACACGTTCGAGTCGAATCCGACCCTCTCGACGCGCCTCCGCAATGCCGACATCAACGAGATAGTGGCCGTGGGTCTGCAAAGTGAGAAGTGCGTCGAAGCGACCTGCAAGGGGGCGTTGGCGGCGGGGTTCCGCGTGACTCTCCTTGCTGGTGCGCACTCGACGTACGAATCGGACGGGAAGACTGCGACAGAGCTCGAGCGCGAGGTGGAGCGGCGTCTGTCGACTCGTGGGGCTCGTGTCTTGCGGTGGGAAGAGGCGGCTTCGCAGTGGGTTCAGTAGCAGCGTAAATAGATTGTCTGTGAGCCTGGATTATTTTGGCATCGTTTTCCAACATTCTCTTCTAGTTGAAGTATTAACCTAGCATCTGCTCTAATCAAATGAAAGTGACACAAGTCAGGCGCAAGGGACAATCGAGACTGAAGCTGCCGATCTTAGGTGAGAATGCACAAAGGAGTTCCCGGGGAGTATATTGTGATGATAAATTGGATCATGGTGAGAACAGAGACGGAAGCAGGGGAGATCCGAAGCAAGAAATCCAAGGAAGACGCAGACATGTGCTCTGCTGCACACTAGCTTTGCTCTCTCTCACAACCACGACGAAGGTAGAAGATTGATTGCAGGCAGTCAAAATTCTCTAAGTATTCACCATTTGACTTTTATGCATTTGACTTGATGAATCAGCCGCATAATCGTTGACGTCATCAAAGGTATGACTTCGACGCCTTACTCAATAGAGAAGGTTCTCCGGTGGCAGACTTGCCGAAAACGAATTCTCGACGCCGCAACTTGACGCTGCAAAGCAACCAGCTGATTCCCATTCCACACCTCCATTACGCACCACGAGAACTATACCCAAGATAGGCAAGCTGCACATAGCGCCGGCATATCATAGTGGATAGCTGCGTGTCACTGGATGCAGGGCTCTAACAGTAAAGTTCCGAGCGCGTGTCAGCGTTGTCGACGCCAGAAGCTCAAGGTACACCCCCCCCCCCCCCGGTCGGAAAACCCCGTCTCCTGTCCATTGTGTTGATGAGCTTCGAAGTGTGATGTTCAGCGACCATGTACTCTTTGCCTTAGAGCTGGGGCTCATTGCACACCAGGGCCGACTAGTCGCTGGAGGCCTTATCAGCCTGTAACTGCCCATCCAGCCCTCGAACGCCTCCCCGTGCAGCAACACTCTCGCCAGGAAGTCAACCCAGTTACTGCTCAAAAGACAGATGACGTCTCGGAAGCTGAAAGAGTATCCGCGACAGATGATTGCTGGCAATCAAGCTCGATGCTATCTCTAGTAGATGGGGTAAGTTTCTGTCTGATATGGAAACCAGAGCCAAGGCTCAAGTATCCAGGCATTTCGATTGCACAACACCCACGCGCCACCAGATCGCACAACAACTGCTATCCCAGGAGGCCATGTACAACAGCCTAGCCCGTCAGCTCCCAGCACTAAAGAGGGCCCATCTCATTCACAAAGCAAGGAATCTCTTCTGTCCACGCGACAATACGTCCACAACGGGTGGTCTTTGCCTGCCACCGAGCTTGTCTCATTAATGCCCCCATTTGAAGCTGCTAGTTTGCTCGTCGACACGTACTTCGACCGCGCCCACTGGTTCATGTTGATCTTCCAGCAAGATGACTTCCGGCAGCGATGGCCGAAGCTGTATCCACAACACTCAGGCCGACCAGGAGATTTTACCAATACCGCGTTCTTGTCCACCTTTCTTGTGGTCATCGCAATAGGGATCCATTACGTGGGCCCACATCGGCAATCACTACTCGCCAGACACGGCGTCGATTCAAGTCTGAAGGATCGTATCCTAGCCTGTGTAAGGGCCAAACTCTTGGATGTGATGTCACTCGGTTCGCTGGAAGCAGCGCAGACCTGCGTGCTGCTAGGAACTTACTACTTATACCATGGTTGTCCTCGCCTGGCATGGCCTGTGTGCGGCTGCGGACTCCGCATTGCACAGGCCTTGCGCCTGCACCGCCGATTACGGCCTTCGGATTCCCCTGATTTCCGCCAGCAGTATGAAACACGGAAGCGGTGTTGGTGGGCTATCTATGAGATTGAGACTTTTTCTGCCGTGGTATACGGCTATCCTCACAGTATCTGGAATGCTGATTGCGATGTGGAGCCCTTGGACCCGTCAGCCAAGCTGCAGGCCATGCAAAGTCCGAGAACACCCAGCGAACTCCGGGCGCGCAAAACGACCTTGCTGTCCTACAAATGCCTCATGTCTGAGCTTTCAGTAGTAACAAAAGAAGCACTGGGCGAGTTGTATCGCACCAAGACCTTTCCAGGAGAACAAGGAAAGCCGTCTCGCCCACGAAGAGACTTACAGGATACCCTGAAAGCAGTGGCTAAGTACGACAGCCACTTACAGCAGTGGCAGGCCAAGCTTCCCCTCGAACTTCAATGGGAGCGAATCTCCGACCAGGCAAATTACTTGACCCCAGAGGAAATCGATTGCGATATTGGGGCGACGGGGCCACGCTTCGAGAGCCACATATACCAGCTCCAGGCCATGGCTCTGATGCTGGCGTACGAGAATGCCATGATTCTGACACACAGGCCTCTTCTGTCTTACAAGCTGCGGAGCAGCACGGAGCCTGAGGCTCTCCCTGCCAGCTCGGACCGAGCTGATCAGCCAAGGCCTAACCCCTTCGTCTCGTCGATAGAGGCCTGTCGCACTGCAGCGCTGAGGATGGCCTCTATCCACTCAAGCCCAGTTCTCAAGCTTGTCGCTGAGACCTACGCCGTGACCTTCGTCAGTATACATACTTTTACCGCGGGAGTCACCTTGGGTATTCTGTGTAGCATGGATCCCTTGAATCAGCAGTCCAGTGCTTCCAAGCTAGCCCTGCAGAATGTGATGGAGATCCAGGAGACGCTAAAATCGCGCTCGGTTGTGGCGGAGCAAGGACTAGACATCCTCCAGCGACTGACCAGGCTTGTAATGCAGAGGGAGCTGGACGTGCTGCTGGGTAAGGCTAAACGCACGACTCCACAATCGAACAGTCCTCGTAGGCCATCTAGTCAAGGTCTGTCAGACGAGCTGCAAGTGCTCTCCGGGGACGTGGCATCTCAAGTCCCTACTTCCGGGGGCCTAGTGACCCTTAACCGGGGTGCGTCCAGCGCCCTACCCGGCCCAGATGACATTTTCTACATCAACGATCCTGCGATGACGGATGCACTGCTCGACTTCGACCAAGGTTGTATTTCTCATTCCCATATCATTTCCTAATCTAACACATGATTCAGCATTGCTATCCTATGCCCCTCAACCTTTGGGAGAACATGAAGAGACGGCAGAGAATCCGATTCTGTGGCCGCCAACCCTGGACGGCTTTCCGATCCTTGAACAGACCTGGCTATGGGATCTCGACAACGACCCTTTCTTCAACGCTGACCTCGAAAATTGACCGTGAATTGCTTTCGGCTAGACTCGGAATACATGCATTCTTAAGTCTTGAGGCATCAGCACCGAACCTAATAGCCCCCTGTGGTTCCCTCCTCCGCCATCGGCTTGAACGTCACCTCCACAGGCTCATTCCCTATGCCACGCTTCCTAGCCTCCTCCAGAATCGCGACCGTCGCTGTGGCCCCAATCCGCGTCACGCCCAAGCTCATCACATGCAGCAGATCATCCAGCGTCCGCACGCCGCCGGCAGCCTTGATCTGCACCTTCTGGGCGGACTTCTCCCGCATCAACTTCAGATGCCCGACGGTCGCACCCTTGTAGTTATACGAGCCATCCCTCTGCTTGACGAACCCATACCCGGTTGACGTCTTGACAAACGCCACTTCCAGCTGCGAGCAGATCTCACACAGCCGGGCAATGTGCTCGGGCTGCAGGTAGTCGTTCTCGAAGATGACCTTGAGGGCGGCCCCGTTCGCGACGACCGCGGCATTAATCCGGCGGATTTCGTCCGTGACATACGCCCAGTCGCCGCCGAGGACCTTGCCGACGTTGACGACCATGTCGATCTCGGCGCCGCCCGCCTGGGCCGCGGCGGTGGCCTCGAGGACTTTGATCTCGGTGGTGCTGTTGCCGTGCGGGAACCCGATGACCGGGCAGATGAGGACGTCCGACCCGGCGAGCGCCTGTTTGGCGAGCGGGATGGCGTAGGGCTTGACGCAGGCGGTGGCGACGTGGTGGTCGCGGGCAATCTGCAGGCCGGCGCGGATGTCGGCGTCGGTCATGGTCGGGTGCAGGAGGGAGTGGTCGATCATTTTGGCCAGCCGGGGCAGGGTGACGGTGATTGTATTGGGCATGTTGACCGTTGTGGAGGTAGTTTCTTTTGAGTGAGAAGAGTAAGAACTAGGTTTGAAGTGACGGAGTTGTGATGGGATTTGTTTGGGTGTTTTATATCCATGCTGCAGGTATAAGGTCAGAGCGTCTTCCGGTGGAGGACCTTCCGTATTCGGTAATTCCTTCCACCGGTGCAGTTCTCAGGTCGTCTGCTGTTGACTTGGTCAAGAGTGGAAGATATCGATCTTTCCTAGACTATACGGTTATACTCTAACGGTTATAAACCAGTACGGTATGCAGTACCTATCCTTTTCAGTTGCAAAACATACCATACGGAGGGGAAGCACACTTGCAGACTGGCTGAATAGCAGGCCGGAAAACCCCAATCGAAGCGCCAAATGCCTTGCCCCACGGGGAGGGCGATTAGGGCTCGGCACACGCTCCGCTGGCACTGCCGATCAGCCAAGGATGGATATTATATAGAGTGTTATCAAAGTGAATCTGCTGTCCAGTATCAGTCTACACTACCTGACCAATTGCCAATCGGCGGTCTGTCTGCCCATCTCGATCTCAACCATACAGTAAGAGCCAAACCTCGCCAGACGAATAATCACCCCCAAGCCGACCAAATCCGAATATGGTCGTCTCAACGTCCCAATGCGGAGCACCGCCCACGACGTCCTTTGTAAGCATTCCAAATCGCCGATTGAACACCAGTGCCTGGGGACGGACAAAGGCCTGGACCACAGGCCCGGATTTCCCGCACGATAGGAAAGAAGGGGGCGTAGCCTGTACCCATGGTCATCCACGGCCATGACATCACGACTACTGGCCAAGCTCAATCAGCCTATTGTCCCACGTTTTGCGCCAGGCGGAAGTATCACCCCCGGAGGTATTGAACTGCAGCACAACAAAATCAGGCCTCATGCCACCCAAAGCATCCCTGCTTGTTTACCTCTTTCCTCATCCCTGCAAGACACACTTCCGCGCGACAAACCAACATGCGACTATGTCGACCGAACACATAATCCGGCGACGGTCCAATGACCACGAAAAACCCAAACCCGCGGAGGAGTCCGACGGCCTGTACGAGGCGTACGAGATCGAGCTCCAGAACTCGGCGGGCGGCACCATCCGCTTCGGGGATCTGATCGCCGGCAAGGGGTCGAATATTACGACGCTGGTGATTTTCAGTGCGTTTGCTGCCCTTCTCCTGCCCCTGGTCTTAGCATATACGGTACATATAACGACCACGGCTAGCACTCTCAACCCTATCCCCCGTCTCTCCCCATCACTAATGTCGATCCGACGGAACAGTCAGACACTTCTTCTGCATCTACGACCAATCCTACGTCCGCACCGTCTCCCACCACCTCAGCGACAGCATCCTCGCCAGCCTCCCCGAGAACGCCGACACCGGCCCCTGCCAGGTCATCATCATCGGCTGCGGCGACCCCGCCCGCATCGTCCCCTACGTCGCCGAGACCGCCGCCCGCTTTCCGGTCTACACCGACCCCACCGGCCGCATCTACTCGGAGCTCCGCATGAAGCGCACCGTCCACGGCATCACGCGCCCGCCCGTCTACACCGAGGTCTCGTTCGTGAGGGCGCTGGGCCGCACCCTCAAGCAGATGTTCTCGGCGGGTGGGTGGCTTCGGGCGTTCCGGGGCGGGCCGTGGAATTTGAATGGTGGGGAGTGGGTGTTTCGGGGTGGGCGGTGCGTGTATGTGCATCGCATGGAGAATGTGGGCGATCATTTGACGGCCGGGCAGTTGTTAGAGGTTTTGGGGGAGGGGAAGCAGGGGGAGGATCTGCATCATGATGGGGAGGTCGGGGGGAAGGGGTGATGTGTGGTGTGATGATGGTGGGTGGGGATAGTGGTATTGTTGGATGGAGTTGTTTGGGCTGTATCGTTGGGCTCTACATTTGGTGTTGGTTTGGCTGGGTGGGAAGCTTATATACCCCTTACTATGATATGTCTTAACTCTTGCTGCACTGCATTACTAGTCTGTTAGACTACACGTTTAGAACATGTGGTCTTAAGTCTTTGTATTGGCGTTGACCTACACTCACGCTTCCGTACGACCCCTCAGGAAATCATGACATCGTTCGAGATAAAGTATCCATGCTTAGATCAAAGACGACCACCACCCGCTAAGACCGGCAGAGAGAAGAGGTTCTGATGAGAGCTAAATGTTAGAGGCGAAGGGGCACTGGATACAGCGGTCATACTTTACCTCAACCTCGGGCAGCATCCCCTCTATCTCTCCACAGCAACAACCGATTTGATGATAAGCGGTAGGCGGCTGACAATCCGCTGCCACACTTCTTGCTGATAATCCTGCCGCCCGGTATCCTCATTGAGGAGTGTGTTCCGAACCGACCAGATCTGATCTAGATCCGCATTGAAGCGACCCCCCAGATATGGTCCTTCTTTGAAGTGTCTGTATAGACCACCCCACGCCGTGGTTCTGTCCTGCTGGGTCTTAGCGCGCCGCAGCTGGTCGAGCGATTCGTCCACGAGACAGTCTACGGCATGCCACCGTCGAGACGTGTCGTGAACCGGGAGCCAAATGATGCGTTTTATCTCCTTCGGACACGCCACCTCCCACGTTCGATGCACGACGTCGATGTCGGGGAATCGCTGCAGCGGGTCCTCCGGACCGTTGCTCACAATGGAGACCTCCACACACTCGGGATGGAAACTGGACCACTTCCAACTCGGGCACACGTGCTCCGCACCCTTTTTGTGGAGTAGGCCGCAGGGGAAGGCGACGCGGGTGAGCGGGGTCGCATGCTTCACGATCAAGGGGTGGCCGGGACGGCGGTGCGCGGGCCACATGTGCGCCAGCTGCTGGTCGAATCCCGCCTTCAGCATCAGGTTGCGGATCCGCCGCGCGTTGGGGAGGAAATTGAACCATTGACGGTGCGGGATGTAGACGGTGTCACGGGCTGGGTCGAACGGCCGCACGACGGAGAAGCGACGCGTCTCCTTGTGGTAGCGGATCTGGAGGCGAGGCTGTTGCTTTTCCAGCCAGCGCAGCCCGACCCCTCGAGCCTCGTGGTTGATGAATAAGTGTGGCAGGTGGACTTCGTAGCAGTCTAACGGGCGCGGGTCGAACTCGATGTGCAGCATGTTTCTCTTCTCGCCCTCGGCGTTCGCTGTCTGGTCCCATTGCGCCTTCCAGCAGTCGTATCGCCAGATGTACAGCGGATCGACGACCGGATCGGGCAGCGCGGCCTCCCAGAACATCAGGCGGAGCTCGGGAGGGAGTCGCGAGAGAGGCGGGTTCGATGTCGAGTCTGGCATGGTTCTGGACTGGCGACGAAGGGGGCAGTGTGACAGCTGGGGTGAAGGTACTTGGCTGTGTAAAGATGACGGATAACAGATTATGGATGGAGGGAGGTAGAGGGAGATGGATAGATGGAGGTTGAGAGAGCTGAACAAAGTGGGGTGAAGCTGAATGAAGCTGAAGAAGAGGGAAGAAGATGGATGGAGCGAGGAAGATGAAGTTATGAAAGGGAAAAGAAGTCAGCCCAGTCAGGCTGCTGTTGCTTAATGAGATGGGAAGGAGTGCTGCAGTGAATGAAGAATGATGGCTTGAGTAACACATGACATGGTCTGTAAGAATGTCACCATAACATAGATGTATGTCTCATTCAACTATCCCGCATCACACAAACACTCAAAGCTACGCTGGAGACGCCGCTGGTGAGAGTGACTACGAACCTAATGTAAACCGGCGAGATAACTGAATTTATACATTCATGCTGGATAGCCTGACTCTATGGTGTGTCCATGCAAGAAGTATCCCAAGTCTATGCGAGTGACACGCGAAGATCAGCACACTTTCCACCAGCAACTGCAACCTCCAGTGTCCCATTGCCGCTGCTCTTCGTCTTTCCATCGACCGCGTACGAGACAACAGCAAATGGCAATTTAACGACGCCCGTCGTCGTCGTCGGCCCACAAACCTGCAGCTGCAGGCTCTTCTTGTCGGCACCACCCAACCGCCAGCTGGCCTGGATCGGCCCTCGAGGGGTGGGTACGCGACCTCGAGCCCACGAGACATTCACATCCAGAATTGCAGGCTGGAAAACCCACGTATCGAATCCAGGCGATGTTGACTGAACGCCAAGAACATACTCCGACAGGACATACGTCGGAGCGCCGCCCCAGGGATGCGCATGGGAGGTATACAAGTCCAGACCGGGCCGACCATCAGGATATAGATACTCCCACGAGGTTCCAGTATAGTACTCATCCTGGGTGACCATGGCGGCCCACAATTGGTCCAGCAGCACGCTGATAGCAGTGGTGCGCTCCGTCGATGCATTCGCGCTCTTGCGACTTGCTTGGAACAGCGCCTCGAGCAGGAAGCCTGACAGGAACGGCGCGAGGTTGGTGCTCGAGGAGTTTGCGACCGAGGTAGAACTCTTGTACCCGATCCCTAGGCGCAAAGATGCGAGCGCTGCAATCGCAGACTGGGTCTGAGTCGCGTTGGCGATGCCGGACAGAATCGCCCATGCGCTACCTGCAATGGCCTGTTCGTCCAACGTGCTGATGTCTACGCCGTATGTTCCCAGTGCTGGGTTCCAAAGATGCTGGTTGACAGCTTGTTTGATGGTTTGAGCAGACTGGCTCCACGAGCTAGCCGATTCGGTTGCATTCACAGCAGTTGCGAGGTCGGCCATTTCGCTCAGGGTGTGAGCGAGCAGAGCCGATGCCGCAGTCCCATTGCTCGATCCCAAGAAGAACGCCCCGATATTGTCAGTAACTGCAAGACCAGTCTGCTCGTCGATGAGCCGCAGGACCGCCTCAACTCCTTTTTCAATCTTCGACCAATATTTCTGGAGAAAAGCACGGTCGCCGGAATTCTTGTAGTACCCAGCCATCGCCTCCAACGTGAAGAACTGGTAGTCGAGCAGGCCAAAGGAGCTGTAAGTGTCAGTGTACTTGGCGGACTGGCCCATCTGCGGCGACATGCTGAAGAGCCCCTCGTACACCGACGAGTTGCCTGCCTGGCGGTCTATGAGGTACCCCAAAGTCCCCGAGATGAAGTCATTGCGATAGGTGCTGGCTTGGACGATCCGGTAGGTGTGGAAGAAGTCGCCCGACCAGACGAGTCGGTCGCGTTTCGCACCATCCAAGCAGACTGAGTGGGTGTTCGGCAGAACGCCATATTCTTCCAGCACTGCATCCGAGGTCATCGGGTTCTGGTACAGCAGGGTGCCGTTCTGAGCGTGCACTTCCACATCCTTGACCAATGCCACCTGGTCCTGGTATGGGCCAAAGCCCCACGTGCCCCCCGTCAAACTGCCTGACCCGCCGATTGTGCCAGCTGGAGTCTGTAGATCGGCCAGGGGCACGAAGACTTCAGTCTCATTGACCGTCACCCCGTAACCTGTGGCATTGATCAAGGTCGCGACGCGGTACCATTGGTCTTCTTGGACGGCAAATGGCAGCGTGTAGTAATTGACCTTTCCTGAGGTGAGAGACGTCTGATTGACCAGGTTCCATCCATAACCCACCGCCAAGGTATTGGGCGGCACGACCGTTCTGTTGACATTGACGAATGTTGACTCGGAAGGATATTCACTGGTAAGGACGAAGTAGGCGCCGTATCCGCCCACGCCGGCGGCCACTTTCCAGCCAGTCCCGCCGCGCACGATCTTCGTATCGAATGTCAGGGTGTAATTGTCGAAGGATGCTCCCTTGACCGACGGGGCAGGTTGCTGTCCTCGCAGATACACTCCGTCCTCGGTGACTTCCCACGTGGAAGGTGCTGCACCCGCTGCGATGCATGCCTGCTGCACCGTCCGCGCCCCCAGGGCCCAGATCTCGTTGTATAGCCTGTTCGACGATTCGAAAAATCCCGGAAGCCGGTCAGCGGGCGTCCGATCATTTTTAGACCTCAGTCCAACATCGCAGATTCGAATGCTGCCGTCGGTCAGCAGCTTCAGGCTCTGCCAACGCTGACCCCCCTGGATGAAAAACGACTCGACGCGCCCGGTGGACGTGACGTTGAAGGTCTCGACGCGGAAGGTGTTGGAGAGACCATTGGCAAAGTCAAATGGGCCGTCTGCAAATGGCTCGTCTAGCCCGGTATAGGGCTCGCTATACTTGGCCTCGATCTGAACAGGGGTGGAAAGCGATTCAACCTCCAAGTAGGGCAAGCCTGCAGCTTCGGTGCCATGATCTAAGCTGACCAATGGGGTTTGCGGGTCAAGGGTAAAGCAGGCGGATTGCGTGTCGCCTGTATAATTCCGGAAACTAGCATTGGTGCGATAGCGTGTAGGGCGTACAAGCGTCTCACTAACACTTACGGCAAGGTTAGCTCACGAACCTGGTGGCTCATTTTGCGCCATCAGCGTCTAGTATACCTGTGAGCATGGATCAGGGGCGTCAGCGCCAGACAGCCCCAGAGCACGGGTGCAATTGATGCAAGGGTTGATGGCATGGTATCCCTTCCGCCACTGAACCTTTTCTATGCATAAAATTGGGTTCAGAGAAGAGATTTCGGGCTTGAATTATAAGAAGCCCCTGTCGGGAGCTGTGGTGGACCTCAATTTGATACCGAGGCGCCGAGGCCGGGGCTGTTTTTGTGGGGAAACGCGGGGTATCCCACCCCGAATTTCGGTGCCTGCGGGTCAATTGCTCCCGATAGGGACGCAGTCAGGGTCATCCATGATATATATGAGCTTGGCAGTCTTGAGCAGAGACCTTCCTATGCAGAGAGGCAGCATGCCTATCAGCCTCGGATCGAGCGCCAGCGCAACGAGGAAAGTTGACTCGGTTTGAGCACGACGTTCGGGTGGCATGTGAGCAGTTTCTTGCCCGATAATCGCCTGCATTCGCAACATATCATATTCTTGGGTTCTATACAGAGTATGAAGTACTGCAAAGCAATATCCTTTTTGCCATATAACTTTGAAAGAGAGATTGATTCATGCTGAGATAGTTCCAGCATACCCGAAATGCTCCCGGTTTCAAGTGTTGGGAATGACACAAGAGGGACCAAGTATCCTTCAGCTTTTGCGTTTTCTTCTCAGTGTAGTAGGAGGTGAATACCAATCCTTCCGTGCTTCTCACAGAAAGTTCTGCAAGCCCGATTATGGTATCTCTGGGATTCATTCACTACTGCCTGCCCAGGCTGCCTTGTCTTTGTTCTCTGTTCCAACAACAAGTGCAGGATGCCATCTCTGATATTTGACAACTCTTCCTTCTTCCTACCTCCCACCCATCCATGACAGTTGACACGCATCTGAGCTCAAGCCATCACCATAACCCTTGCCATCCATCCACCCATCCATCCAAACCAACTTCACCTTCAGATACTTTCTCCCTACCAAACCTCTCATTACCAAAACTTGGGCCTCTGCCTCACTCAACCAGACCGAAAATGGACGGAGCAGGGACCAGAGGGCGCGGAGGCCGCAGCACATCTGCCCGCGGGCACCGAGTCGAACCCGACAGCCCCCCACCACCACCCACCACCCCTACCCCCCAAAAATCTCAGCCCTCTCAGCCATCAAACACAACCGATACCACCCCCCGGCTCATCTCCGACATCAAAGGCCTCCTCACCCAGATCGAAGAGCAGCACCACTCCAGCCAACCCACAGCCCCGAGCTGGGTGACGACCGCCCGCCAGATCATAGCCGCCGGCGATGCGGCCCAGAACGACTCCGACCGCCGGCAGTTCGCCCACCAGGCCAAGATCCAGAACCTGCATGTCCAGCTCAAGGGGATCACGCTGGAGATCATGGGGTCACTGGCTCGGTTGGAGCAATTGAGGAAGGAGCTGGATGAGGCGACGCTGGAGGCTGCGAGGGGTTCCGACAATGCGTTGTCCAGGGCGACGCGGCTGGCGGTGGAGGTGATGGTCGAAGCGCACCAGGGAGATATGGAGGGGTGTCCGGTGGTCAGGAAGGAGTTGGACGGGCTGGATGATGTTCATGATCCCAAGGATGCTGCGGATCCCGAGTGATGGTCTTTGTGTTTTCTGGGTTTTGTTAGTTGAGTAGGGTGTGACGCGCCGAAGGGATGTGATGTCGGGCCGGGAGGCCGGGGGGCATCATTTTTGACGTGTATCTGTCCCACGTTGCTATTCTTGAGACTCCACCACGTGCTGTGCAGAACTAGGCAGTCCTGGGCACCAGTCAAATGCGGAAACAGTAGATAACCCCTTCGACTACTGGAAAGCGACTTCCGTGAGGATTATGTTATGGACATTCGGGCATCCGAAGTTATGAGACAACGGTATCAGTCATAAGCTCTAAATTCAACTTTCTAAATAGATACAATCCAAAGCCACCTCTGCATGCTTCACTGGAAGAACTCTTAAGAGAACAAAGAAAACCGCTCTATTATGGTCATTGCATGAGAATCGAACAGAAAGAAAGAATGATCAACACTTGAAGAAGTTCCAGAAGATATACATCCCAAGGGAAGGCGACGCGCTGGAAAACACGACACAGCAGAATCATACAACCCTGCCGTCTACACCCCATCAGACACCGGGATCAGTGTCAACAGACCACTGGCAGAAGGCACTGCCTCAAACCCCGCGGGAGGTAACTTAGCGACGAGACACGCAGCAGAGGATACCAGAGCGGCCGAGGAAGTAAAGCGATCCGAGGAAGCGGAACAAGGAGAGACCCGCGGTAATCCAGAGGATAACTTCGAAGTACCAGGACGTGCGGGTGGTGGAGGTGTTCTATTCGATGATCAGGTCAGCAAACAGACAAGCAGCAAGGTCACGGCGCAAAACTTACGGTCAAACACATCTTGTCCACACCAGTACTAGTGATCAGCAGCGCCACGAGTAAGTTACTGAACACCCACAGGCAAACCAGCATAGTACGGAAGTTCTTGTAGGCGTCGTCCAGACTCTTGCCACTTTCTTCCTCGGGTTCGATCCACGGGGCCAGCGCCCGCTTGACCGTCGATTCGAACTGGCTATCGATATCGGCTTGCGGTTTGTCGATTTCCTCGATGAAGTTCTGCTTGCCGTCATCGTCCTTCTTGGTTTGTACGGACGGCAGTGCTTCCGCTTTATCAGATCCCTTGGTACCCCAGGAAACGTCGTGCCAGTTGCAGAAGGCGTACACCATCAGAATGTTGATACCGGTGGTCATGCCCATGAAGTAGGCCCAGGAACTAGTCAGAATGTGCCAGGGGTCCATGTAGAGGACACTAGCAATGATGTAGATGCCATAGGTCGAGACGAGCGCAATCAAGACGATACCACCACCTGACGAACTAAAGAATGATTTTAAGAAGTCGGTGAGACTCTCGTTGATGTCGAGGTTGAACAATCCGGAGCTGAACGCGTTGACGACCAGGTAGAACGACAAAACCAGGACATAGATCTGGACCAGCGAGAAGTACATGAACGAGAGGGTGTAGGGGACGACAGTTCTGGGTGAAAGGTAAGCATCAAATCAAGCCGGGGAATCCGAACAGTCACTTACCCTTTCGGCCGATTACCCAGAGCCAGAATGAACTGCAGCGCGAGAACCCAGAGATAACCATATTTGATAAAGTTGTTGACAATAGGCGACGCTTCGTCTCCCCATGGCCATCCCTTGTTGCCGTTGTGAGAGCTAGGTGTACCCACCAAGTCCATAATGACGGAGCTAGTCAACCAGTAGGAAGCTGTGAAACAATGTCAGTTGAACGAATTCAAGCAAGTCGAAGCTATATGACAGGGCATACCGAGAGAGAACCAGGTCATGATGAGCTGAATGACGTTGTAGATCATTTGCAGGTGCAGGAAGAAGAGACGAATGATGCTGTGACCACTGCGATAGATCCGACCGAAGTGCATAAGCGAATACAGACCAGCAGCAAACGAACCGTTCAGCCAACGTCTACGTTGGCTGATAAACTCTGCCGCTCCTTCCGGAACGTCCGTCTCACCCTTGGATGCCTTCACGTAACTCAGATGCCACTTGAAACCAGCCTTGGCCACAAGTTCGAAGCAAAGAATACGATCCTCAGCCAAGAACATGTTCTTCTTGAAGATGTTCATGCCGTCAATACCCTTCTTACCGAGCCGTTTGGACAAGGTGTGATCTCCGTGGAAGTACTGCTCCAGCGGTCGGCCCATGATTGCCCGGTAGCGGTACGCAGAGAAGGCACCGGGCAAGACACTGACATAACCGAACGCGCTTTCGAGGGGTTTGTCCAGAATATTAGAGATCTTGTACTCAAAGTTCTGAGCGGCAACCAGGGGATTGAGGACTTTGCGCCATCCCTGACCCAACATGGCATGGATCTCACCACATGAACCACCGAGGGTCTTATCGTTGTAAAAGGCCTCCCATAGCGAGAGCAGCGACTTGGGACCCGGCTTAGTACCAGCGTCCAGCAAGATAACAACTTCGGGGTTGAGAATTCGACTGAAGGCATTGAACAGCCAGCGGTGAGAGTTGATCTTCTTGCTGTTCTTCTGCTTCAAACAAAAGATCATCTGCACGGGGGGCAGATTGGTCGACTCATTGCCCTGGGGACGGATCAATTGTTGAGTGGGGGTGACAGACAATTGAGTGGTGTATTCGAACTGTATGGAGGGAATGATTGTCAGTCCTTCTTGCCTTGTTCACTCAGATCTGAGACAGCCGCCGGGTCCATCCGCCCGCCTTCCCGCAGGGCGGTCGCAAATCAGGTAAGTCACTTACCACATGAGCGACGGTCTCCCGTCCGTCAACGTCCTTCTTCATCACTCCGTCCTGATAGATACCGATTGTTGCCAACACATCCAGCGTGTTCTTATCGCACGGATCGATACCATCGAAAACGAGACAGACCACAATCTTCTGCCACGCCGGTCCACCCTTGTTCCAGAACTCGGACTTCTTCAAGTTGACGATATCGCGGATATTCTGCATGACACCGTGCAGGGTACGCGCCGTCAGGACCTTGTCTTCGTTATAGTATGTGATGGCGATCAGCAGTTCGGTGTGCCGATTGTAGATCGCGGGCCGCAGGTTGTAACCGTTCCGCAACGTGAACTCGTCAGGATCACACGTGGCCGCCGTGTCTAGAGTGATCTCGGTCAGCTCCCCCTTTCTTACTCCCTCGTGTTCGCAGTGCACCTACAGCGCATGTGTGTGAACTCCTCCGCAAACGCCTCCTCCGCTTCTCGGTATTGGGGCTGGATCGCGTTCTGGATGGCACTCGGAACGGGGTAGTCGACACTCAGGACGGAACCCTGCACCAGGTTGATCTTTCTCGTTCCGAAGCGGCGGAGGGCGCCCGCGCGACTGCCGGCCTGGGAAGCGGGTTTTTCGGTGGTCGATCGAGCATCATAGATGTCACTCGACTCAGATTCTTGATAAGGGGGCGTCGCGAAGACCGTTGCGCCGGGGTCGTGTAGCGTGTACCGACGGAGGGAGTCGGTGGACATGGCGGGGTCCTCGAATGGACCGCCATAGTGGCTGGATGGGTTGCGCTGCAGCAGGGACTGCTCCTGTTCCTCGTGCTCGTCGCTGTGGTAAGGTTGTTGCTGCTGGGGTTAGGCACAATGGACGGTCGCAATGGCTGGTGGGCCATCGATCTTTGCTGGTCACAGACAGAACACTCACATTGTGGGTGGGAGAAGCATGTGAGAAGTAACTGCTCTCACTCTCCTGGGGAGAATGACTCCCGTAGTTATGTCCTGGCGTACCCATCTTGACACGAGTGGAAGATGGGAGGCCTGTGAGGATGTCTGGACAATTGCTTTTGAACAAGCAAAGGTTAAAGGAGTTTATTGAACCGGGGAGGGGCAACCCAGGCAGGGACAGTCGGACACCAAAAATAACGCTTAATCAAAAGAAGAAGGATAAAAATAAAAACAGAAGTGCCTGGGCGAAGGGGAAATGAGATTATGGCAGAGACCAGCAACGGAACCACGCAACGCCAATGCTCTTGGATTGGACGGGGGCCTGGGTAAACCGACAGTTCTCAAGTGTGGATACGTGCCCGAAAACCATATATAGGGGGCAGGAACAGTGTGCTACGGAAGCAAAAGGGAGGCTGAGAGTCCAGAGGAGCAATGTCTAAGCCTTGGGATGGGACCGTTGTGGCGATGTCATTCGACCAAGAGGAGCAGTGTCCGTTCACTACGGTTGGAATATCAAGGACCTGGTTGTTCGACTGGGGAGGGGGGCGACACAGGCAACAAGAACTGAGGCCCCCTCCCAGCCAACACCGGGAATCATCCAGGAGGGCAGAATCTGTTTTGGCCCGCCGGCAGGACGCAAGACTGGGGGTTGACGGTGCGCTACAAAATGAGAGGCATGCTCCCAGCTGATGGGCTTCTGTCAGTAGCGCATCCGAGACGAGATCTTTGGTCGTCAGCTATTGGGGATCCACTCGAGCAAAAATCCTTTTCCGGGGCGCAGGGGGGAACACAGCTGAGCAAACAACGGGTCGACCACATTTAAAAGCGACCATTTCCCTCGAAAATGACGAGGAAGACGAGTCAATTTCGCAGTCGCATGACTTATAGCATGGTAGCCAGCACTTGAGGCGAGGACACATTCCTGTCAGCGCATAATTGCGCGCAACAAATGCGAACGACCATCGCGAGATGAACTCGGAGATCGATCACCTCGTCGAGAAAATTCGTCGGCAGGTCAGAGTTTCCGGATCGCCTGTGGTGGAGTGAAGGCAGCAGCCGGGCTTCGCCCATTGGCTGGCAGAAAAAGGATGCCTACAACCAGAAAAAGTGTCGGCGAATTTAGCAGAACAGACTATCGTAGCTAAGACCGCGTGTGGTTCACGGGTGGTTCCGATAGAAGCCAGTTGGAAGGCGCAATCAATCCCAGCAGGCTGTGGACGCGCAGGCTGTGGAGTCCGGTCCGAGAGTATCTCCGACCAAGCGAGTCATTGTCGCTGCCAATTGGTCAATGGCCGATGTCGGCCAGACGTTAACACCGAAAGTTCCCCCACAGCGGAGCCTCTTAGTCAGAACTAGTCGGCCACGCAAAATTCCATTTTCGGAACAAACCATCAACAGTTCACCAGAGAAAGGGGGAAACTCAATGCAAAGCAAAGTGAATAGGGGGGACAGCAGAGCGAAATTCAGAACCCGAGGCCATAATGCAGATCTCTCTCTCTGTCTTTGCAAAGGGCACTCGGGTTGCGTTGATCACTCTTTTGACTTCAATTTGAGGCATGCGCTGGAGAAACAATGAAATCATATTCGGATGGGATGATCGAAACCATGCATGACAGCCACGCGACAGCTCCGAAACTGTTGTGGCATCAAGGCACTGTCCTTCCTCCCTGAGCCAATCGCCGTCCAGAGCGGATATTGATCCGGGTCAGGCACAGACAACGCAATCATCATCATGCGCAAATACCAACCATGGGAGAAATCGACAAAAAGACGTACTCCGGACGGGATCCGTCTTTTATATAGACTCCTGTCTGCTTTGCTTTGGCGCCGACCTGTCTTTCGTAGGTAATCACCTCATGGAGCTCCTGTCCCGACCACTGCTGTCGTCCGACGGAGACAATGCGGTGGTTTGGGTACGCCGAAGCCGAGTGATGGTAGATTGAAGGATTGGTCCAACCAAAGTCCGACCTGCCCGGATCCACTTGTCTGCGGATCATCCACCGCCATAGCGCGCCATCACCGACAATGTCTCATGCATATTCCGACATAAACTCTGCCCATGATGCTTGTTTTCTGCAAAGCGAGCGTCGCTCATCCTAGAATGCGAGGAAAGGCTTGAAGTGCTATTTAAAAGATGTCCTGATGATATGGTGCGGCTCGTAGCGAGGAGAGGGTTCGGATATGCCGGATATTCATATTGCCCTCGACTTCGAGACACTGGCATCCACTCGGGCTGAGTGAAATGAGCTTTGGACATGAGTGACGACGATTGGTACCAGCAGAGTGCCACCATCCGCTACTAATCCACTATCTGATGTCGGCATTGAAGTACGGTTTAAGAGTAGCGAGGAACGCCAGGAGATCGGACGTGTGCGTCAGATTCGCAATCAAGCATTCGACCCGGTCATAATCTCGTTCGGCGGGCTTCGTTCGACCGATCATAGAAGAAAGCATACTTCTTGATGGCTCGACCGTGTCCGAAACACTTCGAAGCATCAAACTGTCAGCATCGCTGCCATGGCTGTGAGACTATCCATCAACCCATCCCCGACCAAGGATGCGGGGGCGATACTTGTCTTCAGACCTGAAGCGAGCATGCGAGTGGCTGCAGGCTTCCTCCAAGAACAGCTTGAAGATGGAGTATGACGCAGCCCTCCGCGTCATCAGCAGCTAGGCCATGGCCGCCATGCTCGCTCAAAACGGCCCCATCTCTCTGGTTCAGGTTGGTGACGCTAACGACTGTTTGGCTCTGCGTGCGTCGTACTTCTTGTCACGACCATCAGATTTGAAAAGCACCTAGAAGTCGACAGTACATCAGCTAAAAAGTCACAGAAGAAGAGCCATGATACGATGCTGGTGTTGCTGGTAGGAACGATGGAGACTGCGATGCTGATGGTTTGTTGATCACCAAGCGGGCTGTGGGACGACTGGCCAATCATGCCAGCCTTAGTGTAGAGGTGATCTGCTGGGCCCGCTTAGTCACCGCTGATCGCACTTCTTGCATCACGTGCCGTTTCTCTTCTCTAAGGCTGCAAGGCTGCAAGGCTACACATATCACACCTCAGGCATCGATTTTCTCCGCCCTTGGATTCAGCTTCCATGAGAGCACAATGGTGTCCGAGGATCTCGTGCTTGATTTGGATTTCGGTTTGTAGTAGAAATCGTCTAGTGAGATGCGGCGAGTGTATCATTTCTCATGGCTGCTCTCTTTGCTCGTTTCTGATCACCTGAATGCCGCTTGTCTCCCGCTCGTTTGGACTATATATAGTCATGGGCTCCACCTCAATTAAGAGAAACCAAAACATCATCACCAGTACCTCAGGATGGAAGGCCTGCGAAACAAGGTCTCAACAGACTCGCTCCGTGTACAGATGGTGCTCTTGATATGTTTCAGCAAATGCCGTTCTGTGAAACTCCCCTATACGCCTGGATTCCGGTCATACCCTGAGTAAGTGATATGTGGAGGTTCAAATCGGTTGTGTAATCTACATTGCAGAGAAGCTGCATTCAAACTGATACATGGATAAATCGACCATTGATGCAGACGTAAGTTCCGATAGAGTTAGCATGCTGGACTATGTGCTGTGACTGCCAGAAGCAAGAATAAACACACACCTACACCTACGCACACACCGGTCTCTTAGCCGTACTTTTGCAAGATTCTATAACTTCAGGTAACAATGATACCACCTGCATACCAAGTAGAATTAAATTAAAACAAGTCTCACATTCTAAGTATATACCACATTCCAAACCTACCGATCAATATGAACAACCAACCCGAACCAGCAGGTACCTCTACTCCGAGCATAAACAGTCCACAGCAAATAGTATACACATTCAGATCCAACACCCTTCTAGATACTCTGCCCCGTCCACAGAACCTACCCCCTCATTGGCCTCTCCGGCACCTTAAACTCCGGCGGCACCACATACTCTCCCTTACAGCTCCCCACGGAGCACCTCTCCAACCCGCACCGCCCGTACAGCCGGCAATAACACTCCTGCGCACTGGGGCACGCGACGCGGTTCAGCCGATCTAGATCCACGAGCCCCGGGGCCAACTCCCCGTCGGGGCGGACGGCGCTCTGCTTCACGAACAGGATGTGCCAGACATACGACAGGATACGTCCGGCCACGCGATCGTCCGCCGGCGCTGGGATCGCTCCGCGACGGTTCGTGGGCCGCACGTGCATCCCGTCCAGCAGCCACTGGCGCAGCGCGATGTACTCGTCCTGCGAGTGCTGCCAGACGTTGGCGCGCGCGACGACGAACTGGGCGCAGCATTGCGCGCGGACGGGGTCGTTGCGGCCGAGGAGGACCTGCACCTGCGCGTGGGTTTCGTGGGCGCTGCTGCCGGGGTGGCCGAACAGGGAGGCCAGCGCGCGCGGGAGCGCCACGTCCGAGGCCATGCGGGCGCTCCACGGCTCGAGGACGGACTGCAGGCGCAGCTCCAGGCTGCCCTGGGCGGGCTGCGTGGTCGGACACGTGCCCACGCTCCAGTCGCAGCGGAGGTTGTGGTACCCCCACGGCTGCAGGGCGGACGTGAGGTTCAGCGCGGCCAGGAGCGCGGCGTTGTCGTACTCCCGGTGGTCGTTGTGCCAGGCCCAGCGTGAGCCGTGCACGAACACCATCCCCGCCGCCGGGAGGTGGTGGTAGTTGTCGATTAGGAACGTCAGGTACCCCATCGCCTCGTGGCCCCGGTTGGCCGGGACCTGGAGGTGGGTGGCATCCGGGTTTTTCGGTGCTGCGGCATCCGCAGTGTAGAGACAGAGGTGGTACTGCTCGCGCAGGGTGTCGAGCCAGGCGGAGTCATCGCTGGTGACTCGCGAGACGACGAGGGCAGGTTTCTCGGTTCGCTCGAGTCCCGGGCAGATTCCCCGAGCTTCAGGAAGCTGGGATGCGGTGGTCCGGTAGGTGACTTTGGTCCAGGCGAAAGTCCGCCCGGGGGACGGGGGTTTGTTGAGGAAGAGAATCAGGCTCAGAACCGCGATGAAGAAGGCCAGCTGAATGACGCTCTTGCGCGTGCGGCGTCGCATTGTCGCTGATGCTTACAGCGGAAGACCGATCGGAGAATGTCTAGCGCGATCTCATTGGCATCATCGCGGTTGGCTTGGCGTGAATGGATTGAAGCAATTCGGAAGCGATGGGAGAAAAGTGATTATTAATCGAGATGGATCGAGGGCCACTTTTCGGAGCCCCGCAGCGACCCGATAGGCGCGAGGCGCGGGGGCAATCCATCGCTCCAGGGGTCTCTTAACTTGGGAGATAAGGTAGGTTTCATTGCTGGCCGGTAGTTCAGGTGATAGAGAAAATCTGTCCACGGTGTGTAGGTTATGTTCCAGGAAGAAATGGTTCCGACCGATAATCGGGCTGACTGCTGCGGGGTAACATTCCGCAATCCAATCCACCTCCCGCACGGGATGAACCAAATGGCATGCGTAGATCTCTCATCTTAGAAGGCCGGAAACGCCGCGAAATACACCTTGTAATACGACATCTTCCACTCTCCCTCCTGTTGGACCAGCTTCATGATCCCGCACCACTCCGGCGTCACACTGCGCCCGTCCTTGAGATTGTAAGTGACAGCGCCTCGCGCCAGAAAGGTGTCGTTGCCCAGCGGATCGATCGAGACGACGTGGTGGCTGCGACTCGCAACGTAATCCCAGGTAGATGCAAACAGTTGAATCAAGCCTAGCTCGCTCAGATTAGCGAGGGAAGTCTCTCTCAGGCTGGGCCTGTGCACGTCGGTGTACGCCGGACGTACCTGGTCGGTCCGATACACCATGCTCCCCCATCTGCACCACCGCATCCGGGGTGAAAAAGTCGGCGATGGTCTCGACAGCCCCGTCGACGTCGACGGCGGTGTAGTAGTCCTGGATCCACTGTTTGATGGTGGTATCGTCGAAGGAATCGGGGTAGGTTGGTTGATACATGGCGCGGTCCTGCGTTGGCGAGCAGGGGTGTTGAGTCTAGTCTGGTGGAAAAGCGAAGATATCGTGAGGAGTTCGGCTGCTGGAGCTCCGAGACGAACGAGTGAGGGGTATCAACTGGGCCATGTGCATCGGCGTCAAGGACTTTTATGGCTGCCGGAGCGCCATTCCTGGTTAGCGGGGATGCTTGTTCTGTCTCACCGAGAAAGGAAAAAACCGAGCGAGATGCGCAGTTGGAGCCATCGAATGTGATCCATCATGCAGTGGTCGACTTGGCTTCCTGCTTAGCGCCTGCCTTTCCCGATCGAGCATCGCATCGTGGGCGGCGCTTGCGTTTGGTAGTTGCTGCGCTGCATACTTGCAGCAGGAGAAGATCAACTCGGCAATTGCGAGCGATGGGATCTTGATGGTGGATGAGATGCAAATTCAAGTAGATGATGCTACCTACCTAGTAGTGGCATACTACGCTTGCACCTCTAGCGTTGGCGCTTACTGACAGCCAGCGCCGGGCATGTTATTCGGCCGCCACGATTGCTTGTCCAGATTGGCTGCAGCAGTTCCAATGATTGTCAATATCACATCCACGGTGAATTGCGAATGGGTCAGGTACCGGGAACCACGAGAACATACTTCGCTGAAAGATAGGCGCCGCCTCAAGCATCAATAGTCTGACCGTCCTTGAAAGTGGCGCATAAATGTGTGCCGCGCCATAGCCCAGCCTCATTGCTTATCACACAATGTAACCACAACGCTCGTGTGCAAGGATGTCACAAAGCAGCCCCTGTCACCTCATCAGCATCCGATCGACAGTTCCTCTTGTGTTGATGACCATGTGGAGCCGAGGAAATATCCCCCCGTCCATCATGCTCCGAGTGGAGCGATCGGCAACGATCAGCGAGAGGTTCATCCCGTACAACAACATCGCGATCGATGTACAGTACCCGTGTAGCTACCTCGATACAACACTAGGTATACCGAAGTAATGCAGAATAGAACACCCCGAGGAGCTCAGCTCAGCTCAGCTCCAGCGGAGGCGCATGCCTGTGAGACCAGGCAACAAACCACCCACCCCGGCCATCGAACGCCACCCTCAATAGTCCCGCTGTATATGGAGTAGATAACACTGCATCCATCCTCGCTCAGCAGCCCGAAAAAGAAAAGCCGGTAAGAATAGACCGCAACTCACACCACAGCCAACCAGCAAGGTCCTTATCTCCCTCTCACCAACTCAGTACCGGATGGACTACTGCCATCCTTCTGCACCCCTTCGCAGCAGCCCAGACCGTCCCACCCCCCGTAACACGAGCGAATTCGAAACACAACCAATCTATGCAGGAAGCATGTTCCGAGACCCCCAAACTTTCCGAGCAACAATACGAGCAAGGTTTGTACGGGGCTTTGTCTCCCCCCGGGCAGCGGGGTAGCAGGTGGGTTTGCAATTGCACGGGGAGGGAGGGGCATGTTGTGTTACCTGAGCCACATGCCTTCGCAAGCACATGATATTTCTTCGTTGCTTTTGGTATGAGCACCGATCGGTTGGTTTCTATGTTTGTCGACTCCTCCTCACCCTCACGTTACTTTTAGCCATTGATACACAAAGAACTGTATTAAGTTTGGGTATGGTATATTACTACCTATCAAGTCATGTATGTACTGTACGGGTAACCAAGGTAGACATCATCGACAAAAGAATCCAGGCATTCCAAAAAAAGGAGGAATTATAAGCGACAGGCGAACAGAACCACAACCAGAGCCAGAACCAACAAGAACAAAAAAAAAAAAAAAAAAAAAAAGACACAAAACCTTAGCATTCCAAATGACAGCTCCAACCCCACCAATTGCGGACTGTGGCACGAATTCCCCTATCGCCCTCAGCCTGGAAACTTTCATGGTCCTTGCATTTCCGAACAACGGTCGAATCTCCACAGCCCTAATCTGACTTCAGCTGTCCAAGCTCAGCTCAGCCCAGCGGGCTCTCTGGGGGTATTCTTCTGTAGCAGCAAAGCAAAACAACAATAGCAGCAGCGCATCAGGACTCGATGACGGTCTTGCTCAACCGGCCCTCCGCCTGGAGATGATTCCACAGGTCGCGACACGCATCCTGTAACGAGCGCTCCGCCTTCCAGCCCAACTCCACCGCGGCGCGGTCGGCAATCGCGACGCACGATTCTACATCCCCCGGGCGGCGGTCCGCCGTCCGCCGCGGAATCGGCTGGTGGCTGATCTGCTCCATGGTGGCGACGACCTCCGCGACCGAGTGGCCGCAGCCCGTCCCCAGGTTGAAGGTGCGGAACGACTCCACGACGCGGCCCTCCTGCGCCGCCGCCAGCGCTGCGATATGGCCGCGCGCCACGTCGGAGACGTGGATGAAGTCGCGGATTGCCGTGCCGTCCGGCGTCGTCCAGTCGTCGCCGTAGATCGACAGCTCCGCCAGCTCTCCCGTCAGCACCTTCACCACCACCGGCACCAGGTTCGACGGTGTGCCCCGCGGATCCTCGGCCAGGAGGCCCGACGCATCGCACCCGACCGGGTTGAAGTAGCGCAGCCCGATGATCGTCCAGCTCGGGTCCGAGGCCGCCAGATCCGACAGAATCGCCTCGCCGAAGAACTTCGTGCGCCCGTACGGATTCGTGATCCCCGTGCAGCCTTGCTCGACGGGCACCAGCTCCTGCCCGTCGGCGGAGTAGTAGGCTTCCGGCCGGTGCACGCAGTGCTCCTCGCGGAGGGTGCGGTGGGTCGCCGAGAGGGTGCCGTAGACGTTGGCGGAGGAGGAGAAGATGAAGGTCTTGATGTCGTGCTCGTCCAGCAGGGCCACAAAGTCCACCAGCCCGCTGATGTTATTCTGGTAGTACTTGAGGGGGTTGCGCAGGCTGTCGTGGACCTCCTTGTACGCCGCGAAGTGGATAACGCCCGTGATGTGGGAGCGCGCGGGGATCGAACTCTCGTCTGTTGTGCTGCTGCCGCTGGCGTGCGTGGCCAGGAGGGTTCGCATCGCTTGCGAGTCGCGATAGTCCATACACGCCAGTTCCGCCTGCGGACATTGGCGGGCCCGGCCCTCCCGCTCGTAGTGCTGTTTGGCCGCCCTCACGATCCGGTGGTACACTTCCTCGTAGCTGTTGCTGAGGTTGTCCACCAGCAGCACATTGTAGCCCGCCTTGAGCAGCTCCAGCGCCGTGTGGCTGCCGATGTAGCCCAGTCCCCCCGTGACGAGAATGTATTGCGCGGTGACCGCACTGACGGCCGGCAGCGCAGCTAGGGCCAGGTCGAAGCAATCCTCATCGCGCTCCGTCTCCGGCGTGGATGGGGCGGAGAACAATGGCGTGGGCAGAGGGGAGCTGCCCTCGGACGGGGGGCAGGAGGAAGTGACAGTCATCGCAGCGAGCGAAAACAAACGAGAGGAATTACGGAGGAGAATTGGCGATGGGCACCTACATAGAGAAAGACCGGGCGGGAAACCGAGGGTACCTGTAGTAAAGACGACGCTGCCATCCTCCCTCCATCTCCTTACGGCAGTCGGGAGGCAAGCGATGGGGGTGCATCCAGCCCAGCGCCAGCATGATTTCATCGCCGAGTCATTGAGTAGAAAAAAGAAAAAAAAAAAAAAAAAAAAAAAGAAGAGGAATTGAATAAAGAGAAAATAAAATGACCTAGCAGAGCAGTCCAGCGAGAGTCCGGCTCGGGTCTAGTAGCAGCAAGATCGCGATAGTCTGGGAATCAGCGTGGGTTTCTGGTGAAATTCCGTACACTAAACTACTAACTACTACTACTACTACTATTTGCAGGGCCGGACAAGGCAGGGTGTGGATGCTCGGTCTTGGAGAAGAGAGAGGGAGGGGTTAGTGGAGGAGTCCCGGAAACATCCACCCAGGGAATTCTTATGGTACCTGAATAGATTTCCTGTTTTGCATTTCGTTCAAGGGTCATCGTGGGTAATTCGGTCCCTTCCATTGAATCAATGGCCAAAAATAGGGCATTGGCGCCGAGTCTCAGCCTCTAAGAAATGGACGAGCCCAATCCCGCGGTGTTTGGTTCCATGTCGTAAGTAGCTGCTAGGTTGTATATGGCAGGTTTGTGTTCCGAGAAATGATGGCATTGCAGCTTGCATTCGCATCTCAAGTGTCTTTGAACTGTGCTAGCGTGGCCTCCATTCTTCCTCAGAAAGACCCCAAGTGGTTCCTTGCCCCCCAGTGAGTACCATTGGGAGAAGTTGGAGACCAAAGAGGGAAGAGGAAGAAAGGCCCAGACTGTAAGGAGGGCCCCACCAGGATGAGCAAGATGACTAGAGAGACCCAAAATGTTAAAGCAAAGATACATGACCAACGCAGTAAGACCAAGGCGAGGACAGACAGTCAAGGGAGTAGGCATGACTACCTATACTAAACATTCTAAGCCAACGTCAGCCCCAAATGTCTCACTGGTGCAGCAACAACGCATCGCTATGATCAGTATAAATGGCTGAGCGTGAGGTGTTCCTGCACTTCCAACAGGCAACATGGCGTGCTTCCCTGGTTGTGGCGACGAGATACATCGCTGTCCATCGTCATTCCAGAGGACTTGGTTCAAGGTTTTCGCCAAATGGACCGTCTCTCTGACGGGCCGGATCAATGAGCCAAATTGATACATCCCGAAAGGGCTCCATCCGGCTCCACCAACGCTAAAGCTTGGACATCCAGGCTACGACAATTTGAGCGAAGCGAGTATATGGTTGAGGAAAAAATACTGGGAATGGTCGCATGGCGACTCATGGTCGGGAAATGCTGGGTTGGGTCCCGCTGGGGGGGGGGGGGAGGGGGTTTTTCCTGGATACTCTCTCCACTGGTTCATGTTTCAACTTTCTTCCTAGTAGTGACCTAACTACATAGCTAATTTACTGGTCAGACTCGACCAACCGCAGGGCCTCCATCATCATTCCCCAGCTCTGGGGTCCAAAGCGCTCGTAAAAATCACCCGCAATCTCGGTGACGAAGATGTAGGCAGCACGATGGCGCAACTCTTGGACCAGGGGACGCACCTCGTCGCGCGGCACCTCACTAATCATGTAGCCGCATTGGAGCCGAGGGTAGTCAAATTGCGCATAGTAGCGCTGCACCTCATCGAAGCGATAGCGAGGATAGGGCTCTTCGCAGACAAGAATGAGATCCGGACTCGGATCGGCCAACTTAGGGTCAGGCGGCGTGCCCGGGTTGTGGACAACCTGTCAGGGTGGAAGAAGAAGGATGGTAAGAAATTGGCTCGGAAACAAACTAAGACTTATTCGTCTGGTTTCACACTGATAAGACAAATGACCGTCCGTGATAAAGGACCGTGCCAGTGCCACACGGGATAATAGTGTACAGAGTACGGAAGTAGTTACTGTGTTTGTACCCAGTTGTACGTACTGTATCCGTGCTGTATAGGCAAAAACCGCAGACAAGGACAGGACGGGATGGGAGGGGTCGGCTGGCAGAGAAAAACGAATGGACGGAATAGAATCGAATGAGATGCTTACCAATCGATCCCGAAGGATGCCCTCCACGGATTTGACATACTCGTGCAGTTTCTGTAGGTACTCGGCTCGCTCGGCAGTATGATGGTTGGGAGTCTCGTCGACCATAATGCCTCCTAGCCCTAGTCCTGGGCGCTCGTCGGTCGCCCAGTGCGCATAGCGATCGATTTCCGCCAAGGTCTCGGGCAAAGGCTTTCGGCAATAGTCAATACGGATGTAACCGATCAGGTAAACATTCGGATAGCTGTTCAGACGGGCCACTTCGCGTGCATAATTCGGATCGGGAGAAGGTATGTCCCCGGGGCCACTGTTGGGGTTGATGATCACCAGAAATTCCAGATCGGGATGGGTCTCAATCCTAGTAGTCGTGGTGATCGGTGGTTAGAGTGGGTAATTTGATTCCAAGAAGACTTCATTCAACCTTGGCGGAGAAAATGAATTCCATCCCCGATGATGCAGGAACCACGAGAAAAGAGAAAATGCAACCAAGGAAAAACTAATCCAGAGGGATGGGGCCGCGGTGTTTAGGCGAAGGGAGGCATCAAAGTCAAAAAAATGAGAAAAACAAAAATGGAGGGAACTTTACGCGTCATAAAGTGGATCCCAATTCTTGGGTAATGGATAGATATACAAAGGTACCAGCACGCCAGCCTTGGGAAGGGGCGTGGATGACATGGTTGGCAGTGAGCGCAAGAGCGGGAGAGACGATGGTGCAGGATAAGGTGCAAGGTGCAAGGTGCAGGTACACAGGCACAGAGGAGTAGAGGAGTAATCAGAAATGGCGGGAAATGGGGAGAGATGGGAAGAAGAAGATGATGATGATGGTAATGCTGTGATAAACCAGGTTTATTTGTCAGTGTTCCTGGTTCGGCTTCTTATAACTAGACCGATTATTAACATTCCAAGGAACGACGAGATTACGAGAAAGGAAGGAGGGTGTAGGAAATTAGGAGATTAGGAGATTAGGAGAAAAGGAAAATTGGATAAAAGACAACGTGGTTGTGGTTGAGGAAAAGAGAACCTTGGGAGGCTTGTGAAAAGCTTTCAGCCTACCTGTCAGCCAAGACCGGCACTCAACTACCAGGCAGCCACCCAGAAAACCATAAAAACCATGCCGATGACAAGACACGATGAGAATGAGAGAATGGGATTATTAGTGAGTAAAACATCAAAGAGGACCGTGCTAGTGCGCCTCTAGTGCGCTTAGTCCTCATAGTCCGCATAATTAGCCAGTTAGTCCGCAACGCTATCATGATTCCGTTGATTCCGTTCCTGTCGTGCCTTGGGCCAGAACCTGCCATCTCTTCGAATAATCCCCCTCTCAGCCCCCATCATACCATTCAACTGACCAATTCAATCGCATCCAAGCTTTCCTTAACCCTGTCCACCATATCTCTCACCAATTACCAGTGCAGGACGCATCCCGTCTCGTTTTCCCAAGGCTGTGGTGGGGCTCGCCTAGGGCCGCCGGCCTACTCGTGGGTCGATCGACACAATTCACACTCTCAGTGTCTCACACACAGTGCGGTGCGTGATTGCTTTGATCTATCGATTAACTCGGCATCAGGTCGATAATCGTGGGCCCCGCTGGGTCAAAACTCTCATAGTAATCTTCCGTCAACGTCGTCAGGAACAGGTACTCGGCCTTCAGACTCAATTGGTCCACCAGGCTCCGCAGCGTACTGTTCCCCATCTCGGGGACCGAATGCAGCATGTAGCTGTACCCGGTACGGTCGGACGCCAGCGCATTGAGCTTGCCTTTCTGCGTGTGGTAATCATCGTACGAACTCTCAAATACCACAGTGACGTCGGTCGTGTTGGAGTTGTAGCGACTATCCGGAATAGTGCCGGGATTGTGGATAACCTGAGAAAAGACCAGGAGAGTGGGACGTTAGCCGCTGGATCTCTCCCAAGAAAAAAAAAAGAATTCTTGGTTCCATCGATCCCAAATCCCCCTCACCCCCTCCTCGTTCCTGGATTTCTTCTGCTTACCATTCGTTCCCCTTGCAGCCCAGTGGAATTCTTCACCACCGCGTTGATGGTGTTCATATAATCGACCTTGTCCGCCGAGTACACGTAGGGCGCTTCATCGAAGAAAATTCCATCCATAGCTAATTCAGCCGACTGGTTCGCCCACCCCGCATAGGTTGATACATCGGCTAACACCGAGGAGATGTTGCGGGTCGCGTATCCGGTGCGCACATATCCCACCCGGCGAACGTTCGCGTAGCTCGCAAGGCGTTCGACCTCGGTGCTGTACGCTTCATCTGGATACGTGGTGTTCCCCGGTCCACTCGAGGGATTGATGATCACCGTGAAATTTAGATCGGGGCGTTCAGTGATTCTGGGGCGGAGGGTCAATGAGGGTCTAGGGTCTAGAAGGGAGAGTAAAAAGGCAGACAGGCCACAACTCACTCCTTATACAAGGGACTCCAGGTGCTGCTGTTGGTAGGGTAAATGTACAAAGGGTACAGCACGTTGCTCTGCTTCGAGTGATGCTTCTTCCGGGTCAGGATGACGGCACATGGCACCACAATGACCACGATCACCACTACGGCCACCGCAATGGCAATGGCAATGCACCAGGGCCGCCGCGGGCGATTAAGATTTGGGCGAGGCATCCATGCACCGGCTAGCCAGAACCGTGGGGAAACGAAACGGAAGTACGGAGGAGTGGCTCAGGGAGCAGAAGGGAAAAGGGCCTCCGGGTTCGTAGTCGCAGGTTTCTGGGGGGTTGGGACTTGGGACTTGGGACAGATGGCACACTGCGAAGGTTATAAAAATGGTGAAATCTCAATCCAGCCCAATTCGTGAGAGGGCTAGCCTAGCTTCCGACCTCGAAATGGCGGAAGAAATTTCTTTGTAGACGAGAATGCGATGGTTCTCGGCGTTACCTGTGCGGTGCTGGCATTGGCGGCCATGGCATCCAAGCATTCGACTGAGACATCCCATCGCCATCGCTTGATCGCAGTGGCTAGTATTCTTAGGTTCAAAGACGTGACACCGGAACGCAAGAAGGATGATAAGAGACCCGTAATTGTGGTCGAGTCAGACATGCAGCCCACCTATTGTTAGTGTTCTTTTGGAGCCACTAGTAAGTAGTCTGGCGCTGGAGGAGATTTGTTGGCAGCATCTCCTGGCTGGGAAGAAAATAACTGGGTCTCCCGAACCAAATGCAGTAGCAAATTGGATCTTACTCCAAAATAATAATAATAATAATCATAATAACAATCATAATCATAATTCAAATCAGGGAAAATACCCATCAAATATACCCTGAAAAAAAAAAAAAAAGAATAGGATCCAGACAAGATTACAGTACGCTACAGCTTACATTCATTCATTCAAACAAGCCAGCCTTTAGATCCTTCTCGTTGCGGGCACGCCGCCGCCATAGATAGAGAGCCATGTCCTGTACCTGCTATAAATAGGGTGAATTAAAAGTATTAGAGAGGCTGACACTCCCCCCCCCTGGTACCTCGCGAGTGGGATACGTGGGCTGTAGTCGTTACATTCGTTTTAATCGGCCTCCATCTCGAGTTGCCGCAGATAATAGTCGACCGTGCCCCCTTGTGGTGAGGAAAGGGTTTATGTCAGGCACTTGACGCTGTTCCTATCACCATGGCAGGTCCCGAATACCTGGGCCTCGATGCCGTAGGATGGAATCGCATGACCTCGACCTGGTGGGATAAGGTGCGTTGTTGTTGCTAGGATGGTCGCGACAAGCCCTGGAATCTCTTCCCTAACCAACCGTGTATGCGCAGGTCCTCGCATTCTGCTTACTAGCCACGATCGTTCTTGGTTCGCTCTTTATTCTGGGTTACATTGTGATAAAGCTCCATGGAGTTTGGCGGGTATGTGCTTCTTTGTTATCTCCTAATCCTAATACAGTGCTCATTTTTTTCTCAGAAACGTCATCAACTCTCCGAGGTACCTAGTGCCATTGTACGATACTTCGATCAGCTGAAGACGGGAAAGTCTTCTTCGCCCTTGTCCGAGAAATCGGCCAAACGCGACCTCAAATCTTTCGGTGTGTTCCTGGGGGATTTCTCGAATCCCCCTACTCCAGCGGAGGCGCAACTACTCTCGCAATGGGATGTTCTTGTCGTCGACCCCCTACAACCGGGAGTCGCGAATGCCCTCACTGGCCATTGCACCTCTCCCCACGTTCTCGGCCGGCTCGAAGTACAAAGCCTGGTGCAATCGGATGCGAGTCGCAGTAATGACGAGGTCATCCAAGCTCTGACCACGGTGGTCCAGACCCTGACAACGAAATTCCAGCGCCAACCGGGATCCACTGCTCCTTTCCACGGGGTGCTCCTGGCCGAGTTCCACGCCCACTTCCAGCCCGTCGTTCTGAACGAGCTCATCCAGTACATCAATGACCTGGGACTAGACGTCTGGCTCGAGCTGGCCCCGCCGGATTACCTGGGGGAGAAGCAATGCCGCGAGATCAACATGCAGCAGGTGCGCGGAATTGTCTATCGCAACGGGACCATCTTGCCGGATGGAGACCGACGCAACTATTTCCAGATGGCGGAGATGCGGGCTGCGATGCGGGTGGTGGCCGCGCAAAAGGCTCGGGGAGATTCGACTCTGGCCATGTGGGACAGTGTCGATGATGGAGTGACGGTGTCGCACCATGTCATTGGGCGCACCTTCAAGTGGTGCAACTACAACAGTGCCATGATTTACATCGGACCTCGGGCAGGATTGACCAACGCCGACGTTGCCGTGGCTGAAACGGTTCTGCATGAACCTCTGGGCGCCATGATGTGGCTGAAGCGCGGCGAGGTCCTCGAGGCACATGACGTGTGGCGCAACAACCACTCCATCTCCATCTCCCCAACATCGTCTGAACATGCATCGCTTCTCTTCAACGACCTCGATTCCTTCATTCCCAACCTCCACGCTAAACTGTCTCTACAGCCCCCCTCAACTACCAGTCTTGCTCTTCAAAGTCCTGGTTTGTCGGTCAACGGTCTTGAATGCAAGGTTTTGGACGAAAATCCTCAGATCGATCCTCTGTCGTTCTCCCCCGATGGCGCCACTTACTCTGAACTCGGATGCTTTCATCTCGGCCTGGACTGTACTTCACAGAACATCACCGATGTCCTCGAAACGCAGCGCCATCTGCGGGACTTGGACCTGCTCGAACGCCTCAAGCCGGAACAGCTTCGGGGATTCGCTGCATCGATCCGCACTCTCCAGAAGGCACAGGATGCCTATCCTGATCTCTCTGATGCCATCGCAGCCACTAAAGAGCTTGTTGATCTTCTGAATGTGAGCAAAGGCGACGACAATGACCGTCTTCGAGTCTACGTTGGCCTGCACTCGGGCTTCCGCACGCGTCTGGGCACTCAAGTCTGGGGTCTACTCGATCTCGATCCCCACATCGGTATGCTGAATCTTTACATCAACGGCAAGACGCTGGACCGCACTGGAACCATATTGCACGCCTATCTCTCCGGCCGCGGATTCAGCCGCACGCAATGTCTGATTATGGAACTGGTCTTGGCCGCTCAGAATCAGTCTCTGTCCAAGGAGTGGAATATGCCTCAACGGTGGGTCGATGACATCGAACAGCTCACACCCGCCGAAAATCTTGCATGGCATCGGCGCTTGGCCGCATCTGAGGGCAGTGGTTCTTCCATGCTCTGCGCAAAGCTGCGGGCCTGTAGTGAGTACCAGCTTGTGGACGCTCCTTCGCACGCTCAACGCCGCGCTTTGACCTCCAGCGCGTACCTCGATGAGGAGATTTCCGCTGCAGAGCTCGTCGCCTCTCGGTTGGCATGGTACCAAGAACAAGGATGCTGGTCTTTGGATCCTGAGGTTGCTACGGCACTATTCTTGGAGATCGATGCTCGGTTGCCTGAAGTCTTGGTCGACAATGAGGCGGAGATCCTAGCAAGGCTTCAGGATGTGGCGCAGACCACCCTCCAGAAGGGTCACATTGATGCGAGTGCGGACTTCTTCGCCCTTTGTATCTTCTGCGCATTCCGTCGCCTGGCATTGAATGAGATCTACTTGGAAGTTCTGGACCGGAATCCCCTGCCGAATCAGGATGCAGTACAGGCCTCGTGTTTTACCGAAATGTATGCCTGTGGTGCGCGCACCGACATGTACTTCGACACGACACCCAAGCGACTTGGAAAGATCATCTGGAAATGGTACCGAGCATATTATCACAAGTACCAACCGCCCCAACGGGAGGAAGGTTTCACAGAACTTCCCACAGCATACGCTTCCATGAATGTGGATCTTGATCCCAAAGGCGACCGAAACAATATTCCCTGGCATTATAGGTTCACGTTCTTGGGTATCTTTGCCGTTCCAGCGCTCATTGATGTCACAATGCTCACCACTGTCGGCCGTGGTCTTTACCTCACCACATACATGAGCGACGTGGACAAGACGCTGGCCACCACCGCCCTGATGTGCGCCCTGCTGGTCTGTGGCGGCTTCGGCAGTTGGATCAGCTCTGGCGGTAGCTACTATCTGTACGCTATGGCCTTCCCTGCCATGAGCATGTTCGTCTTGACCCGGTTTGTTGCTGGTCTTGCGGTTGCTCTGGTTGGAGGCATCATCGCACTTATCGTTGTAGGTGTGGTCAAGGGAGGTGCAGCGGGAATTTTATTTTTCCTATACTTCGTGATGCTGTCCACGTATCTTATGACTCTTTCTGCGCTCTCAGTCTACCAGCTCCCAGGCTATTCTTTCCAATCGGTAAGTTTTCATCAAGCCGAGAATGACGACGACTGTACCTAACCTTTCCAGGGACGAACTGTGATCATGACGTGTATCCCGATCCTCTTCATTTCGCCCATCGTCACTTTGTGGGTGCATCGCGATTCGGTCATCTACCTCTGTTTCCTTTTCCTGTTCCTGAGCTCGCTGCTGGTTGGCGCGCGGCGCATCATGGGTGAATGGAACAGCTGGTATCTCAACATTCCCACAGTGACCGACACGCAAATCGTGGAATGGTACTTGCAGAAATGCGTCCCCCCTAGCGAGAGTCAGAACGAGAAGGTCAGAGATTTCGGATCGGATGCACGTCAGGCTTTATATGCTCGTGTCAAGAAAGAGCGACACCGCCACTTCTGGGCCCGGAAGACAACAGATCCATTTGTCGCAAAGCTCGCTGGCGGCTACTCAGCGACGGTCTTTCTTCTAGGCTGGTACTGCCGCTACTCGCGGACGAAGATGCCTCTGCCCTACAGCCCAACATGGAACCTGCAACTGAGAGCCGCAGTAGACACAATGGGCGAGATGCAGAAAGGTCTCAAGCTCCATAGCGCCTTTCTGCACTGGCGTCATACCGGTGCGGATGTCTGGTGCGGTATCCTGTACTTTGTGGTTGCCCTTTCCGACAAGTGGAGTGCTCTCCTGACGGGAGAATCCATCGTGGGATTGTCCGCAGCAAACAGCGCCACGTATCGACTCACCGTTGGTTTTGCGCTCGGCTACTACTTGCTAGGTGCAGTCATCTTGGACGCAGTCTCTCAACCTCTGTGGATCTCGGTCACCAAGCGCACTCCTCAGCCTGTCTCTTCGCTCGCTGGTCTACGTGAGGTGTCCCTTACTGACGCTAACGCACGTCGGAGCTTGTACTGGAAGAACCTGATGAAATTTTTCTTCCTGCACATTTGGGGTGTGGCGATTACACTGGCCATTATGTGGACCTTCGAAACGGCCAAGATCTCGGTCATTATGTTCCTGGCCTATGTTGGCTGCTACAGTGGTCTTCTCTGGTACCAATACAACCGCATCTTTAGCGGACCTCATGTAGCCCGGGGACTGGCTATCAGCGCCCTGATCGGTCTAGTCGTTGGCATCATCCTTCACGAGGTCCTCCCTGCTTTCCAATACAGCAGTGTGATTGGTTTGGGTAGTGGAACGTGGGCCTGTGCGTTCTACACGCTCTACAAAGCTGATATTGGCTTGTCGCTGTTCAAGAGTGCTCCCGAGGAGAAGAGTGTCCTCAAGATCAAGGACACTTCAATCACCCACGGCTTCAGCTCGCTCGAACCTTACCCCGACCTGTCGCAGTCCACACTCTCTCAAATGTTTGACAACATTACCCTACTCGCGGACGAGTTCCGGTACAAGCTTGACCCATCAACTCATCCAGGTGTAGAGGTCATGCAGATTCTCCGCTCTGATGAACCTAAAGCCGATCTCATCCGGGCTGCATTTCCCGCTGCAACACATATTACCGACCGCGCAGCACAGCTTTGGGAGAGCGGCGAGACTACAGTGGAGCTAGTCTCGGCTGCCCATTTAATCCAGCCTGAGCAGAAGGTTCGTGTTGTCTGTCGTCGTACTGGCGAGCGTCTTCACATCTATGTTGTTGTCGGTCCCGACCTTGTCGGCTACGACTGGGTCTCGGATATTAGACGTAACTGTCAGGCTATTGCGGAGGCTATCGTTCAGATGACTGCCGAGTTCCGTCTCGGTATGTCTCACGACCATGCAATGTTTGCTGAGCTGCTCGCTGTACATGGGCACGCTGGCCACGAACTGGGTCTCCCCGAAGGTGTCAAGCGTCAGCTGGAGAATAGTTCCGTGGAACGAACTCGCGTGCTGAACTACTCTTCCAAGACAATCCTCCGTCACTTGCTGCTTGGCGTTGACTGTGATATCGAATGGGACCTTTTGCCTCAATTCGCTCGATCGTTCCTGCTTCGCAGGTGCTTGGGGGAGCCTTGTCGCGTTTCGTCCCAGCAACTCGACTGGCTCGAATCCAGAGCGTCTGCTGGAGAGTCTCTCAGAATTGAGGAGTATCTTGCCCGTTGGAACCTGGGTGTCACAATGACAACCTCTGTCAAGAGATATGCAATGACGCTGGAGGCTCAGCACCGGGGTCTTGAGCAAGAAGGCTTCCTCAGCAACAGATACGACAGGCCCATCCGAGACATCCTTGCATTGAATGCAGAAGAGTCCAACGTGGGGATGGGCGAGGCTTTCCGCATGTCACTTGCGCGGACGAAGCAAATCTGGAACGCATGCATCAAGTTCATGGTTATCGCTTTGGTTGCTGATCCCGAGTACCAACGAGAGCTTGATTTCATGCTTCGAGGACAGCCCCTGTTCTTCGCCTGGCCGGTAACTGTCATTCTCACTGCTGTGTGGCAGTTCTGTAAGATGCTGCAGCGCATCATCATTCCACTCGTCTTGGTAAGACAGATCTCATCTTGTCCAACATGGGGGTTCTGGCGTGATGCTAACATTCAATAGGTGCACGGTCGCGATAAGGTCTCCACCCTGTATCGAAACATGCAAGGTTGGAAGACCGTGATCTATCACAATCGGGTGGAAATGGAAGGCCTCAGCGGCATCTCTACAGGCTTCTTCCGAAACGAATCCGACGGCACGTTCAAACTCTATCAATACACCGGAAAGCACGACCAGGAACCTAGTGATTACAAGAGCCTGGTTGCCATCAACGAGTACAACGCCAAGCTATTGCTTCTGGGAAGACAAGAGTACCGTGGTCAGGACCTGATCAACGAATTCAAATACGAGTACGCTGAGGATGGATCTAAGTCACGCTCCAAGTTGCCCATCCAACGGCAGTGTACCCAAGGTAAATTGGATGGCCAGATCGTCCAATACGACAAGCGTGGATATATCACATCCGGATCGGCCATGCGTGGTGTCAATCCGATGGAGTTCAAGTTCTACTATCGCAAGGGAGCCAAATTCGACGACGAACTTCTCCGCGCCGAGTATGAGTTGCCGCACATGAAGATCAAGGTTGCTTGGTGTATGCCGCCTCCCAATCGTCCGGAACGGCTGGATAAGTGGATCCCGTATCCTCGCGTGACCGATGCCACCTACGTCCAAGGCGACGACAAGCATCGGGCCACATGGACTTATGACCACAAGTTCCACCCGATAATTGCCACAACGATGAACGGGGAGGACGTTGTCACCCCGGCCATGATTCAAGAAGATTGGTTCCATGTCTTGGAGAAGCCGACCAAGTGCAGCTTCGTGGACGACAACCCGCTTCTCTCCTTCTCCTCCGTGAAGGTGAACCTCGCCTCACGCCTGCTCGGAACCAACGTCAAAAAGTATCCCATCCCTACCTCCCGTGCTCGTACACATCTCTGGAAATCATGGAAAGCGAGCAAAGAATTCGATGCCATCACCGCGCGTTGGCTGGATGAGATCTTGTTGCGTGCGGATCGTGTTCTCAAGCCCTACTGGCGCAACCGTGACTGGGGTCGGCTGGAAGTGGCCGGCGACTACCTTGAGGCACGAGCCGATACGGTGCTGGCGCGTGTCGATATTGATCCGGAGATCAGCTCGTGGACGCCCATCGCCTTCAAGATTGCGGATTTGTCGAGTTTCGGCGTGGGCGGAGAATCTCGTATCAACACCCGAACCCTGTCAACGCAGATGCAGGACACGGACACGGAGCTTCATGTTCTCGCCATGGATACCGGTACATGGCCCAATGAGCCCGGTGGTGTTTCCGCCTGCAGGCGAGATATGGTCAACGACCTGAAGGGAATCCGCTGGCACATTCTGGCCGAAGCCGCCAACGACTTTGGTGTGCCGCGGTTCCAGATCGAGCGAAACGTGCAATCACTGACGGTCTTGCCGCAATGGGGTCTTGACTTCCTGAACCCGACGCATGGCATGTTCCAGAACTACCTCGATTCAGAAGTGGTCCAGAAGATCCATGACACCAAGGTTGCGGACATCGAGCGGAATTTTATTCCTATTCTAGCCAGCCTGGTTCGTTGTGCTCGGACAATCAACAAGACGCGTGCACATGTTGAAGAAGCCACGAAAGCCTTGGTCGACCTGAACACGTACTTTGAATCCTCGCGCAACTGGAACGATGTCTGGATGAGTGACACTGTCAAGCGCGCTTGGCGTGAGCTTTGGCTGACTGAGGAAATGGACGGGGCTATTCCTGTCTCTCAATGGTGGCATGCCGAATTGCCGACTCTACAGCAGCTCGATACAGCCCTCGACATGTGGCATCGCTGTAAGTAATCTTCTGGCTGTCGTCAAACACACAGATCACTGACCCATCTTCTCAGATCTCTTCATCTTCTCTGTCCCTGTCCCCGACCGGATTCCGGACGTGTTCCAAGCATCGCACCATTTCACGGGTGCCAACTACGGTGTGCTCTGCAAGGTCAAGCGCAAGTGCGCACTTCACGTCTGGGATCACTGCGTCAGTTTCCGTGAGATGACTACCTTCCTTTCTGCGGCTGTCTCATTCGACTCCACCTTTGTCAACTCCACCCTTATCTCTCTCGGTCATTTATCCTGCGTTCTCATCGAGCATCATGCGGATGTTGTCCTCCCTTGTGCGGAGTACTTCAATCCCGGATGGGAGGTTGAGCTGGGAACGTGTGAGGGTGTCCTGGAGCATCGCCGGGCGTTTGCACGCAAGATCGATCCGGTGGTCAACGGTATCACGAACATGGAGCGGTACAAGCCGATCGAGAAGATTAAGACGGAGACACCCACCGTCGTCATGTTGTCGCATATTCGGTAAGTCTTCGCTGCACACATATAGCACTAGGATCATGCTAACGCGCCATGCAGTTACGTCAAGGATATCAAGACGGCCATCATGGCAACCGACTTGATTGTCAACCAATGGGGCTTCAAGGACTATCGCCTGCATATCTATGGAGACATGGAGCGTGCGCCCGGTTACGCCTCGGAATGCCAAGAAGTCATTGCCTCGAAATCCCTGCGCGACCACGTCGTGTTGAAGGGTCTGGGCAAGCCAGATGTGGTACTACAGGATGCTGTGAGTATTTTCCATCCCGAAAGCCTTTGACCCCCGGAAGAATGTCACTAACCGTTCATTCCAGTGGCTGTTCATGAACTCGTCGACCTCGGAAGGTCTACCGCTGGCTATGGGTGAGGCCGCCTTGACCGGAGCGCCCGTGGTGTGTACCGACGTCGGCGCGTCGTTCTGTGTGGTCGTCAACCGCGAGACTGGCAAACGATTCAGCGAGGTCGTTCCTCCCAACGACGCCTTCTCTCTGGCGTCCGCTCAAATCCGCGTAATGGCCCTGCTCGGCGAGTGGAGCCAGTTCGCCGGAGACCCGGAGGGCTTTGTTCCCCCGACGCTGGGTCTGCGCCCGTCTCCCGAGGAGGTGCAGGAGATTTCGAAGCGCATGTACGCCAAGCAGGAGGAGCGCCGCAAGTTCGGTATGCAGGGCCGCGACAACGTCCTGGCCAGCTTCTCCAGCCATCGGTACCTGCGCGAACACGAGCAGATGCTGTGGCTGGGCAAGTACCAGAGTCTCAGCTACTTCGCCCACGGCCCGGCTTCGATGAGTGGCTCGTCCAGTGGGTTCTTCAAGGACACCAAGGGCCGCGTGACCGTCGAACAAGTCGGGGATGCCCTGCTGCCGCCCATGCCTCCGTGGATGGGCGGTTCCCGCCGGACTCGCGGCAAACGCTTTGAGAGGTTTAGTTCGACTAGCACGCAGTCCCTCGCCTAGGTGGTTTTTTTTTTTTTGCGTTTCATTGCATCACGGCGGATGGATATCATGATTGCGCTTGGTTTAGTTGTGGAGATTTGTAGATACGGACCATCTATACGGTTCTGGTCTTAATTAGCATAATCATAATTTCCGATTGGGTATCTACAGGAGCCCTCGTGACGAGAACCTAGCTCTCTTGCCTTGTATTGACCACGTTATTCTGAAGTACGGCTGGAGACTTGGAAGCGGGGGCAGAGTCGGTGATTACGCCATCGGTGGAAATTTGAGCTTCGTAGGGGCGAGTAGCTAGTTGCTTATGTATTTTACACGATCGCATATCAATCCGCCGGGCACTTTCACTGTCTCTTGCTCGTTTTCGTTCTGCCTACTCGATCGGCCGATACGTGGGATGGGTGGCAGATACTGCATGGCCTCGTCCCGAGTTGCGTGACAGAGTTCGACGGGCTGATCGATTGATTTTCAGGCCTGCGATGGTCATGAGCAGCGTAGCTTGACCAGCCACATTGGTGGGTAATATTGTGAGTGACCCTTTTCAGTCATCTGGCATGAGTGTGGTCTAATTGAGCTTGTTCCTCATGCGATCATAGTTCACCACTGACTCCAGCAGCGTTTGCGTTCCAAGGGCACTACAGAAGATCAGTTAAGTCCGAATTGACCGAAACATTGAAAATTCTCAGCAACCGGCACTTACCAGTCCTCGGGCTTGCAGTACTCCTCCGGATGGTGGCTGACACCCTCCTTGCAAGGTACGAAGATCATCGCCGTGGGGCAGTGTCGGCTCGTGTAGACGCTGTCATGGCCCGCGCCACTGGTGATCTCCAGCCAGCCGTCGGCGCCAACGAGCTGCGTCGCCGCCTCCTTGACGGCTGTCAGACAGTGGGCATCGAACTGCACGGCGGGCGAATCGGTATCCAGCGTCCACTCGAAGGACACGCCCTTGCCGTCCTCGCGCGCGATCTCGTTGAAGGCGTCCAGACATTCGTCCTGCACGGCGTGCACGACGTGGTCGCGCGGGTGCCGGATGTCCAGCGTGAAAGTCACCTCCGCGGCGACGGTGTTCGTAGACGAGGTCGGCGGCAGCTTCAGCACCCCCGTCGATGCCAGCGCCCCGTGTCGCTTGGCCACGGCGTTCGACGCGGCGATCATCTTCGCGGCCGCGAGGAGCGGGTCGCGCCGCGCACTAAGCGGCGTCGTGCCTGTGTGTGCGTCGCGGCCGACCACATTGATCGTCAGCCACCGGTATCCCTGCGCTCCTGTCACGGCGCCGATCTTCCGGTTGGCTTCCTCCAGGATGGGGCCCTGTTCGATATGCAGCTCGAAGTGCGCCCCTAGTGGGTAGCCCGTGGGCGAGCAGGGTGTGCTGCCTAGGAAGCCGTGGCGCTGCAGCTCGGAGCGTAATATCACGGATGGGTCGAAGATATCCGCGAGTTTCCAGGCGCTCTCGACGGGGATCTCGCCGGCCCAGACGCCGGAGGAGCACATGGATTTCGGAAACCGGGCCCCCTCCTCGCTGTGAGGCGTTAGAGAGAGGGTTTCACCGTTGTGATTTGCTGTACTCACTTGGTCCAGTTCACCAGTCCGACATCGAATTGTGTTTGGTAGCCCTGGTCTTTCATCGTGCGCAGCACTTCTAGTGCGGCGATGACGCCCAGAATGCCATCGTACCGGCCCCCGCGCGGTTGCGTGTCGAGGTGGCTGCCCATTGCCGTCATGGGAGCCGGGGAGTTGAGAGACCCGCGTTGTCGCGCGAACATGTTGCCCATCTGGTCGATCGTGACGGTGCAGCCCAGCTTCTCGGCTTCATCCAGCAGCCACCGGCGGACTCGGGCATCGTCATCTGTCAAGCATAGTCGGTTCATGCCGGTTTGCGTTGGTCCGCTGTAATCAGGGGTCAGGATTTGGTTGTTCATTGCGATAGTGAGATGATACTCACTCGCCATATCGATGAGCTGCGCCCCATTGACAGGTGTGATGGAGAGTTTCCAGCAGGCGGTCGGAATTGATTTTCAAGCTGGATCCGGCGTGCGATGACAGCTGCCGCCGTAAGCTCGTCGCGGCCAACCCACGAGAAAACGAGGGCTTGAACATGATCGTGTTAGAAGTGAACGACGTAGTATGGGGGTTTCAACTTCACAGCGCCGCCAATGGCTAGTCAGATGGTGAGTTGGTGAACGTAAGATGGCTTCTCAAATACTGTAAGCCGGTCGCCGACCGTGGAACAATTGCGCCCTCCCGCGACCTGCGCCTTCTTGCGACAATCCGCTTCTCCTCCACATACCCACACAACTTGTGGAGATTGAGAGGAACGAGGAGAAGAAATCTCGATGAAGAATGGCCTCTTTTCCAATGGAGCCGAGGAGTTTAACGCCGAGGAAACATGTCGTCAAAAGGCGCGGTAACCGCCCGCCGGACCGAAGCATTTATTAGAAGCCAATAACCGCCGCCTCGGATCAATCCCGAACGAATCCTTGCAACTGAACTGCACTTTATCATCATGACATCTCAACGGCGATCCATCTACATCAGTTCTGCTCCTTCGACAATAGTGTCGCCTCCCGTGGCCCAAGTCCGGGCTTTTCATGAGCAGTTCCCCGGATACCAGGCCAGTCCTCTGGTGCCTTTGCCCGAAGTCGCGCAGGAACTCGGCGTCCGTGCGGTGTATGTCAAACAAGAAAACAATCGTTATGGCCTACCATCCTTCAAAGTATTGGGAGCCTCATGGGCCATTTACCGGGCGCTTCTGGCGCGCCTGAACCTGCCCCTTGAGACGTCCTTAGAAACCCTCACGGAACGCATCCGGGCGGGTGAGCCTTTCACATTAATGGCCGCCACAGAGGGAAATCACGGTCGCGCAGTGGCCTGGGTGGCCCGTCAACTATCTCTACAGGCGCGCATCTATGTGCCTCGCACGATGGTTGCGTACACCCAGGAGATGATCCGGTCGGAGGGTGCGGATGTCATCGTGGCCGATGGGGACTATGACTATGCCGTGCTGGAGGCCGCCAAGGCATCTCAATCGACAAAAAACGCAATCCTAGTACAAGATACGGCTTTTGAAGGCTATGAGGAGATCCCAGCCTGGATTGTGGAAGGCTACTCCACGTTGATGCACGAGGTGGATGCGCAGCTACAAGCGCTGGATCAGCAGAACACTCTTGTTGTTTCACCTGCGGGAGTCGGATCGTTGGCTCAAGCGGTCGCGATTTACTCCAAGTCGCGCACAAGCCCGGCGACTTTTGTGGCTGTCGAGCCCGATACCGCTGCTTGTCTGAACCTGAGCCTTAAAACAGGGAAGTCGACCTCGATCGTCACTAGTCCTAGTATTATGGCCGGCATGAATTGCGGCACGGTGTCCTCCGCCGCCTGGCCGGTTCTCCAGAAGCTTGTCGACGCCAGTGTCACAATCTCAGATTATGAGAGCCATCGCGCCGTCCAGTACCTTGCGTCAAACGGAGTAGACTCGGGTCCGTGTGGTGCGGCTAGTCTAGCAGCTATTCGACGCCTCAAAGCAGAGCATGATTCCGCTGCGTACTTTTCCTCGGACTCGGTGGTTGTACTGCTGAGCACTGAGGGTCATCGTCCCTACCAAGCCCCTGAAGATGTCTCGTCAGATGACCCCATTGTCTTGACCCAGACCCTTACACGGATTGACTCCTCCAACCCAACATTGTCCAAGGCCAAGGGAGCCGGCGAGACAGATGTAGTCAACTACCTGTCGGCGTGGTTTGCGCATCGTGGCATCGAGCATCATCGCGTGGAAACCAAGCCAGGCCGTCCTTCCGTGGTCGGCATCGTTAGGGGAACTGGAGGTGGGAAGTCGCTGATGTTCAACGGCCACGTGGATACCGTGACCTTGAGCACGTATGAAGGAAACGGGCTGAGTGGACATCTCGGGGAGAGGGATGGCAAACAGGCGATCTTCGGTCGAGGGACGCTTGACATGAAAGCCGGAGTCGCCGCAGGACTGGCTGCCTTGGCGAGCGCCCGGCGGTCAAGGCTTGCCGGAGATGTGATCGTCACGGCTGTGGCTGATGAGGAGAATGCCTCGCAAGGCACGATGGATGTGATCGAAGCTGGATGGAGAGCCGACGGGGCGGTGGTGCTGGAGCCCACTAATCTAAGGCTAGCACATGCTCACAAGGGATTTGTGTGGGTAGAATTGGAAGTGCACGGACGCGCAGCGCATGGCTCGAACCCTGCGGCCGGTGTTGATGCGATTATGAACATGGGGTTGTTGCTGCAAGCCTTGAAGCAGTATCAGCAGCAATTGCCGGTTGACGAGGTGCTTGGTCAGGCTTCGCTTCACTGTGGAGTCATCAGCGGTGGGGATGAGGTATCCTCGTATCCTGCCAGCTGTATATTGACCGTCGAGTTCCGAACTGTGCCCGCACAGACAGAGGAGATCATTCTGAATGAGTTGCGAGACCTGCTTACCCGGATCAGAATGCAGAATTCCGAGTTCCAGTTCAGCGAGCCTCGTATCACTTTCTCGCGGCCGTGCCAGTACCTCCCTGAGAGTCACCCCCTCGTGCAGCAGGTGGTTAAGATCAGCAAGGAGGTTCTTGAAGAACCTGTCCCAGTAGTCAGTGTGCCGTTTTGGTGCGATGCTGCTCTTCTGACACAAGCGGGAATTCCCAGCATTGTCTTGGGTCCGTTGGGCGAGGGATTGCATGCCAAAGAAGAATGGGTAGAGGTGAACAGTGTGCGACAACTGACTGAAATGCTTGAGAAGTTGAGTAGAGAATTTTGCCAATGAGCTTGAATATATCATGGACCATTTAGGAGTGAGGAAAGCTGCCATGTATTTTGATGCCCTCGCATGTTGTGTGTTGTGTTGTGTGTTGTGAAGAGAATGGAGGTGAAAGTAAAGAGGTGTCTGTCTGTGTTGAGGTGATAGATAGTCGACTCGAAGCTGGTGCCTGAGGCATGAAGAGTGTGCCAGACCCCGTGCATTAATTAGTCAGCTCGACATAGTGGGGGCAACGGCGGGGCAGTTTGGGTCACGGGTGGGGGGTACTTCTAGCCAAGTACGGCAAGCGGTGAGTATCTCACCGCCTTAATCTGCCTTTCGGCCCTTATGACTGCCACCCTCTTTTTCTCTGCTCTCTCTCTCTCTCTCTCTCTCTCATTCCTCTCTGCAATTGATCTACTTTCAACTTCGTCGCGTCTCGTTCCTAACGATCGAGACTACTCCTGTACTATCCTGGATGTAATCTCATCTGCTTGGCTGGCGCTCTGCGATGGACGATTTTTTCCCGTTTGATGACCAGCTTCTGTCTCCATCCTTCGAGAGTCTTCTCGATGAGACCAACTATTCAGGCGCATCGTCCTGGAACCTCGGTCCTTCACCAGAAACCAGTGGTGGCTTCTTAGAATGGCAGCCGTCGGACAATGCAGCATCTGTCACGCTTCCTATGGATCACTCATTGCTCGACTATCCTTTCCAGCCAAGTGATTTGCCTGACGTGCTCTCCACCAACAATCTCTCGCAACACGACACACTCGCGTCCTTTGATTACTCACTTGCTGCAGACCCTTCCCTCCCAATCCATTCAACCTGTCTCGATGACGGCTTCGTCAGTGTCTCCCAGTGGCTGGACGGTGCCTATCGACCCCCCGTGCCGTGCAGCTACTGCCAACGCCACCGACTACAATGTCTAATTCTGCGCACCACTTCCGCGAACCCCAACCCGGTCACCTCATGTTCCAGTTGTGTCGCACTCTATCGAGAGTGCAGCCTCGCACAAGGCGAGAAGCGGCAGGCTGCAGGATTCGAAACCATCTCCCCAGTTTTCGGCCATCTGCACGGCCTCACGGAAGAGCACGACGGAGGAATTGCTCCCTCGGAGCTCGGATTAGAAGCATCAGCAAGGCAGGTGGACAATGCTATTCAGGCTGAGACACAAGTGAGACCGCGCTTCTCGCGCAAGGGGGCCAAAATCCTGCGGGACTGGTTCTATCGCAATCAGCACTTTCCCTACCCAACCGATGAACAACGCGCCGAGTTCGCCAGTCAGACCGGCTTCACCGAGCGACAGATCGCAAATTGGTTTGCCAATGCCCGCCGACGCCGGAAAATGGCGTTACGCACGCCGCGGCCCAACCCCGCCACGCCCTCGCCTCGCGGCAGTTCCCCCATGCCTATTTCGAGGTACGCGTCTTTGACGCCTATGGAGCGATGGCAGAAGTCTCCTCCCGACCAAGATCCAGTCCCGCAAGCCGTCATTCAGGAAGCCATCGCCACTTCGAACCTTCCCCCAGCAGCAGACAGTGAATTCGGCCAAGGCGAGCGCGTGGAGGCGAGCCATCGCGGTGACGGCCATGCTTACTCAATCTCAAGTCTGGAAAGCGGACAGTTGGAGAGTGCGCGATCCCAAGCATCGTCCGACACGGCATCTTCAGCGGCTTGGAGCTATAACTCGGATGATTATCTCCCATTCCCACTGTCTGACAGCCGTCGACGCCGACAGCATTCTCGACGCAGGCCCTCATCCACCCACTCACTCGGCGATCATCAATACCAATGCACGTTTTGCCCTCGATCCTTCAAGAAAAAGCACGACTGGTGCCGCCATGAGTCAAGTATGCACCTCTGTCTTGAGTCGTGGTTTTGTACTGTTGATACCACTACACCTGTTGATCTAGAGCCCGTGGAATGTGAGTTTTGCGAAACTCGACGGCCCTCGCTTGCGCACCTCGAGTCACACGAATTCGACATCTGCGCGGATCGACCGCCGAGCGAGCGAACATTCGCGCGCAAAGACCATCTGATCCAGCATCTCCGGAAGTTCCACCGGTGCACCAAGGTGCCTGCAGTGAGGGTCCAGGGGTGTTGCTCCACTCGCACCGTTGTGACGAGTCGGTGTGGGTTCTGCGACGCGGAGATGCGGAGTTGGACTGAGCGAGCGGATCATCTGGCGGATCACTTCAAGAAGGGCCTGCGAATAAGTCAGTGGACGGGCGGATGGGGACTGGATGCTACATCGCTGGCAATGCTGAGAGACGCTACCTTGCCGGCTCAGCGAGTGTCCGGGTCGTGATGGCTATGCTCATTCGTTGGAACTGACAAACCTCGCAGCCTTACGCCCTGATTACCGCCGGAATCAACAATACGTCGGTGGCGTAATGGCCCGGGCAACATTGCTTAGATTGTCATGTCATTCGAGCTCTGAAATAGTCGATGCCTGATCCACGGCCAACTCTCCACGTGCCTCCGACCGGCGTAGCAGCAGTGCAGTGCCCTGCATCCTCCGCTCCATAGAGTCGACACCACTTAAACAAGGAGATCCCCGGACATAACCCCTGGGCACTCGTGTTGAACAAAGTGCCGCCCACAAGCAACGCAGCCTAATAATGAAGATAGTCGTCAGCTACATGATCGGTGCCTGAGGCCTATCCCTTTCCATCATGATCTACCTATCTATACACAGTACACATATATATAATGGGAATCAGGCTTGTTATTCAGCCACCAAGCATAATTACCTTGTATACCGGCGTGGAGCCGCATAATCTGCCTCATTTGACCACATTTAGTCATAGATGATGTGTACTGTACAACAAAGGATCTCACTCGACCAGTCGCTCCACCAAGAAGACCCAAGAGCCCGTCCCACTACCACCCTCGATGTCCTTTGATCATCACCCACACAGAATAAAAGCACTAGACAGTGATTTCAATTGCATCATTTTGAAATGTTACTTATTATATACACACATATATATATAGTTTCACACTTATCTACAGAGGAAGGATAATGTGACAAGGGTAGATAGGTAAGCGGATCAGTCCCGAAGGCTACCAACGCAGCCATTCATATCCCCGGGAACTGCGGAAAGCATGCTTTCTAGACCGTGTACATCTAGACTTGTTGGGGGGGAATACTAGTATCGTGTATCATGTCCAATGATTAGGTAATCTTCATAACTTTCTTCAGCCCGCTCAGGGAGACGGGCTTGACCAGGTACTCGTCCACTCCTGCGGCCAGCGCCTCTTGCTGCTGGTCCGCCGAGCCGAGACCGGTGACCGCGATGATGCGGGTGGGGATGAGGCCCATTTGCTTTTCGTATTGACGGATTTGCTCGGTTGAAGTGATGCCGTCCATCACAGGCATGGAAATATCTGTGCGCTTGGTCAGTTCCAGCTGTCGCTTGGGGAGTGCAAGGGGGAGGCACTAACCCATGAGGACAAGATCGTGGCGACGGATGCTGTCTTTGTAGGTATTAAGGGCGATCAGGCCGTTGGAGGCCGTGTCGTAGCTGCAGCCTAGCTTGCGAATGAAAGTGGCGAGAATCTTCGGCGGTGGTTAGCATTGAATGAACCACAAGAGGAAGAACCAACTCACCTTGAGGTTGATATCATTATCGTCCACAATGAGTACGTGCACATCCTTTAGAGGTTTTGTGGGGGCGGAAGAAGAGGACGGCGACTGGTGGGTATCGAGTGGTGGTGTTGATGCCGGTGGCATGCTTTGGAAAAGATCAGGAGTGGGGGAAAGTGTAGGATCCACCGTTGGGGGAGACAGCGGGGTTTGGCACGGGGTCGGGTTCTTGATGTATTCGTAGTACAAAAGGAGGATACGATTGAGCACTTCGTCAATCTTTCGAGGTCCGAACCTGGACGGATGTTAGTGGGAATTACAACTGATGGTGATAGCAGCCAGGACTTACGGTTGTGAGACGCGAATCATGTTCGGTGCCATAGTATCCCGTATCAGATCCTGATTGCTGTCCAAGACGAGGTAAAATTTGAACCCGCCTGGAGCGCCCGTTGCTGGCTGTGAATTGCCGGCCGCCATGGCCTTGCTGAGGGTTTCCTCCTCGATCACGACAACTTCGCCGTTTGCGTCGGCTAGCGACTCGGCCTGGGTCAGAGTCCAGCCAGGCTGCTTGAGTAGCACTGAGGTCAGTGAGCTGCGGATTGCCAGCTTGCGCTTGGCTTCGGCTGGTAAAATCCCAGTCGGCACCTCTCGAGGATGTGGATAGCTGTCAAAGCCAACAAGGGAGAACCTCATCGGAGCTGCTGGCACAGCAGGTGGTGACACTATCCCTGCGCCCGGTGTTGGACCACCATTGCTCGAAGCCAATAGACGCACAGGGATGTAAATATCAACCTGGGTCCCGATGCCCAATTCACTGCGCACATTGATGTGGCCATCGAGGGATGAGACCAATTGCCGAACGATGCTGAAACCCAAACCCAGACCCTCCGAAAGAGTATCCTCCTGCGCAAATGGTGAAAACAGCTTGTGCTTCAAGAAGTCGGGGGCGATCCCACGGCCGGTGTCGGTAACCGTAAGATGAGCAAAAATCGACTGGGGGTCGGATTTGCGCCGTGCCTTGGAAAGTGATACCTCGATGAAACCCGTCTTGGTCCATTTCAGGGAGTTTCCAAGGAGATTCATGACAATACGCCGCCACGCCCCGGCTACGGATTGCACCGTCCACGCCTGTCGGTCTTGCACCCGCACCACCACCGTCAGCTCTCCATCCTTGAGCGCCGCGTTGGACGGCGTATGCATGAGACGTCGGGTGAGCGGGTTGATTGTCCGACCCAGGCGCTGACCAGTATACTGCACATCGGTCACTTCTTCGATCAGATCATCGAGGTCGAAAACGGTCATCAGGTTGACCGGCGACGAGTTGGAAGATTTGTCAACCGCGGCCTCTTCTCCAGTCGTTAGGTTGTTGATTTTAGCAAAATCAAGGCTGCACTCATTAGTAGCGTGCTCGATTTGTTACGAGTGCGGGAGGTTAAAATCCACTTACAGATGGTTCAATGTATCAAGCAGAGTCAAGCCGCAGCTCTGGACCATACTCATCCAATGCGATTGCGAGGGGTCTAGCGGGCTCGTTTGTAGCAACTCTGCACTAGCTAAGATACCATGCAATGGGGACCGTAATTCATGGCTCACCGAGGAGATGAAGGCGGACTTAGATCGCTGAATGGTGGCCCAATCCACCCGCGCCACCTCGGATATGATGGAATCGCCGAAGACCTTAAAATAATGCAGCTCTTCCATGTCTAGTGCGCGATCACTGCCCTGTGTCCAGACAAGCGTCCCAGCCAGCCAGCGCGAGCGGTTCCAATCCCATAGCGGGTAGAAAAGCACGCAGTATGCGTCGGGGAAACACTGTCTCAATTCATGGCACAGGGCTGCAACGTTCGTCCGTTGTATATCGGAGGATGAATCAGACGACTCATCCGAGGGCGTGACGGGATTGGATTGTGTCGACGGCGTGGCAGAGGCGATTTCATCGTGGAGATTGATAAACTGACCATGCGGGTATGCGGCCACAAGACGATTTAACAGATCTTCAGTCACTGGGTTCGGGTCGACCGATGGGGCAGCCAAGGGATGGCGCGACTCCCCTAGAACATCGCAGGGTCTCTCCGAAGCCTTGGAAAGCGAGCCTACGCCAGGCAGGTCCACTGGGCTCGGATACGGATCGGCGAGAAACTCCGGGTTGGCGGTTGTCGGAAGGGGTTCCCAGGAACCTGAATGACCTGGACGGACGCTGTAGCTGCATTAGCCTACCACATTTGATACTAACGAAAGATCAATACTCACACTCCAGAATTGCTCCGAGAGGCATCCAAGAACATCACACCATCCAAATCCATCGAGTCACGCAACGTGGCACTGGCTCGAGCGAAAATGCGCGCCAGGTTATCCGAGATACTCGTCGGGGGGCGCACCGATACGGCCGGAAACTCTGAGCGGTCGGATACTCCGAGAATCGTGTCTCGAGTATCGCACGGCTCATCATCCCCACCCGTATTCGTGGACCGCGTGGCCGGATTGACCGAGGTTTCTGCAGTGCTCTGTTCGGAGCAGGCGACAGCGGAGAAGAGCGAGGTTAGCTCCCCAGTCAGCTCAGAAGCCGTGGAGGGACGGCCTGTCGGTGGTTCTGAGGGATCAGGCGAAGTGTCGGTCTCAATCCAAGGCGGCGCTTCGGAGTCGGTAGTGGAAGGTGGTGAGTCAGTGGGCACAGTCACCGGGGGCACTTCGGTCGGGTCGAAATCCGAGTGACCCTTGACAAAGCTCGTCAAGCCTTTGACGAGACTTTCGGCGCGGCGATGATAATGGGCGATCCGGACATGCTCCAAATGGGCGGAAATGGCGTCGGCAATTTCTCGGAGGGTGGCGACATCGGCGTCTCCGAAGTGGTCGCGCGGGTGATCGTCCACGATGCAGAAGGAGCCGAGCACGTAGCCAGCAGGGCTGTAAATGGGGACCTCGGCGTAGAAACGAAAGTGCGGCCAGCCGACGACGTAAGGGCGATCCTTGTAGAAGTCTTCCTTGGTGAAATCTCGAACGATGAAGCGGGATAGATTGGCGGTCAGATTGGGGGAATCAACGATCTTGGAGGCATCTTGGCCGGTGAACAGGGCCATGGAATGAGGACAGACGCCCCAAATCAGATCGAGTGTGCGTACTCCCAGGTAGATCCCATCGCCCGGGTCGTGTTTGTCCTTGTCACGCAACGAGATGGATTTGGTGGCTTCGGCGACAATGTACTGATTGACTCCGTCGATAATGGAGACATAGGAGCGGTTACATCCAAAGCGGTAGACGCCCAACTGGGCCAGTGCCGTGAGGGTGATATCGGAGGACAAGCGAGCCTCTGGCGGAACATCGTCCTCGGGAATATCAACGTTGGAATCTTGTTGATCGGCGCTGTGGCCGGGTACCAATCGGAGGACGGGTTGATCAACGGTACAATAGTATCTGTTCGGGTTGGAATTGAGAGGATCAGCGCGAGTCACGTTGGGTTGATCGTAGGGATTGTACATTGGAGCAAGCGAACGGAGGTACCTGGATAGATCACGAATGCGCTCTCGCTCGGCCTCCGGGTGCTGCAAGGACGCTGCCATCGCGCACACAGCCCGTTTCACATCGCCTTCCTCGCAAGGGGCGGAGAGAAACGAGCGGCGGAGGAGGCGAGGATTTGGCGATGACCACGATCCGATCAAGTCAGAGGGTTGAAGTCAACGAAAGATAAGAGATGAGAAAATCGAGGCGGGGCGGGGGGGGGGGGGGGAGGAGAGAGGGAGAGACGAAACAGGACCGCAACAACAGGAGGCTGGCAGAGAGCGTGACCCAGAAGAGGAGCAGGAGGAGGAGGAGGAGGAGGAGGGGGGAGTAGTCCGAAAGAAAAGTGGTTTGATGTTGATACGGACAACCAAGATAGTGAGTGCCCGGGCAGAAAGTTGCAAAGAATGGGTGAAAGAATGAAGAATAAGTGACTAGTGGATCCAGCACAGAAGCTGAGTCAGGTCACCACTAGGATGGATGCAAATAAACCAAAAATGAACAGAATGGAAGAAAGAAGCGAAAGCTTCTGAGAAACGCGGGATTTGGGGTAGAAGCGGAGGGAGGGAGAGAGAGTGAGAGAAGAGGAAGTAAGCGAAGGAGCCTGAGGCCACAAGAAGATCCAAACCTGTTGTTTGTTGCAGGCAGTTTCTTTCACAGTCAGTCAGTTTCAATCTTGAAGTGTCAGAGAATCTTGTTTGAAGGCCACCGGCAGAATCCATAATGGGGGTCACCGCCCTGGCAGTCGCTTGGGTTGTGTCTACCGCCCGGTGATGTTGGTGCTCTCATTGGGCAAGGGCATTCCGGCCGAGAAATCTAGACCGGGTCGGAAGCTGGAGCCTCTGGAGGCGAACGGACTCGTGGCTGAATGAGGTTTAGTTGTGCGTTAGTCACATTAGTCACGTTAGTCTCACCGTTTGGGCACGCATTTTACTGGTTTGCCTGGTTTTGCCCGGTTGCCGCACCCGCCAATCACCACCCACTTTTTGGCTTCGACACGGAACTCTGTACCTAGGAGGCTCTAGCAGTATCTGGCAGTGTCTGCTCATTTCTCTGGCACTCACTTTTCTACTCCCACTGTACAATGTCGAGGTCAAGCTGGAAAGGGAGAGACGGTCAGAGAGACGGTCAGACAGATGGTCACTCACCGAGGTGCCTCAGGCTGAAGTGCTCTATGAGTTAGTACTAGCTAAGTAGCTTCTGCTGTCTTCATGGCCATGCGCATTAGTTATCACTGTCACTGTTGCGTAACCTTAATCGGGCAAGCCACCGGCAAGCCACAATGATGTCATCTTCGACGAGCCTTCAGTTGCCGGCCTAAGGCCCCCTCGGCCACCAGGCATCAACATCTGACTAGTTAGTCACTACCTGTTAGTCTCAGCAACAACCACATCTACATGGTACTGTACTTACTACTCAGTACTACTACATTGTCACATCGGGCTGTAATCAATACATTTGACCTTGCCAGGTTCTTGATCGTCCCTCAGCGAATACCTCATGTCCATACTTGTATCAATTCAAGGCTCTTCGCACTTCAACAAAGAATGTCTCCTCCCACTGGGGCACGGAGCCTCGCCCTCAACTCATCAGTTACTTCAACGCGAGCTTCCAGATCAAGCATGGGCTTCCCAAACCTATATGTATTTCACGCTGTGCAGTACAAACTTCTCTCCCTCGACATCTTCTCCACTTCGCATTCACAGAATGCTGATTGATAATCCAACCAGCATCGGTCACGCCATCCGATAGCGACTTTCGATTTCTAATCATGTTGCGGGAGAGTGGTCTCCCCGCATTCTACGGAGTATATATTTGCTGCTGCTGCATGAGACAGACCCATGAGGTCACACCCCCGACATATATATCTATGTACATGTACACCTCACTGGCATCATGTCGACTCGTACTGCGATCATCGGTCTCTCGGCCACCGCCACAACCTCCTGGGCTGCCAATGCGCATTTGCCGGGTCTGCGCCGGTCTTCGCGGTTCCAGATCGCCGCGCTCTGTAACAGTAGCCGGTCGGCCGCCGAAGCCGCCATTGCCGAATACCAGTTGGATGCCAATAGCGTCACGCCCTATGGCAGTCCGGGCGATCTGGCCGCGGATCGCACGATCGATCTCGTGATTTGCAGCACGCGAGTCGATCGGCACTATGAGACCGCGTTGCCCATGATTCAGGCGGGCAAATCGACCTACATTGAGTGGCCCATTGCCAGCAATGCGACCCACCTCGATGAGCTTCTCGCCGCCCGCCGCCGCAGTGGTGCTCAAGTCGCGGTGGGGCTCCAGAGTCGCTTTGCACCCCCCGTGCGTCGGATCCGAGACCTACTTCAGTCGGGTTCACTGGGTCGCTTGCTGAATACGGAGGTACACGCTTTTGGGGGCACCCTCGATCGTGAGTTTCTGCCGCCCGGGTTGGCATATTTCGCCCAGCGGTCGGTCGGCGGGAATCCCATCACGATCGGCTTCGCTCATGGTACGTAACCCTAAAGAGAGCCCCCCACCAGTACCAGCACCAGCACCACCAGCACCACCAGCCCTCCATGCTAAGTAGAGACAGTCATCGACTTTGTGCAATCCGTGGTCGGGGATGTGATCCCTGAGACCGACCATGTTCAATTCCAGCTTCAGCGCCCGCACATTCGTGTGCGCGATCCCACCACCGGATCGATCGTGGAGACCATCCGCTCCGATGTGCCTGATCTCGTCAGCCTCCATGGTAAGTGGCGCTTTTAAGACGTGGAACCATTCCCACCCCAGGATCTCACTAACCTCCATAGGACACTTGCCGGAATCAGCCCACGTGGCACCCCAGGCTAGTCTAGTCGCCTACTTCAGTCGAGGCCAACCCTACCCTGGGGACCCGCAGCTCACATGGACCTTGAGCTTCGAGCAAGGTGCGATTCGCCTCGTCTCCCCCGCGGGCATTGTGCTGGGTGCGACCACCTATGCGGAGCCGGTGACCATTTCTGTGCATCGCTTCGACACCGGTGAAGTGGAATCAGTTCCGTGGGCGTGGTCGCCGGAGCAGGAAGAGCTGCCCTTCAGCGCACGCTCCGTCCACAGCTGCTTGGTGAGCTTGGCGGAAGGAGATTCTGATGGATATGTATCACTGGAACAGGCAGCTGCGCGTGCGCGGCAGATTACACGCTGGCTTGACTCGTTTCCGCCAAGATGATGTGTGAGAAAGGGGAAATGGAACGTAGATGCGCGGAGCCCATCGGATGTTAGATCGCGGTGTGTATTGATGTCGATATGTTCTTCTAACTCTATCAACACTTGTCTCAAACAATCAGAGCCTTGACTGAGGATGAAAACCTCACGACTACTGGTGATAAGGGAAGACCGTCAAATACGGAAAGTGGTGGTGGTAGCCTGGGGTCAGTGGCGCTCGTGTCGGAGTCAGAGGAGGCCGAACACCTCGTGGGGGCCATCAGCCCGACACGGCCTTTCACCTTCGATCCATCACCCTTGGTGCCACCATAGGGTATATGTTCCTGCAGGATAGCTCATGGCACCCCTGAATGGGAATAAGACCTTCGACGACTGGCCTTATTATGGTTCTCTCTTCACATTGAATCAGATCACTCAAAATCTGCGGTGCTGATCATCGTCTGTTCTTGAGCCGCAGGGGGTGGGGGCCATAGAGCCTGACAAGCTGCTCGGTCGTCATCTTGTTTCGAATTGATAGGCTCTGGACAATAAGCCATGGATGCATGAGCAATGGTCAGTCGAGCAAGAAGACTGAGCCTCGTGTTCAAGTGTTGTAGCCCCTGGCTTGTTCTGCACCTCGTACCTGTGGCGAACCTAGGGTTCTGCGACCGACCACAGCGTTGATCTAGATTTCTACCCCACTAGCTCAGGCTATTATTAGTGGATTCTTCTGGTGATGACAAGAGGAAGCACTTCTTTCTCGTTCTCTCTACCTCAGGCTAAGATCTGCTGGGACATACTTCTTTCCAAAACTTGTCGCTCCGGTACCGGTATGTTGTGCGAAAAGGTCCAATGCGAACAATCATAAAAATCACTATACTGATTGATTAGACGCATGATCAAGCGTCCTGCAAGAGTTGTGCAGGCGACCCCGAGTCTCAAAGGAGAGAATGGGGGCCAGGTACCAATCCTGCGGTGGCCATGCCGTAGTGTCTGAAGTCGGCCCCAAGGATGAAACCGCACGGCTGGCATAGCAGGATCAACAGCAGAGACACCAGGGTAGATTTGCCCATCTGTTGCACTGATGGAGACTAGCCTGCTGATCGAGACAACCCTGGCTATATAAGTCAGTGAAGACTGCTCTCCAGGATATCTTCCTTCTCACCACAACACTCCACGCTCTTTACTCCACACTCTTTATCCCACACTCTTTTGCAACCGTCAGAGATGACACCACCAAAAGCAATCGCTCTCAGTCTGCTGCTCCTGAGCTCCTGGGCATCGGCGTCCGCCATCCCCGTCCAAGCTCGCGCTGCAGCATCCTCCTCGGCCGTAGCTTCGGCCTCATCGGCCCAAGCAACTTGCGGATGGACATACTTTTTGAATGTCGACAACACTACCACGGACGATGACGACGCCGATGATGGCGAGGATGATTCGACCACCACCACCAGCAAGCGCGACTCGCACGAGCTGCATCAGCTCGCCCGTCGAGGCCGCACCACCAACAGTTACAACAACGGCAAGTGCGCTCTGGGGACGAAGATCTTCAAGCCGCAGTACCCCGGACCTGCTACCCTGGAGTCGGTACAGGGAAGCGCATTCCTGGGATACTATATCCCCAAGCTGGACCAGTGCCCAGCCGGAGCGGTCACGTACGATGTGATCACCGATAGTTCTGTGCTTACGGACACTGTTGCGGCCTACTGGGACTCGGCCAATGCGGGTACAGGCCAGAAGTACATCGCTCTTGGGGCCAAGGTCACCCCGACCGATTCGTACATCAACGTTGACCATGTTTGTAAGTGCCAATGGGCGTATCGGCCTGCGCTATCTACCCTGTAGTACGCTAACCGAGTCTCCCAGACGAGTTGAAGATTGTCGATAGCTTCTTTTCGGCCATGATTGCGAAGTACAACTTCTGTAACAGCTTCAAGACGTTCTTCCTCACCCAGGATACGGAACACCCAACGGCGAATGGAGTCAAGAGCCGACTCCAGCGGCTATACGGCCTGGTGAGTGCTTCACAGGCTACATATAAGAAGCCAGCGCTTGCTAATGCGCTGCTTGCAGCTACCCAGTAACACGTATCTGGACTTTGTCGCTATGGACAACCAGCTGAACAGCATGAAGGCGCCTGTAAGTCGATCGCAATGCTTGTTTCTCTTATTCAGCTATTGACGACTATAGATGTTCGACGAGAACCTCAGCGGAATGCAAACCCCCAAGGGCTCAACGACTGAAGAGGAAGCCAACAACGCCCTCTCCATCATCAACACCATGGCCACGGTGGTCTCGCTCCTCCGCGACAACAAAATCGCCGAGGTCTTCAAGACGACGAACAAGCGCATCTACGAGGCCTTCCTGGGAATCGACCAGCTCACCACTGGGTGCAACGATCCGATCCCTGGCAAGGGCTGGGCCGACTCTTACTCGAGCTGGATGGAGGAGTTCCTCTCGACGCAGGCGACCTCGGTCTCCTCGCGGCTTGCCTCCATCTCAGGCCAGGTGACGCCCACCACCGACGCATCCGGACAGAAGAACGCCCTGGGCCAGGGTCTGGATGCCTTCAACGCCAAGTACCCTGCTGCCTCATGGACCTGGGATGCCAAGCAGCTGCTGGACTTCTCGGCTCCCAGTGCTATCGCGTTTGCTAAGCGCGGTGCTGAGAGCAGCGTCGCAGCCTGCACGCCTACCTCTTCCGTTTCTGCTTCGTCCAGTGCAGCGGTTACGACCCATGCTGGCTCCTCGGCTGTCGTGACGGGTGGGTTCTATCCTCCACAGCCCTACTTATCTTGCTTTGCTAATGGATCACCAGCCTCGCACACCAGCATTATCGTGACCTCCAAGGCGACCACGCACACTCCGGAGAGCGAGATCTCGAAGACTCTGCACGGCTCGACGACGGTGAAGTCGGAGACCTCCAAGCCGGTGACTACCCACACAGTTGAGACACCAGTGACCACCAAGCAGTCCACCACCACCACCAAGGTTGCGCCCAGCTCGTCAGTCACCACCACAACTTCGACTACCTCGTCGCACACTTCGTCTCCGACTACTTCGTCCTCGACTTCGACTACTTCGTCTACCCCTGCCACTTCTTCCACTACTTCTTCTTCTTCTTCCACTACTACTACTTCTTCCGCCCCTTCTACCACTACTACTACTGCCACTACTACTACTACTACTACTTCCTCCGCTCCTTCCACTACCACGACCACCTCGACTACTTTGTCCACCACCACCACCACCACGACTATCAAAACGACTACCACTACTACCACTACCTCCAGCAAAACTACCACGACCACTACCAAAACCACGACGACGACCGCCGCGGCAACCACCAAGGCAACCACGTGCAAGACGGCGTCGCAGTGCCCCAAATGCGGTCTTTTCTCGAAGGGCAAGTGCAGCGGAGGGTAAGTTCACCATTCCCACGATTATAATCCTCCACCAGAGGCAGAGGCTAACTCTATTAATCAGTGTGTGTAAATGCTAGCCGAACCCGAGTTATCTGATAGGAAGAAGGGAGACTGTTAATCATGATGGATGGATGTACCAAACCAGGATTATCTCTTCGAACAGGACTAGACTTTCATTCCTGCCTGTGGCAGCGTGTATTATTAGCTTATCGTCTTCGAATTCCTTCTTCTAAAGAAATTGAGAGATCTTGAGGTAAACAACAGAATCAGTAGAATGGTGATAGATCAAGCCTTCTCCGCGGCAATCTGCTTCTCCAAAATCACCCTCAACAGCCCCTCCACGTCCTCCTTCTCCATGAAAACCTCCACCCACCGCAGGCCCTCCCCCTTGTGAATGGCATCCTGTTGTAGCACCGCGTCCAGCTCCGCCCAGTTGTTGGCCGTGAAGCTATTCCGGGCGCCGTGACCTTCCTCCGCCCCGAAGAAGTCCGCCGCCAGGTGGTGTCGCCACCGGGCCACGTCGTTGTACGCCTGCTTCCGGCCGTGGATCGCCCGCTCGATCGTGTACCCTTCGTTGTTGAGCAGGAAGATCACCACGTCCAGCTTCTCGCGGATGATCGTGCTGAGTTCTTGGACGGTCATTTGCAGACTGCCGTCGCCGATGAAGAGGACTGCCCGGGTGGGCGTGTTCGGGTTCAACTCGCGTTGCGCCAGCGCCGCGCCCAGGGTGGCGGGCAGCATGTAGCCAATCGAGAGCCAGGTGATGGCGCCAAACAGGCGCGTGCCCGTCGGGAGGGTGAAGTCCCGGCCGCCGTAGCTGGCGGTGCCGGTCTCCGTGAGGACGACGTCGCCCGGGCGGAGGAGAGAGTTGACGCGCCGGTAGAAGTGTTTCTGGGTGATGCGACCGGTCGGCGGGAGGGATTCGGTGGGGATCACGGTCTTCTGGGGCGGGTTGGTGGGCTTTGAGATGCGACCGAAATCGAGGCTCTGCACTAGGCGCGTGACGAAGGCGGGCGACAGGTCGCGGTAGGTGTCGTCGCCAATGCGCACGGCCTTGTCGGTGAAAGTGATGGAGGTGGCGGGGTTGGGGAGAGTTTGGAAGCCTAATGTGTTGGTGTCGGTTGCGTGCAACCCGAACTCGAGGATAAGATCCGTCTGGTCGAAGTAAATCTTGTGATCAGGGTCGCCCAGGCGGCCGGCGTAGTTGCCGTAGACGTTGGGTTGGTGTTCGTCCACCAGGCCTTTGCCCGAGACGGTAGTGAAGGTTGGCCAGGAGGTTTGGTGCACGAGCGTGCTGATTTCATCGAGGATGCCGATAGCACGACTCTCGCCGTCGACGAGGATCAGGGGTTGTTTGGCCGTGTAGATACGGTCGGCGATGCGTGTGAGGATGGTACTCTCTTGCGCAGTGGTCGGGGCAGCCGGACGCTGGATGTTGGTGGTAAGATTGGCGGCCGCCACCAGTACGCCCGGCATGTCGTCCGGAATCTCGATGTAAACTGGACGGCTGTGGATCAGAGCTTGCTGCAGCACTGTGTCAATCTGCTCGGGCACGGTGCGAGGATCATTGAGATTTGTCTGAGCAATGGTGACGTGGGCGTGCATGGCGGCAAAGCGGCGGTATTCGCCGTCGGCAAAGGTGTGATGGACCAAGGCGCGAGACTCCTGGGATGGTCGAGGAGGTGTGCCCACGATGTGCACCACCGGCGCCCGTTCTGCGTAGGCACCGGCGATCCCATTGATGGCAGACAACTCTCCGACTCCAAAGGTGGTGATCATGGCGGACAAGCCAGCCAAGCGCGCGTATCCATCGGCTGCGTAGGCAGCGTTGAGCTCATTGCATGTTCCTACCCAGTGTAGCCCTGAGGGATCGACATAATCCAGCAAGCGCAGGTTGTAGTCGCCGGGGACGCCGAAGATAGACTTGACCCCGAGCTGCTGTAGGCGGGTGAAGAGATAGTCCGCCAAGGTGACGGTTTCGCCATCGGATTTGGTCATGGTGTTGAAATGATGGCAAGGATCAGATTGCTGAGAGAAGAAGAATGGATGAGGGAGGGGATGAGGGAGGGGATGAGGGGAAGAAGGGGGTATGGTCCTTAAATTGAGGCAAGTTGGAGATGGGGGATGGAGTGGAGGATGGAGAACAATGCCGATGGGCCGAAGCCACGCGATCTTATCGCCGATAACGAGGGGGAGATGGAGACTGAGCCCACCAAGATAACAAGCAGGGCTGAAGCCTACAAAGATTGTCAGTCGTGGTTCTTGTCAGTTGCGGAGTAGTATGCAACTGGGATTCAGTAATTCAGATGGGATGAGAGTGGTGTTGTGTTGACAAGGTAAAGGTGAAGGTGAAGGTGGAAATTGGAGGCGACCAGGAGCTTCCCCGCTCAACCGCGGCAGTTTCCCATTGGAGCAGGCGGTAGTCGACCTGCCAGCCGAGCGCTTATCGTCGTTCTTTATCGCTCCGCTCTTTCTACTACCTTCTCTGGCCGTGACTATCCGACACAAGCCGTTCCGCCTGCCGCTTTCTCTACCGCTCTGCCTACCGCTCTGCCTACCGCTCTGTTCACCGCTCTGCCTACCCCCTCTCTAGTTCTGCGGTGATAACTCCAACTCATTAATTCAAGGTTAATTAGTTGACTACTAAGTTAGTAGCTACTAGTAGCGAGATGGACCATGCATATCCCCGGTCGGATTCCAAAGTGATGTGCAGACCTGATACTGACGTGGTCGAGCACGATGGCGAGCTGATCGGCGGAGAAGCACCTAACTAATGCATGGGATCGGACTGCCCTTCGAGATTTCCGATCCGCTAAATCTTGCAACCTCGCAGCCTTCGGATGAGGTTCTCGAAGAATAATCGTGTTGTTACCTGTCTGCTATGGACTACTGATCCTACAGAGAAAGGGTCGGGTAGATACTTCATTCCGGAAGTTCAAATGAGCTGCTGAGCTGCCTGGTCTGATCTGCGGGGCCATTTGGAGCCCTGGTGGATCGCAGACAGCGTGCTCCCATGCACGTCGAATCAAGGCGTCACCACTAGATGCAGCACTATGGAGGAGCAATCTCATTATGCGAATGAAGTTGCTCCACACGATAGGATCGGCGACTGAGACAAAGAGGCGGGGCTGAGAGCGTCAAGTCGCAATGCAACATCACCATCGGAAGTGGAAGTTTCGCTTCTAGGCCATGGCTTGGTTCCTTGGTTGTTGCGCCTTAGGTTACTCTGAGCGCACGGAGTGAGGTCTATAAGAAGGGCTCACATCTCGGGGCTTAGAGCAAGCACATGGAAAGCATCAACTCTCAAGTTCTGCCAGACCTACAATCCGAATCCAGATCTCAACGTTCAATTCTCAAATCCACACCATGTCTGACAAGGAAGAAGTCAAATGGGTATGCCTGGCCCATCTTCACCTCGGACAAAGAAGCCGCTGACCGATTACGCAGGATGCCTACTACTCGTGGGGCTTTCTCCAGGCTCTGATCGAGTTCTTTCATGCTTCCGTATGTCTTTTCTCTCCCGCCTCATTCTTGAAAAGAATCCCCAGAAGACTGACTGCTGAACCCCTCTCGAGCAGAAAGAGAAGAAGACGGGCAAGTAGTGCTCTTCGCACACGCCACAGCTGTAATTAACGTTTCTGGTTAGGCAATTTCGACATCGACCAGATCGCCAAGTATGTATTCAAGGGCGACAAAGAGGATGCCAAGAAGTTTCTCAAGGTCTGTGATGCCAACGCAGATGGCAAAGTGGACTTTGGCGGTAAGTCCCCTCATGAGATGATTCCCTGGTTGTATCTGTCGAAGCGGCATGTTCTGACTAGCATGGTCCAGAATTCCTTCAAGCCTTGCTGGATGAAGATGCCAAACAAAACTACAAGAACGCGCTCGTCTTGTATTACCCTTCGGATACCGCCTAAAGACACACTGTATCTCACTTGTTAAGTTTGCCTTCTATATATCATCTCAAATGAGAGTACTTCCGAGCGTGTTTGGTCTCTCTTAAGGCTGTTTCGTATCAGCCAGACCGTAGAGATAACACTGTGGCCTTTCAACTACCCATCAACCTGCCATTTGTTCGGTAGTGGATTCCCTAAATTGACTCATCTCTGTCGACATTCTTATGCACTTGAGAGCTTATGTGGAGAGCTGTAGCCTAATAGATACTTGTTCGGTTTCCTTAACATTTCCTCATCTGCCTCTCTTTTCCTCTTCTAGCAAGCAAATCTTCCGACTGACCAGGGAAATTGTGATTGTCCTCGAAGTTGAATAGAAACTTGTCTTAGTGATTACGAGACATACTTGGAAGAATTATCTTGATCTATAATGGAGAATAGTACCATGACTCCTAATGATTGAAACCGACGACTTCAAACCTCCTCCCGTTCGCTGGCAGTGCTCGAGTTGGTCAAGCGGGAGCTATCAATGCGGATCACCGTGGTGGAGTGGATGTTCGGCTTTTGCTCCATACTCTTCGTCTTCGACTGGTCGGAGGAGGACAAGGAGAAGGCATTCCTGCGCCACGACAGATTCTTGCTCCAATCGGGCCGGGGCAGCATTACGAAGAGGGGTCGCATGTTGGAGAGGCAGGCGGCCGTGATCCCCATCATGGGCTCGATACAGGTCCATACACTTGCAGTCACTTGGTCATCTGTGACCCGATTAGTAGGGGATCGAGTTATTAGGATCCTATAAGCGGGGGTAGCTTACAGGTGATATCGCCTCCTGCCTCCGAAAGCTGGACCATTACTACCAGTCGCACGATGTCAAAGGCAAGGGTTCTGCAGGTGTCAGTTCTGGTGCCTTGCAGGAAGAGATCAGATGACGTACGTGGTACCAATCAGGAAAATGCCTGACAGCATGACCTTCTGCGACCTAGGGACCTGCAGATTCCAGACGGCTTTCATCGGCAACACGAGAATGATTGCGTCAGTCAGGATGTTGGGGATTTGAAGACCGTAGTAGAATTGGGCCAGGTTGATGCAGCCTCCCGGGAGATTGGGCTCCCACAGCTTCTTGAACGGCATGCAGGTCACGGCGCCAATGAGGCAGACTCCGAAGCACCAGAGGATCACGATGCACGCGACCACGTTCGAAGCTTGCATCATCGGACGAATGGAGAAGATTCGTTTGTAGAGCGCGAGGATGGAGAGTTTAACGAAGGTGATGCACAAGGTGTACAGGAACGTGCCCGTCGATAAGGTCTATTGGCGTGTTGAAGTCAGTGCATTGATTCCGATCATACCAGACTAAGGGGGATCACCTTCATGTAGACCACAAGCTGCTCGGGGGATACGTAGATGATGTGGGTTCCCAGACCGTTGTACAGAACTAGTTCCACATCAGCAAGCAATTCAACTGGCCATGCAATCACAACTTATTGACATACGAACGACCCCTGCGACCGTGATGCCATATTCGAAGACCTGTCAATAGTTGCTGGTCAGCATCCACGAAGATACAGCTGCAGTCGGCGCTTTGCCACCCACCAAGGCAACGATCATGAGGTAGTCATCCAAGAAGACCTTCGTGCGAGTGATACGCCGACACCACAGGCGCAGGCCCACAGCCAAAGTCGACACAACCAGTGCGAAACAACTGGCTGTGATCACCACATGTCGCAAGTTATCATGGTCGTACCCCTTCTCTCCCTGCGCGAGTGCCCTTTTCATGATGTGGAGTCAGAATTTGAAGATAAAGCTGACAATCAAGAAATAGGACGCGAAGCAGTACATGAGGCCCCGGGCGTGTCAGGGGCCTGCTGGGCATTAAAGTATGGGCAGGCGTAGTATGAAGGGCCTCTCACTGTGGTGTGGTGAGCTCGCTTAGATCGAAGCCTGCTTCTTACGAATTGATATCATTTCGAGGCTGTCGCAAAGTTACGACAGCCATTGCTCCGCAATGCAATGATTATCTGGCGATAAGTACCGCCACCATGGCTCGACAGGAGGGATTGACCACGCCGATGCGGCCAGATCTGCGACCGAAGACTGTCATGCTGTGATCTGTCAGGAGCATAATCTACCTGGAACTCCTTGCCGAAGCTGAATGATGTCGATTCCTGCCGAGGATCGGCGATCCTAGCACTGTATCGGGTCTGTGCATACGGATATATCAGATTCTGCAAGAAGAGACACAACGGGGCCGATCATCACGACAAACCAATCAATCTCGATGATCGCTGAGCGTGCAGTTGCTAGCGATTTGGTACCCTGATTTAGGTCAGTTGACACTCGCTTGAGGATGTAGACCTAAGGGCCTTCCTACCAATCCAATTAGGGTTGCCTTCCCCCCGCGTTTAAATCTGTCTACTTTGAAGGAAGTTCCCCGGGAATGAACTCGTATAGATCATCGTGGCAGAACCCCTGCATGGACCTTGATGGCTACAGTGTGTTACAATGTGTTTTAGTGCGGCAGTGGCCCTGAGACTCTTCACAACGTTCACGTCTATTCATCTTCAATGTGGCAGTCTCATGCAAGGGATGGTGGACTGACTGGCATTTCCTGGAATTCATTGTCGATGTTGGCACCTGTTCCTGGCATGATCGCCCATTCTTATTTCGACAGTACTGAAACAGGAAAAGGGGCGAGGAAGATAGTTCCGAAGAGCAGCAGTGAATTGGGTGAATTAGTGCTCTCTTGAGCTGAAGTGGCCGTCTTTGCTATGACCGAATAGGGAGACGAGGTTCTTCACTGCACTCACTCTCGCCTGGAAGCTGATCCGACCTCCTTCCGTGACGAAGATCCAGTCGATCATGGATGAATCACACGTCTCTACCACTACCTCCTATTGCCACTTGTGGAAATCTTTTCGATAACCAGCTCGGCCAGTTCTCCCCAGTTCCCCCCAGTTCTCCCCGCCGATTTCTAGCTGTGTGGTTCGATGAGCTAATCGTTTGCGTCAACAGTTGACTGAACTTTCGCTTCTCTATTTCCTGAACGACTGCAGCGGAGAGACCGTATTCCCGACTGAGGAATCAGGTATTTGAGACTGAGTTCCTCCCCAGAACAACCGTCAACAGGATACTGCTCTAGAGCATGAATGCGTTTGCGGGGTCCAGGACATACACAGTCCAGTATCAGGGCCGGGTCTCTGGAGCATTGAGTTTCTAAGACGGCGCATGACTGGCGAGAAAATGCCACATACTTACATTTCCAAGTACGGTTCAACATTCGCACCTTTTCGAGTTTCCTCCAGATCCCCGGGATATCAAAAACCTTAGGATATGAGGCTCTTGCTTGGAAAAACACGGGAAGCGAACCATGGGTGTTCGTGAGATCAAGCCCGACGACGTGCGCCGTCGTCGTCACCACCCAAACTCTGAACCAAAGACATCTTCTCCTGGTGCATTTTCCATGGCATCAGGCTAGATCAGGCAAGAGATGTTGTTTACACCAAACTCAGAGGGCTGCAGCTCAATTTGCTGAAGTGAATTTATGATCCCTGAGATGCCACTCCAGCTCGTTCCTCAACCTCAATCGCAAGACGACAGCGAGAGACACCACTGACGAAATGACTGGCGAGAATGATTCACTGAAGTGCACTTCTGCGAAATGGCCCTGTACCTTGCCACTATTTGATTTCAGCCAAGTCCCTGCGCGGCGAATGCTACCGGAGTATCTCACACATGAAGCTCAGATCTTCCTATCCAGTGGAACGGTGGCTGCCTTCCGTTCTCTGGTGCGCCAGATGGGTGCTACTGAGTTCCATGGCCACTTAGCGGTACTGCAAGCCCTTCTAGCACGACTCCTGGACATCCGCGAGGGCTGCATCGGAGTCGCAGAGCCTCAGCGTGGAGGGCGAAAGGAAGTCCAATTGCTTCCCCATTGCTTTAACATCACACCTCAGGACACGATCACCGAAATCATCCACCGAGCCTGTCAGACTACCCTGGAAACTCTGAAATATGGGCCTGGAAATGTGAACGACCTCCTCTGCCATCGTTCAAGGTCACACTCGACCCCTGCACATCCTCTGTTTCAGGTGCAACTCATCTATCAAGATCAGCACGCTGGAAACCTCTCTGAGATCTCTATCGAGAGAGATGCTGCAGCTCCCTGTGATCTCGTTCTATACTTAACCCGGCAGCGTGATGGAACTGCCAGCATTACCCTTCGCTCCCCAATTTATTTGTACTCACACGAAAGTCTACATTTCCTGCTACGAGCTTACATGCGCCTCTTTGAGTCTTGTGTACGGAACCCGAAAATGTCAATTGCACAGCAGCGTTTATACGACGAGAACGACGTTATGGCCGGGCTGGTTTTCGGGAAAGGACCCTATCTGGATATCACAGATCCGGCCACGCTCTCGAAGCGAATCGAGCAAATGTCAATCGCGAGGCCTGAAGTAGTTGCCGTCAAGGATGCGGACGGTAACAGCTTCACATACAAGCAGATGCAGCAGCACATTCAACTCGCAGCAGCCGTCCTTCACAGGAATGGGGTTCAAGCCCAGGGCTATGTCGCGGTATGTTGCGAGCCGACCCTATATTCGGTCTGTCATCTCTTGGCGATATGGCGCATCAATGCCATCTATGTACCGCTCGACCCGCACAATCCCTTCGCTCGACTCCAACTGATCTTGGACGACTGCCAGCCAGCAGCGATTATATACCACGACCCAACCGAATCGGTCATCAGGCGACTAAATCTTCATTCGAGTACCCCGGTCTCCATCTCCGAGATCCGCCTTGCTCAGACCCAGGGGTGCCCTGACTTGTCCCAGTGTGAATCAGCAGCTTGTGTTCTCTATACTAGCGGATCCACCGGCACCCCCAAGGGAATCATGCTCACGCATGCCAATCTGCTACACCAGATTCTGGGAGTGCGCCATCGGTTTCAGATCAGTTGTGAAACTGCGCTGCAGCAAAGCTCACTTGGCTTCGATGTCTCTCTTGACCAGATGCTTCAGCCTTTGGTGGGGGGCGGCACATTGATTGTCGCCCCGCGCCGTCTACGGGGAGATGCCATCGCGCTCTCTCGGCTGATGCTGGCCGAAAACGTCACCTACACTTACGC